CGCGATATTAACATCTCCTGGGTCATATCTGTGATGATAGTTGGCTCAAAGAAATATCCACCTCCACAATCGGTCTTGGGCTTTCCGCCGAGAATAACCTTCCCACCCAATTTGCGTGCATCTTCAACTTGGTTTGCGGCTTTCTCGAGAGTGCGAGGTGTGGTGACGGGTCCCATGGTGGTGCTGTCTTTCGCTCCGTGGCCTACTACGAGAGCAGCGGTGCGTTCTTTGAATAGCTGGACGAATTTGTCGTAGATACCAGACTGGACGTAGATTCTGTTCGCGGTGATGCAGGCCTGGCCAGCGTGTCGCCATTTCAGACTCATGAGTTGGGAGATGGCCTGGTCCAAATTGGCATCGTCGAAAACGATAAAGGGGCAGTTTCCACCGAGTTCGAGGGTAAGTTTTTTCAGGCCGTGGGCGCAGTGGGAGGCAATAAGTTTGCCTATGCGTGTGGACCCGGTGAAGGTCACCTTTTTGACCAGAGGATGTTTGCAGAGAGCTTCACTGAGGGATGGGGTGCTGTCTAAGTCAGTTGTGAGAACATTGAAGACGCCTGGAGGATAGCCGGCCTTTTTGGCAAGGTGTCCAAGGACGAGTGTACTGATGGGGGTTTCGGGGCTAGGTTTAACGATCATCGTGCAGCCGGCAGCGAATGCAGCGCTGGCTTTGCGCAAGACCATGGCGATTGGGAAGTTCCAGGGTACCAGAGCGGCAGCGACACCGATTGGTTGCTTGATTGTGAAAACGCGACGGTTCGGAGCTGCAGGAGTAGAGATTGAACCATGAATCCTCTCTGCTTCACCGGCAAACCACCAAGTGAATCCCAATGCATAGTCGATTTCTGCTAATGCCTCTGGAATTGGTTTCCCAGTCTCATGTGTAAGGATCTTTGCCAGATCTGAACGAGCTTCACGAATAAGTTCATCCCATTTCATTAATAGCATCGCTTTCTGGCGCGGGTTCATCTTCTTGTATTCCTCGAATGCAGCGTGGGCCGCTTCAACTGTACTGGGAACATCTTTCGCGGTGCTCGTGGGACAGGTAGCCCATGGTTTACCCGTTCCGGGATCTAACAACACGGGATTCGACGTTAGGATGAATGGTGCGAGTCACTTTCAAGAGTGTCACGTACCTACGACCTCAAATCGGTTTCCGTCTGCAGCGGTGACCCATTCATTATTTACGAATGAATCGAAGTGGAGGAGACTAGGGTCATCGAGCTGCAAATTGCCCAGTGATTAGCCTTGGATTTATCTTTGCAGGTGTTTGACAGGTGACGAAGGGCAGCAAGAAGAGGTGGCTTAAAGACTGCAGGGATACGAGAGGTAGCTAAATGCAGGGCCTGTGGAGCTGAGAGCGGTGGTGGCGCTGGACGTACCTGGAACGGGAGCTCATACTGTTTCGCCATCTCGATGGTGTCAAGGCAATTGATCTTTCAACAATGATCCTCGCTCAAAATATCGGTTCCACAGAGATAACTTTTTTTCAAATTGTATTCGTAAATGTAGATGGAGGAGGATTGAAAAGCTGTCGATGGAGGTGAGCTACCCCGCAAGTTGACGAGGTAGTAGTTATAGTTCTGCGGCGGGCGTGGAGAGCATGAAGCCGAGATCGGGCGGCCTTGTCGGCTGTGACGAATGCATCACAGGAACATCTTGGATTTTCACTGATTTCTGCTTGTCTTCCATTCGCTGCTTTCGCTTGATACCGCAAGCATTCTCCACATTATGGATCTGTTGGCTCCGGAGCTCCATCGCCCTGGGCCGCATTTCCATGGTTTCTTAGCAACCCGACCCAGCCCAGCGCTCTCCGTGGCATTCTTTAACGTGCCACGGAATCACCGGTAGCGCAGATGAGAATTCTAATTGGCCTCTTAGAGCCGAGAAATGCACTTATCGCTCTGCAAGAGAGCCGATGGCTCGCAATCTGGCTTCCAAGGCGATTTTCGCGTTAAATGGGTTTTCGGAACTGGCATGGCTTCATGAGATAATATTGCGAAGTCACGAGATATTTCGAGACAATCGCTGTATGTATGTACATACTATGGTACCTGCAACTTTGTCACCTCCTTTGTGGCTCCCGAAGAGCAGCACCGTCGAGAGTAGCAAAATATAGTATGAAGAGAAAATAGAAGTAGGGCCCACGCAGATGAATCTTTTATATCCGGGGTTATTGCAACGAAAACAGAGTATCTCAAAATATGGCTGAACGTGGACAATCGTTCAAGGACGCGATTTAGAGCAACAAGATCCCTTGATCTTGAATGCTCCGAAGCCCCCCGAAAACCATTTGTGGTGCATCTCAAGTATGCACACACTGTACAAGCGTCAGTGGCCGCGATACACCTGTCCTTCAGCAGCATAGGTGAAAAATTCGGGAGTATTTATCTTCTTGCGAGCCTTTGCTAGTAAACCGTTGGTGTCTGCAGACCATATTCATAGAATGGTGCGAAGCCTCCGCCCAGCGAATCCAATGCTCGGTGTATCGCAGTTTACGATCCTGAGGGAGTCGTCACATCGATTTGCGACTTAGTATGAAAACGAAATCGGGAGCTTCGGCAGGGCAAGACGCCTCGGAAACGGGATTCTCTTGCGAGGAGAACAAACGGTGAGTTAAATATCAGCGCCAAACGAACCCCGCTTCGTGTGAGTGGAGAGTACAGATCCCCGCACGAATGCCACTCCCAGAGGAGATTCGGCATGGAGATAATTGTTCAGGCCACTCAAGCACCTAACAGTGATCTGTTCAGAATCTTGCTTTGGGAGAAAATCATCACTACTAGGCCGAAGATATCTCTGAAAACTGGTCTTTGCTCAAATCAAACCTCAGCGATCCTCTTCGAAAACCCATCGCCAAAATGGGTATTGCGATCCCCCCAGAAAGTCGGTGCAGCTTCACCCGACCAGCGAAGTTAAGCCCTAATGCCGTTCCCCACCCCTAATCGCACTTCTCCGTAGAACCAACCACTCACGCCTCTCCATGGCCTCTTGAGGCCCTGTTCGCTGGGATTTTAGAGTGCGTTCCAGATTCTCTTTAGACTGAATTTCAGGGTCGTCATGCATCGACTAGCCCCGATTTCACCTTTTTCGGGCAAGATATCCAGGGTTTTGGGTACGAGCTGCCCACGAAAGCCAGTCGGCAGGCCTTTGAGGGTTTCGGCTGGACGGGAAATGGAGAAAGATTTTGACAAACGCGTAAATCTCAAAATACTTTGCTTTCTTCCTTTCTTTGTTCTTTTTTCTTTCTCTCTTTCTTTTTAAGGATAGCAATCTGATGAGCTTGAGCCCGCTACTCCTGTAGATACTCACAAAACAACCACAGCTTTTGGATACTAGCTGCTGGAATGCAACGACCATGGCCGGAATAACACCCTGTAGAACCAAGCGCTCAGCCACCTATTGCAGCAAAGGCGACGAAGTGATCCGCGCAAAAAGCAATTTGAAGATAGTAATTTGAAATCCTAAAATCAGGGTCTGTCAATCTGGTGAGGAGAAGAACTCTTTAGTTATCGAGCCAAAGCCATGCAACGCAAGTCCTTCGTCAGCACACTGCATTCAGCTCAAATCTCTCTTGGGTTGCCGTCTCCGCACGAGGGTATCCTCATCCACAAAGCCGATCGCTTTTGGCTGATTGCTTCGCGGTTGCGGGGAAGAAGTTTACAAAACCCATCCTTGAAAAATCCGGGGTAAAACGAACTCTAACCAAGCCGCAGGGTTGACGAGGAGACAGGCAAGCGAGATTTGGAGATGCGGAGTCTGCGGAGTCAGAACTGGCTGGATGTGAGGCTATGGGGAAGGAAACAAGATCAAGATGCGGAGTTCAGTAGGCCGTCAAGTCTTCTGAGTCAGGGCTAAGCAGAGGATCGGTGGCCAGCGGGCATATAAAGTACGAGGATGTCGTGGGACGGCACTGGGTAAAGAAGTACTGGGTACTTATCGTCTACCCACTGACATGAACATGCAACGGGGTTTGCTGTGCTCTTGATAAATAATGGTTATCTCGGTCAACACCGTATCATGAATGAATGCTCTTTTATCTATTTGAATCTCCTGCATTGGCAAAATTGACGTGGCTGATAGAAAAGTAACAGCTGGGAACCCGATGATAGATAGGAAATTGTTTACATTCCGCTCGAAAAGGAGGCCAGCAACCCTTGGAAGTCGCTGGAATGATGGCTCGCCGGCATACTCCGTACGCATCCACAGTAGGACACGACCGCTGGGAGCCAGGAATCTGCCAATCAAGTTGTTATCACTTTCGTTGAAGCAGACATATCGACCAATGCAAATGCTATTCAAACCAAAGCAGATGATGTAGCTGGGATGTACACGGTACAAAAACGCAGAGCTGAACGCCACCAGCAAAGGTCCACGTCCCGAGGACCGGACACATGGTGGTCATGCCGATTCCAGTAAAGTTTCCCCGTAAATCCTGACTAGCTCGTCTCTCGTGGCCAGGAGGTAAACGACTAATTTGGGATTGACGTAGTCGTTGTTGTCAAGGCTACACTGCTTCTCGCCATGGAGACCTGCGCATTCTTGAACTGCAAATAACTGCGTCTCTGTCTAGAAAAGAGGCATATTCGAACTTTGACGTAGTAACCTCATATGTATTTTCAACTCGTTATCTCAGTCAATGGGCTGGATTTATCTTATAACTGGGTCAGCATTGCGGGAGTTTTAAAGATCCGACCGACGTAGAAGTTTCCAAAACTTCCTATGTAATTGGGTCTGCTCTGCGTGCTAATCATTGGATGGAGCTATTTAACCTAACTTGCCGCATGATGCAGCGGTTCCAAGCTTGTTTGTCTGAGATTGTTGGTGGATAAGATATGCTTTATGCTAGCTAGTGCAATTCGCATCGTTTTATCATGTTTGGTTCATGATAACGCGACCAACAGTTACACTAGCACCAAGTAACCGACCAGATCAAGTTGTCACTGTTCCTGTAGGCAAATGCAATGAATATCCCGGGGTATATACATCCATATACCGACAAGGGAGGGGGAGACCACGACATAGCCGTTATCTATCTATATATATATATATATATCAATGTATGCAAACATGTCACCTTGGGATGTATCATCCAGTGAGATGTGTTCAGCATACTAGTTGCACAGTCGGTTAAGTTCAAAATAAGAGGGATAAAATATACCCATTCGGCGGCTTCTGTTTTTGCTTTAGCAGACCTAGTTGGTCGGCAATCCCATTTTTATTTTTATTTTTCCTTTTCCATTGCTTGATTGAGCATTGAAGGGCTCATCCATTCTATATGGTCGACGTTTCGACCTGAAGGCCTGCCCTTAGAGAGGACCCGAGACCTAGAGACCAAGGGCACCCACCGAGACACGCAACATCATGTCGATTTTCGAAGACAAGCCGAAGGACATTGCTGGTTCCGATACAAATGAGAGCAGCGAGCTAGGTGGCGATATTCGAGACACCGACCACACCCTCGAAGTACTGGGATATGTCCCTGAACTAAAACGCAATCGTTCTTTGATCACACTCCTCTTTCAATCCCTCGCGATCGCTGCTATTCCGTATGGGGAGGGAGGGCCTCTGCTTAGCTCCATATACGGAGGCGGACAACGTTCCATATTCATAGGATGGCTAGCCGTCCTTGTCCTAGACGAATGTATTGCCCTTTCGCTCAGCGAGCTTGCATCGCGATATCCAACGTCAGCAGGGCCATACTACTGGTCATTCCAGATTGCCCAAAAGCACAAAGTGATTCTGTCGTTCGTGACGGGATGGGTATGGCTCATCGGGAACTGGACGATCACCCTCTCCGTCAACTTCGGATTCGCCTCCTTAATAGCAGCAACGGTATCACTCTTCCATCCAACATGGGTTGCAACAGATTGGCAACTGGTCCTCATCTTTTACGCCGTCTGCCTCCTGGCCTTTGTGATCGTTGCTTTTGGCAATCGCTTTCTCCCACAGGTAGACATCGTCTGCGCCGGCTGGACAGCACTCACCATCATAATCATCATGATCGCCCTTTCAGTCAAAGCGGGAGCCGGTAGACACAGTATTTCATACGCCCTCACGCATTATGACACCTCCTTAGCCGGTTGGGGTGAATTCACTTTCTTCATTGGCCTTCTTCCAGTCGCATACTGCTTCTCCGCCATTGGCATGATCTCCTCCATGGCCGAAGAAGTCGCCAATCCAGCCGTCATAGTGCCCCGCGCAATCAGCTTGTGCGTGCCCGTCGGAGGTATCGCAGGCCTCTTCTTCATCATCCCGATCTGCGTCACCCTCCCACCACTCCTGGATATAATCGAACAGGCACCAGGCGGGCAAGCTCTCCCCTACATCTTCAGCGTGGTCATGGACTCCCCCGGTGGCGCCCTAGGCCTCATGACACTCGTCCTCATCGTCACGCTCTTTTGCTCCATCAGCATCACCACAGCCGCGTCCCGCACAACCTGGGCCTTCGCGCGCGACGACGCGATCCCGCTCGCCAGTGTCTGGGCGCGGGTGAACAAGAAACTCGGCGTGCCCGTGTACGCTCTGGCCCTCGTGACCCTCGTCGAGATGCTCCTGGGCATCATCAACATCGGTAGCTCGAGCGCCTTCACCGCGTTCGTGTCCGTGGGCGTGATCGCGCTGGCGGTCAGCTACGCGATGCCCATCGGCATCAGCGTATGGTACGGCCGGCGCGAGGTGCTGCAGGCGCAGTGGAATCTTGGTCGCGTCATCGGGCCGGTTGTCAATTCGATTGCGCTGGTGTGGATTGCGTTTGAGCTGGTACTATTCAGCATGCCGACTGCGTTGCCGGTGACGGCGACATCGATGTCGTATGCGAGTGTGGTGTTCGCGGGCTTCCTGGTGATATCGGCGGTGTGGTATGTTGTGTATGCGAGGAAATGTAGGTTCAATGGCTCACTTATGTGCTCCTTGTCTGGATTATATTATTATCCTTTTTGCTTTTTCGTTTTTCCCCTTTTAATTCGCGTCTCGACAAGCTAACTTTTGTGTGTTTTCTCCAACAGCCTACAAGGGTCCACCGGCATCCGACGGAATTTAACGCACGCGCAATCCCTATTCTCTCCGACGGCCAACGCATCTCAGGCTCGACTTCAATGCTTTGATGATGAATTAATTTACGGAGGATGGATCATATTTAATGATATTTTCCTTTTTTGTTTTTCCTGTTTTGGCTTTGCGCATGCGATGCTTGCCAATTAGATTTTTTTTGTTTCCCCATTAAACCCACGTTCAGCTTGAAAATGGAATCCACCGATATATCTATATATGAATGTCACTCCCAACATAAAACGAAACTCGTGTCAGGGTGCTCCGCAGCGAATAGGGCATGACTGCCCTCTAGCCGTTCTTAAATAATTATAGCTCTTGCGGTAAAAATGAGGACAGGTAATCAGAAAAACAAAGACTTGGGGGCATTCGCGGTGAGGTGCAGTTGTAAACTCGAAGGGTATCAAATTCAAATAATCATAAACAGCTGGGCCGTTCCAGCTGGACGAAATGTAGCCGGGAAGATCACTCCACAGCCCGGTTTCCTCCGCCTTGCAAGGAAGGCTTTATGGGCATGGACAATCGGAGACTGTTCGATGTGTTTGAGCAGGACCAAAGACATGGTGATCGAAGCTCGTGCGGGGAGAGAAAAATAATGAGGAGAAGCTTGATCTGCAATCGAACATAATGCGGGACAGTAAATGCGGGGGAGAAGATTTGATCGTGATGCAAAATGAGGGGGTCCTGAATAGACGAATCGATTTGCAGAGTGACAAGGGAGGTATCATGGCATCCGGCTTCGTATCTCTCATCTTCTGTAGTCGTTTGATGTTCTCTTAGCTCCGCGACCTTTCTTACACGGCGGTAAGTTTCTGCTCGGCACCGTCAAGCCGGATTCCTTTCGAGTTCCGGGTTTTCCATGTCGAGATCACAAGGTTTGCCAACGCCGTCATGGTCTCCACGATTATAACTGAGAGGATGAAGAGAACAAACATGAGCACAAACACAGTGGTCCAGGTACGGAGGGGACGCGCAGATATCCACACTATAATGGAGGAAAGGCCTTTGCATCCATTCAAATCGACACTCTCAGAGAAGGAAAATAGATCCTCTGACTCTGCGAATGGACTTGCAAGAGCTGATTGTTCCTTTTCTCTAGAGAATAGAGTTACGTAACGAAATTTGACGATTCTCATTGAGGTTTCCTGGATTTTGTTCTCTTCCAATGCATGTTCGCTGGTGAAAGCGGAAACACTGGGCGCTGAATATTCTTCCACATGACCTAGGTCTGATGACGGTGAATCTAAGCCCAGCTGCGGTTCAGACGACCTGAAGACGACGTCCTTGTTATCCTCTGACGAATCCAACCCGCTGACCATTTCCGGAGTCAAGGACGAAAATTCATACGGCCACCTATCGCCAGGTCTCGACTTCTCTGCGCGAGTCAAAACCTCGAGAGTTGGGGCAACCTCACTGCCATCTCCGTTATAACGATGCTTGCCCTCGAGGAGCATCGATTGCCGCCAAGTAACGCGTGCAGAAGCATCGCTTCCGTGCTGGCTCCAACGGGTAGTAACCGCTGAGAGAAGCCACTGGGACAATGGTGCAGCGAGGACGACCGGGAGTAGAAGAAATAAGGAGCAGTATAATCGCACAAGCCACATTGTGTTGTTGTCTTAAAAAGGGATACGGGTATTTTGGGCTTTAGAAAAGGGTTGTTGGATCCTTCTTGGTTTCACTCTGCCCTTCTAGCGAGTCGAAGGGGACTACGGGACACCGACGTACGTAACGCGCTCCAAGAGAAACGATGTCTGTAGAAAGGAGGTGATAGGTTCGTAAAGGAAAGGTGCTTTATCTCATAAACTAACGAGAAGAGTAGAAGACCTATCCATGATGACAGCGTCGAAGCGGCATGGAATGGCAGGGGATGGTGAGAATGAAGAAGATGACGGACGAGCCAACTCAGAGCTCCGGCTGAGAGGAAGACTCCGCGCACATATGTAACTTCACTTATCTGTATTTATGGCTGAAGCGCAGCGCGAATCGCACGATCGCTGGGCGCGCTTTGTGAGATTCTGCTCTGATCGGGAGCTGCCGCGGAGCTGGAATTATGCTGTGGGTGCCGGTTGCGATGCGTCGGCTCACCTGCCGGGGCAGAGAGTCGCCATGTGCGCCAACCGCAGCCCGTCAGTGGAGCGGCCGTTGTCGTCGTCGCAGCCGGACACGCAGGCCGGCCAGGGTTGGCTCCCTCTCGAGTCTCGTCCGTCGACAATCGGCACGCTGGATCTGGCGAGTTCGCGAGAACGTGACAAGTCCGCGACCGTGATTGGCTATAGCAAGGTTAAGGTTCTGGCGATCGCGATCTGCGATAAAATCAAAAAGGGGGATTCGCTGGCCGGCAGCATAACTAAAGGTCGATGGCCATCGAGAACTGCGATCCAGGAGATTTCCTTTGGGGACTGCAAGGTGAATTGGGTGTGTCTCCATCGTTCTCCCCTCCGGGCATCTACACCAGCTTCTCATGAGTAGGCTACAGCCCTACACTCTATTGAGATATATCCGTGGATGGCTTTCCTGTCTCCCCTAGATCTAGTAGCATAACTATGTGTCTCCTTTACTCCGTATATTCCTCGAGAGTATCACCAAGAATAAACTTCCCTTGCCGCGAAGGCGACGTCAATAGCTGTAGCCGAACTTCGAGCATGCGATGTACAAGTGAATCATTTCAAAGGTGACGACATTCCGCTCCAAGGACCTACAATGAACCGCTTTGAAACCGACACAAACGTCAAGGAACAGCTTTAAAGCGGCAAATTTTTTCCCAACGGACGGCAACGCCAAACGCATTTCCAGCGCATGGCGCCACGCCGCCGCCATTTTTCCACCACCGAAGCCGTCTCCCGCTGGTTTAACGACCTCGGAATCTACGCCCTCGCTAGCATAGCATTGATCAGAAGCCCGGACCAACTCTTCCGAACGCTTGCTTGAGGCAAGACCTGGCACGGTGTACTCCGTACCTGATCCCAAAAGCCTCGATAGGTGAATCCAGACCAGCAACGAGCAGTCTATATGAAATCTCATCGTTCGATTCCATCACGGCAGCACAAAAAAGGGTTGAGGACATCGATATTTGGTTCCTTTGCGTCGGCGCCTCTGCAGAGCAAGATGTTGACAAGGTAAACATTTGCTCCCGACGCCACTTCCTGCAGTAATATATCGCTACCCGTGTAATCCGTACTGTGGCTTTATTTTTGTCTGCGAATATTCTCAAGGAGTACGGAGTAATCCAGCATTACTCAAACAGTCATGGACAAAAATACTTCACCTATGTAGGACCAATCAAGGTCGAAGTGAAACGAGGGCAACATTGAAATATTATCGCTAGGCAGACAACGGGCAAGCTGCATTCGTAAACCATCTCCGGGACGAATTAAAGGGAACGTTAGGCCCTCTGTGCAACGAATGGAAGTGCACAGGGTCCCATCGTCGACAAATTCGGCGATTGGGCAGAAGGACGAGGAGCTCCAGGAAGAGATCAGACGGGCTTGGAATGGCGGCGGCTTTGGATGAGGCAAGGAGGAGCAGCTTTCGATGATAAGAATCCCTAAAAGTAAGTTCAATAAGAATCAATGGTCATCCGGAGATGGTCGAAATGCGTGCCTCGGAATTTCAGGGTCGCCAGCCAGCGATTAACTACTCATCAACCGGCCAGGCCATACTCAGGTTTGATCGAGGCCAACAGGCCGTTGAGCCCTCTGCATAAAAAAAACATGGTATATTTGTTGAACCGGTCGACAGTCAAATTTTGTAATCATCTATGCATTTGAAATATGCCCTGTGGGATACTGGTGCGCGTTCCTTGCGGACCTTGGGCACCTCAAGCATAAATAAATACTTCATTGCGGGCCTGGGACTTCAATCAATATGCCAACCCGCTCACGTCCTTTGGCCAGAGAAAAACGCTGATCTATGACGAGGGTGCAGGGAAGTGATGCTGATCATTGACCTCGAAAGATGTCGAATCGTGCATCATGCCAGCAGCCCTATGGAAAACGGAAATGAGCTGCATCCGAAGTACTCACTTTCACGATTGAGGCACGCTGATCTCAAGCTTATCCTGACCGAGCACGGACAACGAGCCGAAAGAAAAAGCCCTCAAACCGCTCCACAGACAGAGCCTGCTGTGGAGACGGGGACTCGTTAAAGGTACCGAGTACCGAGCACGGAGCAATCCGAACGCCAAGCTTCGCGCCTGAAAAGCAAACGATTAACTAGTTAGTTAACGAGTTACAGTAAATGCCTGGCGAACTCCGACCACAGCACTGATTATCAGCCCGTCTCAAGGGTGGACATATGCCGCTCCCAGCTCGATACCGCCTGCTCCATACGTTTCAATATAGACTCTTTTATCGATGCCATTGAATCAAATTATGCTTGCAGTGCATGTCGGCATCACCTCGCTAACAGGGACCGGGGAGCCAGAGAGATTGGGCGAGGGTTGCATCCCCAAACATGTGGTTGAAGTTAGGTGATCGAAAAGCGAGCGCGCCGAACTAACTCGCTTGAATCCGGAATGAGACCACGCATTTGGGCCAATGGAATCCAGAACTCGACTTTAGCCCGGCTCGGTTCCGGACTGGTGCGAACTCTGTCTTCGCTATAATCGACTTCTCCTCCTCGCTTGCACTATCCTCGCCCGACCTCTTCCAGTCTGGACCACACCTGATTAATTTCTCCGCTCTGGTGTCATTTGCTAGAGTTGATTATGACTGGAAGAAACGGTTCTGGGCATGCATGCGCATGTCAGGTACGAGTCGATTGTTACATAGGTCCCAGGCTTGTTGAGCCTCAGAGAGAGCGTCGCATTGGCCAATGCGGAGACGATATCCGGCCTCTCAGAGGCTGGTGGTCTTATCACATTCAAGGGTTGCCTAACTCACTCTCCACAACAAACAGGTTTAAACCAATGCTCACTGGTTGTGCTCAAGTATCTCTGGAACCGAAATTACTCGACATCCACCCGATATACCCTGCATATCTGGCGTTGTATTTCGCTTCCAAATGCCAGCACATGGTGGCTTCAGGTTGAAGAAACATGATGGTTTTACTAATGGCCATCTTAACGATAGCCATCTGATTCAATACTCTGAGATATCCAGACCAGTTCTCTCCATTTGATATCCATTCGAGCTCCAAAAACACCCTCTTCTCCGTCATCTGCTCGCCGCTATGGATATCAAGAGGGTACCAGTAGCGGCTGTGGCAACAACTTAAAAACGGGGATATGAAACTATTCTCATTTCTGCAATAGCATTAGCCTACGGGACCAGGGCCCCTCGCGCTCCCCTGGAAAATTGTCCGTCGACGGAGTCTGATAGCCCTTGTTTAGTATGGGTCTCTCTGGCTTGAGCCTCATAATCTGTTGGTCTTGCTGTCCCTCCTTAAATCTTTTTTATAGAGTGATATCTCCATTTCCTCTCCTTGTCCATCTGCATTGCAGCAGCCATACACTGCAAACCTCTGGTTTGCGTCCTTTCCTTGAGTGCACTACCAGCCTCACGTCCTGTTGGGCCGGCTTGCTTACCCTCGTTTGCCTGGAGATTACTTTGGCCCATCTACCATCCTTTTAATCATGGGGCCAACTAATATTCTTGCAGCGTTTATCGCTGTGTCCTCTCTTTTTATCCAGTCACTCGCTCTCAATCCCTACGCCAAAAGTAATTTGGCAGTCTACTGGGTATGAGCCAATTACTTTAGCGCCCTTGGTTGTCTTGATGCTCACCTTTCTGGTTGATTAGGGGCAAGGAGCTGGGCAGAACCGGCTCAGCTACTTCTGCGAAAAGACCAGCTTTGATATCATTGTTGTGGGTTTCATCAATGTGTTCCCCGACCAAGGCCCCGCCGGATGGCCGGGCAGCAATTTTGGAAACCAATGCGCCGATTCGTATTACTATACAAAAAATGGGACGAAGACCAAGCTTTTGGATGGCTGTTATCAGATTAAGGAAGATCTTCCCAAGTGCAAGGCGCTGGGGAAGACGATCCTGCTCTCCCTAGGCGGAGGAGCCGTGCACGATTTCTACGAGGTCAAGAGCGAAGAGTCCGCTCTTAATTTTGCGGATTTCCTTTGGGGCGCATTCGGCCCACTGACACCAGACTGGACTGGACCTCGTCCATTCGGAGAGGCCTCAGTCGATGGATTTGACTTCGATATCGAAAAGGGTAGTAACTTTGGTATGTATCCCGTTCTCCCTTCCAGGTGATTCGAGTCCCTGACTGACGAAAGTAGGCTATTCAATTATGGTCCGACGTTTGCGAGAACTTTTCCTCCAGGACCCGCTCAACAGATACTATATCTCTGCAGCCCCCCAGTGCATAATGCCAGATAAGTATCTCTCACATGCGATATCTAATTCGGCGTTCGACTTCATCTTCATCCAGTTCTACAACAATCCTTCGTGCTCTGCCAAACGGTGGGTGACTAACCCCAAGTCCGTGACGTACACCGTGGACGATTGGGTCAAATACATCCGCAAAAGCGGAAACCCATTAGCGAAACTTTTCATTGGCCTTCCCGCATCTAAGTCTGCTGCTGCGAAAGAAGACTATCTTACTCCTGGTGAAGCCACCAAAATCGTCAGCACGTACATGGCGAAATATCCAAGTACTTTTGGTGGTATGATGGTGTGGGAAGCAACTGCATCGGAGAACAATAAGCTTGGCGGACTTCCATACGCCGATATAATGAAGGAAGTGCTGTTGCGATGCGATCCGGATCCCCCTACCAGTACTGTTACAAGTACCACATCTGCCTCGACTTCAACCCAGACTTCATCTCAAAGCACTACTATGGAAACCAAGACTTTGTCGGCTTCTACGACCCCGAGCAGTCCGAGTACTGTGTCGCCAAGTTCAACAATGCAGACAACCTCTACTGGTTCAACTTCCATTGAGACTGTCACAACGAGAAGTCAAGAGCCACCATCAACAACAATCTCCACAAGGTCAGCTTCCACTGAGCCTGTAACAACGAGAAGTCAAGAGCCACCATCAACCACAATCTCCACAAGGTCAGCTTCCACTGAGACTGTGACGACAAGAAGTCAAGAGCCACCATCAACCACAATCTCCACATGGTCGGCCTCCACTGAAACTAGTACAAGCAGCCAGGATTCACCATCCACGACAATTTCGACGAAGTCTGCGCCCACTGGCACTGTCACAACTAGGAGTCAGGATTTACCCTCAACGACCATCTCTACGAGATCTCCTGAGACTGAAACTGAGACTGCAACAACAAAAAGTCAGGGTTCACCGTCAATTACTCTCTCTACAAGGTCTTCCTCCGCTGAGACTGTATCAACAAGAAGTCAGCATTCATCGTCTACAACAATTTCAACGAAGTCTGCACCAACTGAGACTGGTACGACAAGTGAACATTCAACATCAATGCCTGTCTCTACGAGATCGGCTTCCACCGAGACTGTAATAACGAGAAGTCAGAATTCAGATTCTCAATCAATGACAGTCTCTACAAGATCGCCTTCCACCGAAAGTATCACAACAAGAAGTCAAGGTTCGCCATCAGAGACATTTTCAACCAAGTCTGTTCCAGTAGATACCATCTCAACTGAATTGCCTTCTCAAACGCCAACAACGATTATAACGGGAACACCTTCTGATCCTGTATCAGCCCCGACCACCACGGTTCCTCCCAATCCTACCCTGACGCTCGCCCCATCTTCCTCCACAACAGAAGACCGCACCACAATCACTACTATAATCACCACATCCTACGTCACTGTCTGTCCCACTGGCTTTACCACGGTCACAATAACATACACCACCACCTACTGCCCGGAGACCGCTTCGCTCACGCCAACTCAGCCCCCTATTCCGGGAGCTCCAGCCCCTCCACCAGATGGCTGGACAACAATTGTCACCGTGTGCCCCCAGTGCGCCCCAACGCCAACTACCGTCACACTCACGGTCCCCACAAGATCTGCCTTCCTTCCCGCACGCACGGAGACTCGCCCTGTTGTCACTGTGGTCCCAGTGCCGGAGAATCCAATTAAGAACGTGAAGCCTAGTGAGTCCGGAGATTTTGTGACTGTTACTACAGCGGCGCCGGCAACGGTTACAAAGACGTTGGAATACAACAACCCGGTGGATTCCGATGTGAATGTCCAACCCACGGGTGGTAGTTCCCCCGTCGAGTTTGAAGGCAGTGCGATGACTGTAAGAAGTATGGATGTGGTCGCGAAAGCCCTGATTACCGCTGGAGCGGCTGTGTTGGGATTGTTCTTGGGGTTATAATCTGTTAATTTGCTGAGGCGATATATACACATTTTCTTCGGAGGGGTGTGTACATAATGTCACGGGTGCTGTACTTGTACATACTTGACACTTACCTACATATACAGTACATATATACTTCATATCCCTCGAGATAATCTTACTGGTTTATTGTCTCTAACTTTGATGGATCATTTTGTTCTATAACGATAGCTGTACGTGGGATGCACCGATTCCTGAGAATATCAGGTCCTACCAACGCGTACTAATTGATTTCTTCAACGGCCAACCCTGAGAACCCGATATCACCGTACTACGTCCCTCGCGTCTCAGTTACAAGGGTCACTCGTAGAATTACCGTTTTGCCCTATACAAAGAAAGGAAAACCAAAAAGAAAAAGAAAAGAAAACCAAAGAAAAAGGACACCAGCCGCAAAGAAAATATGACAACTGAAAACGAGTGGCATTGACTGGGTTATACATGGCAACTCCTTGGAGAAATTCGACAACTCGCAATCCACCTGGTATATTTATAAACATTTGTATAATTGTATCCATATATTATATCCAATCATATAATAAAAAAGAGCCAATAAGTAAGTGTGGCAGCACGGTCTATATCATTCGAGCCAAAATAATTTCAATAATAACAGGTAGTAGAATCAAAGGTGGCCCAGCCAAAGAGAATTTGCGACGACCAAGGCTATGGGGCGAACGGTGCTGTCCCTTGTCGCTGAGGTCTATTGGATAGCTGATTTATCGAGCTCAGTATCATCAACGACTTCTGCAACTAGGCCAATAGAATAATAGAGGCCCCGGTTAGTGGGCGGCCTTTAGAGCGGGAAAGTGGAATGTCAAGGGATCCCCCGAGGCGGTCTGGCCGGTAGCTGTGGCGCTGGGTACGATGGCGGCAGTTCCCATAGGAATGATTCCTGTAGCAATGGCGCCTGTTTGTTGTGGACCAAGGGCGCCTGTTGGAAAAACGGGCTGGTCTGGAGATAGCTCGACCAGCGGTGGTGGTGGTGCTTCTTGCTGACCTGGGTTACCGATTTGACCCGTTCCAGGGAGTCCAGATAAGGTTATGATGGAGGTAATAGCATCACCCAGAGGTCGAGCCGCGGTCGCAACGGCGAAGCCAGCCGCAACGAAGACAGAGATTCTCATTTTGGGGATTATAAAGAGAGTATGTTGAGAGTGGTAAGAAAGGTAGAAGGACTGGAGGGCAGAACCTTCGTGTGGTATTCTCGCAATAACCTGATGAAGAAGAGTCGTTCAGAGGTGGGTTGTCCCTAAAAGAAAGGTACTTGGCCTGGAGGAGGGTCCTCCCCAGGATTTACCATGATATATAAAGTTGACCTTTAGTGTATGGTTGAGAGGTTTTCTTTGGCTCTAAAGAAGTGTCGCGTAAGCCCAAATATTGAGCCCTGGATAGGATCTGGCGATCATTACGAAGTAGTGGGCCAATGATTGCACAACGGTCCCTGAATCTAAGAAAATGTCAGGACGCCCTTTTCATAGACCGGCCAGGAAGGTCGTCGGGACCAAACAGTAAGTGGATTGGTGAATATTCTTTCCACGTACATGACGTGTATGCTTTTGTCTCTCCCCCAATAGGTGAGACGACCCATCGGCTGACGAGGTCAGAGATGCAGCACTGCCAGACCGGCATGGCCTGGGATGAAACGAGGAATGTTCAACTGCAACAAGAGCTAACTTTGAGTAGGCTCCACCCCGGACACCAGCTGACGACACTTCTGTATATCCTTAGGCTGGCACACCCGGTTGAACATTTGGATTCGAAATTTTGAAATTTGGAGGTAGAATACCAAGCCGATGCTGCTTCCAATGGATGGGAAAGACGGGACAGTGATGTGACAGGATCAACATCGCCCCTGAAGCACTCAGTTGGACCGCACAGGAGCTGGATGGACAGACATATGCATGTAGGTACTTCCATCCATCCTGGAGCATCCGGCGCCGCGAGGAGGTTGGAAGAAGGTTGCTGCTGGGCTATTCCTTTTGGCGAGTTTTGCGGCCCACACCAGAAAACCGCTCGCAGCCGCCCTGCCCACCGCATGTTCGCGATGGTGAGACGAGGCGGGTAGGTTTCGAAACAGCAAGCCCATCAGTTCGCAGACTGGTTGTCCAATAATAAGGCCTGCCTGCTCCAGTTCTCCTCATGCGCCCAGAACGAATATCGACATGTCAAATCATGTGTGGTCTCTTAAACCGTGAATGCAAGTGGTCGTCATCGGGCCCGTTGAACTTCAATCCATCGAGCTCCATGGCCTTCTCTATTGGATCAGTTCTCAACATTGGCGTTTTTGCCGCCACTGCTCGCCGACACGAATATGGGAGAGCGGGCGAGATACCTACGGGAAGGATCTGGCTGCTCAGCCGTTTACGAGTCGCATCAACAATGCCACAGGAAAACCATATGCGCATAAATGCCAGCACGTCCCATGGGAAGAGCTTTGCATCGTTCCATTGTCGTGGCGGTGCGGATGCAAAGGCCTCTAGCTCTTTCATTCGGGGATTAGTTAGTTAACAACCTTATCAACCGGGGAACAGCTGATCTGCGCCTGAGTTTAACAAAACCGGAGCTCGAGCGCCAGTTAGTACCCACTTGAAACCGTTGAAAGTCGCGACAGATGCCAAACGAGGAAAATTCTCCACATTTGACGGAGTACATACGCGGCTTGATCGCTACTTGGACGCGTTCCTAGGCTATTCGCAGAAAAGTATTGAAGTATGCTGGTGTTGGTCGCTGACTGCCCAGGTCCGGGAAGACAGCCTTAACGAAGAACACTTTTATCCACATGAAGGACGAGCTCATCCCTATCGGCTAGTTACCGATCTGCGCTTGTCAAGTGGTGAATGCACCCGCTCAATAAATCCTCGGGACCTATGGAAGGTTCTGCGATTTCCTCTAGTCCAGCCCATTGGAAAGGATGCTCTTCATCCTCAGACTGCGCGGAAAGGCCTCAGGGTGCGCTGCTAAAGCTAGAAGCAAAAGACAAGGATATGGCACATCAAGGTTTGCATGAATTATCATTCGTCTATAATTAATTAGCCCAAACAGCGTCAGTCCCAATGCCTTCTCAGAATAGGCTTGGCTTGATCCCACGGGCCTGCAACAACATTCTTATACTTCTGCAACCGAATCAACCACCAGCTACACCCTCCCATGGCTAACGCAGTGGATGGGGCACCAATCAATATTCCCAATATCATTCCTTTGTAGCCTCCCTTCAGGGTGACTCCCACTGCTGCTCCAGCTGCGATAACGAGAGATACGGTAAGTAGGACATGGCCGCGCCAGGAAATTGCGCGAAGGTGGCGTCGGAACACGGGAAATAGCCCGAAGACCTCAATGGAGAACAGCGTTAGGCTGAACACGTGCGTGGTCGATTTGAGTCTGGAGGCGAGGACTGTGGAGGCCATTAACGCCGCATTCGTGGATAGGGACGCGGGGAACTTAGCAGCCACAGCCCCTGCGCCAGTGTTGTTGCTAAGATTTTGGTTTTCTTTTGTCCCGCTCCCATAGTCGAAGAAGAAAACGTTGATTATCATGAGCCAGCAGGACATGGCCCAGATAGAGTCGCTCGTTGTAGATTTCGTGAGGGATTTGAGGATGGGAGAAAGGCCTTGGAGCGCACAAAAGATGAGGAGCGCAGATTTTGCTGTTATCAAACGTTGAGTAGCGCGAGAGGGAAGATAGGGTACATGAAAAGAGTTTATGGCTATTCCTCCAGGAGATTTGGGGATAATGTTGGAAGGACTAGGGTAGCAGCTAGGACTGTTCGACATGAGAGGCGGGGGGGAAACCGAAGATCGTGTTGAGTGTAGAGAAGTCGCAGATGTATCGTCAGAATATGAGCTGGTCATAGTACTCTGTCGGCTTGGTGGGCTTCCTATACTGGATAAATCTAGAGATAGCCCAAGCCCATTGTCCGTAGACTTTCTTTTTCGGTCGTCTCCTGCGGAACCGGACAAAGAGCCGGAGCTTGAGCCGTCGTCTGCTGGATCGCCGACCGTACCATGCTGACATTGCGCGGATTCCATCTGAACCTTTCCCTCCCAGTAATCCCAAAGACACCAGCAGAATATCGTACATAGGGTCGCCCAGCTGACCACCGACACTGGACTAACACGCTCTTGAAAAATGGCAGAAAAGCAGCAAACAAATATTATAACAGAGCAAACATGTTGCACAATAACGGTAAAATCGGCCACTAGTGGCCAGAAATCGTAGGGTCGTAATCTGGGATTTCGTTGCAAATGGTCGAGGAACGTCTCCGTGTCTGTGTAATTATCTGGGTCTAAATGTTGTATAGCCAGTTAGAGATAGGAAATAGCACGCAGATCAAGTTCTAGAAGCATATCCTGTGCCATGGGCCGGATTTGGGGTTCTGAATAAAAATCAACATGAGACTTACAGGACTGCTTCACCCATAACAACTTCTTCCACTGCCGCTTTCTCCTCCGACTGCGCCCGCGGTCTCGCCGCGCCTCCCCCGTAGCTTTTGGTTTCGTGCCGGGTACAGCTGGCGGCGGTCTCAACGCAGCTACCGCCGCAGGTGTTGCAACAACCCGGTTAAGCAGGTCAGGGTTGCTTGCCGCATGGTTGTTCGGGAGGTTAAGCGGCCGCAATCGCGGGGGCGAGTGAGCAAAGTAAGCATCTTCCGGTGCGAGTCGGCTCGGATCCGGCGGAGGGCGTAAAGGGGGGCGAGGCTTTAATCCTGCTCGATTCGGATGGGTCTCAACGGGTACGGGGGGAGGAACTGGCGCCGCGGGAGTGCCCAAGGATTGAGGGCGGGAGGTGGTGTTTGGTGGAGGAGGGGAACTAGCCATCGGAGGCTAGAAATCTGCAACTACCTGGGCATTTTCAAGGGATTCGTAAAATATTGGGAGCGAGTAGGACTCTATGAAGGCGCTGAACGGAGACTTGTCCTCTTTCTTCTTTTTTTTTTTGTTGCCAGACACGAAATAACGGGAAGCTTTCAAGATGACCTCAGGAGGCCGTCAGGGCAAGGATCACGTGAATGCGGAAATACTTGTATCACGTGAGAAACCTCAGTCGGGCGCCAACCGCCTTCACCACCCAGCAAATAGGGATTTACAGTTGAAGAGGACCAGCGATGCCGACAATGGCCTAGCCGGAGGCATGAGGTTATTCCAGGGGAATAGTTCTTGAAAGGTGGCTTCACATGAACCTTCGTTGTCGACATTTACATCTCCTCGAGGAACAGGGTCGTTAAAACAAGACTGCGCGCTCGATGGTTGCTACTTTATGCTGGGATCACCCATTTATACGACCTATATTTCTGCGATTTCAAAGAGAGTATATCATTGTTAAACGTTCTACGGAGTAGCTAACCAATAAACACTCAAATCTGCCACTGGCGCTACCCGTGACCCAGGATAATTGTGCTTCAGCATTAAGAACCAAGCGAAAAACTATGAGCAGGAATCTGCTTTGAAAGCCGAGTGCAGGGCTATGGAGTGTGGAGTGCTTCCTGATATTTAGGACGAGGTGAATGTACCGCCAAGTGATTCCCATCCAGTTATCGATGGGCCCCATCTTCCATCGAACCACTTGTGGAACATGGCGTTATTTGTTCCTAGACCAAATATATCGAGTCGTCCCCGGCCCCAAGAGACAGCTGCTGGTGCGCTGTTGAAGACGCCACCGAGAGCCTCCCAATCATTCCATCTCGAGCCATCCCACCATTTGTGATACATTTGGTTGTCGGTCCCAATTCCGAAAATATCAAGCCGGTTGGCTGCCCACGAGACAACTGCTGGAGGGCTAGTCAAAACGCCACCGAGGTTTTCCCACCCAGTCGTCGACGGACCCCATCGAGATCCATCCCACCATTTGTGATACAAGGCATTGTCCGTACCGACTCCGAAAATATCGAGTCGATTGGCACTCCAGGCCACGGCGACCGGCTGGCTGTTGAAGACTCCACCGAGATTTTCCCAACCAGTCTGCGATGGCCCCCAGCGAGAGCCATCCCACCATTTGTGGTACATCCGGTTATCGGTACCTAAGCCGAAGATATCAATTCGATTTGGGCCCCAGGAGACCGCGCTTGGAGGGCTGCTGAACACGCCTCCAAGATTCTCCCAATCCGTCTGTGATGGTCCCCATCGAGCGCCGTTCCACCATTTGTGGTACATTTGGTTGTTTGTTCCAAGCCCGAAGATATCGAGTCGATTTTCGGCCCATGAGACAGCTGATGGGCGGGAACTGAAAACGCCTCCCAAGTTTTCGTACCCGGTAGTGGAAGGACCCCAAGCAGATCCGTCCCAATACTTATGGTACATTTGGTTATTGGTGCCTAGGCCAAAAATGTCGATTCTGTCGTCTCCCCAGGAGACTGCGGTTGGCTGGCTGCTGAAGGTACCTCCAAGGTACTCCCAGTCGTTCTGGGAAGGACCCCATTGTCTTTGATACCATTTGTGGTATAGGGCATTGTTGGTCCCCAGGCCAAACACGTCAAGTCGACCGGATGACCAAGATATTGCTGTAGCAGCGATACTGTGCAGAAGCTCGAGAGCCTGCGGTGTTGTTGCGGCAACGCGCATGATTGAACGTTTAAACTTTTCTTCTTAACTCTAATGCACAAGCTCCAGTTAGATATCCTGAGCTGGTGGCACTATAAAAACTTGTTTGAATCCTTACCTTGTGGAAATCGAAGAAAAAAAGACCATGATCTCTGAAATCCTGTGTGGGAGATGACGGCCCTTTAATACTTTTTCCACCGGCCTAGAACGAGGAGCGGTCGTGTCTGCAGTTCGTTCTGCGTAAAGCCATCATCGATACCTCTTTGTGGGAAATCGACTCGTTCGGCCATCTTCTTAGCTTAAACCTGGCCGGATGTAACACCAATACGAAGTCATGAGCGCAATTGGCAAGCCCAGAGCTCGACTCTTAAGATGAATCAAGAACTGTGCCGGCATTGAGCAGTGATCAGATTGTTTCGGCCAGTCCATTCCCGGGGGCACCGTGGCAGGCATGATTGAGGCACTTTACTGCATATGCGGAGGCACACAAAAGTTTCACGGGCCACCCCCCCAAACGAAAGACTCGTCTATACCTACTTTTTGCAACCAAGCTAGTGGATACCAAGGAAGTTCCCTGATCTCCCTTGCAGAATGCTTATATTGGCCCGCACAGGGATTTCAATGCTTTATCACCTATCCGTCAACCAAAGCATGGACAACCCTTCATTTTAGCACCACTCTATTAGGACTACAGCCTGCAATTTTGTTACGGTAAGGCGCTTTTGGTAAACGTTTAAACTCCCATGTGTCCAGCCTCCTCTAGAAATCATACAGAATACATAATCCGTGCATCCCACTGCGCGTCAGATTCCCTCATACATCCCGGAAAGCCGCAGTGCCCATGGCCAAAATATCTGGGCAGGCGATACTTGAATGGCTCGATGGGTCTAGCCTTGGTCTGGTGAATGATATTGGCTCTGGGCGATATGTTGTACTTGCTCTGGGCCAAGGATCTGGATACCGGGAACCCTAACCGTTAACTAACTTTGCTTTCTGCTTTCCTTTTCAAGCTATTGAGTACCATGGTACTTTTCCCATGCCTATTCCTTGGCATGCACAGGCATTCGAGAGCCTCGGGCTTGGTGAGTCTCTTCAGGGAACCATTATGGTCGCCATAAACATCACAGCTTGAGTTACATACTGGCAATTACATCCACGAAGGTCCCGATATATCCCATGCCAACACGATATTGCACGACGACCTCAAATGCTCGAGTCACATTCCGTCTTCGCTTGTGTGCCATGAATTCTAATAAGCGAGGTGGAGCGGCGATGCCCCGAATGGAGTCATGATCCCGGCGGACCTATGCATAGTCGCTTTCATAACGACCCTACAGGGACACTCAATCGATTACAAGGAAATCTGTCACGACACCTCATGGTAAATCGCAGCCTGCAGATATGCACTGACAGGAAATGAAAGCCCTTGGATGCGCGGGTAGGACTGGTCAAGCCAGTAATATACAACCAAGTCACATCGTATGCGCCTGGATTTCCTGGAAACCTTTCTTTGATGGAACCCTTAATACCCCTTTAAAAGCGACGGGCCAAGGAAAATACGGCGGACGAGCTCGGAACTCGAACGCATAGCATGTTCACAACGTGACAGCCTCTGTCATTTCTACCATTCCACCCGATCTATCATCCTTGTTTCCAGCATCTGCATGGACTACTCTAAAAGCGCGACAGGTGAGCATCGACAGGGTTCCTAGAGGAAATATTCTACGGCCAAAACATGGTATCCGTGTCATCCCAACTGGTAATTGGATACCCATAGGGCCACTTGATGCAATAGGCCCCAGGAAGGCCAGATAAGCGAGATTTGGCAGCCTGGTTCAAAGTATCAGACGACAAAAATTCCCCGGGGCCTTTAAAGATACAACCTCCGGAGGTCAAAGAGGGTACGGGTTGCAATCGTTCTTGGAATCACACGGGACGCCCCAGAAGCTGACATTGCTGCATATTTTGAAGCCAACAATGCAACCCGGTCCACATGGGGTGGATAGGCGGTTAGCTGACCGACATTTGTCTATTTTACCAGGTTCAATTTCTCTAATGAGATAGTGGAAACATATCGAGTGACAGTAAACTGCAAGTTTACCGTCTAGGGATGTGTGGAATGATGTTTCGATTCGCTTTGATGTCTCACATTTGCATAGGCACCTCAATTCGATGTGAGTCGGCTCCGTATCGGTAGCCACTTTTGTAGCCACTTCCCCATTCTGGGGTTTCGTGCCTGTAAAGTCTGTTGAATGTCTTGTTGGGAATCCACTTATCCTATACTAGGGCAGTCTGATGAGAATCTGTGCAATGTTAGCAACTGACCTGGACCATGTTTGCAAGATCTTTCCAAAGTTTTGGATACCCCATATTCCCGAAAACAAGGATATGGTTACCCTGCAATGGATAATTCAGGCGAATTTAGCAGTTCAGCTGCGCCTTTCTCTCATTTTCTGCCATCCAAGTTCACTGTCTCTCTCCTAATCCTTACTTCTTTTTGGATTTACCGGAGATGTATATCATTCTGCAGTTAAAACCGTGAACTTCATTCCTAATCAGATGTTCTGCAATAGGATTCGACCCAAGAGCAGCTTCACCGCTAATCCTCTGGAACTTCCAGTCCCGTAGGAACCTGGTGGGAGCCTATTTGCTCGAATTGTCGCTGAAAGGCTTGGCTAGGTGTCGTCGAGCATCCTGAGACAAGGGAAGCCTGCTCAAGAGTAAGGTAGGATGAAGAATAAAAAAAACCAGCGAGAAGGTTTTAAACACGGGTTTGGATGAATGCCACATTGTGACATTTCTCCGCCTGGATTTCAAATTGCAAACCCTACAAGCGGGTATGAATGACATGTGACTTGAATGGGGTCCCGACATTTACTGGCAGCTAATGACGGCTGGAATCTGGATCATGGTCCCGAAAGTATCACAATCGCGATAAGATCTAAAAATACTCGATCCCTTCTTGAATTTGGAAAGTGAATCATAGTACGGAGTACGGGAGTATGATGTATGTTAAAGTAGCCAAGAGTCATGATACGGAAAGTCATGACACGAAGATTAGTTAGTTGCCCCTGACCCAAGCAACATTTACTCGACACCGGGGAATCCCAACAAGAATCAATGTTCAGCAGATGGATGAAGAAACATGTCAACATTCAGCCACTGGTTTGGCACCTCTAGCATGCAACCTATTTAAGTAGAAAAAAAAAAAATTGACACATGAAAATAATAAAGCAAAGATCTAGGGGAATCTTTTGGAAATCCAACAATCCAGTATATCGTTTCACACGCATGCATGCCAAATAAAAAGGCACAAAGACGGCGCCAAAAAAAGGTTAGCTGAATGAAGGGGAAGGGCTTGAGATCCAATTAATTACGTGGGTGGCAGCTCTGTCCCGTTCTTTGTGGCACTTCGCAATTCCTCCCGATAGGCGGCGAATCGGGTGGCCGCCGTGTTTTCAATACTCCGACGGCGACCCCAATCTTGGGGTTGCCGCTTCAAGAATGCTCCAACAGCACCAAGATAGCCTTCGTGGCGAAGGAAATAAGCTTGTTTTTCTCCCTTGGACCAGAATCGGATAGCATATGATAGGGTGTTCATGGTCTGGCGGTGACCCCGTATGAAGGAGCCACCAAAGTAGATGTGTTTGATCTGATGTTTTTCTGATTGTAAGTAGGCAATTTGGCCAATGTTATTACTAGAGACTGTCAGCTTTCAAAGGCTAGACTATGAAAAGGTAGTGTGCTGGAGTTACGGGGACGTACCTGATAGCAAAAAGCAAACTTCGGCTAATATCCTCACGGCGGAATTGCGAGACATCCCGTTCGGACTCCGAATCACTTTCGCAAAGGCATTCGCTACCCTGGGCACTGCGTTCTGCAAGGCGCTGCATCTTAAAAACCTTGCCAAAGGTGCTGGCGATGGTTGACGACTTGAGCCCAATCTTTGTATAGTCGGTCCCGTAGATGTCGCCAACCAGCATGTCGACTCCGCTATTATCTCCCAGTTCCGCCATTGCTAACATTTCGTCGAATGTTCGGGCACCAGTCAGTAGGGACATCAGCCCCCAGAAAGTGCCCCCACCGAGCGATGTGCCCCCGACACGTTCAAACCTTCTGGGAGCGGAGACTTTGACCATCGATACTCCGGATCCAATATTCACCAAGAGGTAAGGATAGACGTCCGGTCGTGCCTCAGCGAACTCCATGGGTGATGTCTCGCTGTAGGTGAAGACCTCGTTCGGAATTTCTGTGATAAAAAAATCCAGCCCTATACAAGACCTATGAGTTTCAAGCGATTCATCAACTCATCAGACGGATACTGTACCAATTATTAAACACTCCATCTCATCTTCTCTGATAATGTCCACTCCCAGTTCCTCCTTTAGCCGATCGTAGTATTTGTACGCACCTCCTCCGGTGGCCATGATGCAGAGGGGACCTGGAGCCGAGCCATTGAGCTTCCTGTGGTTCTCTTTTAATTGTTTTAAGAAATCGATACACAGGTCGATGCGCTCGGTCTCGAAGTTCAGGAAGTTCAGCCTGCCGCCGTCGGCCGAAGAGCCAAGCTCCGGGGAGAAGTAGACGAGTTTCGCTAGCGACCCTCCGATCTAGGGTGGCGAAGAGGTAAGCTATTTTTAACCAACACGCGGTCACGGGTAAAAGCTGCATGGAGCCGCAGCTCTGGAAGGGGTTCAGAGAGCAGAGTGGGACAAGAGGAAAGGGGGCTTACATCGACAGCAACGTGACTGACGACATCGGTGTGATGGGGTAGCCGGATATCCTTGTGCTCGTAGTGAATTCCGTCCCGGCAGTCGAAAACAACACGGCTCTGCTCCGTTGGCTGTTCGTCGACGATGAAGGCGCCCTTCACGTTAATCTTCACGGATCCCGGATGCGAGATGGCCTCTTCGAGTCGCTGGACAGCAGCATGATCCTCCTGGAACGGCCGGTGGGGCTTTGTTCGGGAGGTATCCAGGTCCGCTGCTGATCTCTGCGACGACGACATGACTGATGCTTCATTTGCACTGGGGGAAGGGGACAGCTGCTGTGAGCGGGCTATTTGAAGGGTCGTTTTGCTTTAGGGGCGTTGCGCGCTTTTTTGTTTTTTGGTTGAGCTGAATTGCGATGGGGGTTTCGCCGTGCCCACGCTTACGGCGTATATCTCCTTCTGGCCGGGCAGGGAGCTAAACCGCTGGATGATGCGCGACTTGACCGAGGAAATGCACGGCGGCGGATGGCGGACGGCGGACTTCTGGCCGAGGGATCCATGGTTTCGCCCCCCAGTCTCGTCTCGCGCCGGCAAATGGCAGCCAGGAGTCATCTCGCCAGGCACAGCATAGCCATCGCATCGCTGCACTGCCGGGTCTTTTCGCACACCGATCGATCTTGGGGTTTATCTCACCCTCGTTTCTTGTTGGACGGGCTCTTGTCGCGTGCTCCGCTTCCCGTTCCGCACGCCGTCGCCATAGATCAACCATCCACTCCCGGGAAGATGCCGCACCAAAGCCTATCCCCTTGAGGGATAGCTACACTACGGATCTCATTGCTGTTGAGATATATCATATGATAGAGTGTTTTCTCATCCTCGCCGTCTGACCAGCCAGTGGTATTTCTACCGACTCTACGGAGTACGGAGTGCCCCATCGCAATGGGGAGAGCGGTTGACTGCACAGAGAATGCCTCATGCTTCGTCGACACCTTCAATCGGCCATATCGTGACCTGATATGAAGCCTTCTTTCTGCCTGCATGCGAGCTTGGTCGAGATTTCTTTCCCAGAGACACACCAGTGGGTTCTCTCCGTTGCGGCTGCCCTCCTACGAAGGGCGGCATGCAGCGGCCCTGCCTTGAAATCTTCACATCAACGTCAGCCCGGCGCCATCAGTCGGTGGCCACTGTGTGTCTTCTTCTTCTTCCTTTTCTTCTTGTTTCCGATGGACGCCGTATCTGTGCTAGTTGGAATATCTTCTGATATTATTCACCCGTACACGTTCCTCATCCATGCCTGTGGCACTGATAGATCGATGGACATTTTCCTCCAAGTCAACTTGTACTTTTACTTACATTTTTGATATAACTGCGATTGGGCGGTCCGTCTTCTGATTCCGTGTGTTACTGAGGCTCTTCGGACCGTGCACATTGCCTGACGGGTCGCAATGAGCCTGACCCTGCTTTTCCTTTTAGCCTGTGAAGTCAACGCGAATATAGTCTTCAGCCATGCTGGATTGTCATGCGACCCCACGCTTGCAACTGCTACAAGATGTATGCGCGGCCAGATCTGTTCCCCATACGGCACGTGAGTCTGCCATTTCATGCCTAACAACTACGTTTTTTGACGCCCAAGGATATATAGCTGTGAACCCAGCAGGGCAGCCCATGGTGCCAAAAGGCGCCCAGTGTCGGTAAAACTCGATACTGTTTCTCTCCCCGAGTGCCTAGTGCCATATTCAAAACGCAAAATATCTCCAAGGCAGCTTCTCATTGATTATATTCCTGGAAGAGTCCGGACTGGTTCGGACCGAAAATATGGAAATAGGTTCGAAATAAGTCGATCCTACTGGTAAGTCATGCTTTTGCCAGTTTCTTGCTACTTCCCCAAACTATGGGGTACGGACTCCCACAGGAGGATCAGCGCGCCTAACCGTTACTTCGAAGTGTTCCTTAGACTGGAAGCGTTTACGTGATAAGGAAAAGGCTACTGATAATGTTTCCTGGTTTCAGGGAGAAAATACAACAGGGTCTCGCTTCGCCCCATGAGATATGTATGGAGCTAATCAACTCTACGGACCCCATATTCGAAGATATGTCCCAAAGTAATGAGCAGCCTGTGGACGAGCCATTGCTGCGTCCCGCTCCTCCGAACACTCCGGCAGGTGACAGTGATGGTAGTACTCTGGTGACCAATAATGGTCATTGCGGATCTGCGCATAAAAATACGGTCTGTGGGGATTGGCCAAAGGGCAGCTGCTGCTCCCCATTTGGCGTGAGTTGACACCCTGTTATACTCCAGTTATGAGCTAATCTTATCTTAGATATGTGGAAATACAACTTCACACTGCGGCTACGGTTGTCAATCAGGTGCGTGTCTTAGTGAAGACGCCCTCAAACCTCCTGCTCCTATACGCTTTCGACCTAGCCGCCTACCCGGGCAATTTCACGTCATAGGTCGATCTGGTGTACCTCCAATGATTGCCGTTCTTCTACAAAATGGACGAGTTGCCTTTGCCGATAAAGTTGAAAACTATACCGAAGTGGTATTAGAGAACGGGAGATACGCCTATTCTACGGAGTTTGACCCGATAACGAGTTCGTTGGCTCCTCTAAGTTACAAGGTTTGAGATTCTATACCGAGACTCCAAGTTAAGCCGGCTGACATTCGCTTTCTAGACAAACGTATTCTGCAGTGGTGGAACTTTCCTAGCAGATGGACGGGTGCTATCCGTTGGAGGGAACGGTCCATTGAAATGGATGGATCCGACCGTTGATGACGGCTTCAGAGGGATTCGATACCTAGAACGGCGGTTTGATGACGACAATTTCGATGGAACACCCTGGGAAGAACCTGGGCATCAATTGTCGACAGGTAGATGGTATCCAACCGTACAGACCCTTTCTGATGGCCGGGTGTTCGTGGTCTCCGGTAGTTTAAATGGCGATGATCCAAGTGTCATGCAGAACAACAACCCAACATATGAACTTCTTGACAAAAATGGATTCCCATCTGGGAACAGTGTCGAACTATCCATTCTTGATAAAAATCAACCATACTATATGTATCCGTTTCTCCACCTCTTAAATGATGGCACCGTGTTTATTTTCGTTTCCAGGTCAGCAGAGGTTTTCGACGTGGACGCTGGAGTTACCGTTAAGACTCTTCCAGACCTACCCGGAGATTATCGAACATATCCAAACACGGGAGGAAGCGTACTTTTGCCCCTTCGGAGTGCAAACGGATGGGAGCCGGAAATCATTATTTGTGGTGGCGGCGCTTTCCAAGACATCGACAGTCCTAGCGATCCAACGTGTGGACGTATCCGACCTTTATCAGAAGAGCCTAGATGGGAATTAGAAGCCATGCCAGGCGGAAGAATCATGAGTGAAGGGATTTTATTACCTGATGGGACTGTCATCTGGATCAATGGCTGCAGAAATGGTGCTCAGGGGTATGGCATAGCGGAGAACCCTATCTACAATCCTTGGATTTACCGTCCGCAAGCGCCTCCAAAGAAGCGATGGGCTATCGGAGGGACAAGTGAAGTGCCGCGGATGTATCACTCTGTGGCCCTCCTATTGCTTGATGGGACCGTCCTTGTCGCAGGATCCAATCCCGTCGAGCAACCTCTTCTGGTTACAAACCCCAACGATCCAATGCTTGCCTTTCCCACTGAGTTCCGCGTTGAAATATACACGCCTCATTACTTTATGGACGGAAAAGCTGACCGGAGACCACGCAAAATTGTAATTTCGAGCAGATATCTTGAGCCGGATGGCAATTTTGATATCACTTTCCATAACCGACGGCCAGCGCGAAAGCTGTCAATTGTGCTTTACCACGGGGGATTCGTCACCCATAGTGTTCATATGGGGCATCGAATGCTCTACTTAGATCATCAAGGATGGAAATCCTGGAGGAAGAAGCAAAAGGTATCAGTTAAGATGCCACCAACTTCTAGTGTTGTCCCTCCGGGTCCTTATGTGATTTACATAGTCGTCGATGGCATACCGGGTGAAGGGCAGTTTGTGATGGTGGCATGAATTGAACCACGAGAATTACTCCGATGGGGACTTCAGCCATCAAGCGGAACTGCACTTGACCCAAGATCATGAGGGTGTTTTGAACTACCATACGAAGTAGAATGGGGTCGACAATCAACAAAGCTGTTGTAGGATAAACCCGATTTGGGATAAATTTGTAATTGTTGAATTGGCAAGCCCTTAGGGCGTCTACGAATAACAGCAACCAGTTTGTTCACGTCTTCGAACGATCATCTCTCGTCCGATTTTCGGGTTGTTTGCGAGACCCAACCGCTGCCAAGTCTCGCCAATTTTGTGCCAACCCCTGGGTAGGCCCCGAGCATCCAACCTAAAAATGCGCGATTTCCTCTCGGGGGCTTCTCAGGGAGCTCTGCAGGCGTCGTCAACAGCCAAGTTTATACATATATTCAGATATAATTGCCAGACAAGGTAGCATGAAGATGTCTGGGCACGACTAAACAACAAATCATGTCAACAGTCTGCCTGGGATTTGATCTTCAGGTCCTGGGAGTTATATACCGTTCCTCTCTCCCGGGACATATGACATATGAAAGGCCGTTGCCCAACCTAATGTCTTCAGGTTGAGTGCTGCACCAGGTCTTTCGATGGGATACCGGCAATATATCCGTGCTTTTTATCGCTCCGAATCTCCTCTTCGGTGCTATTGTGCCAGGCCCGTTCGATACCCTTGAGCCTGCTCTCTGTCCTTCATCGGGCTCAGCGTCATACTGCCGGTATAGCTAAATAGAAACCTGAATGTCTTTCACGCTCAGCCGAGTAGCCCAGACTGCTTTGTGTACTAGAGATTTGACAGGTCGTTACCCCACAAGGCTGGTATGCATGCTGGCTATTTCCTCCATTCCATGGAGTGTATGGATGCTGCAGATGGCCGGTTGTTGGCTGCCTTTTTGAGTTGTGGTGAATGGAGCTCTCCCACAGTGTACTACTATCTCGTCGTCCACCTCACGGCGGAATGTATTACCTAAATGGGAATGCCCCGCCCCTCACGCTCCACGAGACTGATATCCTGATATGCTTCTTCCTCTTCTTTGCGTGAATCTCTGGGCTTCTTCGTTATATTATTCCTCTTCTCTCCATCTAGTTCACTCTGTGTTGTTTCTGGGAAGTTTACTGGTATCCTCCTTCATGCCAGTCGGCTGCTGACATTAGGATATTGGAGTGAGCCAACCGAAAGTCACCCAGCAGTCGTGAAAGATATGCACCGTTCATTTCTTGCTTCTCTTTGTTAAAACACCCTCTACTCTGCCTGTTTATATCACATGCTCCTGTTGTGTTCCTGTCGCCCCGGTTTCCCATGAACAACGTGTCTACAGAGAACCCACAACAAGACCCAGACCAATACTAAGGTCAAAACCTGGACGCTGGATCTTGTCCTTCCTCTCTTTTCTTTGTATCTTGAAACACTTTTTTTAGCTTGCAAAAGAGAGGCTTTTGCTGTGATCACTTTGGGTTGGTCTTTGAGCTTCTCGCCATCAGCAGTCCTTAGATAGACACCTCTCACACGGTGTTTGCTATCGTCTCAACATTCACTGCCCATACTTGGTGCTGAGTGAGTTTTGCTGCTGAGCTTCTTCACCAGGAGCTCTTTTTCATTAACTCACTTTTCAACTTTCTAACCCTATCTCTGACTGTTTCACTTTATTTTTCTCTGGCAGGTCCAACACAACACTGCTTCTTGTCTGCGCAGGGGCTTCTCTTGTCTGTATTTTCAAGGTGAGTTTCGTCTCTACTTTTGGAGTGAATCCTGTCTTTGCTTTTCAAGTGAATTTTGTCTCTATTCTTTGAGTCGTGCCTCTACATTTGAAGTGAATGTTGTCAATTCTTCTCAATTGACTTTCGTCGCAGCTTTTGAGTGAATCTTGTCTGTTTCCTTCAAGTGACTTTTCGTCGTAACTTTCACAGTGAATATTGTCAGTTCTTCTCAAGTGATTTTCGTCGCAGCTTTAGAGCGAATCTCGTCCGTTCTTCTCAAGTGAGTTTCGTCTCTATTTAAAGTGAATCTTTCCTCTTCATCTCCTCTCTTCTTAAAAGCATCTACTCTCTCTTTCTTTTTTTCCCCTCCATCTTTTGGTTTTTATAGCCCTCATCCCTTAGACAAACCTTCCAGCTTTTTGAGGTTTTAATATATCCTGCTGCTTAGACTCTCTCTTTCTAACCTCATCGCCTACCTTGACACTACTATTCGACCTTTTGGGCGCTGACTTGAAGTCTTTAGCGAGATGGCAGCTACTGAATCCGGGTCTCCTCGCATGGAGGCCAAGGGAATGGCCGACGCTCCAAAGTTCAACGGAAACATGAATTCCGAGGCGGCCGCTTTGGCTCGCGAAAAGGGCTGGGCCGAACCTCAGCACTATAATTACGCGACTTACAATGCTAGTCCGCTCACTGGCGGTGCGACAAGCGGAGAATATGAGGCACCTACTTGGGCTTCGACTGCCGCCAAGTACGAATGGAAAGACGAATATGGCGATGTGGGCCCGCGAAACGAAGAACTTGAACAGATGCTCTTCCGTGATGAGTATACCAACCGCGCTGGCAACCTTTTCGAGAAGTAAGTCACTTTGAGTCTTTTCAAAGGAAATGCCCTTGGCTCAAACTGAAACCCTTAGTTTGCGTGAGATCAAGGTTACCGCTGAGACTACTCATCAGCCTAACCCTATCAAGAGTGTAGGTTTTCGAAGTGATCGTGTCCATTTTCCTGCATGGCAAAACTGACATAGGCTCAGTTCGACGATGCCGGACTTCACCCAGTCTTGCTTGAAAACGTGAAACTTTGTGGCTATGAGGTCCCTACTCCGGTTCAGGCCTACTCTATTCCAGCTGTCATGAACGGCTATGATTTGATTGCTGTGGCTCAAACCGGTACGGCTGCTATTGATAATTCCTCTCGTTTAAAACGTTTAGCTTGCTCATTATAATCGTTTCTAGGCTCCGGCAAAACTGCAGCTTTTTTGATTCCGGTTCTTTCCAAGCTGATGGGAAAGGCGAAAAAACTTGCTGCCGCACGTCCAGACCTTACCAATGGTTTCAATGAAAGTGTCGACTCCGTTCGTGCAGAACCGCTTGTCCTAATTGTTGCGCCGACACGCGAGTTGGCAACTCAAATTTTCGATGAAGCTCGTCGCCTTTGCTATCGCTCCATGCTTCGTCCCTGCGTCATTTATGGCGGTGCTCCTGCTCGTGAGCAGCGCATCGATTTGCACAAGGGATGTGATATTCTTATTGGAACTCCAGGAAGAATCTTGGATTTTATGGGCAGGAACAGCCTGCTGTCCCTCCATCGCGTCAAGTATACTATCATCGATGAAGCAGACGAAATGTTGCACTCTAACTGGGAGCGTGAATTCACCCAGATCATGTCTGGTGGAGGTAGGTGTCTCAATTTAATCTTTGTGAGAAAAGCCAAAGGAAAATTCTAACACTGATTTTAGATGTCAACGAGGATGCAGACCATTGCTACATGATGTTTTCTGCTACGTTCAACAAAGAATGTCGCCAAGTCGCTCGTCGTTTCCTTTCCATTGATCATGTCCGTATCCGCATTGGTCGTGCTGGGAGTTCTCACCTGAATGTCACCCAGCAAGTATGTTATATATTCCTTTCCAAACCACACTATATGGATCATCTGACACCTGTTGACACCTGTAAGGTCATCTACACCGAAGATGATAAGAAGAAGAAGGCTCTCTACGACTTGATTCTGTCTATCCCGCCGTCTCGTACCTTAGTCTTTGTCAACAACAAGCAGCAGGCAGATTTGCTGGATGATTTTTTATTTAACAATGGTCTTCCAAGTACTTCTATCCACTCTGATCGCACTCAGCGTGAGCGTGAAGACGCTATGTATGCTCCTCTTGACTCTTTTAAAGGCATGATCGTTCTGACGAGAAAATGACAGCCGTGCATTCCGAACTGGTGTTTGCCCCATCATGGTTGCTACCGGCATTTCTGCTCGTGGCCTGGATATCCGTCATGTTATGCATGTTATCAACTTTGACTTGCCAAGCGTCGAACATGGTGGTATTGACGAGTATATCCACCGCATCGGTAAGATACTCGACATTTATTGAAGTTACCATTCCTAGTTCCTAATATCTATGCCAGGGCGCACTGCAAGAATTGGAAACGAAGGACTCGCCACCTCTTTCTACAACGACGGTCGCGACTCCGCCATCGCAACGGACTTGGTCAAGGTTCTTCTCGAATGCAAGCAGCAAATTCCGGACTTCCTCGAAGCATATGTCCCAGAAAACGGCGAAGTTGAGTGGAACGACGACACAGATGGTGAAGACGATGACTTGGACGTTGCAGCCACCGATGCAGCTTGGGGCGGGGAGAACGACGGTTGGGATGCACCTGCTGCGCCGGCTCCTGTCTCGAAAACCGATGATTGGAACGCAGGCAACACTGGCGCCGCTTGGTAAAAGTGATGCATCCTTCCGGCCTAGTCAAAACTCTCTGGGATACACTTCTTTTTTTTCTTTTCTCCTTCGCCGCCCTCGGCTTGCTTTTCGAATAGTATGGGAACAGGAATAAATGGGCGCTCAAGAATCTAATAACTTGTCCTATCAAGGAAACATCACTCACAACATGGACAACTTGGCGGGTGGATGAATTCTATTGGCTTTTCTCTATTCCTTGTCCCCATTTTTTTTCTTTTTTGAAGGTCTTGACGGCATGAAGATCGATTTTGTTTCGGAAATATTTTCAAAAAGACTTACAGAGGCTCCAGTTGCACTTGGGGATCCGAAAGCGAGAATAAGTTGAATCTGATGCAATGGGCCTTGATAGTCCAAATAGTTCATTCGAAAAATAGAAAAAAAAAAAAATATTAGGGGTTTCTATAGGATCTATTTCCATGGAACTTTCTGTTTCATTTACTTCTTCACCATGACGTTTTGTATTTTTCTGACACCCTCCAACTTCCGTCTTGCCCAATTTTCTCTCTTGTCGAAGGGCCGATTAAACATTCCTGGTAGTACTCGGAACGAATTTGCGTGGGATCTATCGAATCTGACATCTAGATCATGCAGGCTTCTGGCTTGTAGGTAGGAAAACGCCTCCTCCAACAGCCCGGTTCCAATGCCCTTCTGGCGATAGCGGCGTCCTACGGTCCATGCGCGCACCAATACTGACTGTTCTCCCTGTGTCTCTGCCTTCGACTTCGGCGAGGATGGTATTCGTAGAAGAATCGTGCCAATAATTTCATCGCCGTATTTAGTAACGAGGAAGACATCATCTGTGAGTGGGCTGACTGGGGTAGAAGGGTCCTTGGCCTCGCTTTTCAGCCATTTCCAGGTTCCAACGCGTGACGCCTCTTCGAGGTACGCGCTGGTCACCCATTGCACAAGCACGAGCAAGATCATTATGCATCCTGCGCCGGTAGTGCCTACAAACGCCAGGTCGCCCAGTGATTTTCCATGGGACTGATATTTTCCGGCCAGGGATATAAGAAGGACTAGTGCAGTGATGCAGAGTGGATGTGATATCAGGGATTTTGCAGCAATTTGGCGTTGCTGGGCCACACTATCGGCGATGAGGCGAAGGGCAGAGATCTTGTCATCCTCTGAGATGGCGGGATATGTGACAAGCTGGGGAAGATGCTCAAGGGTATCAAAGTGAGGTGTGGATTCGGACATTTTTGCCGAACAAGAATATCTTTTTGTTTTCCTGGGCTGGAGGCAGGTATTCTCAAGAAGCAGCTGCAGTAAGCTGTCTCCCTGCAGAGAAGACGCTTCGTTTATTAAATGCGGGATCACAAAGTACACCGCCGTTATCCATGAATACACGTCCCTCCCACCGCGCGAACGCCGGCGGAAAACCGCAGCACGAGTTGCCAACGTGCTCACTTGCCGCTTCGGGATGCAGAGATTGACGGTTAAGCCTTGCCAAGGACGGCACTTCTTGGCGCCGAGAGCCCGCCCAGCAAGCGCCGGAGCCCACGTGCGCTGGCGACGCCCGCTCTGTGGAAAGGGAGGCGGGTCTTGGCATCAATCAACGGAGTGCGCGGGTCAAGCTTCTCGATAAGCACGTTCCCAAGACGGGCAAGAAGCCGGGAGCATGCTTAGCCCGGGTGAGCCGTGCATAATATGCACGTCCCCGCTAGTTGCAAAAATGCCGCGCCGGCTGAGCCAACGGCGAAAGGAAAGGCCGCCTTGACTGCCTTGCGACACTGTGTGGGTGGGAAAAATCCCTCGCCCGTCTGCTCACCACGTGTAGATGACGGGCTTCGGCTATCAGAGGGTGGACCTTCACCACCCGGGGGCCCTCTTTTCATATAAAATCCTACTTCTCGCAGCCTCCATGCTGTTCGCCGACCTTTTTCCATTCCTTCAAACCAGCTCCCTACACTCTGCATCTCCAAACTTGCGCCGTTCTTTCTGAGGCCACCTTTCAGGTCATAACCTCAAACTGAGGGCTCGCACAGGCCATACATGGCGACCTACACTGCTGGCGGTAACTCCGCCTTCAAAAATTTCCACAACCAGTTCGCCCATATCCAGGATCCAAATGAACGCAGACGCCTAGCTCTTGCAGAAATCGACAAGGCACCCTTTGGCTGGTATCACATTCGCGCTATCGTCGTTGCCGGAATCGGCTTTTTCACTGATGCCTACGACATCTTCGCCATCAACCTGGCCAGTGCCATGTTAGGTGTCGTCTTCTGGCTCGATGCCAAAGATAAACCAGGGAAGATCCCTTCTAGTGCTGACACCGCGATCAAGGTCGCTACGTCTGGGGGTACGGTCATTGGCCAGGTTGGGTTTGGATGGCTTGCCGATGTCGTCGGTAGAAAGAAGATGTATGGTCTTGAGCTGATGGTCATCATCTTCGCGACTCTCGCCCAAGCGTTGTCGTCCGATTCTCCTGGTGTTTCAATTGTTGGTCTCTTAATCTTCTGGCGTGTAATCATGGGGATTGGAATTGGTGGTGATTATCCTCTTTCGTCCATTATCACATCAGAGTAAGCTTCACGATATCTCAATTGGTCTGCATAGCAGGTTCTCTGGACCATCTGCTGACCGTTGCATCCTTCAGATTCGCAACTACCAAATGGCGAGGTGCCATGATGGGTGCAGTCTTCGCCATGCAGGGAATTGGACAGTTTGCTGCAGCTTTGGTCGCCTTGATCGTCGCAGCTGGCTTCAAAGAGTCCCTGAAAACAGCGGAAAGCGAAAGCCAGTGTTCTGGTGTTTGTCAAGTCGCTGTGGATAAAATGTGGCGTGTGGTCATCGGTTTCGGCGCTGTTCCAGGCTGCATTGCTCTCTATTATCGCTTAACAATCCCTGAAACACCACGATACACCTTTGATGTCCAGCGAGATGTCGTCAAGGGCGCTGAAGATACCAAAGCATATATGCTAGGTAAACCTGAGGGAAGCCCGGACGAAATCCAGCGCATTGCCACATTGGAGCAAAGCCAAAGCCAACTTCAAGTGCCAAAGGCGAGCTGGTCAGACTTCTGGACGCACTATAAACAGTGGAAACATGGAAAGGTTCTCTTGGGAACTGCGGGCTCTTGGTTCTTCCTTGATGTTGGTATGTATAACGCCAACAAATTTCACCTGGAAACAACGCGGCCTGCAGCTAACGTAGCCAACATCTAGCCTTCTATGGACTCGGCTTAAATAACTCGATCATCCTTTCTGCAATCGGCTACACTGGCGGTAAGGACATGTACGAAATTATGTACAATACCGCAGTGGGAAATTTGATCCTGATTTGCGCCGGCGCCATTCCCGGATACTGGGTCACCGTCGCTACCGTTGACACTCTTGGGCGTAAACCGATTCAGATCATGGGCTTTACAATGCTCACGGCGCTCTTCATTGTCATCGGCTTCGCCTACGACAAACTCCTCCACTCGAACAACGGACTCTTGGCCCTCTATGTTATCGCCCAGTTCTTCTTCAACTTCGGGCCCAACTCCACCACTTTCATCGTTCCTGGCGAATGTTTCCCGACCAGATATAGATCCACGTCTCATGGCCTCAGTGCTGCTTCAGGGAAGGTGGGTGCCATCATTGCGCAGTGTGTGTTTGGCCCTCTAGTCTCTCGGGGAGCAAAGCCAGGGTCATCCGAGAAGCCTTGGCTCAAGCACGTCATGCAAATATTTGCTTTGTTCATGCTGTGTGGACTTATTACCTCCTTCCTCATCCCTGAAACCAAGAGGAAGACCTTGGAGGAGCTGGCGGGTGAAGTTCCGGAGACGCCAAACTATGACCCAGTAACTGCTGGTCATGCAAGAAGAGAAGGGCAGCAGGTAAAAGGTGGAGAGGAGACGCCAGAGACTGTCTCTCCTGATATGCAACCGAACGAGAAGCATACGACGATTGTTTGATGCCCTTGCACATTTCCTTGTTAAAAATGAAAACGTCTAATGCTGGCTTTGACTGCTTTAATGTGTCCATGGCTTTGACCCTCAACGAAAAGAGGTGTACTTTCAGTGTTTTCTAGCGTTTTCACCTGTCTGCCCAAATCTAAGTTACGACTGAACTAATTCTTGTCCATATTTTCGAGATCTTATTAGCGACGGAATCTCATGAACATACATACCTTAATCAGAGAATAACTTCACAGAGTCTCAGTTTTAGCTACTGAGAACTGATGTAGCGTACCTGTAGAACGGCCCCGTAGACATCGGATGAACAGGCTCAACGCATCCCGCGACGTCCGCTGAAATTCTCCGCACTGGCATCGGGCTTTCGACACTATCAAGCCACAGTTGCTGAGCCACACATAAGTAACTAACTACTTGGCTCATCAGCAGCCACAAACTCCAGCCCCTTTTACTCCTGTACAGGGCGTCTATAGGCTCTCCCAGGTCCGCCTTTGAAACGTCTATCACCAGATCTGTTTTGGGTGCGCTTCTCTGATAAAGCATAGAATACTCGAGCCGATGCCACTTCGGACAGGGAGTTTAATCAGCTTTGGAACCGGGTTCTGCTCCTCGCATTCTGGGGGGAAACAACGCACTGGAGGTTGCGGGCTAGCAATTGCGGCCTTGTTTCCATTCTTCGGGATGGACTTTCTCTCGCCTGCGGTTACCGGAGAAATGGCCACAGGATAATTCGATTTTGCATCGCTTGTTATCCCTTTTCCTCTGCCTTTTCCCGCTTGACCTCTCCATTTTTCGGTATAGCAGAGGACGAATACTTGGACGCCTGTGTTTTCCCGCTAGGATTTTCCGATTGTATCTCTACCAAGCAGAATAACCGGATTATCAATAGTTCTTTATTTCAAGATGGCCCCCGAATGCCTGGTGGCTGTTTACCGGGCTGTGACCCTCTGCTTGGCGCTTTTGAATATTTCCACCTTTGCAGCTCCAATGCGGCCGTTCGTAGAACCTCTGGTTATTGATACCTTTGACGTACCCGGATCCAACAACCTCGAAGGATGGGCCGGGCCAGATGAAGGAATGCCGGCCGAATACGGTCCTGGATACTTGCATCTTACTCCATCAGATCCAGATATGAACTTCCACACCAGACTCGGCCCTTACTGCTTGGACATGTCGGAGTACATGAACATGTATCTCCACATCTCTTTCTCCGGCACCGATAAGTTCACAGTTTCTCTTACGCAGAACAACGAATGGTGTGATCAAACCAGAGCCCCTTATCCCGAAACGTGGGACTCTCTCGAAGCAGCGCGTTACTCTGCCGGTGGGGACATTTACATGCCGCTTCACCACTTCAACATCGATTTCTCCCGGGTAAACTCTGTCGCCTTTAACGGTTTCTATACCAGGGAGCCGGCGATACTGTATAAGGTTGAGATCACGTCTGATGTGCCTGAGGATTTTGAGGTTCCAGTCAAGCTTCCTAGTGGCACATTGGCTGTCAAATGCAAGCGACCCAATTCCTTTGCCTTTGGGATCGATGATGGTCGTCCAGAGTTTGCACAAGAAGTGATCCAGATATTAGAGGAAGAGGATATCAAAGTTACCTTCTTCACAGTCGGAAATGGGCTGCTAGATCAGACTTCAAATTTCACGGAAACATACCGTGACATGTTGTCTCGTGGTCATCAGGTCGCTTTGCACACATTCTCTCACCCTGCGTGAGTGCTTTCGTCGACTCCGCAGCACTGTTTATCCTAACGGCTGGAATAGGGTGGAAGGACTTTCCTCGCTTGAAGAGATTGATTCAGAAATAACCGAAAACATCAAGGCCATGAAAGAGCAGTTGGGAATTGAGAGTAAGTTTCCCCCGACCAACACACCTCCTGCTTACCTATCCTCACCAAATTTCACCAGGCCGATACTTCCGACCTCCGTTCGGTGTCGTTGGTGCAAGGACTAGGCAGCGACTCGCCGAACATATTGAAAGTCCGTACATCATCACTTGGAGTGTCGATATTGAAGACTGGCTTTGGGCGCACTCACCAACTCCCGAGAAGCAGTATGAAGCTTTCAAACGGGATCTCGAAAAGGGTGGTGATCTCGCTGTCATGCATTTCTTGCATCGCTCCACGGTTGATTATTTCAAAGACGTCTTTCAGCTTGTCAAGGCAAGTGGCAAGCAGATCATGAGGGTAGATCAATGCATGGAGGACCCGGATGCTCCTCCGTTGAAGGACAGCTCTTGAATAATTGATCTGTAGTATGGTTGACCAGTCCATGTTTCAGCTGGACAGCTGGGCGATTCATGTATTATTTTACTCGAGCACGCCCGTAGGTCGTAATAAATTGAGTCATAGCAAAAATGGAACCGAGGATCCCACGTAGTCCTCTAGAGTTCTCGAATCAAACGTGTATAAAGTAACAAAATATGCGAAAATGGAACCGCGTAGCGGTCCATTAGACAACCAATCCACTTTGTAGTATGTATATAGGTTGAAAAATCTAGGAACAATTGCAAAGCTAGGAAAAGAAAGAACACTTGCACGGTACAATATATCCAAAAGGAAGCGCGCCCACCAAAAGTCATAATAAATCTACTTTCAAAGAGGTGCTTTCAAGGGTGCCGGAGGCCCACACCTAGGTGGAAAGCGTTTTCTTTCTGTTAGGCCTTTTTCTATGCATCGTGACACCATTTCGGCTCCTTGGTTTTTGCTCTTTCGATCATAACTGTATGCATCTTCTTTAACTCCGGGATGATCACGCTCTCGATCTCAACCTCCTTCTGAGCGTGCTCGTGCGCCGCGGCCGCGGCCGCTGCCGCGGCAGCAGGTGACAACCCAGCCTGAAGTCCAGCGCTCATTCCCGGCAACGCACCACTCACACTTCTTCTCGGCCTAGGGATCCGGATCCAGCGCTCCTGAATGGCGCCGTCGGGCTTCCTGCTCACGAAGACGACTTCCCATTTCCGATTGGAGAGGAGGTTGCCGATGACGAGGTGGTGTGAGTAGCGCTGGAGTGCCTGTTCTGATTTCAGAACGAGAAGGGCCGGGTCGGTCTCGAGCTTGAAGCTGACGATCATGGAGCCGGCCGGGGCCCAGCCGTTCACGAGGCGGTGGAGGAACTTGGGTACGGGGTCAAGGTCAACGACGAGTTTCTTCTGATGTTTTGGGGGTCCGTTGGGGTCGTTGAAGCCGGTGTAGATGTGATCTGGGAGGATGGCGGAGGTGCTTTCGGGGACGGTGTGGGCGGCTGTGTCGGGTTTGGTTGGTGCCTGGCCGGGGATGGGGACTTCGTTGGAAGATTGGATTTTGTGTTCGGCCATTCGGTCGCGGGGAATGAAGAAATCGGACACGGCGGCCGCGAGGTAGAAGAGCGCGTTGGCACCGAGGGGTTGCATAAGGGTTGCTAGGGCGCGGAGCTCGTAGAGGTATTCGGTTACGGTTGTGAATGGCAATAACAGAAGAAGATTGTTTTCTTTGGCGTATCGATACTGTCGCAGGACCTTACGCATATCATCCTGATACTCAGTCCGCACCACGATAGGTCCATGTTCGGTGTCCTTTTCGCCAATTGTTGAAGAGAACGACGAGGATGCCGACTGCGAGGGGGCTTCGTCCATGAAATCAAGGAAGCAATTAGTTGAGTGACTGTAATGGCGCGAATAAGGAAGCAGACTGAACTGCCGATGTAAGAAGATCACAGCGTAGCCCTCCTGCAAGAAGTATTCGGCCGATGTAGCGCCACGAGTTCCGGCAGAGAAATTGTCGATGAACCTGACCGTCTGTGCCTCAAGAGGCACCGTGGTGCCGCCAGACGTCACCAGCACCACTCGCCGACCGGCCTCCACATGCCTATTTATGAACGCTCGCGCGATTGTAATATGGGTCTGGAGGTGGATGGGCGGGGGATTCGTCTTGAAATAGTGAGATTCCATCTCATCGGGGCTCAAGGAGTCCGTAGGAACGATTTTGGCGGCCATTGGCAGATTGTTATTAGGCTAAAGCTCCGGAACGAGTGTATTGAAATCAAATCTGCCAATCGAAGTCCGGGGGCAAAGATTATGGCAAACGTTCAGGTTGGACGAGCGATGAAGGATTGGAAGGCAAGTCTGAGGATATTCGACTAGGGATTCGCTCTCACTGCAACGTCGTCCCGGGAATGGACGTGAACTGGCGAGCTGCTCGAGCGTGAGGCTGAGGGCTGTCAGGACCAGATACTACTTTGTATATTCTATCATTGGCGGGGCACGCAAAATCTTAGATCGCCGAAGTCGGTCTCGCGAAGCAACGCTAGAGGGGGAGGGAGAGGGCGAGCAGGAAGAGAGCAGAAACACCGCTAACAGACAGGGAACATCAACCACCAGGGAGATAGCACAGACGATGAGCGGGCGTCCTTCTCCCGGGCTGTTTTCTGGCTGCTCCGGCGGGTTGTTTGAAGTTGCTCGGTTTTAGCCTCGGAACTGCGGCTGCAGGGTTACGTCATCTCGGAGTCCGGAGAAAAGAGGATCCGTGAACCAAGCCGGGCAACCTGATGCAAATCTTCTGCCGAACTGCGTTGGGAACTGCGACCTCCAGCTGGGATTTCGATGGAGAAGCCTGGAGTGAAGAGTGGCATAGCTTAACAGATCATAGATACCTACTCCGTAATGCTTGGCTGAATGTGCTCATCCTACTAGCGACTCCTCCATTCTGCATATGGCTAAGCAACGCCTCTTCCAAGGCCGATTGAGTCACGCTGGCATCTACATGTCACAGAATGTCAGCATGTACTCCAAATCGAAGCACACATCTAGTGCTCTCTATATGTAGTATGGTCTCTACGTACCATCCAGGTCGCTGAAACTACTGCCCATGCTGGGTGTGCCGTCGCTGCGTTTGCCCTGATGACGTGGGCTCAGACGTGCCAGTTCGGCGGTCCGTCGCGGACTTAGCGCTCCAAGCCGGGGATGCCTCCGCTGCACATCGTAGCCAGACGAGGTAGATCCTATTCCTGAACTGGTAGTGCTGGTAGACGCTGTTGCCGTAATCTCCTTGTGCAGCGACTCTCGCGTCCTGTGGCTCTTGTCGGGCTCCTGGCGAAGGGTGGCCCCGGGGTCATTTTCCACTGTGGGAGCGGGCCGCTGGCACACATTTTCAAAGGGTAGAAACGCCGGCGACTCTTCATCATCCTCGTCTTCATCCATTTCGGTATTTCGGGGTCTATGCAAAGAGAATTTGCCGAACCGTTTGAAAGGGATACCGGGTCCGGCTGAACTGTCAGAGTCCGATTCAGACGATGACATCGGCTCAGGACTCTCCTCGCCTGCAGGAGGCTCTATCGCTGAGCCCTGTGTGTGAAGATCGTATTTCACGTCCATTGGAGTCTTGTCATTTGGTTCTCTTCCTTGAGGAGTATGGGATATCGCTGGCTTGGAGGAGAGCGCGCGCACAGCCGCAATCTGACCGGGAGGGACAGTTGATGAAGGCGCACGGGAGTGAGACACTAATTCTCGTCAGTTCCTAAAGCCATATTCGTCGCCTCGTGAACCCTACGAACCTTGGGGTTTGGCTGACGTCGGCGGAGTACTTGTATCTGGCCGTGGGGTACCTTGACCTTCACGTTGCTGGCTCGACAACCTAGAAGTGACTGGAGATCCTAAGACACGTCAACCGTATGTCCTTCGTACAAGATCCTACGAAACATACCACTGCTGCGACCCCTAGTCAGCGCATGGCCGCCAGTAGCATGGCTTCCGGAAGTGGTTACCGGCGTTGGAGCAGGAGAAGCCGGTTGCTGGTGCCCAGCTCTTAGTATTTCTGCTCGAACTTGTGCCAGTCGATGGCCATAGAGCCATGCTGCTTGCTGAAGAAGAAACGGGAGCGTGACGTCCAGTTGAGAAGCACTTGTGTCAAGGTTAGATGAAGCCAGTCCGTAAACACAAACAAGGGGTATTACAGTGCATTCCCTAGAAACAAGTGTCTGTTAGCCTCGTTTCACTCTGCCAGGATTGCTTGAGCTTGTCACAATCTTACAATCTACCGGCTTTGATGGCTGCAGGAGCACCTCCCATAGCACTCGATCTTTCGCAGTGGTCCAGTCAGGCTGGGGAAAACATTAGCATCCATCGGGGAAAGACAGTTGTTTTTCTGCGGACGGCCTACCGGGGGTGGATCAACAAAATCGCCGCGCGGGAAAGGGAGCCGGACGATCACGGTGAACCGCGGGTCCATGATGGGTGTAGTCGATCGTGAACTTCTCTGCTCTGCAAAAGCGAAACTGTTGGGTAGTATCTCGCGATCGCAACGTTCAGTTCCGCACTGGCTACAGCTACCTCGACGAAAGGTCATCTGGGGCCAAGCTGCAGCCCGATGACTCAGCACACGAGATCGCGGGAAAACAGCCTTTTGAGCGTTGTGTTTGAGCCCAACCCGATCCATGGATGATGGGCCCGACAAACAGGACCCTGTGCAAAAGCGCGCCGTCCCTGGGTTGCCGGTAGTGAGCGTCGACCAGGGGAGCGGCTGGAGATCCGCGAACCCTGGTTTGGCCTGGCTCCCAGATCGGCGACCAAGACTCCTGTCTCAGGGCTAGCGTGTTCCTTTTTTTGGCCGCGATGGCTTGACGGTGCGGAGTTCAGATGATTGGCAGCGATGATCACAATGCGCACAACAACCAGCCGAGACATCTCCTTCACTTTCCCAGTTCACGATTGTCTTGCATTAATGCCTAATTACGCTTGCTTATTGCACTTCGAATCCTATACCGATTGCGGGTGTTGAACGTTTACGAGCTATCTTGTCTAGAGTAAAGCAAGACGTTAAGTTAATCATGTCCGCGACTATGAATAGCGCCAGTAGCCCTGTATGTATGATGCCTTCGCCTTCACCATCTCCAACCAACTCCAGGTGTGCTAACGTTCAAGTTTCCCGGAAGGCCCGGTTCCAATAAACGCCTCATACTTGTTTAGGTTGCTGGCCAATTGAGCTTCCATTTTAACGCCCGTTCCCTACTTCCCATGTCTCCTCTCATCTATTGGCATTGCGACCTTGCCGACGACATATTCTTCGAGCTCTCATCAGACGCGTGTTTCCGAGTCCAACCGCTCTTGTACGCACCGCTGAAACCTGAGCTTGCCGATGGATTTGACAAGACCATCAACTTCCGAACTTCAGGGCAATGTTCGCTCTTTGCAGATTTCCTCCGCAGACGAAAATCATTACTGCGAAACCGTTCTGCTCTTACCCGAAGGCCAAACTGAAGATAATGTTGACAACCGGCTTCTTGGTGATGCAAGGGCGCTTGGCCTGACCGTCTGTAACGATGGCTCCGGCTCTTATTCTACGGAGGATCCTAGAGAAGGGAATGATGGAAGTTCAATTTCGAGTCAATATGCGCTGCCATCCACGATTACCCCGTCCCCGACCCGAACGCTATCTTCCTCTACGCCTTGGTCTCTAAAGGAACGCATATCGAGCAGTCGACACTCTATCGCCTCGTTGTCCACATGCCCCACGACTTGCAGCATCAGCGAATCGGAGCCAAGGCAATCAATTGCTGACTTCCGTCCCACAAGACACTCTCTCAACCTCGAAGGCATCGATAGGGGATTTAAATTCGGCCTAAAGCATGCAATTTCCCGAATTCCAAACCTTCGCAGACGGAAAGGGTCTGCACTTGGGATTCTTCCTTCAACCACGCCATCAGAGCTCAGCTCGAGCCCATCCAATGGTCTTCGTGACATACGACAAGGAAGAAGCCTAGACATCAACACCACCGAGTCTTTAGCCAGTAGGGACACTCTTGCACCAATCGACGAAGGGTGTCTGCGGCGGAGTTTAGTCACTCCGGAATTAAAAGCCATGCGTGCCGCTCATGAAGGTCAGATGCAGAGATATTTGATATTTCGGAGGAAGATGTTGGTACCCATTTTGCGTGGTCATCGTCGCACTCTCGAGGAGACTAAGAGCCGGCATATTAAGGCCGTGGAGGATTTGGTCGCGCAGGTAATGATAGCTCCTATATAAACCGGAAATTCTTAATGTCTAATTCCTGTATAGAATTCCCAGAAGGCTGTTCGTCGAGAAGAGCGGGACCTGATGGCGGAGCTTTCTTTGACTGAAGAATTCAAGCGTGAAAAGCAGGCCTTGCAGAGCCGCATACGTTATATGGAAGCTTATTTCATAACCCCACCGCCAGAAACGCAACTTGGAGACAACAGCGCAGAGTCCCGATTACCGCAGCGGAGATACAGCAAGGAGTATAGAGACCTCCTCCGGCAAAAGCAGCACGAACTTGCCACAATGGACTCTCTACACGAATCAAAGATCAAGGTTCTTCGAGATACGCAGGCGAAGCATTACGAAAATGCTCTGAAGAAATGGGAACAGGACGTTCGTCTTCTTGAAGAAGCTAATGAGCGCGACCTTCGTGATCTAGAAAATCGTTGTCGCGAAGAAAAAGATGTCGCTCTTGGCTGGCTCGAAGCCAAACGAGCTCGTCTACAGGCAAGATGGATGCTTGAAGAAAGTATTCTTCGAAAGAAGCTCGAAATCGATACCCAAGAATATTACAGCCCTCTTCCGAAGTTATCCTTTGGGGATATCGGAGATGATACCTCTATTGATATAGCGCGCCCTAGCAATGATCAACAGACCGTTGGGCGGATAGCATGCAAAACCCCTGAAAAACGACATTCGTGACATCTCTCCCATCACATCAAACCTAACTCCGCTCCCATATACTCCACATCTCTCCGGAAAGACCTATTTCACTACTATCGGTGTTTTACTGCGTATTCTCGGACATCTTTGTTACCTTGATATCCTCATTCACAACTCATATGCCCCACATATCCATTGCATTTATGGGAAGTTTTTGTTTTTATTTTTTCTTTCGCTTGCACATACTTTGCTCATGATGATACCCACTTCAGAGCAACTCTCTGTTATTTGCTAATGTTATGGATATACTTCTACTCCTAGAGGAGCTAATTTTGCAAATAATGGTTCCTAGGCGTCCTATCCGGGTGTTGAGTATAATGTCTATAGATATGCCCATTGCATATCATCATAATGCAAAAACTAATCACATAGATTTTTGCTAGGAAATAATAGCTTAATATCATGACAAACAAACCCTTGAATCTACTCTGTATGTTAAACATCGGTGAAACGACCCCTTAAAAGCCTTCCTCACGCAAACCAATTGTCAAAACTGGAAATAGTACCGGTAGACTACATAGCCTGGGATAACTTCCCCAAGCGCGAGTCCGGCAGCTTCGCATTATCCATGGCGAAATTGGAAACATTCCCGCTGCACAGGCATCGCAAGGAACGTGGTCCAGTCCGAGATACCTTGTGCAAAAGAGCTATAGGTTACCGGTCTACCACATCACGCAAAAATCGCTGTAGAGGTTGCGTCGAAAGACTGGTTCGAAATCCAACTTGAAGGAATAAAGCGTTGAGCGATATTTCATACTGCATACAGCGCACCGTCCAATAGAAGACAGAATCGATTCCTTCGAGCCCAAGCCCAAAGAATCATCTTTTTTGGCCGGAAAACCGAACGAATGGGCTTCACGTCATGGCGGATAGGAAACGATTTCTCAGTTTTCTGAGAACGAAAGGATTGCAATCCCTTACAGAAAGGTAATAAGAGTCTAGAGTTTCCGGGCTTGACTTCAGGAACCAACACTTCGGGCAACTTGTCGGTGTTGACAACCAGGTCGTTTGCCAGCCAAGTGACGGGGATTTACCCCAGTTGGGAATGGGTAATTGTATGCAAGCTTCCTGTGCCTTGGTTTTAGGCTGGCTGTGACGGTCACTCAAGGGCGGGATCCGCTCCGATGAGTGTGAGCTCCGTATTTTCTCGATAATGATAAATATCGCCATATCCCCTTCAACAACTTCAACAAAAACCGCTTCTGCTAAGACAGACAAGCCTCCTGACAACGAAGGTAAGCCACTGAATTTGACAAGCAGGGCTCACCAACTTTACAAATCAACTAACACATGATCAGGCCCTAGATTGTGATCGAAAAGCATCAAACGCATAGTGTGCTGTGTACTCTGTATGTGCCTTTCAGTCCTGATCCAGCACCAACAGCTAATCTGAACAAAGCAGAATTTAGAATGAAACTTTCCGTGTACCTGTGTTTCCTCCTCAGTGCAGTATATGTCGCCGCTGGCGCCATACCGAAGAACAAACGTGATAATGAAATTAAGAAAACTTGTGAGAAAAAGTGCCGGGAGATCCACCGCGAGAGGGTTTCGAAGTGTGAGGGCTTGAAAGATGGGAAGGATAAGTGTCTTAAATCAGCTGCTCTACTGGGCTCTGACAAAGGCCAAAAGCAGTGTGTCGTACCCTGTGTAGCCAGTATATTTTGGCCGCATCAGGGAGGGTTATTTGCCGATTTTTATTCTTAGAGAAAAGTGTCATAAGTTGAAATAAACAAAACACACAAACTTTGTGATGTGCATGAGTTTGTTGTGGCCTGGCACTATTCATCCACTCAAAAACAATGCTTGAGATTCTCCTTTACAAAGTCCCCCCCCTTTTAGCCAGTCATGTTCGCATCGAGTAGCCTTTGAACCGCGGTCTCAATCCTACGATCGCCTCTCAAAAACAGATTTTCCGTTGTCATATCACGGCCTTCGCTGCTCACAACCACTGCGCGCTCGACGAGCCCTTGACTAGACAATTGAATCTGACCCACACGCCCATCGCGCCATTCAAAACGGAGGTAACGTGTCTCAAGTGAGGCTGGTGTTATAGACGATATTCCAAGCTTTACGGCAAGTGAATCTGACCCTTGAGAATCCCTGACACACTCGACTTTGTCAATACCCAGCTCCTCTCGAAGCCACGCGATAGCGTCTCTCCGCAAGTGCCATGCAACGAGTTCTCGTCTGAGCTGGCGAACAAACCTCTTGAGGTCTTGTTTTCCCGGTTTTGCCTTTAAGGCTTGCTGAAGTTCGAAGTCGACGTCTGGCACGGCGAGATACCTTCTTTCTAGCTGATTTAACGGAATGAACGCGGGTATGGTATGTCTGTGAACTCGCAGCAATTTTTGGTCGCTGTGTGCACGTTTGAGTAGGAGATAATACGGTTTAGAGTATCTGCCGCCTCGGGTACAGATGTCAATACGTATTCCCAAGAGATTCTGCGACCGGGAGTGCGGGGAAGGGTCCTTGAAAGGGAACGATGTGGTGGAAAACACAGCTCGATGGTGGTTGGAAAGCGCGTGGTTCTGGCTGTCCAAGACAACGGGGACGAGGCTTGGATTTGAATCGGACGCATTTTGTCGTCCTAGAGCACTCTGGACTGCATTGGTGGAGAGCAGACTGGCTGATAAAACCCGTCGGCGCTTTGTCAGATTTTGAACTGAAGCTCTAGTTAGGATTTCGTACAGCAAGCGGAGACGCGTCGCGAGTACATACTTTCAGAGCGGAGTTTCGATATCTCTTCATCGAGAACAAGCGACGGATCGGGTTCTGGTGGAGTAGTTTGTTCCATCTTGCTTTGGGCGGGAGGAGGTATCACGTATGGTTTCAGCGGGACCTTTGCACGCGTTCTCTGGTCGCTCACGAGAGTCTGATCGTCGCTGCACGAGTGTCAATCAGGGGCAACATCACCTGACCCGGATTTTGGGCCGAGCCGTGACAGCTCAACGGCCGTTGAAAAAAAACGATCACGCTGGCCTGCAATCTGTCAGGAAGTAAACCCGGTCGAGGCAGACGAAATTCCGCGCAACCGGGCAATCGGGGGACGACATTTGGCGCTTCCAAGCTTCCCAGCACCCTTAGTCAGCCCGCCGACCCCACAAGCGTGAAAAACGAGCGCTCTCGTGAGGCCAGCTTTCCTTTAGGGCCCGCGCGTTTTGGATGCACTCTCCGCGCCACTCCGCCGAAGGTTCTTCCCAGGGGCCCCAGTGCTCCCATGCTACCTCATATGCACCGCATACCGATAGCCAGCGTAGCGACGTGGAACTCCGCTCTCTGACGTCTGCGCAACGGTACTCTGATCATAACCAAAACCCTCGCCATACTGACGATATCAGCGCGGCAGGGAGCGACGACGAATTTTCCTGCTCCTCAGAATTCGAACTTTTGGAAGAGGGCTTGAACAGCAGTTTGGTATCCAGCGAGGATTCAAGGGGTCGACGACCAATGACTCGAAAGCACAATTCACTCAAGCGCCGTTCATCCAGACCTAGCCTTAAGCTCGCGTTTGGCGAGAACGGCCACGCGAACGGCGGCATGGATTCCGGCGTTGGGCTGCGAAGAAAGGATGTCTCCCTAGACTCCACGACATCGCTTGCCTCACGGGTTATGAACAGATCAGACTTCTCCCTGGACGATGAGCCGCCGCCTACTCCGCAGACACCGGGGCTCTCAAGCACGAGCTTTGCAGACTTGCCTGCGTACGACCAGAGAAACTTTCTTTTGCTAGTTCTGCTTTACTTTCTACAGGGAGTTCCTATGGGCCTCGCGATGGGTTCCGTACCGTTCCTTCTCAAGCCATTCCTCTCCTACACCCAAATCGGCATCTTCTCACTCGCCTCCTACCCATATTCCCTAAAGCTACTATGGAGTCCTATAGTGGACGCGGTTTGGAGCCCCAAATTTGGAAGGAGAAAGAGTTGGATAACACCGATTCAGACCGTTTCTGGCCTCGCCATGGTGTATCTGGGCAGCAGAGTCGAGAGCATGATGGCTGCAACCGAAGCGCAAGGCACGGACGGTGTCTGGAACTTTACCGGCTGGTGGTTCCTCCTCGTCTTCCTCTGCGCAACTCAGGACATTGCCGTTGACGGTTGGGCTATTTCGCTTTTGTCTCCACAGAACATTGCCTACGCATCCACCGCACAGACCGTTGGCCTCACCGCTGGGAACTTTCTTTCATACACGGTCTTCTTAGCGTTCAATTCTCCCGATTTCGCGAATAGGTGGTTCCGAACAACCCCAACGGATGACGGGCTTATTACTCTAGGAGGCTACCTCACATTTTGGGGCTGGGCGTACTTGGCCATTACCCTGGGTTTGGCAGTATTCAAGAAAGAGGATAGGACAAAGGAGCGAGATAGCATCACGGATGTTTACAAGTCGATGTGGGGTGTACTGAAGCTGAAGAATATTCAGACCATCATCATAATCCATCTTATCGCCAAAATCGGCTTCCAGGCAAATGAGGCTGTAACTAACCTTAAGCTAATTGATAAGGGCTTTGGTCAAGATAACATGGCTCTGGTTGTCCTTATTGATTTCCCATTTGAAATTGGCCTGGGTTACTTTGCCGGCAAATGGTCGACCGAGTACACGCCAATGAGGCTGTGGTGCTGGTCGTTTGTTGGAAGACTTGTTGCTGCGGTCCTGGCCCAAATCGTTGTGATGATCTTCCCCAAAACCCCGGTTCCTGGATGGTATATATTTGTTGTCATCTTGGAGCATGTCTTCTCAACATCCATGAGTACAATCATGTTCGTAGCTGTTTCCGCCTTCCATGCTCGAATCTCCGATCCAACGATCGGTGGCACTTACATGACGCTCCTCGCAACGTGCGTTCCCCATTTGAATTTCTTTGGAATTGCAGAAAAAGAAGAACTAACCACGTTTTATAGCGTATCGAACCTTGGGGGAACGTTTCCAAAGTTCTTCGTTCTCAAATTTGTTGATTTCTTCGCCAAAGCCATCTGCACCCCGCCTTCCAATCACCCTTCAAATATAAAGTCACCTGTCACGTCGCCCTTCTCGTGCGCTCTCGAGGCGGATAAGCATCGCTGCATCGCAGGGGGCGGTACATGTCATATCGAACGTGACGGTTTCTATATCACTAATATCCTTTGCGTTATCATCGGAGTGGTCACCTTCTGGACATATATTAAGGGTGCAGTGCTCAAGTTGCAGAAGCTGCCTTTGAGAGCATGGCGACTATCTCCAGGCAGTGGGAATAGATGACATTGCAGAATACGGATAGACGCTTGATCATTCATTGTTGTTTTTTTCGAAAGATAGAATAATACCCTGCCTGTGTTTCACATACTCTGATGTTATGTACACTATAGTTGTACCTGCTAGCCAATCGTATAGACCGTCCAAATCATCACTGCTGCACAAGATCCTTATAACCCGCGTCTCAGGTGGACGGAGCACATGCAATTCCACGAGACCACGAAGTAACTCACTATCCAAGGCAGAAGTATTTAAGAACATCGCCGACTAGGGATGAACCCGTCCCGTACTTGTCGGGGGCCTCGGCACCCTCGGGATCCTAGTTGTGCGGTTGAAAGTTACCCCGAGCTTCTGAGGCTTTGGTGAACTGGTCTGCCCAAGAAACTTAAGTATTCGTCCGTATCCTACGCCCGATAGAGTAACCTGTTCGCCATCTTGCTTGGCATGTCGAACAAGTGAATCCGAGCCTGGATGAATTATGTCGAACTGCAGGTCATCGCCTGTCCTGCGGCCGTCTTGGTTTAGGGATCCTTGCTCGGACCCAGCAACCGAAGAGGGGCTGGCTAGTTCAGCAAGCCAGGTTCTCAAACTATTTAACATCGCTTCATCGCCAATTAGTGGCGATCAAATCCACAGAGTAAACTGTCATCAATTCTAATCATGTTGAACCTCACGAATATACTGCTCATTCCGCCTGCGGCGGGTGCCCTTCATGTTGGGTACCGGTACCTGCAATCCTACCTGGAAGCGGAGCGCATCCGCAAGCTCGAAAACACTGAGGATCCGCCAAAGGCTCCGAATCAGGGTATCTTTGGCATCAATGTCTACCGAGACATAGCAAAGCACAAAGAGGAGCACGTATTTCTTCAGAAAAACCTCGAACGCTACGATGAACTCGGTGACACCTACACGTCTGACATGTTCGGTCGCACATACATCGACACCCGTGACCCTGAGAATATCAAGGCCATATTGTCTACGCAGTTTGAACAGTTTTCTCTTGGAGATTCCAGACTTGACGCTTTCTACCCCATGCTGGGAGAAGGAATATTCACACATGTATACGGCGGTGGTTCCAAGGGGGAGCCATGGAGACATTCCCGTGCGGTGCTTCGACCCCAATTTGCGAGACACCAAATACAGGATCTTGCAAAGCTAGAGGAGTTCGTTCAGAATCTTATCAGTAGAATACCCAGAAACGAAACGTGCGATCTCCAAGAGCTTTTCTTCCGACTTACTCTGGATACCGGCAAGCGTTCCTGCAATCTGCCTCCCTTGAAATCCGTGCTAATCTACTTTAGCAACTGATTTCCTGTTCGGCGAGAGTGTGAATAGTCTCCTTCCTGATAGTCCTCCAAAGGAGACGCAATTTTACCATGATTTTACTCGGGGTACAGGTATGACTCCGCGTATCCCGACAGTATCGATCATTACTGACAACACTTAAAAGAAATCTGCATGTTGCGCACGCTGCTGGGAGATCTGTATTTCCTTCAGAAAGACAGCAGCGAATTCAAGCGAGTTTCTGCTTTTGTTCAGGAGTATATCGACAGATTTACACACAAAGCCTTGGAGCTCCACGCTGCTGGAAAGCCTACGTCATATGATTCAAATGGCAAATATGTCTTCCTTGAGGAAATTTCCAAGAGCATCAGAGACCCAGTCCGGCTGCGATCAGAACTGCTCAACATTCTCCTTGCTGGAAGAGACACCACGGCGAGTCTTCTCTCCGCTTGCTTTCACCAGCTTGCACGGCATAAGGATGTCTGGGATGAATTGAGAAAAGAGATTATGGACAATGTCGGCGACAGGTTGCCTACCTACGAGGATATCAAGTCCTTGAGGTATCTGCGATACGTGCTTAATGAAAGTAAGTCTTCCATCTTTTCCAGCGCTAGAACGAAGAAGAATAGTGGTGTTCTGATATTTTGCTAGCACTCCGTTTATTCCCAGTCGTCCCATGGAATGGGCGTGAAGCCGTTGTAACAACAACCCTGCCCCGCGGTGGTGGCCCGGATGGAAAAAGCAAAATTCTAGTAAAGAAGGGTACCTTCGTCCTCTACTCAACCTGGGGCCTCCATCGCAGTAAATTCTACGGCGAAGACACGAACGAGTTTAGGCCGAGCCGATGGGAAACGATACGGCCAGGGTGGAATTATATCCCATTCAACGGTGGGCCTAGAATATGCTTGGGCCGTAAGTATTATCCTTGGAATAGTTCAGCCGTCTTTTCGTGCGGAAAAATACATTTTGCTAATGCGGTAACAACAGAGCAATACGCCTTAGTTGAAGCCTCATATGTGATTACCAGGCTTCTCCAAGTTTTCAAGGATATTGAGAACCGAGATCCCGTACTGCCTTTTGTCGAGCACACGACTCTTACACTCTCGAGCGAACACGGGGCCAAGGTTGCGCTCACACCAGCCTGACCCCATGCATATCAATGGACGACGTTGAGAATGTGGTATATGTATCGACACCGGGGATTCACTTTGTAGGTCACGGTACGGTATGGTTTGAAATTTTGGGGAATTTACTAATTTGAATTTTTCTATATTTTCGTTCATCTATCTTACGAGAGAGTGACATATGTACTGTACATGTATGGGTAAAACGTATATAGGACTGCCAATCTAGCTCGAATTACCTAGCTGATCCTGTGTGTAGATATATATAGATATACACACACACACATGTCTGTCAATCCTCAGTTAACGAGAGCGGACAACACATACAGCGTGATATCGCAAATCTGTTGAAGCGAAAACATTGGTCTGCTGTCCGTTGTCCTGAAATGAGCCACACAGCGGATGAAGCCAGCACCCGACGTAAAGGCAATAATTGACAATTGATGTTGCAGAGGAAATTATGCAGCACTCGAAACGAAATGCCAGTCGCTGAAATGAGGATCATCGCTAGGTTCTTATTGCGGATGAAGGAATATATCGTGATAGGAACGCCTTTAATTCCCATACAATTGATCGATCCTGTTCTCGGTGATGTCGTAAGTTGTTCGCCTTATTTGCAACAAGATTCCCTAATTGCCGTAGGTTAAAACGCCTCCAATTGTGCATGAGAACCGTTAAAATAAACGCCAGTAACGCGGTACTATAGAAAGTTAAATTAAAATGCGCCAGAATTAGGTGTTCTCCGTTGCGCCCGATGGCGGCGGTCTCTGAGCCGTAAAGACATAACTATAGGGCGCAAATTAACCATTGCTCTTCGCCTCCATCACCCGAGAGAGAGAGAGAGAGAGCACGTACAAATCCAACTTTGCGTGGATTCTGCGATTTCTCGCATCATTCCGTGCGCCTGCGCACATCGCATATATCTCTTGCTCGGCCCATCCGCTCCGCGTCAAAACAGCCATCGAAGCTGCCTCCAAAACTTCCGTTAGCTGTTTAACATTAAGTTCCCCGAGCCTTTTCTGTTTCGATGGAATGGGGATCATTAGCTGCGATATCTTCGTCAAGGTGCCAAGTGAAGAAACATACGTAATTTTCGTCTTTGGCCCATTTCCCGAGAGGTATGGGGAATTTTTTCATTTGGATATTGACGAAGCCAGCGTCATTTAGCAAATCTGAATATTCAGGCCCAATCCGTGTCCAAAAACCCATACTTTCGAATGCATCAACGGTAGATTTGTTCCAATATTCAAGGCATGTGCCTCTGATGGTATTGTCTGGTGAGTTTATCCTCGAGTCGAAATCCTGGACTTCCAGCCAACCCCCTGGTCTCAAGGCACTATGATAACAAAATGTGAGTATAGCCCACGACTACGGAATATAAGGACACCTTTGCTTTTTTTCTTTTTTTTTTTTTTTTTTTTTTTTTCCCTGGCGGAGGAGGGGGATAGTACTTAAAAGCCTGCTGGATAAGATGCTTCATATCTCTGATGGCGAATACCATATAGCGAGAATGGATGAAATCGAACGGGCGACCTCCGTATTCCCACTCCTCCTCGACATCGTCGACAAGGAACTTGACATTTGGAGGGATGCTTGAATTTGCTTAAGTAAATGGACTGGACAGGCTCAAATGGATGAATGCTCACTCTGCGGGTTGCGTGGGACTCAGGTCATTTCCAATTACCTGTGCCTGTTTTAGCAACTTTTCCCTCTGTATTCTCTTTCAACACGGTTCAATACCTCTGCAGAAGGATATTCGTCGGCTAATACCAAGCATCTCTATCAGCAATGGAGTTCATCCAGGTATAAAAACGCGAGCGGAGCCTAACCAAACCTGATAGCCCACTATTCACCGTTATGGTTAGCCTATTCACCGCAGCCAGAATCGAGAGAAGTTCCAACATACAGCACCAGAACCCGTTCCGATATCCAACACTCTCTGAGGATTGGGCCCTATCGGGGCCAGGTGCAATCCTCCCAAGGTCAACTTTATCATTTCATCGACCAAATCTAGGCGCTGCATTTCCTTGTCATCGTTTGGGAGGAGATATCCTGAAGCTCGGGTTAGTTTCGATCGCAGTGTCGCCATGCGGCCGTAAACACGACTTACGTCCTCGTCGAAACGCATGGTACCGCCTTCCGTGCTCTTCGGGGTAATTCGTGATACTTGGCGTCAAAGAAGCCGAGTACGCAGACCTGCATTCCGAGCTTGTGTTACTACCTGTTTGCAATGAAAAGAGCTCTGAAGACAATTGTACGTCGCGTCCGAGAAAGTCTCATCTACGAACTGAAGAAAGTCACGTCAGCACTGTAAAATAGTTAGGCCATTACTCCAGAACTGACATGACCTTCATGGTCCTCCGGCACTGGAAGAACAGCAGCGTCTTCGTCATCCATAAGGGGCAGGGGACATAGCCAAAAGCTTTGAGGCGAAACCAGGAGTGAAATATGATAGATCAACAAACAGAAGCAGCAGGAATCAAGACGGCCTCCCGGGGCGATCTATACAGGATAGCCACCCGTAACGACAGCACTTCCTGAAATCCCACGATGTTTAGCTCCCCGCGCACGTCGCCTCTGCAATCTCTTTGTCTCTTTCATTCTTGCGAAAGGAGAAAAAAAGTCGAAAAGTTGCGAGAGAAACGTTCCCGGCTCCGCGGGTCGAAATCTAACTTTGGCTGACAAAGGGCAAACGGACAGCGATAACTGGCCATCTTGGACGCCTCGCCGGCCGACTTGGAAGTCAAATGATGCCGTCATGTTTCTCAGTGCTCGGGCCTCGATTCGGAGGAAAAATAGCCCTTTGAGCTGGAACATGGAATGATAGCCGTACATGCTACGCTGCCCCCCATGGGTGAAAGGTGAGGAGACAATCATTCCCACGAATACAAGCGGTCATTCCATTAATCCTAAATTTGACACTCGGACGCTTCAAGCAATCCATCATTTTATTTTAGATGAATCTAGACTTGCGACGAACCTGCATCTGAAGAAAGTTTGAAAGCCCCGTGCATCTCAAAGTCCCTCCTACCTACAGAAGTACATGGATTATCATCACATTAGAAGATATCAGCCAAAGACAGCGACATAGATTCGCATAAAAGGGGAACCTGTATGTGGTAAAGAAAGAAAAAAGGTGAAAGAAACAAGTACCAGTTATACAGCAACGAATGAAGCGAAGCAGAAAGTATTTGAAATCGCCTTCTATTTAGGCCAGACTGCTCCCGCGATGGCGACCATTCAATCACCCATTATATCATCTTCAGCAGACGTAAGCGGTGACTCTGCGTCTTCACCCTCGCCATAGCCCGTCACCGGGTTATTTTCATCCTCAACAAGTCCCCTAGCACGTAAATCGTCCTCCTCATCTTCCTCTACATGTTGAACACCCTCTCCTTCATCATCTTCTTCGTCATCAACCACTCTTTCAGCAGATTTGACCTTGCCATTGCTCAAATTTCCGGTGGCCCCATTAATTTGCTGGTTTCTAGGGTTAGGCTTGGAAGTTCGCCGAGCCGGCGCTTTGTCGTCCTCTAAGTATGCCAAAACAGCCTTGTAATTATGGCCTAGTCGCGTTCTGTTGCGGAGCAATTTCGTCTTTAATTTACCGGCTTGTGAGCCCGAAGAATCCAATACATGGCCGATAATTGCTAGGACGATTTTCCCCGTAAATTCGCAGAGCTTTTGTTCAGCTAGGAGCTGAGCGCGCATGCGTCGCGCACTTGACTGTACGTCGTCCACGTCATCATCCATGTCCTCATCTTCCTCGTCCGAACTATCTTCGAGATCCTCTTGCGAGAGTGGCTCCTCATCCGCTGGGAGATCAATCGCGTGATGCGTTTTCTTAGCATATGCTTTAAGCACTGCGTCATGGATACGCGAAATAGATGCAGACGCTGTTGGAGAAATATCTCGCACTAGGTCTTCGATTTGTGACATTGTTTCATCGTCACCTTCACGGGCTCTATTGGATATATGCCGAAGTGTACCAAATGCGGTCTGTAAATCGAGAAGAGTCATTGCGGCTGCAATCCTCGTGCGATCCACTCCCTTCCGCGTGTCCATGATAGCCGTAAGGATAGCGATGCATGCTTCTTGACGATTCGATAGTCTCTCAAAGAATTGTCCATTGAAAGATGCTTTCCCATTCGAAATGCCAGATTTCAACGATTGGATTTTCCACATAAAATAGACAAGCAGTGTCTTAAAAGTACTGAAAATCAGTTCTTCCTCAATCAAATCAACCTCTTCGTCGGAATCTGGAAGGCGAAGTCCTCGTTTAGCAATAGTTAATAATATATCCACGGGGGGCTCTGCTCTGGACTTTCGCTTGTTAGATCCTTGAGGAGACGTTTCGAGAATTGATGTGCAGTCAAATATACTGGCGAGATTTGAGATTCGAACAATAGTGTCTTTCAAGGAGCCTAGTATACTCAGGGAGAGTGTGTCATTGCTCTGAACGTGCTTGTTTGCCACAACTGTGCACAATGCGTCTAGTGTATCATCCCATAGTTCTTGGACTTTATTTTCCATCGCTTCCCTAAGTTCTTCAGACGTTCGGGCATGAAGGAATGCAACGGTCGCCTCGGCCAGCACATTCTGGTCAGAATGGATCAAAAACTGCTTATTAATATTGTTTAGAATTTCTGCGTACGCCGCAGCATCCTTCTGGAGATCCTGAATGAGGTCAAGATTGACGAGGTGTTCTAGCCTTAGAACTGCTGACGCAGCTTCTGGAACAGCGCCGAATTTGTTGAGGAGCTGGGGAATGATCTGCGAAAGGCTATGGGCAACAGCTTCCTGCTTGGCCTCCATCATTTCCACTAATTGCTTTGTCCTTCTACCTTTCTTATCTGTGTCAGACTTCGAAACCTCCTGGGTATGAAGCTTGACTGCAGCACCCAATACCTCAAGTAAGATAGCTTCCTGGCCATCGCCGAGTCTATACAGCTGCTTGATAGTATTTCCGGAAGTATCATCGGCCGCCGACTCCGGAATTTGAGAATGGTCGTATAGAAGATATCCAGCTAAAGATTCCCATTGGCTCAGTTCCTGGAGATGAGGGTAGATACTGTCCGTTGCAAGTGCAAATCTGGATTCAACCTGGTTGGCAAACAAATTCGTTTTACTCGATGCTTCCTGTTCCTCGGTGAGTTCAGATTGCTGCATATCGTACGCTTGGAGCATATCAACCAAGCATTTATATTTGATCCAAGAGCGCTTAGGAATCTTGAAATCATCATCTTCATCATCATCTCCAAATGACTCGTTGAGCTCATCTTCCAACCCTTCTACCTGTGAATCGTAAACGTCTTGAATATTGGCCACGAAAAATTTGCCAGCTGCTTTGCGTACTTTCGCCTCGGTATCCAAGACAAGTCGTCCGATACTGTCGATGTCATCTGGCTCCAAAAGACCGGCATCACGGATTAGATCCGCTAGATCCACCGCCGCAGCTCTAACGCTGCTTTCCGCATCCCGTACGGCCATTTCCACAACTCTTGGGCGAAAGCGTTCCGTGAAAGCCCGGAGTCCGGGTATATTATCCTTGTTCTGAAATAGGCGACGGAGTTGGTGAACGACAACCGATCGCGTATGAGCAAAAGTATCTGAAAGAACCCAGCCCAAGTATCGAAGATATTGACCCTCGAAAAAAACTTGTCTGTACGTTATTATCCATACACCAAGTGCGGTCATACACTCCGCCCGAATTTTGGGATCAACGTCTCTATATCGATGTACGAAAACGGTGTCGAAAGAGTCATGAATAATCCCGTCTATAGTCTCAAGTTTCTGCTCATTCTCTTGAACCTTCGATTGGAGCGCACCCACTCTACCCTTGTTAACCGTCTTCTTCTTTTTTTCAGTTTCAAGTTGCTTCCTCGTATTCGACAATGTTGTGGAAACCTCCTTCGCGAGATGACACAGAGTCGTAACAATCGTCAAGGAAATTATAGTGGCGGTATGTCTAAACGGTCGAATGGGTGCAGAAGACATTGACGTTATCCAAGCTTGAATATTCTCTAGCAACGCGGCGTCATTATACAGTATCGAGGCGCTGTGGATGGTTCTGATTAGTGACTCGAAATATCCGGTCAATACGGACTGAAAGCCTCTGAATTTCTTGGATTTTGATATGAGAGGGTATTCCGTAATGTTTTGCAATTGGTATTCCTCCTGTAGATCGTTTAGGCGGTTTGCGACGTTGTCTACGTCTTCAATATCATGTACATCGACCTTTGAGTCGGCGCCCGTGCATCTCAGAATAAAATTTACGAGGTCGCACATCGCATTGATATTATGTTCCTCGTATCTTGTAAGCCATTCAGCTGCGACGGCATCCGTAGTATGGCCTCGAGCAAAAACCTCGGCTGCCACGGACGATCAGTATTGTGGTCCACCCCCGAAGAATCACTAGTAACCTACCATATAAGCCTTCCTCACCGACAAATCCGCTTGGTCGCAGATGCTGCTTCTTCGGCTTCTTTGGTTTCTTTGCTTCTCCATTGATAAATGGTCGCAGCGCAAGTTCCGTCTCGACACCATTGCCGATTTTGGGCTTTTTGGCCGCTCGTTTGGTTTTTTTATTTCCCTCCTTCGCTCTCTTCTTCGTAGCCTTCTTTGCCGCTCTTCGCCTCTCCCGAAGTTCTTCCTCATCGGGCTCACCTTCACTTTCATCATCTACCTCCTCATCCTCGACTTCTTCATGATGATCTTCTTCAGCATCACCCTCGTCCGACGCGTCATTCTCATCATCCTCGCGGGGCGAATTCGCACGTTTCCGCTTCGTCGAACCGGGAGTGAATGTTTGCGAGGAGAATAGTTCAGGTTTCCGCCGCACGCGCCCTGACTGGCGTCTGTTGGTGTCTTCGGCAAGAGAGGCACCGGTGGGTTCAGACAGCGGACTGGAGTCGCGTTCCTTGGAGTGCGCGGGGTCCTCCATTGAGAATAAGCCTTACGTGACTTGGATACGGTACGCAATGAACAAAATTCAACCGTCTGAACCGGAATTCTCTCGTAGATCAAGGCACGGACGGCTTGTTTGGATAGATCGGCAAACCCGGACGCGACGAGACCGGGCGTGGGCGGACGCGTTTCCTTGAAGGATGGGGCTTCAAACGGTAGATAAATCTATTCAAAACAAAAAATGCTAAACTTGACGGGGCGGCAATTTGTCAGGTCCGTCAGCAGTTCACTGGACAAGACGCTGTTGGACGAAGGCGACAGGCTGGTTGGTGAGGCCTTGCGGTTGTTGAGGAGAATTGGATGTATCAGCAGCCCTTCCGCTCGCTGGTCGCCCTAAATTGTGTCACGCAGCGAGGGCCTAGCCCGTATCAAAACCGCACAATACAGGCATATACCATCATTGAAAAGCAACAATAAGCGGGAAAGCTGGGGTAAAACGTGTACTTCTGTTACCATAACATACACCACCATTAACGTCCAGACGTGAGCACGCTCGACGATGGTACGGCATCCAATCTGAAGATCCTCGCCATCGGAGAGAACTCGAAATCATATCATCCGAAGAGGCCTGAGGATGCTTTTGTTGAATGGGCATAACACAAATTGACCCCCGTTATTCCCGCATACCCATGGCTCGGCCCTTTCCCCTTGACCGACGCTGCCTCCACCCAACATGCCCTCCAACAACATCGTAAACTCGCCGTTCTCGACCTCAATTGCACCTGGACGCGGTGAAGTCGTACTCTCAATTCTTCCTCCCGGGATCCCTTCCCTTAGCACCCTTTCTTACAGATACCCTTTGAAGCTGCTCTCGCGTGTACCCGGCTGCGAGCTTGATTCTAAATTCCCCGCCTCTGCGACTACACCAGTACATTTATATCTCCTTTCCTATGGTGGCGGTCTCTTACCAGGGGACCATATCGATGTCACGATAAAGTTACGGCCGCGCAGCCGGCTTATAGTTACTACTCCCCAAGGTAGCACGAAGATATACAAGACTGAATCCCAGGCGAAAAGAGGCGACGTTGCTCGGCGGGGTACCAATGTCTCCAAACTGGATAGAAGCCAGCAGATAATAAATGTCGAATTATCTACTGAATCCGCTATACTTTACTTGCCTGATCCTTCTGTACCATTTGAAAGGAGTAAATATGAGCAGATTCAGCGTTTTACACTTCTTCAGGGGGAACGTTCGCCTCAGCCAGTAACGGACGACATAGAAGCTAAGAGAGCTCATCAAGCCAGTCTCTGTCTGCTCGACTGGGTAACAGAAGGCCGTAGTGCAAGGGGCGAGAAATGGTCATTTGACCTCTGGGAGGGCCGTAATGAGATATGGGCTCGGGACTGCAGGACGAGCAAGAGCAGGCTTCTTGTCCGCGACACGGTAACATTATGCAAGGAGGGTAGTACTATCCCAGACGAGAATGGCACGCCAAGGAGAGATGATAATCTTCGCAGGCGACAAGCGTATCTTTCGACGGCTCCTCTCTCGATAGCATCCCGGACCGCTTCTCACGGCGTCCTCGGCACCTTAATTCTATACGGACCCGTATTTGAATCTCTTTCCACGTTTTTCATGGAAAAGTTTTCTTCGCTGCCCCGAATTGGTACTCGTCTCTCTTCGTCTCCCGACTCAGAGGCCAAATCAAAGTCCAAAGACAGTGATATTACATGGACTGCAGCGCGAGTCCGCTCAGGCTTCGTGATAGTCAAATTTGGTGCACCTGATTTCGAATCAGCCAAACGCTGGCTAGGCAGTATATTCCGCGAAGAAGGCAGCGTTGAGAAGGAGTTTGGCGACGAGGCACTGTCATATCTCTAAGACGAGTAGGCCACTACTATCAAGGGGCGAACTCGCCAGATAAGGCAGGCCTTTATCAGATTGTAATACTGATAATCCATTGGCTCTATAACCAAGTACCCCAGAAAGTATAGACAAATCATAAGTTTACTATTCTCGCCTAATAGCTAATCCGTTCATCAAATACGTTGCCAATTAAATGCAGCAAAATACACCGGCCATCTAAAGCCCAACCGCCATCCATGAATAACGCCATTAACAGTGCCCCAGAACAACCAAAAAGCCAAAAAACCCTGAGCATCATGTGGTCTATTTTCAAATCCTAGTCCAGTCTTTCCCGGTTGCGCTCTTTAAATCGTCAACATTCAAGATATCTACACCTTCACGAACCAGTTCCGTCCAAATCTGGTTTCGCAAGCTATAGGGCCAGGCAGGGCTGTCCCAATATCGTACTTTGAGTCCTCTATCGTGCGCACCTTTGATTTGGGCTCTCAAAATATATAGTTGCTTTTCGGATAATTGGAATCTCCAAGGGAAGCCAATAGACTTGTGAAAGGAGACTGAAGCATAATAGCTATTTCTGAAGTCGTAAGGAATTGATGCATGAGTGACGCTTGAATCAGAAGCTGCTAGCTCTGCCAAGGGCGCATCGAAGAAGATATCTCGGTGTGTCGAATTGGCCACAACGAGGTCAAAGGGTGCATTACCGGTTGCAACGACGGTTATCGGCCTTTCGATAACAGTTGTCCCGTTAAAGTAAGTAAGATACCCCTTTTCTCGAAAAGGAGATAGCTGAGAAGTTAGATATGGCCAAATGTCGTGCCCATTGGTCTTGAAATCTACCAGAAGGACAAGTGTTTGGAACGGCTTGGTGTCAAATATTCCATGTGGAGGTCCATCATAGCCAGGTTGAAATCGAGTGACAGGATTCTGCTTTGCAAGCAAAGTAAGAAGCGGGTCAAGGTAGAGACTCGTCAACGTCCGATTAATGGCGAGCGAAGACTTCGTATGCCCGACATAAAGGTCGTTATCGAACAGCCATACATCTGCCTCTACACTAATGCAGCCAGCTTTAATAGAAGAGTAGAGGGGCACTTGTCGCCAGTAATCATTATGGGAATGACAAGCCACAGGTCTAATATCGGCAGTCTGATCTGTCGGCCAGTGTGCAAGGTACTCGCTCGGGTCGCCAGTTTTTCCCCAAAGGTCAACATTCCTATCTATGTAGCTCGGGAAGAATGATACGAAAACTCCAGAAAGAAGTGAAATCAGCTGGACAAGGCCCCTGCGAACGTTAACGGTGTTAGCCCAGTGACAAAAGTTGAATAGCCAGAGATGTATGTTAAGTGCTGGTGGATGCAGAGTTACGAACAGCATGGTCAGACCACCCAAGATAATGAAGAGTAGTAAACGCACTCTTCTCGATCTTCGACAGAAACAAAGCGTCGTACTCAAAGTCAAGCGACGACGGTCGTTAAATCCGCTCTGCTCAAGGTCTCCCTTTTCGTCTCCACTTCGAAGCCAAAGCGCAAGCTGAGCGAACCGGCGGCGTAACGGTATCCATCTCAAATAACACAAAGGACTCTGAATCCCTCTTTCATACCACCATGGTGTCTCAGTCGAAAGCCCGTCGTCGTCCAGGAGCGGTTCTGACGGGACCGAGGCGTCGTCGAGAGAGGCGGTGGAGCCCGCGGACGGTGGCATCTCGGGAACGGCCCACCAGGTGCCTGATGAGAAACTCTTCAGCCAACTAACTACCAGCCCAACAGGGCGAGCAGCATCGCTGTGTTCTCAGGGGTCAATTAATTCTCAAGCGGGAGGGCCCGGTTTGTTATCTTTAAACGCTTTTTAAACGCTCTTAACTCGGCTGATCTCAACAGCGAGTATCTGTTCGGCTGTCACTCTGGGGCTTTGTGGAGGCGGCGGGGCGAGTTAGCAGTTTGCGAGGCAGCTTGAAAAGCCCAGGGTGCTGGCTTCATGGAGAGACGACCGGAGCTTGTTTTCCTTGAAAATTCCGGCCATATGACAGCTTACTATCACCTATTTAAGAGAACTACGTCTTACCGTTTTGCTTGTCATAATGACAGGGATTTTCCGTGTGTGAATTCGAGAGTGTGACCGTTGGGGCCGTCCCAACTTCCCCTGGTCCAGAGCCTGGAACACTTACGAATCCTGCCGTCATTGTTCCTGATGGCACTTCGATTATTGGCTCGACCACACCAGCTGGAAGTTTCTGCTTTTTAAAGTTGCATTGAGACCCGAATTCTGAAGGCTAAGACCCAAGGGATGGGCGTCGCGGCCCCTACTCTTCGAGAACCACTATCTTGTACAACACCGTGGTGGAGGCTTTCAGTTCCTGAAGGAGTGCGAACTACATAGTTAACTGGTTCACTGGAGTAGAGAACCGCTCGAGCACCTTAAAACTACAGTGAGACTTGGAAGAAAGAAGCTGGACATAATCCCGGCTGCCTTCCTTTCTTTTTTTTTTTTTTTTTTTTTTTTTTAAAAAAAAAAAATTCTTTCCTCTTTTCACAGAGTGTCCCAGTAGGGACGTTTTCCCAGAATCGATCCTTTCATCTCTCTCGTTGCGGGCACTTCGGGTTGCTTACTCGGAGATCGTTCTCGTTTTCTGTCATGGACAATCGAAACGTCAACCTTCGCCTTTTCGAGTATAGAGACAATCTAGTGTCACGTCAGCATGAGGTCGTTGCTTAAAAGCCCATGAGATATACCTTATTTAACCCTTTCTCGATACCTTCCAGTGTTCTCCGTGTGTCCTCCAGCGCAGTGCAGAAGCGCTCCATCAGGGCATCGTTCGCGATGTTGGAAGATGGCCCAGTCTTCACACCCTCGACGGCAGGCCCAGCGGCCGCCTTGGAACGAGTATTATATGGATTGCATTTATCCTTCTCCTCTGCGTTTTTCTTCTTCAAGTCCTTGACATACGCCCCGTACTTGTTTTGAAACTCTTTTGCCTTTCTCTGGATTTCGGCGTCGATAATGCGTCGAAGCATGGCTTGTTCATTCTTTTCCCTTTCTGTGGAGAGGTCGAGCAGTTCTTTGACCCTGGGAACAAAGGCTTCGGGAACCTACTCTCCGGTGTCAGATAAAAATTGATATAGGAGGAGTTCATCCATACGGGTTCACATGGCTTCTTTTTTGCGTTGCAGTGCTTGCAACTTCCCCATTGACGGAAACACACATGGTCAAGGTTTCTGGGAAAGGTGTGCATAGTGCACAATACACATGGGATATTCATCTTTGGTTGAGCATTTACTTTCTAATCATGCGTCCGTGGGAAAGGATATCATTCAATGGAACAAAAGGAAGATGGGAATATAGGAACAAGGTGGTATGAGTCGGTTGGAGAGGTGACGGATATATGTCAACATAACATTGCTGACTAGCCAATAGAATAAGAGTGCCCTATCTTCTAATTTCCAATGTGTTTGCTATGTCAGTAACCTTCATGAAAACAGTGACCAGAGCATACTCTATCTACTAAAACATCCCCTTCAAGAGTTGGGATTCAAAAGACCATCAAAGGCTCGACCTTCGGGAAACTTTGACCAATCATTGCGTTTGTACAGTTTATATATAGGGCGCAACTTTGGGCTAAGTTGTTGAGGTTGATTTCGTGCATCGAGAACCCCGGCAGCTCAGAAATACGGACGAGACATTACAGAGAAACCCAGCAGGCTTCGACTACATATGTGTAGGAGGCACTCCAGTGGAGATGCACCGACTCAGCGCCGTTGAATTCACCTAATATATCCTAAATGTTAGCATTTGGCTCTCTTTCTGTGTCCAGATCAAATGGGTCGATATTTCTGATTTCGTCAATAAAGAAAGGCTAGCATCGAATTAGCCAGTTGTGTGCACAGCACTTCGCGCACTGAATAGAAACCCCGTCAGACTTGCCTTATCAGGTTCCGGCTCCGCGGCTTTCATGCCTACCGCTGGAGCGGAGAAAGCGTCAATGGGGACATTCACAATCCACCAAAAGAACCCAGTCGCGTCTAGCCACCCACGAAGCCAAATCTCATTGAAGCGATTATATGGATTGGACTCGGTATAATCTGAGACCTCCCAGGCTGTCTGCTTCTCCAGCTCGCATTGTTTTGCATACCTTCCGAAACTCTTTCGCTGTCTGGGCTATACCTGAATCGACCATTTCACGACGCACTTGCCGGCTTTCGCAGAGGTCAACCAATGATTCAGCCAACGGGATGAGGTGTCGAGGCGGCTGTCCCCACGTCAGAAAAGCTTGAGATTAAAGTAGTGGAGAGTATCCTGACATCTTTGCATGGACGACTCCGTACGCAGTGGTTGCAAGTACCCAAGCTGCGGATACATACGTGCTGGGGCTTGTTTGAGAAGACGTCCAGGAGGCACGATACACACGGGAGGACAATTTTTCGCCGTTGGATTTGAGGCCCGTATGTCGCTGCTAATCGTGGATCGGGAGTCAAAAGAACTTGATGAAGGGCAAGAGACGGGGGTTTGAGGAAGAGGGACAAGGCTTAGAAATGGATTGAAACGAAGACACAAATTTATACGCATGGAGAAACACAACACGATTGACTAGCGAAATAGGATAGATAGTGCAACGACAATTATCGCCACCCTAGCTAGAACATATATCCTGCAGATTTCATATGTGGCCTTTTCCGATATGTGGAATATCTCAGATGTCTTAGGCGCGTAGTTATACTTTTGGCAAATGACCGTGAAGTGATTTGTACGGACTTGACGGCGGCCCTGGTTCTACACCAGGGTCTCCAGTCAGAAGGGGCGGCTTCCGATACAAGCCCTTGAGAACGACAGCGCTTGGAAGCTGTACCCCGATGCTCCTTGACTAACTGTGTTTGGACCAGCCTTCTCGAGGGCTGTAACCATATAATCACACCACAAAATTCCAAGCCCACAATCCAATGTTTCCTTTGCTCAGTAGCTAGATTCTTCTGTGCTTTCTCGTCTAGCTGTGCTGTTGTTGGCTTGGGTGGGCCACGACATGCAGTCTTGAAGTTATCCTGTGCTCCATTGCTCAGATGCTTGCTCGAACTAGGAAGAACTCTCCACAATTTCCAAAGTGTGGTTCGATGGCTTGAGGACCTATCCCAATCGGCCTTGGAGATGAAGTATCATTGCTAACCCAGCCCATACACGGAAGTCATTGGTATTTTGGGGCAGCGTTGGAATTGTTTGTCTGCCAAAGTAAAAATAAGGCTTGATAAGCATTCCCTAGCCTTTTCGATAATTCTGCGTCTGATGAAACTTTCCATAAGCGCAAGCTGCAATCATTTCCGCGAGCTACTGTTCTCAAAGCCACTGGTATTCTTTTCAATTCTTTTTCAAGCACCACTTCTGCCTCGTCTAGTTTGTCTGTCCTGCGATCAAAGGAGGCTTGCATGACTATTAGACTTTCTGCAAGCCACTTGTGTGGCGCGAGCTTCATACTGTGGGCTAACTAATTATGCACTAAAGCTTAATAGGGGATATATTGTGGCTGGCGCGTGCGGAAATCTCAGAAGTGGCTTTCAAGGTCGGTTTGCGCTGCGAACATAGAAACACAGTCATCTGAGCGGATCGCGCATCTCGACCCCCTCAAAATGCCCCACAAACACAAAAGACGGCGGAAGGAGAATGAGTAAGCTTCCTGTCCGAATGGAATTGGTACCGGGTTAAAAAGATGAAGCTGACGTTTGTGGTTCAGCGATCATTACGACCTGCCGCCTAACAAGATTGCAAAACCACTTCCGGCGAGGCTCGATAACGGCACCAAGGACGCCGGACAGAAAAAGAATGCGAAGCAGAGAAAAAAGCCAGCGCATACCGATGATTTCGGTGATGATACGCCTCGACAATTTGCGCGGATGATGCGCAGATTCCAACAGTCCATGCCGGGCGGAAAGGATGGAAACAAAATGAATTCCGATACTGCTGCTGGCAACGTGAAAAACACTAGGAAACGAAAAAGAGGGAGGGATGTTCCTACAGAGGCTTCAGGACGGAATAATAAGCCTAAGGTCCAGAAGGCCGACGCTGCTGTTAAATCAGGAGAGTCGACCAATGTTCCCAAGATTCTTCCCGGAGAAAAACTCTCCGATTACGCTGCTCGCGTGGATCAGGCTCTACCCCTCTCCGGCGTGGCGCGCAAGGCGGGAAATACTGGTGCAAGTAAAATGGATGCTGACATCCGTAACCTGCGCGAACACCGTGAAACCAAACATGAAAAGCGGCTCTTGCGACTGCAAAAAGGATGGCGCGAAGAGGAGGCCAAGATACGAGAGAAGGAAGAAGCAGAAAGGGAGGAGAGAGAAGCAGAAGATGAAGAGGTGAATGACACGTGGAAGCAATGGGAGGCTGAGGCGGGTCACGGAAAGAAGAAGAAGAAGAAGAAGAAAGGAGGTAAAAAGAAGAAAAAGAACGGCGCTGCGGATGGTCCTGATTACTCTGACGACTCTGATGACGATGATCCATGGGCAAAGCTGAATAAAAAGAAACGTGCTGCTCAGTCACTTAATCCGTTTGACGTCGTGCAGGCGCCCCCGGAGAATTTGGCAAAAGTTAAAGAGATATTCAAAGTCCACGGGATCAACGGTGCTAAGGTGGATGTGGCTAACGTTCCAGCCGCTGCTGGTAGTTTGAGACGGAGAGAGGAATTAGCGAGCCACAGACAGAGCATTGTGGAGGAGTACAGGAGAATCATGGCAGAGAAAAGAGGTCAATAACTTTTTAAATTGGTGTAGATATAATAATAGGATATCCCCACAAACGCTATACAAATACATATGAGAAAAGCTAGACGCCGGTAATGTTACCTCTTTACTCGGAGACATGGGAAGAAAATGTAGACTAAAGCCCTCAAGTCATGAAGAAGTTTCATCCGTTTAGGAGTCTTCCTTCAACGACTTCACGTACTCCGCAGCTCGAGCCTTAACCTCATCAACCATCTTATCATCGCCATTAGAGATCTTCTCTTCAAACGTAAGCCACTTCTTGAAGAAGAATTTGGCCTGCTTATCCTTTAGCTTCTTCATCCCAGCCTTGCTGCCGTCGGCACCGACTCCACGGCCAATGCCGAGGACTCGCTCAAATAGCCGCCTGACCTGGTCCACATCACCAACTTTGATCTCAAGATCTAGCAGGATATTCCACAAATCAACACGTTTAGGGAAAGACGAAAGGAGTCCTTCGAACACGGTTCTACCACGCTCAACATCTCCGTGCAGTGAGCGGAATTCTAACTGTCCGAACTTGGATGTGAGTTCGACGTGGGTGTGAGGAGGTAGAGACTGCATGGCGCGAGGCAACAGAGCACGTCCTCGATCTGGCGCAGCCATAGTGTCAAAGAGGAAGTTGGCATAATTCAAGAATAGGTTCGGAGACTGTGTGAATTTCTTTTTCAGCGCGGATTGGAAAATCTCATCCGCTTTCTAACCATATGTTAGTATTGTGGGGCGATCAATAAAGGCAAACTAAGTGTTACTTACCTCTGGCTTGTCAGACTGGATAAAAATGCTTGCCATTTTTTCGTGGATTTCCTGCGCATCATTATACTGACAAGCACGCTTGAATACTTCTTCGAGGCTGTCATCGGTGCCAAATGTATTTTCCAAGTTAAGCATCGCAACCCAGACATTGAATTTTTCCGTATCCTGGCCAAGGCTGATGGACCGAAGGGCGCGCTCAGCAATCTCGCGCGCCTTATCAACTTCCCCTAATTCAAGGTGGAATGCCATGTACTTCAGCCACAGCAAACTAGAATTAGGCTCCCCGAGAAGGAGTCGTTCATAATCATCCACGGTCTGGGGTCCGTTCGCATCGAGATCACCGGTTCTGTCGACTTGAATTTCAGCCTTCCGGCGCTTCTTTTTCTTTGACATATTTTCATCGTCCGAATCAAATGCAGCGCCATTCAAACCTTTTTGAATTTCGTATGAATCGCCTGTCCAGTCAAAACCAGAAGTGACCAAAGCGCCTTCTTGATCGCCATCGGCATCAGCCATCAACACATCGACATTATCAGAGTCTGCTGACTGCACGAGACTGTTGGAAAGGTCCACACCGCCCATTATAATATCCTCTCCTTCGTCAGAGAGATCTTCGTCGTCAATGCCTGCCTTGAGGGCTACCCCGCCTAACTCATCATCACCGCTCTCTTCCTCGCTTGCACCCTCGCTCATATCCGAATCCGCCTCGTCGCTATCATTATTGAAGTATGATGCCTTTAATCCCAACGATATTTGATCCTTTTTCAAATCTATTTTGAGAATCTTGGCCTTCACAATATCTCCTTGTTCGTAAAGCTTCCGCGCATCCGTAATCTTTCGCTCCGCCATTTCACTCCGATGGCAAAGGCCGCTAAGATTGGCAGTTCCATCAATTGAAACGAATGCGCCGAACTCTTCGACCTTTCGAACTTTCCCCGTGACTATTTGGCCTGGTTTCAGGTCCTTCAACTTGAGCGGAGGCTTGTAGTCCGGGTCTAGTGCCGATTGTTTCAAGGTCATCTGGACTTTCTTCGCTTCGGGGTCCACCAGAGTAATTCGCCCTCGCACGATCTGATCGATTTGGAATTCGTCTTGCCATTCTTTGAGATAAGAATCCGATAGATCCGAAACACGAACATATGCAGTCACGTTGTGACCGAGGGTCACGAATAGTCCGATATCGGCAATTCTTCGAACGAATCCCCGGACGATATCATTGACTTTAAGCCGGTCGATAGACGCGATCTCAGGGTCTTCAACGGGAAGGGATGTACTAAGCACTTTCGATGGGCGGACAGATAGAGCTACCCTTTTGTTTGGCACATCGACATCCACAACGCAAACACGAAGGACAGCGTTTTTGTGAAAGTTCGCAGGATTAATTTTCGAATAGTCATCAGCCATGTCAAGTAGTCCGATGGCTCCAACAAGCGACTCATTAAGCTGCACGAGAACCTGACGCTCGGTCACTTTAGTGACTTTACCAAGGAGAATCATGCCTTTAGAAAGGTCGGATATCGTAAGTTTCTTCGACGAGGCTCCATGTTTAGCGGTCAAGTCAAGACGATTCTTATCAACATCTACCGCGGCTACCGTGACCTTGAGGGCGGATCCAATAGGAAAGGTCCTTTTAATATCGCCAGCAAGAGCCAGGTCGTCCGAAATGTCCATAATTGGAAGCTTTCCTCGCACGCTTGGCGAGATGTTGAGCCACAGACAATCATCGCCTATGTTATTGACAAATCCTAAGAATGAACTTCCAACCTTAACTTTTTCCAAACTTATGGGGTCGAGATCCGGAGATTTTAATGAACTTGGCTTCGCTGAGAGCTCAAAAACAGGGACCTTGCCTGTGCGATGACTGATTGGTAAGAATTTATGGGTTCGCGCATCATGAACGCCTAGAATTTTAACCGGAACGACTTGCTTGGGTTTGTAGAGCCTCAGTGGCTGTTTTCGATCCTTGATGTCTTCCCAGTTATCGAACACTTCAGATACGTCTATACGGCCCTGGACATTGTCTGCCAACAACACATTGAGCTGGGTATCCTTGACTGAGGTGATTCTCGCCTTCGTGACCTTCCCGGTTATAAAATCGTCGAGAGATTTGATATCTTGATCCACGGGATTGCTAACTGACAACTCATTCGTATTTTTTGTCTTGTATCGGCGTTCATGCTTCTCCTCTTCCTTTTCCACGGGCTTCATGGTCAAAATAAACCTTTGGGCATCCTGGTCAATGGAAGAGACTGAGCAAGAAATAGACTGGGTACGCATAAATCCAAAGTCCGCCTTGGTTAAATGTTCATCATCCACTAGACGCTTGGGAAGGAAGCCTGTAAGCCCGCCCAAGAACTCGACAAATATGCCGTCATCCGTAATATTCCTAACAAGACCCGTTACGCTTGAATTTAATTTAAGGTCTTCGAATTTGGCTGGCAGCGTTCCTTTTTCAAGCGCAGTCTTCAAGCTTGGCTTATTGCTGACCTGGATGAGCCGGTGGGTTTTGCGTATGCTAAGGATCAAAAGGTCGTGGAGCTTCTGGCCAACCCTGAGTCGCGCAAGGTTAGCAGCAGCTTTGGATGGCGCCGCATCCGAGAGTTGTTCCGCACTGAGGCGTGCAATTAGTCCACCATCCTCAAGCTTGAGAAGTAAATCATCGCTGGACTTCTCAAAGACAGTTCCGGAAACAAGTAGTCCTGGGTGTACATTCTCAAATGCACTCTTATATGCATCCGTAACTATCGAAGGATCTTTGCAAGAAACGACCAATCTTCCTTGCTCCGCATCAACACTCAACGCATTGACATTCACCACTTGTCCGATGCTGAAGTGTTGAGAGGGATCCTTGATGTAAGCTTCACTCATCTCGGAGACCGGAAGAAACCCGCGAACAGCCCCATAAAATTGAATGACGGCGCCGTTTTCTTGTATACTCACAAAAGTTCCTGGGGATTGATTTCCTGGCGCTATGTCCCGATAATCCTTCCAGATTGCAGACTCGCTATGTAATAATGATTTCTTTAGCGTCAACCGCAATTGTCGCTTCTCAAGATTCACGGACAATATTCTAGCGGTTACCTGTAATCCTTCGCGGAACTTCTTCTCCGGGTGCTGTAGCTTGGCATCGGCCATGTGCACTCCAGGAACAAGGCCACTTATACCATCGGCAAGGGAAACGAGAAGGCCATTGATTCCATCAGGCCCCATGAGAAGCTTCTCAATTTTCCCTTTTACCACTGCACCAACTGTAACGTCTTCCAGGCGGAGAAATGGTTGGTCAATAACTTTCTTTTCCAGGGATAATAAGAAGAGATTATCTAGAGCATTGAACCCGATTATGCGACCTTCATGATGCGATCCAACTTTAAAAGGTCCTTCCGCTGACGATAATGAGGAAACCTTCCCATCCTTCACTCTCGATATATGGATAAAACCGTAATGTTTGGTGTTCCCCAGCTGCACGTACAAACCCAGGGTGGGATCAACCTTGATCACCTTCACCTCCGGTATTATCGCCGAAATAGCGGGTTTATCATCTCTATCTTGCGGATCAGCCACAGATGTTGGTGAGAATTTGAGAACATGGTCAAGAATTGAGAAACCCAGCTTTGGGTTCTCATCAGATGGATACGTGCAAATAAGTCGACCTGTCGCTTTCGTGGCCGGGCGATACTTCTTTGTCAAGTCCTTTGTCTCATCAGTTGAGCCGGAATGCACTGCATCGACAACCACATCCAGCATTCCCATGATATTTCCGGTCATACCGTTCGGAGTAACTTCCGTCAAAAGAATTTCGGCAGCGGTTCCGGGGAGGAAAGTATTTATCGTTGGGGCGGAGCTGAGGTAGTGTGATTTCTTCGCAGATGCAGCTTTTTGTAGGTTAGCGGAGAGTTTGATTACATTGCCAGCAGCATTATGGCCAGTAACAACACAAAGGAATACAGCTCCTTCTTTGACTTGGGACAGATCCACGCTCGGAGGCAGCTCTTTAGAGGACATGAAGCCTCTAGTGTTGCCATCTTCTAGACCTAGGTCCATTATAAGGCCGTAGTCTTCAACACTTAGCACGGAGGCTTGCACTGTGGAGTCAACAATCATGTCTGATTTTGACAGACCAGCATTTGCCTCTTGGGGGTCGACGGAAAGCTCGATACGCTTCTTGCCTTTGCCAAGTCCATGTCCGTTATCAGTGGTTGATGAAACGGACGCACGGAGGTATTGGCCGAGTCGGACATATGATTTGAGGTCGAAATCGTCCTCGTCAGTATCTTCATCGTTCTCGTCGTCTTCGGCATTCTTTAGAAGTTTCTCAATCTTGCCCTTTAATATCTTTGAAACAGCAGTCCATGGTACGTATCCGGTTAAATTATTCGGAAGTGCCAGGGAGATGTTGTGAGTACCGATACTCGAGACTTGGCCAAGAATTTTGGAACCGGGCACAATTCGCTAAGCAAAAGGTCAGTTATATTCTCCTCAGCTTTATATTTTGTTCCCCGCCTGTACCTTGAAGCTTAAACTTTCGATCTTTGGCCCCTGAGGCTTCGCTAACGCTTCAGCTGACTTTTTGTGCTTTTTGGCCTTCTGCTTCTTCTTTGAAGCTTTAGTAGCATCTTCTCTCGCCGTATCTTCGTCCTTTTCAATCTCGGAATCATCATTTAATATCTCCCCGCCCGGTGTACCATTTTGCTCAAAGAGCACATCCCGAGTGGCCTGAATCTGAATTTGCTTTCGCTCTAATGGAGTCAGAGCATTGTTACCACCTCGAGGAAAGGCCGGAGCTTCGTCGCGCAGTACGGAAACAGTAGAGGGCCTCGAGGAGGACTCCGATTGACCCTTCAATGTATCGGTGCGATTCTTGCCCGTCGGTCCATTGGCCCTTGAGTCTTTCGTCACACGCTTCGCATCCTTTTCGCAGTCCTGGCCGGAGACCTTGACTCGCTTTTTTAAGTGACGAGAGTTTGAGTCCTCCGGCGCGTTTCCCTTTCGTTTAACGGAGCTCATCTTCGACAATTGCTTATCCCACCATAGCTCCCTTCCAACGGGCTTATCGGTGTATCGGCGGAAACCGACTCTCAAAAGATTCCCGCTTTTCGGCCAGCCTGCTGCTGTGTGTAGAAAAGAGAATTTCTGCTGCTCTTTACCGCCCGTTGCGTTCCAGAAACCTTCTGCTGACATAAGATCTTAGTCACAAAACCGCTAAGGCCAACTCGGACTAGCCACGGCCCCGTGCATGAGCCACCAATCGCGTCACGTCGCCACAAGCCACACGAGCGACACGCTCTGCTTAATTGAAAAAGTGGCTCCTCAGGTACGAGACGCATCTCGCTCGGTCGCGACGTGAACCATGAATCCAACGCAACCCAATTCCTCCTCCTCGTTGTATTTTGCTTCTGTTTCTGTTTCTTTAGGCTATAGCATTACTGGCTTGCTTCTCCCAATGCTACTAACTAAATTATAATTGGAATACATTTTTATACCTGTGGAAATGGACATGTCTAATGCTCTCCGTGACAAGCAGCCCAGCAAGCTGAACGAGTGTCTGGATACCATACCCTCCTCACCACCTACTTTGAATGCATCTCTAGATACCCTCCCTGCGTCCCCTCCATCCCTGAAACCGAAAAAGCGGCCCCCAGTAACTCCAAGGTCTTTCAAGAGGTTCTTCACTCCCAGATCATCCCTTCACGGCTCCAGTACGCGGTCTGGCGTAAGAGCAGGCCGCAATAACCTCAAAGATATATTAACTCCGCCTTCCTCATTAAATCGCAACGGGCCGGCGTTTCTCAACCTCCAAAACGACAACAAATCCATATCCAGGCAGTTTCCAGATCAACCATCCACTCCAACCAGGAAAAGAAAGCTTTCCTTCTGTACTTCAAGCCCACCTTTGCAATCGTCACCTTTGAGACGAGTCCGAACTATTCCAGCAATTTATACCGATCCAATTGATAGGAAGGAGGATATAGAGGAGGCCACATCCACATTCAATACCATTATAGAAGAACCAAATGAAGAAAAAGTTCCTGAGCCTATACCTTTGCATCGATCGCAGGCCATTCAGGCTGCCGGTCCAGCCCTCCTACGCAACCTAGCCATTAGCAGGTCATCACGGGTAACTCTCAGGTCGCCTTCCTATGGTACAGGTTTGTTGTGGGAGTCGATGTGTCAATGTCCTTGAAATCAACTAACTCTCTCTCCCACAGTCTGGCAGGATGAAACAGCCAATTTCTATAGCCGTCCGGAGGGTCTTCACAGATGTTGGCAGGATGATCACCTTACATTGCCATTTTGCACGGCAGCTTGTCACAGTACGAGTTCCTCATTGCCCTCCTCAGTGCTGCTGTTTTGCTAACCGTCGTACAGCGAATTCTTTAGTCGCTGTAGGAGATGAAGAAGGGGGTATCCGCATTTTAGATACAGCCAAAGGCGATAAGGCTGGATTCTCACAATCATTCTTAACTTTCCAACCACATATGAACTCGATCATGGACTTAGAATTTTCGTCCGACGATAAGCTCTTAGCAACAGCTTCGGGCGACCAAAGTTCCCACATCATTGACATGCCTACCCAAACCGCTGTTTATTGCTTGTCAAAACATTCTTCGTCCGTCAAACGCGTGCAATTCCAGCCTGGGTCTAACGGAAACGTGGTTGCTACTTGCAGTCGAGATGGAAGCATTAACATCTGGGACCTTCGATATAAGGCATTTGATAAACCATCACTGCAATTGCATTGCTCGCTTGCATCTGATGGCGATGATACAACGCGGATATCAACCGCGAAAATGAAGTATCCTCAAGTGTCTAATAATATCCGAGGGGCTCACTCCGAGCGACCGCGTTCTAAGGGACAGTCTGAATCCCAATCCCATCGGGAAGATATCTCAGTCACCTCTATCTCTTTTCTTCATCCTGGCCGAGAACATTTATTCGTGACGAGCTGCGAGTCAAACGCCTGCGTCCGGCTCTGGGATATGCGCACTAGCTATTCCCTCCGTCGAAAAATGTCGACGCCTGTAGCCATTACGAGACAACCAGAGAGCCATTCACGATACCGACAATTCGGCTTGACTTCTCTGGTGTTCAACGGTGATGGAAATCGCCTGTATACGTTATGCCGAGATGGGACTGTTTATGCCTATTCAACTCCCCATTTAATTCTCGGAAACTCCAACGAACTATCCCTATCAAATCCACCACTCCGCCGGTTCCCAGGTGAAGAGCCCAAAGCTGGGCTTGGTCCACTTTACGGTTTCCGCCATCCCCGTCTTTTGGTTGCTACATTCTTTGTGAAAATTGCGCTCCGCCAAGCGCAAAACGATAACACGGAGCTCCTTGCTGTCGGCAGCAGTGATAATTGCGCCATTGTCTTCCCTACAAACGAGCGCTATTTCAAGAAGTCTTTGCCGACTTCAGAGATCTCCCTTCCAACAAATTCCATGCCTGGTCCAAAGGGGTTCGGCGGTCGACGCATTGGCCTGCAGAGAACAAAGTCCGGGACCAGCCTATCCGCACGATTGGAACATGATATTCCCATATATCAACACGGCTCACCTCTGGTTGAGGGACACCAAAAGGAAGTTTCTGCTGTCTCTTGGACAAATAACGGCGAATTGGTGACCGTAAGTGACGATTTACACGCCAGATGCTGGCGTGAAGGCCCTGATGCAAGGGACCTGAGACTTGGAGGCGAGGCAGGAGGGAGGCGATGGAACTGCGGATGGGCTGAAGTGAATGATCCAGAGTATGATGAGGAAGAGTGCTGACCCATTACGCACTCTATTTTTCTTTTTTTTCCTTTTTTTTTTTTTTTTTTTTTTTTTTTTTGGGAACTTTTCTAAGGCGTAGCATTGGGTTACTTAGGAGTTTCAGCAATCTAGAAAGGCAAAAAGGCATGGTGTTTTGGCGTGTTAGGCATGTATGGAGTATAAGAGCGTATGTATTATTTGTATTATCATGATGCTTTCGTCGAATGTGAGAAGCACTTTTACGAATTGAAGCTGTAACTATGTGGGTACGGAGTACTCTGTACAGAGAACTGACGTTCATTAAATTTAGTCTAATTTTTCACGCATGAACCTTACATATAGAACTATCTTTAGGACAGGCGATCAGATGAAATCGGGCAGGTACAAGATAATTTTTCCATTTCAGTGGATTCCCACATAATTCCCATATAATTTTCTAAAGAGAGACCATAACAAGATTTTTAATGGCCATGTCCATCATCCTCAGCCTTTTGCTCGGGATCCAACTTGATCAAGGTATCAATCCTCATAATGGCAATGCATGCCTCCACCGCACTCTTTAATTGTTTAATCTTGCTCATGCTCGGCTCCAAGACACCGGCTTTAAGGGAATCGGCAACCTTGCCCTTCATTAAATCAAGGCCATAATTCTGATAGGCCTTGCGTTTCGCAAGGGCCTTTTCTTCTTCGGTAGCTTTGTCCTCATCACGAGACTGGGAGATGGCGTGCCGGCGGCGAAGTTGAGAAATTAGTTCGATGGCATCCTTGGCCGCGTTGACACAGAGGGTTTTGGGGATGATAAGTAGAGATTGGGCGAATTCGCCGATGGCCTGTTGCTCTCGCGAATTCTGCGAAGATTGTTAGTAGATTGACAAGAGAATCGATGACTCGATACGTACCACTGTGAGCGCGAAATACTCAAGATAAATGTGAAGTGCCGTCTCTACAGCACCACCTCCAGGGACAATACTTCCACTTTCAAGAGTTCTCTTGACAGCGCAAAGTGAGTCATGGACCGATCTTTCCATTTCGTCGAGCTGGAAATCGTTTGATCCACGAAGGATAATTGACGCCGAAGTGTGTGCCTTTGTGCCTTTGATTAGGATGCACTCATCGTCGGAAATCCTCTCCTGGACGACCTCATCGGCACGTCCTAAACTTGACGGCTCAAACTTTTCGTCACCATTGAGATCCGACAGGGTGCTAAGTAGGGTGGCACCTGTGGCTTTCGCGATACGCCGCAAATCCTCCTTTTTACATCTTCTCACTGCCATCGCACCTTTCTCGACAAACATCTTAAGGCATAGATCGTCGATACCCTTCGTCGTTAGGATTACATTAGCACCGGCTTTTAGAATCATTTCCACACGCTCAAGGACGATGCCAGATTCCCGTTCGCGAATCTTCTCCAGTTGCGTAGGGTCATCCACAGTGATGTGGACGCCAAGCTTCATTCTCTCCTTTTGCAAGTTCATATCAAGACAAGCGATTTTCGCATCAGTAATACGAGTAGGCATGGCCTGGGAAGCGATGGTGCAATTTAATGCATAGCCGTTGACTAGAATGGATTCTGTCGCGCTCTTTCCATGTGCCTTGAGCAGGTTCACAGCTTTGACAGGGTACTTTACTTCGTTCGTCGGCGTTGTTGTCTTGACGGATAACATGGCATCGACGACCATATTGGCAAAGAAATCAGCGTCAGAGCCAATGATCTTGCTCGACATGGATGTTTTCGCGATGTTTATCAAGCTGTCTCTGCCAAGATTATCAACCTTTGTACTAATATTCTCGTTCATATATTTCACTGCCTCGCGTAGCGCTAGCCTGTATCCAGTAATAATTGTTGTTGGGTGTATCCGGTTTTTCATCAATTCATTTGCCCGGCGAAGGAGCTCTGCAGCAATGAGAACGACAGACGTCGTCCCATCACCAACCTATTATTGTCAGAGGATTCCTGTCGAAGGTTGAAACGATCAACATACCTCCTTATCCTGTTGTTGAGCGAGGTCCACCAAGATCTTTCCAGCTGGGTGTTCCACGTCCAGCAGACTTAAAATTGTCGCTCCATCGTTTGTCACAGTAACATCCTAGTCTCATAAGCATTGTACACTCAAGCGAGGGGAGGGAGAGCGTACACCTATATCGTCCACCAACATCTTATCGAGGCCGGAGGGGCCGAAGGAGCTCTTCACGACATTGGCAATAGCCTGGGTTGCAAGGACTAAATAATCCAAAGTCAGTAGAGCACCCATCCATACAGGTGGAATGGTTACCAACCATTCTGGTCACGGATATCTTGTCCACTGAGTTTCTGGCCTCCAAGAACTGCACCCAAGTTAGCGGCATCCCACGCAAGAGTAGCTGTGAGCTTAAGCAATACGTACAGAGGGTGCCGGAATTCCGAGACTGCTCAAAGATGGCCGCCATGTTGTTCGAATTGGAAGAAGGAAGCGGTTGCTGTCAACGATGAAAGCTCCCTCTTGTTGACTGATGGTGGAGTACCTGCATAAACTCCATTGGGCTGGGAGCTTCTGGGACTTTTTTGGGTGGTCAGTTGTGCCAAGCAATTTCTGCCGTGGCCGGCGGTGAAGGGCTTTCTGGAACCCCTCGAAATGACTCCCCTCCCTTCATTTCCTTCGACTCTCCGCACGTTCTGTCGCTCGATATCTTCGATCTGTGCTATTGGTCCCGTTTGCCATGTCAAATCAGCAGTCTCAGGACGGCGTTGACGCTTCTCCGACATCTACCTCTCTTCCGATTCGCACCATGGACCCCACTACTCAGGGAGGCGCTGCCCCTGCAACCGGGGAGCTCTCCAAAAATGCCGCGAAAAAGGCTGCGAAACAGAAGAAACAAGCTGCCGACAAGGCGGAAAAGGCTGCTAATAAAGGGATTGGCAAGTCCGAATCCAAGTCCTCGAACCCCAAGCATCCCAAGAAAAAGATCGACGGCGCTGCTCTCATTGGAATAGATGTTGCGAAGGAGGATGATTTTGCAGCATGGTACCAGCAAGTACTATTGAAAGGAGATATGTTAGACTACTATGATGTATCTGGCTGTTTTGTATTAAAGGTAAATACGCTCCCTCAATTGCGTATAATCCTAAGAAAAACGACTAATCAGGTTTGCGCCAATGTAGCCCCATTCATTCTTTATTTGGGAAGAGATACAGAGCTGGTTCAATGATAAGATTAAGAAGATGGGCGTCAAAAACTGCTCGTTTCCGTTGTTCGTATCCGAAGATGTTTTGAAGAAGGAGAAGGACCATATAGAAGGATTTGCAGCCGAGGTAGCCTGGGTTACACACGCGTATGTTCCCCCGATCTTTGGTCGAAGTGATCTATCATGCATTCGATACTAACCCTACGCAGTGGAAGTAGCGAATTAGAGAAAAAGATTGCCATTCGTCCGACTTCAGAAACAGTTATGTACCCATACTACGCGAAATGGATTCGAAGTCACCGCGATCTGCCGCTTAGACTAAACCAATGGAACTCAGTTGTAAGATGGGAGTTTAAGAACCCTCAACCTTTCTTACGCACGCGTGAATTCTTGTGGCAGGAAGGCCATACTGCGCATTTGACCGAAGCAGCCGCCCGTGAGGAGGTTCTACAGATTCTCCAGCACTACGCTCATGTCTATGAACAACTCCTGGCCATTCCAGTCATCCGAGGTCAAAAGACCGATAAAGAAAAGTTCGCCGGCGGTCTCTACACTACGACTGTTGAGGGTTATATCCCCGCTACAGGTCGAGGCATTCAAGGCGGTACCTCGCACGGTTTGGGACAGAATTTTAGCAAAATGTTTGGCATAACTGTCGAGGACCCCACCTCGAAACCGGATGAAAAGAAGCCACCACTTCATGTCTGGCAGAACTCTTGGGGCCTCTCCACCCGTACCATCGGTGTCATGGTTATGGTTCACAGTGATAACCGCGGATTAGTCCTTCCTCCGCGAGTGGCAGATGTCCAGACCGTCATTGTTCCTGTCGGGCTGACCGCAAAAACCCCTGACGACGTACGCGCGTCGATCAACGCTGAAATTGATCACTTGGCCTCTGTTCTTGAAGCAGCCGGCATTCGCGTGGAAATTGACAAGCGTGAAGGCTACTCTCCAGGCTGGAAGTTCAATGACTGGGAACTTAAAGGTATCCCTCTCCGCCTTGAATTCGGTCCTGGGGAATCATCGGGCGGTTTCGTAACCACCTCTCGTCGTGACATTCCTGGAAAAGAAGGAAAATCTACCATTCCAATCGCTGAGTTAGCTACGGCGGTACCGGCCCTCCTTGAAACCATTCAGGCAGACCTCTATGCCCGTGCTGACGCCGAATTCCGCTCACATATTAAGCATATTACCAACTGGGCGGACTTCTGCCCGGCGCTCAATGATAAAAATCTTTGCATGATTCCGCATTGCTTGACAGAGCAATGCGAAGATGAAATTAAAGAAATGAGTGCTCGCAAGGCTGAAGAAGAAACGGGCGAAGCCGTTGACGCGAAACTGCCAAGTATGGGTGCAAAGAGCTTGTGTATTCCGTTTGAGCAGCCAGCTGGTATCGAGAAGGGAGTCACAAAGTGTACAAACCCGAAGTGCACGCGATTAGCAGAGCAATGGTGTCTGTTTGGACGTAAGTTCTCTCACTACGGTTATTTCCTTGCACGAGTAATCTTCATTCGAGTCTAAGACGCTGACCCTGCTTTCCTTTTCCAGGTTCATATTAAACATATCGATGGCCAATTTACATCTCAAATTCAAAATACCTCCAAAGTAAGTTAGCAGAATAAGGGCGAAAGCCCCCAATTGCTGGATTGCGATAATATCACTCATAGACTTCTCGCTCTGTCATACCATGCGGCTTCCCATATTTTTGGATAAGAAGCGTTACAGTTCCTAGGTTGGCCCTCGTTTATCGAATAGATCAAGGAACCTGCAGTTAGTGTGCATGAGCCTGCTATCTTGCTCGGTCCTTCCAATGTCTATAACCTACCTGAGCTGTTTATACGAGGAACCTACGCCTATATTAGAGTAGTAAAGCTAGGCTTGAGAACGCAATGCAACCCTATTATGGAGATCTGTAAAGTTTCTGATGCAGAGCCTTCTTTACTCTTCGATTACTTTTATATCAATTCCAACTGTCACCAGCAATTACGGACCGAATGGCAGGTCTGAAGTTCTCAATTGTCGCACCGATTTCGAAATAGCCATGTATTTCAGGAAGTCTCTGGCATGTCATTTGAGTCACTTACAGATGATAACCCAGGTCCTCAGCATTATAATGGGAGGCTTGTAAAACGGTTAAAAAGGTGAAAGTGTTCACTTCGCGTTTGTAGCAAGAGTAAATATACAAAGATGGATATCTTAAAGTTAAAGCATGCTGTAAAGGAAGTAGAGATATAATTTAACCCCTTAGCGGATCAATGGATAATATAGAATGGGCAGAATTGAAGAGAATTTTGGGTATAAGGTTTCAAATATCAGAAAGCTAAATGGACCGCTTGGAATTAGGTAGAACCTTCCGGAAGACTACTCGGGTGAGATACTATCAACGTCTCGTCCCGATACCACAGGAAAGGCGATCTTGCTCGGCGCGCTCTCCACCCAACTCGATGATGAGTGAGAGGAGCCTTTCGACTTCGAAGAGCCTGCGGATAAAGCAGATCCGTCAGAAAGGGCCGAATAGCGCCTGCATGGCTCAGTGCGACCCAATTGGATTTCTGAAACTATGATAGGATCGTTGCCGTCAATTTTAAGGCTCTTGTCCTTCACTCTAGGCTTTGGATTCTGCGATTGTGGAAAAATACTCCATTTCGATGTATCGGAGCCGTCCGAGACGGCTGATACGGCGCGTGAAAGCCGGCTATGGGAACTATGTGGGCGATTTTCGATTGGCGACTTACAATTAGAGTAGCCTGAACGGCATGGTTGTTGGGAGGGAGATGCTGAAGTTCCCTGAAAACCGGCTTTGACTCCACGGTCACGGATCACCCTCGAAGGAGGTTGGGCATACGTATGTCTTCGTTGACGTGTTCTTAGCTCACAGTTGTATGAAGTATCTGACTCAACTTCTTTCAAGGCGGGAATCGACAACTCCCGTCGTGGAGCATTCGAGCCGTCAGCACCTTTAGATGATTCTTTGCGACGAGAGCTCATCAGATATTGCCCTCTCCTCGAGAAATTTTTGGTTTGGTGCCTCCCTAGGCTATTCTCAGTGTTGTTTGATTCGTGTAGATGCTCTATAATTAAAACCGGCGATAGCTCAGTTGACATACCAGACGAGTTGTCTGAATAAATTCGGCGAAAGGCATCATGACAATTGATTTCGCGAATAATGGTGTCTTCCAAGGTCTCAGATGTGGGATGGCAGTGTGTCTTTTGCGACGAACTATATGCTTGTCTGAACATATTCATGATCTCCTCCACCTTTCGGCTTGCAGTTTTTGGTAACACCGGGGCTTTTGAACTAGTCACTGAGATAGGACTATTCACAATCTCGTCGATACTAGGATTTCGTTGGCTTCTTGGAGAAGAGCTCTCAACAGGACGAGTACCCACTTTAACGAACATCTTGCGGGGAGCCGCCAATTCCATATTTATAGACAAATCTCGGACATTTTTCCTGGACGAAAAGGTGCATGGTTTGGGGAAAATTAGATTTCGTGGACGGTGATCTTTGTTGCTCGGTGCTTTTGCCTCGGATTTCAGCTGGCAAGAAGTGACCAGTTGGTCCGGCTGGTTATTTGCCTTCATCTTCTGCAAATCGCCCAAGACATTGGAACCGATTTTCGCAGGCTTAGTATCGACGCTTGCGGGGTTATTAAATGTGCTTCTAACATCAGGAACGGATGACATTGCTAGGTCGGCACCGTTTGATTCGTACAACCCCTTCTCGCTTTTAATTCTCTTTTCAGTGGTTGTAGAAGAATGGTTTCGTAAATCATGTTCTGACATACTAGTCCTCAAGCCCCCTTTCTCCCTTTCATCGAAGGGTCGGCGGCTCACTGAAGGAGACTGTGAACGTGGCTTGGTACGATCTTCTTTGCCATCATAGAATTGCGACCTTGATTTCCGAACCCGTCGGCTATACTGCGGGGGATGGCATCGGACTCCGCCTCCATTTTGTAAAATATTTCGGTCTGCAACGTCCTCTTGGTATATTGCTGATATGACTCGAGCATACGGATCCTGCGCACGGGTCGGTGGTGTATGAAGGTTCCGCTCAGCAATATCCTCATTGTAAAGGGTCAAAGGCGACACCGGAGCCGATAAATGGTAGCGCTGCGATGAGAAGATAGCTTCTATAACATCGACATGGCGTTTTGTTCGAAGAGGACACGGCTTAGGATCAATATATTGGTATCGCTTTTCTGCCCTGGAACGAAAATGATCGTGCAGTTCTTCAAACTGTCTCTCGATTGCCAAGAACGATTGATTATCCATATTGAGCGGCGGAGGGCATCCTTTATGCTGACTTCCGAAAAGAAGCTTAGGGGAGGCTTCACCCATAGATGATGCGCAGCAATCAAGCTCCGCCGAATTGGCGCTGCACAGTCGATCCCGCGACTTCTCCGTACTCAGAAACTTCTTTAATCCTACCATCGTTTCTTGTTATTAAAAGAAGTCCAAAACTTTAGAAATTTATCGATAGGAAAGTGCAAAGATATGCACATAGACACTCGAGTGGCAATGCAACGAGAAAGAATCTGGAGTACGGAGTACGGAGTACTCACAATCGGAGGGGAGGAGAGGCAAGGTCCTCCAAACTCCGTCCGTCTTTTGCGAAAAACGCAAAGCGAGAAGGAATATCGACCAAGAGAGTTTGGCGATCACTGCAAGGATGACCAAAAAAAAGTTGACCTGTAAGAAGTATCCTGGGGCAATGCATGCAAGGAGGATGGAGAGACTGTCATCGATATTTTCGAAGGCCGTGAGTGGAGGCTTTGAAGTAATTAAAAGAAAGAGGGCCCGTCGCCCTGTGCCCCGAGAGCCAGTCAAGCTAGTTGACGACTTGGTGATAGTGCACGACAGCAGGATCCACCGTCCGTATTCCTCAGTTACCCTTTTCTCAATCTGCAAGAAGAAGGGGGGAAAATCGCCGCCTGAAAATGCCAAACTGGCTATTCATCAACTGGTCTTTCAATTGGATGATTTCAAGTGGTAACCTCAAATGCCCTCGCGCTGGTCGACAGCCAGGGGAGCTTCGGGCAGGGCATGGTTTGCAAGGAGCCAACTTGCTGGCATGGGTGTCCTTGACCCCAATCGACCCACCGGGAATTTGAGCTGCAGGCTGCGGCATCTTTCCAACGGCTTATTCGAACTTTCGTGCTGGTCTCGAGCTCAAAGCTGCCCGCGCACTCCTTGCTGCGGAGACCCGCTAGAACACTTCCGTGTTAGGACTGCTAAATCCATCCTCGTTTTGAACAGGGGTTTCCCTGCCGGGGATCTGATTGGATCGTATGCGGCCGCTGGGCCCCGACCCAAGGCGTTCGCGTCTTGTTTTAGGGCCATGAACAAACCCATCGCTTCGGGCTGAAGGAAACACGTTTTTCGTCTCAACTCGACATGTGATTTGCTCAAAGCCAAGGGAATCCTTTCTGCGGTGGCTTCCCGCTTTGTCCTATGAACTACGCCCTCGAAGGACGCAATGGCCTCTGTGCTCACATCTCTTCAACGCCACGACATTTCGATCTAGAATCCGGGGTTCGTACAGAGGAAAGTCTTTTCATCAAACGGAATATTTTAGCCTAAGATCGATCCATGGAAATGCCAAACTCACTTACCACTGCTCCTCCATCCCGCGCGGTCATTCATCATTCGTCAAGTCAGGCGTCGAAGGGAGGTAAAACGGAAGAGCAAGTGTGTCCCGACTCTGCGTTTGCTGATAGACGGTCAATTTCAGCCGCGATTGGCCGCACAGGCGGGCCACACGAGTCTGAAGAAACCCAACGCAGAAGATGAGGTTGAAGGTCTCCCTCGACTCACCTGACTTCCCGTTCGGGCAATATTAACCCCAAGTTGGCACTTGTACAATTGTAAAGTATCAGAAGCAGACCGTGGATGGCGGCTGATCAGGAGGAATTTCCTCACGGTGAAAGGGACTTTTTATCATTGACTAATGCTCTACAGAGGAAGATGTGCGGCCTCGTGCAATAGGCCTTCCATACATACAAACGTGCAGTGACTTTGGTTCTCGTCCAACAGTATACCCAATAGCATGCGCCACGGTGATATGCAACAGCGGCAGGCCGATTATACTTCATGCATAGCAATCGCACTTCCGCTCCAATACTAACAGCATATGTGGCGAGTCAGCAATCCGGAAGAGCCGAATTTTGAACGTAGCCCAAAATCCAGAGCAAGCCATGCCTTGCTCTACTCTCGTGGGTTCTCCTCCAATGGAACCCAGGGAACTTCCAAGTATTGCTTGGGATCTTTCCCCTTCCCCTCAGCTTCTGCTTCCTGCATGCGGGATAAAGGTAGCTTTCGTCCAAATGCAGGAGAGCCCGGCCCGAACAATGCATTGTTCACTGCCTTTTCTGCCTTTCCGATCGCCACGAGGCTGCCGGGGTTTAGCCAATTGCGAGGTGAGTGAGGGTCCATATCAGTGACAACTATATGTGGGAGTCGATATTGTCTCCAGCTCCATTTCTTGTCCGTGGTTTCTTGGAATCCTGGGTATCGGTTACAGTGGGTATCCATTTGTTGCAACGATGCAACCTGTGAGGCGGCTGGTTCTATCACAGGCGATGTTAAGGATGATGTTGACGAGAGCGAGATTGTGTCGATGTGGGAGTCCCTGGCCTGGGACATAGTACTGGTGCTTGGGCAAGTAATTTGTGAAGATGCAGCCACCTCAAAAGAGTCCATGTCTGGAAGAAGCTGGGTCGGGCTGCGTTTTCCTTCAGGGCTAGCCGGGCATTGTTGGTATGGATTTGACAACCGTACGCCTTCTCTCCATGCCCGTAGCGGCAAGCTTGTCTTCAATCGGGGCTGCATATTTGCAAACCTCGATTGCTGTACTCCTTCCTGCAGTTGGGGGATATAGCCAACCCAATCGCCCCCAGTGAAGCAACTTGCTTGCGCAATCCCCGAGGATCCCAGTTCGCCACCAGTCATGCTGTTTAAACAAGTCCGCCCTTCGGATGAGGGAAATCCAATGGGGACGGTTGAAACTAAGTTCTGGTTTTCGAAGTCGACCTTTCTGCGTTTCTTCTCGTGAGCCGCGCCATCTACAGCCCCATATCGCTTCCTAGCTAATTCCGCCCTTCGCTTTACTGCAAGGGGGATATCATCTTCATCGTCGTCCTCATTCGAGGCAATGTTCACGCTGTTTTTATCCCTTATACCGTAATCTCTGACATCGTCAGTCTCCATCTTAACCACCGGGTCCATGGCTCCAGGACGCGAGGATCCTGCTCCGGGCTTGGAAGCATCACTCTTTGCCATACTGTCTGCTTTCGATTTCGTAGTAGCCTTGGCGCGTTTGGCTGCATTTGGTTGGGCTTTCCCTTTCCTATTGCCGATAGATAGTGGCATGCTGCCGGCACCTTCCGCCACGAGGGATGTTCCTGTGGAACTGTTTAACGTGCCGCTTTCTATTGCCTTTTTCAAGCGGGTGAAACGCATTCGCGCCGCAGGCGGGTTTATATTTGCTGCTTGCCCGACGGCACTGAAGTCGATCTAAAGATTGACTGTGTTAGTCCCCAGTTGTCCAATCAAGCCTCATATGGACAATTGGTGTATCAACTTCCACGGCGTTTACATTCATATCCATTGCTGGAGATACTGCTATGGGGCTGGAGCAGACTCACAGTCTTGTAATCGGACTTTTGTAGACAGATGTACAGGAACCATAGGTTCACATCAAGCTGTAGTTTTGAAGGCATACCTCAGGCTGCGTTTCTCACTCCTTGATGCAATGCTTGAATAAAATTCCAATTATGATCAGACCAACTTTCCAAGGATGTAAATGGTAGAAATAAGGTCTTTACATAGAGGAAGTTGGTTGAATTGAAAAAAAAAAAAAAAAAAAAAAAAGGGTTTGAACCCATCATGGGACAAAGGTAAGAGGGTGGCGGTCGAGAGAACAATACCTATGTCAAAGAAGCCAATGGGTTCAAAAAGAAATCAGATGACAAGCAGAGAAAACTGACATGGTACTTGTGTGCAATATCAGCATTATATTGGTATGTCTCACTCATGGCTGCAGATTGGCGAAGAGCAGAACCTAACAACTGAGGACTACTTAATACCAAAATAAGCCAAGTAAGAATGTAGAAAACAACAGAAAGGGCCAACATGTTGCTGTACTAAGAAGATAGCAGAGACATGCTGTAATAGTATTATCAAGGTTGTGAACGATTCGGGTCTGCGAAGGTGGTGTGCATTCATTTCATAACTGCATATTTTGATCCTCATTATCATCCAAAAGGTTTTTTGTTGGTAAATTAGCAAATCGTTGTGCTGACTCTTTTGCTGCTTCTAAAACAATAGCCTGCGCAGCTCGAGCAGCTTCGACAGCACCATCCATAAGGGAGTCGTAACCAACACCAGACACGTCTCCTTTAAGCCAAACCTCAGTTATTTCGTCCCGAGATGGCATGTATCCGACTATGCAAAGGGATGCAATGTCCCTATGTTCAGACGGGTCGGGGTCCAGCACCAAAGATCTCCCTTGTTCCTTCGAATTGGTATCCTGGCTCATGCGATCTTTCTCTTCCACAATAGCAGCCACACCTCCGGCGAGCAAATCCAAGCAATCAATCCTAGCATCGACGATTGCCGCTGAAGCAACTGTTATACAGCTTGCAAGAACGTTCATTAATCCCCAACCGTCAACTCCACCCAGTGGCCCAGGTGAGAGTGAATCGCCCCACCATCGATCATCTTCTCCCTCCAAAATGTTTACGGTCACATCCAGACCGCTCTTGGGCCATCGATCCCCAATAATCATTCCCCCAAGGGCGGTTTCAAGGTGGACCGCTAAATCTCTCTCATACATGTCGCGTATATAACCCCTCCGCCTTCTACCAGCGAACGGTGCAAATTTAACGTGGGTTGACAAAATAAGGTTGGGAGAGAATGGTGCAGAGCGTGGAAGAGGCCTAGGGCCGTGGACCGTACATACGAGCTTCAGAGACGAAGAGGGTGGGATGAGGGTTTTGGACTTGTATGCGGGATCATTGGAGGGCTGCAGCTCCAGATATGCGGATCCTGACGCCGAAGGGATAACACCACTTTTCAGAACTTCCAACCAAATGCATCAGCGCAATAAACATAAAACTTATCCATCCGCTTGAAACTTACATATTTTTCTGAGCTCAGCTGCCTTCCGTGAGCGGATGGGCCTCTCAGCTATTGATTTTTGATTCTCAGCTGATAATGGGGGCAAAAAAACGGGAGGCTGAGTACCTCCAGGAGGTCCATTTATTCTTCTCTTATCTGTCATTGTGTAAGCGCTTGCTGCATAGAATTGAGCTGCCTCCAGCGCTGTTTGATGTTGCGAACTGCAAATTGCGCTATTAGCGGTTGACGATAAGCTCCATGTTTGCACTGTTTGTCAGCTGCTGCGCTTTCCTTGGATGGAATATCATTTTTCCGTTAGCAGTTAAAATTTGAAGATTTGAACTTCGTCTTCCCCATTTTCACACAAAAAAAAAGTTTCGATATTCAGTTTTGAGATGAGATAAAAAATCCATTGCAGAGCATATAGTATCAGGTATGTATGGCTGCTGTCTGCTCCTTTCATTTCCATCTTGTCATGAGGAAATTTAACCAAAAGTTCTTTTTTGGAGATACACCAATGATCCAACAGAACATGCACTACCATCTGACTTGTGTATCCATTCACCCTCTGTTTTACGCTTTGAGCTGTCAGAATTGAAGCTAACTCAAGAGTTAACAGGCTTGTAATATCCGTGTCTTTGAGCTGCCAACACCGACTGTTGGCAAAGTAGCTTTTCCAGGTATATATTTCTGCTTGCGTTTCCACCTTTCAAGTGCTATTTTCATGATGAGAATCTATTTTTTTCAGTTCTGCTTCTGCAACATCGTTGAAGAAAACAAAATACCAAAGTAACAATCCTGATATGCATAGCACTTGACTTCATTGTGGACTTGCATTTTTTGTTTTTCGAAGAGTGCCACCTTGGATCTGTGAGCTAACTTGGAGAAGAACTTCAAGTAGGTACCGGGTAGTCAGCCACATTCACCCTGCACAACAACCTGAGGGCTTTAATGGATGCAGAAAATATGTTATCTAAATATATCAGCGTTTTACTACAAGATAATTAATCTACTTACGTTCGAACTTATCAAAAGCATGAGCAATTCACATTTCTACTTGTTTCTAAGGCAATTTGGTAGTTCATTCAACTATTATATTATTTACCCTAATCATATCCATGTAAAATTTATACAGAATATCAAGTGTAAATAGCCAATTCAAATAAGAATCGACTTGCATGAGTCTCTTTTCCTCTAACCATGAGACAGACATCCCCATATCCGTTAATCATACGAACTCAACACATTCCACTCCTGTATGCCTATAACCTAGTAATCCAAAACAATGTGGGAGAACAAGCCCTGCAAATAATTTTTAGTTTTTGTTCCATAATGTCGTAAATTCACCCAGAAGCGAATGCAACATAAAACATTATTAAGGATTGAATATTTTCAAACCATTTCTCTAAAGGAGGTGGTCACCTAATATTAGATTTTTAGCAAAGGATTCCACGGGCAGAGGTATAGTAGACGGTAATGACTGCTTTGAGGCGAGCACCTCGAGGGTTCGGACCGTCGGATGAAAGCGTATGAGAAAATATACACGAATGGCAAGGTTAGCTAGTCCTCCTGGACTGGAGTGGTCGCGCCGCTTGCGCGGGACATGCTATACGGTGCCTAAACAATGTGTTAGAAGAAAGCGCAGAGAGAAGGTCATATCAAGCTTGTCACAAGTGAGGAGAATACTTACAAGAACCTTTTTCGCATTGCATATTCTCCAGGCCAAATTCCGAACATTACCATCCGCGCTCACAACCTCAGGCGCAAACTCGATACCAAACCTATGAGTTACGGATGTCAGTTAAGCCCAGCAGTCTGAGGTTGCTTGAAAGGGTGGGACAGGTATGGTAACTGACATGTGCTGGACAGCAAAAACCACCCTCTTTGTGTATTTGCTATCCCGATCGACTTGAGACCCAAAAGCTTCCTCGGCATTCTGCGGCGCTATGTCCGGATCCCGATCCAAACAATTCTGGATGATTGGTAGTAGTGCCCCTTCAATTGCTGGCCTTACAACGGCATAATTGTCCAGTGGAATCTCATTCTCATCGAATTTTGCGATGCGGATTTCGAATGGTCGGGATATCGCCATGACATTGTGCTTTCCGTTGTGATGATATCTGAATTCAAACACTCCTTGATTCCACCATAGCTTCTCCCCAGAGAAAATAATTTCTCCTGAGGCAACCTCTCGAGTTTTATCATTGTCATTTCCCGTATATTTGATAATGACGTCGCTGCTTTTGAGCCCAACTTCACTGGTTAAGGAATCGAAAGCGCCTTCGTTAGTAGCGATCCACCGACCCTGGGATGAGACCTTTGTAATCTCGCGAGAGGAGTTATGGGTAACCATATACAACCCGATCCAGTCCTTTTTGCTATGGTTCAAAGGAGCAGTCCACTTCACTTTGATCGGCGCACCATATTCAAGAACTAGGTCCTCACTGCGTCTAGAATTCCGAGATTTGTTGTTTGTTGCATCGGTTGACTTATCAAACTGAGCCAGCTGTGTGCCCTCAACAGTCAGAGAGTAGTCCTTCATCTCATAGCCAGCAAGATCTGGTTCCAGACGTGTAATCGTAATCCGAGCTGGGTATTTGTGGAGAAGTGCCGTGGTATCCTTCACAAAGGTGTTCACACCAGCAGCAAGTTTGGGTCGAGCGGTGTCGATGACCTCTTCAACGAACTCGATGGATTCGTCGAGAATCTTGTCAACGCTACCCTGAAATTGCTTCAAAGAATTCGGTAAAGACCGTTTGATACTCTTGACCAACCCAGCATCACGTCGCAAACTTCGTCCATAGAGTTTTTGCATATGCGGACGTTCGACCAATTGAATGAATGCGATGCTTAGCGTATGGCTCAGGAGTGCAAGGAAAATCATTGCCCTACTATTTGTTATCAAAACGGCGCCCCACACACCCGCCAGACCGAGAACACGTTCGGGGTTATTTAAGAATCGGTAAATGCCGCTGTAAGTCAATTTAGGGGATTCATCATAGAAAAAGTCCCCAAAAAACCAGCCAAACTCTCCCAGAGACTCGTATATGCTCATGGACGTCCATATTTGCAAGGCAATCAAGCTAGCGCCGAGGACGTGTCTCAAGATCGCCAAGCCATAACCCCAGTCCTGTGGTAACGTATACATCTTCCACGCTGCGGCAATAAAACTGGCGTAGCAAGTCGTCATGCTTAGATGATAGATGCCTTTCCATTGTCTCCATGCCTCATCCTGGCCTTCTCCAAATTTGACAAAGTGACGTGTCCAAGATTTCCGTGTCGATTGACGATCCAATATGTACCCAATTCCAGCGGAGTACCATATCCTCCAGACGGCTGCGTTCAAAACAAAAAAAAACTGGTATGCTGGAGTTGAGGGTGTGATGATTGTCAGGGCGAAGAAGAGCAGGTGAATCAAAAGTACGGATACATCTGTAACCCGGTGGACGTCCATGCTGCCAACAAGGGCATGGGTTGATCGAGGCTGAGTGGTGGACGGGACGGGAAGTGGAGGAGTGGTGTCGCTGTTAAAAGAGTTGGAACGAGAACCGACGTCTTCATGTAGAGCTGTGTCATGATCAACCACTCGCTTTCTTGGAGGAGGTGCATTATATGTCTTTTCGATATGCGGGTTTTCAACAAGCACGAGAAAAGCAAATTGGGCGGCATGCGCGAGAATCGAAATAAAGAGGACTTTATAGCTCGCGGCCATCAACGAAATTCCGTAGTATCCAGCGTACCCAACCGAATACATCGGGTGTGGTGCCATCTCGAAAACGCCATCAAAAGTCAAGTCCTGATCGATAAGATAGAAAAAGTCGCCCCAGTACCAAGCGAAGTCTTTGACCACGCGATGCGCGTCTAGCTTAACCCAAAGATTGAACAAGACCAGACTCGTCCCCGCAAGCCACCGGAGCATCATAACAAACAGGCCTTCTCCAATCGGACGACTTCCGCAAGCAACGGCAAACAGGCAGTAGGAAGTGAAGTCGCACATCAGGATCAAATCTACCACCCGCCTAAAAACCAACCACGTATTATATTCAATGGGAGCACTTTCAAAGGTGTAGTGCTCGGGGATTTTAGTTTCAAGCTCTCGTTTGATAAAGCGATATAGAAGGGGGTGTGGGTTTTGTCCAGTTGCTGGATCAACGAACAATCGTAGTTTCCGCGCCCAAAGTACAAGGGTCCGGTGATTCGATTGCATATGTAATAACCATCCTATTCCGATATTATAGGCCGCTCTCCAGGATAGGAAGATAACTGCAAAAACCGGTATGCGTATTGACGCTGGTAGGGACCGAAGCAATAAGATATGAAGAGCCAATATTGTGAGGACAAGAATATCGGATAGATTCTTCGGTTCTGATGGCGAGAGCAATTGAGAGACCATATCACGAGTATGAGGTACCGTAAATACTACCAACATGATATTAGTTCTGTGGTTCTAAAAGTTGCCTCATCAAAATACTGGAGGATTAGTCCAGCCTTGGTCTACTGAACCCAAAGACCTGCAAATGATACGGCTGAATACGCTGGCGCTCTTCTGGCGGCCCGTCGGCTCACAGGGAAAACAGAAGACTTACCAGTGCCATCCGGCGTCCTCCCGAATGTTTTATTTTCCGATTCTATCTTACTTGACTCGTCTGTCCGCATTTTGCTCATCAAAGAGTCCGGGGGTGGTGAAGGTTCCTGGGTCCGGGAAGCTTGTATTTTCCTCTCACGGAGACCCGCACCGCCCATGGGCACAGCTGGGGCCTCAGCCATGGCAATGCCCTAATTATCACGATGCGGATGCGGGTTAAGCCGCAGAAGGAAGCGGGAAGGAGTTGCTGGAGAGGCTTGTCAAGTTGAATTGACTTGGGAGGTCGATTCTGTACGAACGCAGGGATTAGGGCGGGAGTTGAACGGAGGAGGATGTCGAGCACGTACCTTGCACCCAAGCTGTTATCCAGGAACCAGCCAATTACTATGATTAGAACTGAGGTATCAAACTAATTGGTCGGCGTGGACTCCGTTCTCCGGACAGATGCTGTCTGTCCAAATCCGCCTTGACCAAGCGAAATGAGGAAATTGACATCGACTCTTGGCAAAAGCATGTGCGAGTCATCATCCAAGGACGGCCCCGCCATCGCATCCATCCTTGATATCGTCAAGCTGCCCACACCATCGCCACAAGCCGATGATGGGACAGCAGAGCGCAAATAAATTCAATAGACGCTACAGATGCCGTGCATAAAGCACCGCCTAATTGAGTTTAACGGTTATTAGAGGCCCTTAATAACTTTACTGAGGTGCAACCACCCCTCGAATACGGTAACACGGACCAGCCCTGGTTATCCGATCGGCTTTCTATCCTTGCAAAACGGATGGAGTCAGGCACGATGAACAGCAGCACTTCTTCCCATATATCGATGTCCCGTGCCGATGTGGTAATAGGCTCCGGGTTCGGCCGTCGAGTCATTCCAGTGGACCGAGAGATTCGAGAGCGGGAACCTCCCGAGTTAACTCAACACGCCGGAACATACTGAAAGCATGTTCCACCTAAGTGATGTGCTGATATGGAACAGAACTTGACATTATACATTCGATGATGACAGCACGCGATTAAGAACCAAAATTTGATGATCGACTACTCCGTACTCTGTAATAGTTGCCGATTTCCAGGGGCATCAAATATCCCGGTGTTTCATGGTGAAAAATCCTTTCACAGAAGGGCGGCGATCAAAGACATCCCCCGGTACATGTACTCCGTAGCCAGCGCACATCATTAGTTGCCAATTGTGCCTTTTCGTTAAAGGGATTGTCACTCGATATGTCCACACGGACCTTCGATGGTTGCATCTCCATGTGGGTTCTGGGGCGAAGAACGTTGCGGCGGCCATGGTCTGCGCAGGACCTGGTACCAAGTTGCGAGCAGTGCAATGATGAAAATAGTCAAGATTTGCGGATGTACGCAGTATTCCGTAGCTAACTAAATAAATCCTCGAGATCTTGCCTCTTTCTCAAAGGACACAAGTAATTTGCATAAAACACCGGCAGGTCTTGAGAAGATTATAATTCCCCATTTTTCTTTACCACCAAACCGAACGTTTACTACAAGTGAAGTACAGTACGGAGTAGATGCAGGTAATGATCCTAGTTTTGCATCAGTGTGTGTAGTTATAGAGACCAGCTTACAATTTGTATCGAAAGCTAATGCGCTGCTCGCCCTTGGACGGAGGACACGGATAAGCTTAACGAGCTCAAAAAGCTTGTCAGCAGCCGCGGCGTTCTAAGTTAGCGGGGCTCCATGACAAATCCGCCGCCCGAGAGTCGCCACTGCGAAAGATATTTGGCCCTCATCGCGTTGCTGGGATATTGGAGCCACTTTGGAACCGTGATACCTGGAGTTCAGGGCTGGAAGAACACATCTCCTTATTTTGAATTCACTTAACTTTTCATATCATTCAAAACAAATGGCTCCTTCGTTCGAAGAGCCAACCGTTGCCCTTGGCGCGGCATCGAAAGCGGCGCCGAAACTCGTCGCTCCCGAGCCCGGTACGTGATTAATAACGAAAACGCCCAGATAAACTGTCAATAGTGACATTGTGCTAATCCTAAATTTTTTTTTTTTTAGAGCACTGCCCGGGTCCAGAATCGGAACAAGCTGGCAAAGGCGATGCGTGCGCCGGCTGCCCAAACCAATCGATTTGTGCCTCAGCTCCAAAAGGCCCCGATCCAGACATACCCATCATAACCGCTCGTCTTTCCTCGATACGGCACAAGATTCTTGTGCTTTCCGGTAAAGGTGGAGTTGGAAAGTCTACTTTCACGTCCCTCCTTGCCAACGCCTTTGCATCCAATCCAGACTCCACCGTCGGTGTGATGGACACGGATATCTGTGGACCTTCGATACCGAAAATGATGGATGTCGAGACGGAGACCATTCATGTGAGCAATGCTGGATGGAACCCCGTTTGGGTGTCAGATAACCTTGCGGTGATGAGTGTCCAATTTATGCTGCCAAACCGGGACGACGCTGTGATTTGGCGGGGACCGAAGAAAAACGGATTGATCAAACAGTTTCTGAAGGATGTTGAGTGGGGGGAGTTGGATTATTTAATAGTCGATACTCCTCCAGGCACCTCGGATGAACATCTCTCAGTCAACTCATTCCTCAAAGAGTCCGGGGTCGATGGTGCTGTCCTGGTCACTACTCCACAAGAAATCTCCCTTCTCGATGTCCGGAAGGAGATCGATTTCTGCCGGAAAGCTGGTATAAGGATATTAGGATTGGTGGAAAATATGTCTGGGTTTGTCTGTCCAAAGTGCACTCATGAATCGCAAATCTTCAAGCCCACGACGGGTGGTGGTGGCAGACTCGCAGCCGACATGGGAATCCCTTTCCTAGGTTCTGTCCCTTTAGACCCTCGGGTTGGTATGGCGTGTGATTATGGAGAAAATTTTATGGACCGGTATCCTGAAAGCCCCGCATCTACGGCCTTAAGAAAGGTCGTGAGAACAATAAGTCGACAAGTGGGTGAGGATCCCGAGGAAGTACTCCCTGAAACAGATGCCGTGTAACGTCTATATTTCTACCTAATGACTCTACGATATCCCTTTCGCATTTATTGGAGTTTGAATGGTGGATCCCCTTTGCAAGATTCTATAATATTTTGTTGCATATGATGTGAAATCCCAACACATCGATAACGACTGACCAATAAATATGTATGTACATAGAATTACATTGTCAAGTACAAGTTAACGAGTGAATCATGGATTCTGGTGCCAAGGAGCATACTCGGAGGCGTTTGTCCTTCCTGATGATGGCCTGAGAGATACAGGAGACATCCTGGACAATCAACAAGTGCTGAACCTTACATCCGCAAACAGCCCAACAATACTTAGCATGATCACTCCCTGTGCTCAACCTCATAGGATGGTAGAGTTGGTACTATCAAAATTACTTTTTACAGAATTAGAAAGGGTCGTAGTCTTAATTGCTGCACTTGTAAAGGCTTGAATGCAAGGAGACATTCCAGGCATCTCTTGTGGATAGTGGATTCGGATATTCTGTAAATAACTATTCTGGTATTAGAAAGGAACAGTTTTGCGCATTCATGGCTCCATGGTTGGAGTCCTGATGTTCCTGACTTTAATTCTGGTTCAGGGGCTTGCAATCATGTCGCTATAACCTTCAGGGCGGCCTCACTCAAATTGACTGAGCAGAACGACAGCTTAGCATGTGGTTATTTAGTGATGAAGCTGATGCCCTAAAAAGATATCTCGATTTTTAAATGCTGTCAACATGAATATCAAGTCCTTCACCGCCTCAGGAAAGACTGTGATGTGGGAAATATCTCCTTTTGTAACATATTCAGGTGTGTGCTGGAACAGTTACTTAACTAACTTTAGCCATCTCCTTACGATTAGATAGAAGTCCCAAACCAAGTAGTATCCTTGAATGCCAAGGCTGTTGTGATCTCGCCCCCTTAAGTCAATTAATTAATATCTATCTACTCCGTACAGCGATGGTGCAACACATTGAAATATGAAAGAATATTTCCCTTTTTTATGGAAATCCAGGATAACTACTCTGTAGACAGACTAGATGAATTATTCAGAGAATTTGAAGGCAGTTCAGAGGGACTTTTGTTTCGTGAATATGGCGTGTGATGGTGAGAGTTGTTTATTGCTGAGAGTTCTGCCTTTCGCTCTTGCAAAGGAAGCTCTGTAGGTACTTTGTACTGCGATATGGGCACTGGCACTGGCGTTTCCATTGGCATTGTCTTTCGATATGCCCGACGTAAAAAGAGGAAGAAGATCACGGCGGCAATGAGGATCACTGTCCCGGACACGCCAACTCCGATACCGATCTTGGCTCCTTGCGAGAGCCCAACTCTGCTGGGTAGGCTGCTGTCTGATGTTGTGGAGGTTGGCTGGGATGCTGTGTGTTGTGTTGTTGCGCCATGTGGTGGCGTCGGCTCTGCTATGGATAGACGGTCCGACGACTCCCAGATCAGCGGGATTCCGTCCGCATAGACGCTGAGAGTAGTATCCAGCACAGTCGTCTTCACCACGCCGGCATCGGAAAATGTGAGGGTGGCAGACTCGGAGAGAACACGTCTGCATTGATGGTTTTTGGCGTAGTAGCTCAAAGCCCTGTGGACGAGATTGGTTCGGAAACTTGGATACGCGAGGAAGTGAAACTTACGATGGGCAACAGATGGCACCGCTGGTGCTGCCGGTTACATCTAGATCCTGCCACGATCCGGTGATTTGTCCTCCAGTGGACCAACCTCTGGGACAATGCAGCCCTGGAGAATCTACCACCAACACATGAGCTTCTGTAGTTGACATTTTGCGACTAACTAGCTCACAAAAACTCACACAAATAAGTTCCCCAGAATGTAGGCTCTTGGAGCAGACTCGCGGGCATCGTCCCTGTAGGATAACATGCCGTATCACCTTTAAACCAGTGTCCATAGTAGGTTGTTGTGCCCGTGCTGGTGCCCAAGATCATAACTACCCTGGATGCTGTCTGGAAGCATGTTGTCGGTGGGGTGAATGTTGTGGTCAGAGGTCCGCGATTCACATAATCTGTGATGTCCGGTGAAGTGGACATAGTGGAAATGCCAGAACAAGATATTGTTTGATGGCTTCATGTAAGTAGGATCCGGGCAGCATAACTGGATAACAAATTTGATCGCGTCGACAACCTCATGTCGCGATTATCTTGTGGGATGGCTGAGCCAACGATATTAAAAATAGCGCCCTCTTCGGCTGCGGCTTGGTGTCCGTATCACAACAAGGACAATGGGGCCAAAACAAAGCTGAAAGGTGCGCTATGAACCGCTGATAGAGAGGCTATCCTATCATCGCCCAGGGATTGGCTGTTAAGCGTCGTTTATTCCCTACTGCGTGCTTGACAGCATTCGAGGGTCGAGCGGCTACCGAGCGGTTCGTCGCTCCATGCCTTGTACCAAGGAATTTGTACTGCTTATATGCAGAGATTCTCTGCGGTCCTGCCCTAACATCATATTCAGTTCTCAGTAATTCGAACAGAGGACCATGGCCACAGACTCCCTGGCGATGATATCTCTGGGATTTAATAGAATGGGTGCAATGTTGGTATACGATCTCCATGACTACCTTGCAGAGTTGCATTACTATCTCGGCGCTTGAGTTGGAGGAGTTGGTGGTTCCGAATCTTACCGACGGAGGAATGGCGGGTTATCCATACATATAAGTATACCCCCGTACGGAGTGACTCGAAGTTACACCTAATCTGATGCCACTTGCAGTGGCCTTTGGCAGTAATATTTTATGTGGCCTTCACTTGTTCCTGATTCACTGCTTTCATAATCTTTAGAGCAGCTCATCTCAAATATTCATCACCTATACATGTGACATGCGAGAAAAATTATGGGAACTTAAATGACCTTGCCACATACCTTACAGTCATATTCCGTACAGAGGTGTAGAATCAGTGCTTCTTTCTTCGCCATGAGAGTCAAGAAAATATTTCAAATTGAGCAATGTGTCACAGCTAGTCCAAGCTTTCAACTATAAGACAACTGCCTCAAATTTTTCCAGTAGTCAATGCTACGCTCTCGGTGATGCCCTCCAAGCCGACCAACAGGTTCATCGCTTTCGTCGATTGTAGCCATGACAAAACTCACCAACAGCTCTTCAAGTGGGTATAGTAAATTACATATATGTAATGCTTCGTCGCCGCAGCTTTAGCATCGCAAGAAGGAACGGTGAAGCAAATGCCCCGTCTATATAGCCGATTCTGTCGGGTAGGAGGATGAAGGGTATCGTAATGGTTGTGTTGGTTAGAAGGCGGAGGAGTGTGTAGGTGTCACGAATATTTAGGAGGAGAATAACGACGGACATGAAAGAGTCGGGAATCTCAACAGCATCCATTGGCTAACTAACGAGGAACATAACTAGATCACTTGGGGAAAAGATAACTGAGATATTGTGATCTCGGATGGCCAGCGATAACAGGGCGTGGGACAGAACAACTTGTATCCGAGGAAGGTTGAGGCCTCTGCGAAATCCCTACTAGAGGACTTTGTTGGTTCCTTCAACTGCAGAGTGTGGATGTTAATTGCTTGCCTAGACATGAAGCATAACTACCACAGGAACTATAGATATTGTCTTCCGCCGAGGGCTGCTGGCCAACCTCTACTTCTGCCACTTCCCATCATTCCAAGTAAGGCGGCTGATCGGCCCAGGAAAGTCGGGAGGTACGGGTTTACTGCTTCCCGTTGACCAGTCATTCTTGTCAAGCGTCATTCCTATAAAGATCCAATACTGTTAGCTAGAGCCATAGGCGAAAGACACCCAAATTCAAGACTAGGTTTGGTGCGGGAATACTTGCCGAGGAGGAAAATTGCAAAGGTGTCTGTTGGAATCACATTAGCGCGCTGAGTCTCTTCCAGCTTTAAGTTTCATCAGCCAGATGGCAGTCCAACTTACCAGCATTTCTAGACGCCGCGACTGGGTCCTTCTGGGCAAGCTGAGTGACAAGATTCCACCCATAGCATAGTTCTCCGTTGAGATCGTGATCCTCTAATATTCTCAGATTAGATAAATGCTAAGCGTACTCTCACGTGCCGTACATACCCGTAGGGTCACAATCGTATATTGAGCCTGAGTGTGAGAATTCATGGGTCAATATAGTTGCAAGATTGTAATCATCAATATCATCGATTTTTCTGGAATCGGGTTCAAACTCCTTTTTTCGTAAAGTCTCGTACGGCACAGAATTGTATTCGTTCCAATTCGAAGACTTCAAAACTTGATCACATAGAACTGTAAGGTCTACGAGCTCTGGTTCCATGTCATACTTTGTTGAGGACCAGGCCTGTGTCTCCCCACTCTTACATGGGAACAACTGGTCCTTAGACTCAACAAAGTTTAACCTTTGACCGCCCCATTCTGGGGGGCGCATGTCCATGACTTCAGTATCCATATCAACTAGGATAGCAGTATAGTTAACAAGCCAAGGCCAATCTGATCTGCAAATGTAGTTAAGTAAGTGATGATAATTCAACTTACGGCCTTCTTCCTGCTTCAGGAAAGCTTCCCGACATACAATGTTGACCTTATACTGAGGGTTCTGGAGAGTTTCCCGAAACGTAACAATTCTTTCTAGTCAGGGTCAGTAGCCAAAGAGTCAGACTATCTAAACTGGAATGACTGACTGTAAATATCCTCCACCCTTTGAACCCCTCCGCATGGATCCACCTCTCCAAACATGGTTTCAAAAAACATCAAGCTTGAAATATCAGAGCCTTTAACCGAATCGTCTGGGCCTGGATTTTTCCTAAGCACTTCTAGTAACTTCTTTGTGCGATCCTCTGCAACAGAAGCCTATGTTATCACAACTGTTAGTAAGAATAGTTGGCTTGCTTAGATCGATACGATAACTCACAGCTAATTTCATACTCTTGACTGCCTTGAATACAAGACCTTCTTCTAATAGGCTGCAGTCGCTGACTTTGAGATGAAAACTTCCATTGCCCGAGACAAGTTGCGTTGACAACGCAACCACTAGAAGCTTCATGAAGGAGCCTGAAAGACCAGGCACTGGGAACTTCATCTTGCTGAATGTAATCAGGATGCTAATTCCATGTCATCCTAGCACATTCATTTAAAGGGCCTGCTTCGTATATTATAACATATGCTGTAAACCAAAATCCCGCAATAGTGCGTCTTTTCTTTCAGACCTTCGCAGTGGAAATGCCGCAAAGTATGTACTAATTCTCATCATACTATCCCTCTCTCGCTTCTCTCTTTCCTCTTTCTCTTCTCCTTTTTCTTACTATCACTGCCACTGCCACTGCCGCCCCTCCCCCAAGCCGTCTCTTCCTTTGAACTGCGCTGGAAGTTTCATTCTTAACCCAGGATGTAGGTAAGCTGAGGTTATAAAATTCGTAACCCGAGGGTGAGGCATACCTAAACATACATATGTCGATATGTAGATAGGTAGGCTAGATGGTTCACCACATGCAGCAGGGTTCAGAAAGCTAACAGTTACAAGCAAACTTTCCAATCTCCAGGCTGCAGATGAAACAATTACCCGCAGGTATCTCATACTTTGACCAACAATAGATTCTCCACGAATCTATTAAAGAAACACATCCAACCAGACTTGCCAGGGAGCCCGGCACACAAGCGAGTCACAGTCGCCAGTGGCAGCAAGGAGAGAGGAGATACATAGAGGGAGAAACGAGAGGAAAACAAAGAGACAAAAATAAGAGGAAACCTATACTTAAGAGAAGCACAAAGAGATGGAAATAAGCAGAAAACAATGAGAAGCACAAAAGCAACGGGAAGCACGGTTCCTTATATCCCAAAGCCAAGCGCGAGACGCTTTATCTGAATAGGGACGCTATACTGAAAAAGGAAATTTGGTTTACCCGGATTTTCCGGAGGGTCCTGTAGTACAAACGCCTGTCCAAAACTGCCTGTTTCGGTAAAGCGCGGCTATCTGGTTAACCGGTGCCCACTTCGCTGAGAGATATAAACCTTCTTGGTCCCGCTGTTTCCACGCCAAGGCCCATCTTCTCTACGGAGTATTTTCCCCTCCATCAACGTCCTAAACCTTTCGTAGACTGATCCTGCCTCTATCGCATGCGCTGTTCGTATCACCCATCCCTGGTATCCACCTTCTGCTATGATTTAAGCATCATCCACAGTTCAGCACAGAGTGGATATTATTACATTCCTTTTGGAGAAAGGGTCCATGCTGGATTACAAGAGACATTTGGAGATTCGGCTTTATCATTAGTCGTATTTAGGATTAGGAAAATGGGAGTCTTGACATACTATGATTTAGAATCCGCAGAAAATTGTCGAGAAAGAGCCTTATGACCCGGGTGGCGGACAGCATCAACGAAGGGCAATAGAGCACCGCTATATAAATGTTCCCTTGACTCTCCTCTCAGCTCTCAAATCCCGCAATACTAGATCACAGATGGTGCGAGAGCTCTTGCGCCCGAGCTGCGACTTGCGACTCGGTTTTTAGCGTATTGCAGAGCAAGTCGATAAGTAGGTTCGTATTCCCCTCCTAGGACTGAGATTTATCTTTGGGTGAACAATTCGATACGCGTCTTCGACTTTCTTCCCAGTCTTCATCAAGCGTTAGGCGAGACGCACCTGAACTAGAGCGTTGTAATTAGTCCTCGGAACCACGTCCAGATACAGCATTTCGTTCAAAAAGCAACTGCAAACCTTGAATGTATTTGATATCTAAGGATGCAAACTACGGAGAAGGTCATGGGCCTCCATGTTTGGCCATTTCCAATATTGAATAGTCCCCATCACCCCATGTATAGGGAAAGATAAAGGTACCATATCATTTCGTAAATTTAGAAGCGAAATTGAGGGTTAATCTTAGTCCCCGAGAGCCTGGCAACCTGATGGACGAGCGTTCTGAAATGGTATATACAGTGCGGCCTAATGACCATATGTCCCCCCTGATCCCTCAGTCCGATGCAAGTATGCCGCTCGATCCTTGGCAGATCTCAATTTCAGGGGCTCATATATATGGCATTGAGTATGGTGGAGGCTTTGGATCATCTTGACGAAAGACCGCAGATATTCAATAAGAAAAACCATGTTAGATTGTTGAAATGCAACCGAACAAGACACTTAAGTAGGTCATCCTGACCGTTTCCAAAGTCCATGACCTTCACGCTCAGATCATTGCTCTTTAGTGTACGGAGTTCCTTAAGAATGAGCTCAGATAATATGTGAGGAACCACGCAAGCCGGTAGCGAGTCTGTCTGGTATTCTGGGTGTAAAGGGGAGGACGATTGTTGATTCCGGGTCCGTATTCAGCGCGGCAAGGCTGCCGGGACGGAAAATATTCTTCCCGTCCATAACTTGAAGGTTCTCTCATTGGCATCCTTGGACGATGACTATAATAATAGTTGGTTGCAGGGTACCGCCGCACCAGGGGTTTGTCGGCGATAATGTGGCCAGCCTATGAGGTCGAAGCGAACGAGTCTCGCGAGCGCTGCATCCCGAAGGAAAACCATGTCGAAGGGTAAAGCGCACCGTTATTCGCCCCTAAAACGACTGTTGCCAAGAACAGAACGCCAATGCTTCGAAACCAAGATCGCCAGCCCCCATGGCTCGTCCATCCATCGATTGGAGCTGCTCGAATATTGAGATTTCTTGGAAGTGTAGTGGCCTCCTGGATAAAAGGTGTGGCTCTTTCATTCAGCCTCGAAATCTATTCCAAAACCTGCTATATCTCCACTGATGTTTTTCTCTCCAATCCGCGTGTGGGATTAGGTGAACGCCGCGGCTTGACCCTGGAAACAAGGCCCTTGTTATGTCCGTCCAAGGCCAATCTGATCCAGACACTGGCAGCCCTCATGCTGACAGGTCGTGCTTGTCCAGCCCCAGGGTTCCACAGAGAACGTTTCCAATACTTACCCAGGGATGTCGTCAAGAAGCCGTGGAATCCACTTATATCAAAATGGGTTGCTTCCAGTGGCATCTTCCTTTCCCAAGTTTGCTTCACTTTCTTCTCTCTTTCTTCGTGTATGGATTTTAGGGTGCACTGGTTGCATTCCTTTTCGTTGCTTAGTCGTTCTCTTAGTGCTGATTGTTGACAATCAGCGTGCAATTCTGTCCTATTTTTCCTTCTCTCCTAGAGGATGTTCGTTATTTTCTTCTCATTCAAGCCAGTGACTGGTATCTCAAACCTAGGACCCTTTTAATTTTATTCTCTCAATTGATATCTTTTATGCAAAACCGCCCTCGTGTCTTTGATAGCGCCATGAACTTGAGTCCAAATATGCATTTTCTGTCATTGATGCCGGGGCTTCTCCTCCTCTCTTTGCAAGTTCACACTAGTCCAACACCCTTAAAGAAAACAATCCGTTCTGTCAGAATTGAAAGAATTCGTCAGCCGAACTACGTGCCAGATGGCCCTGGCGCTCTCAAAAAAGCATATGCCAAGTTTGGGATTATCCCATCGGGTATCAGTTTCGATTCCTTTGAAGATTTCACTCCATTCTCTTCCGACAACGTCCGGAATACAGTCTCAAAAGCAATGCAAGCGAACGAAACCGGAATTGTAACAAACACTCCTACAAACAATGACGTGGAATACCTCTCCCCCGTTACCATTGGTGGCCAGAAATTCGTCATGAACCTCGATACCGGCTCTTCAGATACGTAAGTGTGGATGCCCCGGAAAAAGATAGTCTCTTCTAATGGATACCCATAGTTGGGTCTTCAATACTCAGCTTTCAGAAGACGCAAAGAGAGGCCATTCAATTTTTGACCCAGCCAAGTCAAAAGCCTTTTCTGACCTGGAGGACGCTACCTTCAATATCACATATGGTGACGCATCCTTCGCTTTTGGGCGGGTTGGAATTGACACAGTTGATATCGGCGGCGCGACAGTCCAAAAGCAAGCCGTTGGCTTGCCGACAGACGTTTCAGGTTCATTCATACTGGACCAGGCATCCGATGGCTTGATAGGATTGGGTTTCGACGAACTTAACACCGTGGAACCGCAACAGCAGAAGTCTTTTTTCACCAATCTTGCTGCCAACTTGGATGAACCCGTTCTGGCTGCACAGCTGAAGAAAGGTGCCCCAGGTTCTTATGAATTCGGATCCATTGATGAAACAAAGTTCAAAGGAGACTTGGTGACAATCCCCGTAAACAATTCTAGGGGATTTTGGGAAGTCAAGTCAACAATGTTCAAAGTTGGCAAGGACGAGCAACTCCACAGAATCACCAAGGGTGTTGGTAGCGCGATTGCTGATACCGGCACAACGTTAATGTTAGTCAACGAGGAAATAGTGAATTCCTACTACGACCAGGTTGACAACGCCAGATCGGTATATGCAGCTGGCGGGTTCATCTTCCCGTGCAACGCGACTCTTCCAGACCTGTATGTTTCCTTGGGAGATACCCATCTCGCGAGAATACCCGGCGATTTGATGAACTTCTCCAAGGTGGGCCTCAGTACTGAAACTGGGGAGGAATGTAAGATATCCCTAGCAGATATGGTTAAAAGCATTTAATCCTGGCTTGATTAGCTGACGGTTTAACTCTCTAGTATGTTTTGGCGGTGTCCAATCTAACAGCGGTAGTGGGCTTCAAGTTTTTGGAGATGTATTGTTCAAGGCAATTTTTGTTGTCTTCGACCTACGAGGGCCATCGTTGCATGTTGCTGGCCATGCCTGAGTCCTGCCTTATGGCTGCAATAGTCTTTCAATCTTGAGCTGGTGATAGTGGGCTTTGCGAGGAAGAACTATTTGCTGGGTTTCCCCTGTGATATCCTATTCAAGCTTCCGAGACAGATAAATAATCCGTGTTTCCCTTCTTTTTTTTTTTTTTTTTAAGAAAAAATATAACCACACGCTGCGTTGAAGCAAAGTCTCGGCCAAAATATTTCAGTGGATGACTTCACATCCTTCGAGGGCTGGCTGACTCATACTGCCAAGACTTCCGCCGTAGAGGCCAATCCTGCCCAATGTTTTTTCTCTCTCTACGGAGTAAAAAGTTTGATGTTCAAAGGTAAATGCTGATGAGAGTTTGAAAAGTCGGTTTTTTTTAATTGCAGACTGTATCTTGAGTTGGGTGCTCAGTTCCCCCTGAGCCAATAGTCACATCTTTCAAGCTGAAGCCTACCAATCCCATCTCTTCCGTCCTGCGGACTGCGTCAGCCCCGCAACGACTTATATCGCGGGGTCGTTTATCATCACGATCACTCCGGCCAGTGACTCATTCGACGTCGTCCATTACTGCTCGTGCGCGATCTACACCACTCTTTAACCAAGCTGCAAAAATGGCTACCGCGTCAGCGCCAGCGACTTCTCTACTTTCACTCCTCTACCGTTCTTACCCACGAGTCGTTCCGTCAAATTCTACCGAGCCCGATCTCGAATCCATTTCCCCAAAAATATTCCCAACGGCCGATTATACAGATGCTGAGAAGGCAGAAATCAACCAATGGTTGTCTCGGTCGTCAGAGTTGGCACAAGCTTTGAAGAAGGGTGAGACAGAGAGCGTTTCAACGCTCCTCATCACCGTGAATACACATCTCGCCTCCCGTACTACTGTCCTTGGCACAAAACCATCTGTAGCAGATGTTGCTTTATATGCCCTCTTGGGTCCGGTTGTGGAGAAATGGTCCCCAGAGGAGAGGACCGGCGAGGATGGATATCATCATATTGTGCGGCATGTTGACCTCGTGCAGAATGCACCCCTTTTCAGTTTGCAAATACCAGAGGAAGAAAAGATTAAAATCGATGTGAATGATGTGAGAGCTGCACCAAGGGTCGTTGTGGCGAAGGATGAAAATAATAAGAAAAAGAAAGAGAAGAAAGGCGGACGGGTTGGAGAGAAGGATTTGGTTGTTGGTCGGGGAAAGAATGCGGATAACAATGAAGCAAATATATCCGTGGTAGATGTGGCGAAGGATAAAGCTGTCGCCGGGGCTATAGCCGCCGGTGCGCCCAAGAAGGAGAAGAAAGAGAAGAAGCCCAAGCAACCAAAGGCACCTGCTCCAGCAGCACCCCTTTCACCTTCGCTCATTGATCTTCGTGTCGGACATATCCTTCGTGCTATCAATCATCCAAACGCAGATTCCCTTTACGTCTCCACGATCGCTTGCGGTGATGCACCAGGCACTGAGCATACAACGCAAGACGAGGCTACCGGACTCACAGTCCGGACTGTGTGCTCTGGATTAAACGGGCTAGTACCATTGGAAGAAATGCAAGGGCGGAAGGTTGTTACTGTCTGCAACCTCAAACCCGTTACCATGCGTGGTATTAAATCTGCTGCTATGGTCCTCGCGGCATCGCCAAAGAACGATGAGTCCCATGCTGGACCAGTTGAATTGGTCTCTCCTCCTGAGGGCGCCGAAGCCGGAGAGCGCGTTTTCTTTGAAGGTTGGAACAATGGCGACCCAGAGAAAGTATTGAACCCGAAGAAGAAGATTTGGGAGACGTTCCAGCCGGGTTTCACTACAACAGATTCGCTGGAAGTGGCTTTTGATAGCAGTGCAGTGCCACAGCTAAACAGTGGAGGCGAAACTAGCACAGCACCGTCAACTCCTTCAGTTGGGAAGCTGGTAACGAAATCAGGCGGTGTGTGCACTGTGAAGAGCTTGAAGGGAGCGGCAGTTAGATAATCTTCAATTAGGGATTGTTAAAAAAGTAATACAATAAGAGAACGGGAAAATGGCTATGTTTGGTTAAATGCGACACTAACGACAGCTGAATAGAATAGAGTCCTCCATAGGTATTCACCCTTCTTTTCCATGACCCTGCATCATGAGTAGCCAGCACCGAGGTAGAGATACAAGGTTCTCGAAAAATTCCATCTTCAAGTCGTAATAAAGGATCACTTGATTGACGGAGTTCATTCTATTACGAAGGACAAGCAACCAGGATAAATTTAAGAGCAAAATCCTGGGTGGATGCAATGATGACCTTCATCCTTGTCCAGTACTCTGTACATGTACGCTATGCATCTTCAACATGCGTTTGAATTCTATCACTAGCTTGTGATTTCCGTATACTCCGCTGCCCTTTCCTGGAAACTTTTCATTGTACTCCGTACAGCATCAGCATTGAGCCATTTCAGTTAACCGATAGTTGGCAGAGCGCATTTTACTCAACATAGGAAAACCCACGTGGACTGATCTACTGGACGGAATGCTTTGCCTGCCTATCCAACTTTTACCAACGGGCCCTAGAGTGGCGATTAAACAGGGAAGAAGTCATGCGAAGGATGCATTGAGAGGGGAGCGGCCTGCTGAGGCCAGGGTCATTGCATCAGCACCTAGTCGAGCGGCAGAGTGGAAGCGGAGTCGCTTTCCCTCCCGGCGGATGTCCTGTACGACATCGATGTTTTTCCCTGTGAGGGGAAAAACGATATGTTGAGGATCAGACGGGAGGAAATCGCCGTGGGATCGAGGCAGCCGATGCCACCGCAATCTCGAAGAGGCTAAGGCGACGACGATCCTGGTGGGCATGCGGAGCTTTTGTTGCCTGTCGAACTCTGCTGAGACTCAAAAACCTTGATCCTCGACGAAGGCCATTGTTCGGCCTGAACAGCTGGAGGCTTTGGGTTAGGTCCCAAGCCCACGCAGGGCAGACGGTTGTACGATGATGGGATGTCGGACAGTATATATTTTTGGGGCACCTCATCCTTCACGGACGGAAGATGGCCGTCCATCGTTTCAGGTGGTGATAGTGCACTGTTTCACGGTGATCGGCTGGCAGATCTTCTCTTCGATTACGAAGTGTTCGCCTCGGGATCCGCCGAGCCTTGCCGCAAGCAGCATGGCGGCGTCCTGCACCCGGCCCACCGAAACTTTTTGGCGGGCGTCGGAAAATCAATGATCCCCTTGGGTGGGAGTTGAAACCGAGAGACAGACTTGAGACACGCCAAAAGTATGCTCGCTTGTCCTCTTTTCCTCCCGTGCCAGTTGAGGGATACATCTTCAAATTTCTCCATCCGACGTCCATCCGCCTTTCTTTTCCGTCTACCTGCGCTCGTTTCCTCTTCACTAGGGCTAGGAAACCTGTATCCGGCCTTGAAGGCCTTTGCTTCCCTTAACTGCAAGGATCACCACTGTACACCTGTTCATTGGGGGACGGGTCAGGGGTTTATTTACCTCTGGACTCTCCGTCTCCAACAGCAGGGAGAGGCAGCTCTCTATCGGGCTCCCGACACACATGTTGGCTGCGTTGGAGATATGAACAGGCACTACGCCTTTACCAATGGCTATACCGCTTACCCTCACGGGGAAAGCGGTACTTTTTCTATATCTCCTCACAGGTATGTGGCACTAACGACGCACGCCGTTCCCCGAACTTCTCTGCTTCCGTTTATGCAAATTCTGCGAGCAGCGACGGGCTGATACCTTCGCTCTCTGGGTAGATTCCAACCAAGGTCACAACCAGCCCTTCGGCGAAGAAGACAATTAATACAACGTTTGTTCATCATCGGCGGGCTCTCGATATGTATTTTGACTTTGTTCTTTCCCTCCTGGCGAGCTACGATTTTCGGCACATTAACTCTTGGCCTCCTTTCCGCGAATGATGATTTCCAACTCGAAACTGTGCGATACTACGATCTCACCAACGCCCAGGGCACGGCGCGAGGATGGGAGCGGGAAGAGCGAATTCTTCTCTGCACACCGCTCCGTGATGCCGCTACACACTTACCCATGTTCTTCTCACACCTTCGCAACTTCACCTACCCTCATCATCTTATAGATCTTGCTTTTCTCGTCTCAGACTCCAAAGATGAGACCTCGTCCCTCCTCACTCAAATGCTCAAGGATCTTCAAGATGATCCTGACCCCAAGATGCCCTATGGAGAAGTTTCAGTTATAGAGAAAGATTTTGGACAGAAGGTGAATCAGGACGTCGAGAGTAGACATGGTTTTGCCGCACAGGCCTCGAGAAGAAAATTGATGGCCCAAGCAAGAAACTGGTTGTTGAGCGCTACGTTGCGACCGAACCACAGCTGGGTATATTGGCGAGATGCTGACGTTGAAACTGCCCCCTTTACTATCTTGGAAGATCTCATGAGGCATAACAAGGATGTCATAGTTCCAAGTAAGTACACTTTATGCAAATACAGTTCGTCTGTTTTCGTCTAAGCTGACAATTGTTCGCAGATGTCTGGCGCCCTCTTCCTGACTGGCTTGGTGGGGAACAGCCGTACGACTTGAACTCATGGCAAGAATCCGAAACCGCTCTCGCTTTAGCGGACACCCTCGACGAAGATGCCGTGATTGTAGAGGGCTATGCGGAATACGCGACGTGGCGGCCACATTTGGCCTATTTACGGGATCCATATGGCGATCCAGATATGGAAATGGAAATTGATGGCGTTGGGGGAGTCAGTATTCTAGCGAAAGCTAGAGTTTTCCGCTCCGGAGTGCATTTTCCTGCCTTCAGCTTTGAGAAACACGCGGAAACCGAGGCTTTTGGGAAGGTAAGATTTCACCCATTCTTAGTCGTTTATCTTCTTTCATTTCTGTCTGACTCTATCCACAGATGGCAAAACGAATGAAGTTTTCTGTTGTTGGGTTGCCCCATTATACAATCTGGCATCTTTACGAGCCAAGTCTTGATGACATACGACATATGGAAGAAATGGAGAAAGAACGCTTGCAACGAGAGGCCGAGGAAAAGGAAAAGGCCGAACGGACAAAGCGAATCAAGGAGGAATTTAAAGACACAAAGGCTCAATGGGAAAAGGACGGAGCAGCCATTCAAGATATGATGCAGAAGGATCAAAAACAACAGCAACAGCAGAAACAAGGAGAAGCCACACAGAAACAAGGAAGCAAAGCTGAATCCTCTCCTGACTCCAAAACCCCATCAGACAAGTCAAATTAATGAAGATTAAGCGGTTTTAATACTAGATTAGTGAGTCTGATAAACCCTCGTATGGTTTTCTGGGTACTGACTTCCTTCGTCGGTCTTCAAGTCTCGATACTCCTCTTCGATCTTCCTAATTTAACACATATTTAGACTCTTAAGTGGCGATGCGACGGGAAAGGCTTTCTTGACTGTAATACTTGGTTTATGACAGTTTTCTTTGCTGGCCTAGCAATCTGTTTTAGCTGGAGTTCGATCTAGAAGTGATATCATTTTTCGCTGACGAAAGGGAAAAGCTCAAAGCAAGAAGAGAAGCTATTTGGTTTTCGCCGTACGATTACTTTCTATTCATCGTCTTTGAGCTGGCTTTCATTCATCTATGCTTTGACAACTTTCTCACGGCCATCTTGACATTTTTTTTTATTCTTCCAAATTCACTTGAAACGGGCAGTTCTTTGTTTTATTTTATATTTTTCTCTACTTTTTCCCACCTCACTCATCTCCCAGATACTTCTGGTTTGAGAAAGAATACGTGTTCCAATGCTCTTTCACATTTTCTGGACATGTGTCTTGCTGTTTAACTCAACTGCTGTTTGCATATCATACCATACCTTGGTTGTTTTAAGTTCATTTGCCTTTCTTCTCTTTGTGGTCCTTCGAACTGCTGCACTTTGGTTTACCCAGTTACCCTCTTCCCAGAGAAGCCCTTTAAGCGATGGCAGGCTGGGCACTGTTTCATTGCTAGTATTTTTGTGGTTCCGTATGCAGTTATTTTGAAGCAATACCTGATATAGGCCCAATTCCCTGCTCCTTCAGGGACATTTTATGTGTTACAAGGTTTTGGGGATTCCAGGGAGGTTTGGACGGGAGATATCATCTGTTCGGCCCTTGGGTGTTCAACTGTTGCTGCAATCTTCGAGCAGATATCTAAGTGACTGGGTCATATCGTGCAATAAATACATGTCATACAAAGGCAGCAATCCAGCAAGTCAATCCAATTTCTCTGTATGATCCAAGAACCAAGTCCGAAGGCTTGGCACCAAGTGAAGGTGGATGGTCTTGGCAAATAGCCAGCCTCGACGATTGTCTCGCTGAGCAATCCATTCGTAAATCCGAAGCTAATCAACCAGGGAATGTAATGGACCATATGGAGAAACAAACAGCTCTAAGCATCCCCTTCACGCATACGGCACCTCAAGAGGCGTTCAGACTCCTTGAACTCCCAGAGGAGCTGCTCGCATTACTTACATCAGACGAAGCTCCTCCGTACGGCTTTCCTTTTGCCTCGGTTTTACCCCCCCCCTCAGTTGCTGAGTGTGGAATCATCGCCATACATCAAGATCGAGACCCAATGTGCTGACATTTGCACCTGATGGAATTAGACTCTACCTCAAGTCGCCTCCTCCGTCTATCTCCGCCGCTAGAGCAAGTTCCGGCTCATCGTCGAACCAGGGAACAGACGATGCCTTTGTCAACCTATGTACCGATACCAAGACATACTCGCTCCGACAGGTTCACTCCTCAAATTCGATATTCGTATTAAGACCGTCGCCGCTCCTTGACAACAGCCGTAAGGAAGATGGCGGGGTTTTGGAGACGGACGCCAGTGATGCAGTTACGGCCATTGCGCTGTGCAAGTCGACGCTGGAACTACAAAGTGTTGGCAAGGGCTACTCTGCTCTCCCGTTTCTATTAAGGAATTTGCAGGTGTATGATATGGTCGACATCGAGGAGGATGCAATGGACGTGGACACTAAACGCCAATCCGATCTACACACCCCACCTGGCACGGCGGAGAGGAGAAAGGCCCTCGACGGCCTGTTTACCGATATACCTCTATCTCCCACGGAATGCTACGAGGCGTGGGTTGATGTATGTGGCTTCATTGATGAAGATCGAAATAGCGGGAATTTGGTTGGTTGGCGGCCATCGGCAGCGTCGAAACTATCAGCCTGGAAGAAATTGCTCGAAGTCTCTATATTGCAGGGAATTGATTTGAGCAAGCAATTCTTAGTTCGCGATTTGTGGAATTCCGTTGTCGACGATTCAGATACGTCAGGTGCAAAAGCGCCATTCCCTAGATCCCTTTTTTATGCGATTGTCCGCCGTTTAATGGACGATTCCCCATCCGGTATCAAGTTACAGGTTTTCGAGGGGCTCAAGTGTAAGGCCTATCCTTTAGGTTTCTTTCAGCATTACTCACATTTAAGCTGACAGCGACTCCATAGGGTCGAACCTCAACAGAGAAATTACGATCAATTGGGTCGGTGATGTATATCTGGAAGCCATGGCCCCTAATCCGCGCTTAGCGGTGCCAGAGAGGGAGTTCCTGGAGACTTGGCGAGACTTGATCCCTGAAAAATGGAGGATAGAGGTAACGGCAGAGAAGTTCAAAGTAAGTTCTGAAAACTTGAAAAATTATAATTCGCATATTCTGGCACACAGTAACAAACAAATCGTGAATACAGGACATTTCCTGCCAGCATATCACTTCATCAAGCATCTGCTTTTGCCCGAATACGGGGAAGCAAGGGGATATCAAGCCCGTAAAAGGGAAAATGAGTCGCTAAGAGCCGCTTCAGAAGCAGTAAACAGACAGCCCAAAAAAGGCAGCTCAGTGCAGTCTACCTCCACATATCTATATTTAGGGTGGTTAATCGTGTTCAAACAGCCTCCCATGCTCAGCAAAATCAATAGTCTAGCACCAGGCGTATTTCTCGTTCCATACCCAGTCTACCTCCTCTCCAAGTCCCAGTTCTTTGCCATTCCACTTCAGACTAGTAATGCTGCTGGTTTCCCTGTGAACCAACTTTGCGTTGGCGTCTAGCTTCTTGACGGCTTCTTCTACCAAAGGAGAGGGGTTCCAGATCTCCACTCGCCCCATATCCCAGTCGCGCGCCTCGTATTGAGCGCGACGGAGAACAGCAGCGGTGGCATCAATTATCGTTTGTCTCTCTGATGCAGATGAAGGTTCCTCGTGCAGAGCTCGAAGAATGAAAAGGGTACTCTGCTCGGCAGATGCACCAAAGTTTCGGTTCCAGGAGAAGAAGACGTTTCGGCTCGGAACGCATGCGCCTTTCACTTTTGGTTCACCTTTCTCGGGAGCAAGTATTGGGGAGTAGAATTCCTCTCGCGCCCAATGCCAAGTCATATTGTCAAAGTCAGGACTGAACGCAGCCTTGGCCTTTGTGTCTTTTGCAGAGGCTTCCCTCAGCTTTGCGCGATATCGGTCGAGAACCGCATTGGAGCACATGTATCTTTTCACATCGTCTCTTGCCATGTCCTTGACCAATATCATATCCAGGCCTTCGATATCCTTCTTAGCTTGTGGTCTCTCCAGCGGCGGGAGGGAGTAATGGGACGACTGGAACGGCTTCCATCCAAGGGCAGCATAGAAGGTCTTTCCTATGTCGGAATAGAGCACAGAGAAGATGGACTTCTTCCTGGCGGAGTTCTCTAGCTGCCACGTCTCGAGGACCTTAATGAGTTCCTGGATCATCCGTCGCGCATAACCTCGTCCGCGATATTCGGGTCGCGAGAACACGCTACCAATACCGTGGGAGAGAACATCCTCAACCTTACCATTATAGGCGAGGAAAGCGGGTTTCGCGAAGGTTTCGCAGCTACTGAGGATTGGGCGGGAGTCCGGGAGTGAGTTTCGTTCTGTGAGGATCCAGCAGGTCAAGGCTCCGTCCTTTGTCATGTTCTGGCTCATCAGGTGGTTCTCTCGCTGGATGTACTGTTCTGTCGTCAGCTGCCCTTTCCATGCCAGGCCGTTAATTTTTAAACACTCGATCCGTTCGTCAGGAGTAGGCACGACGAGAACGAGGTCAGGGGACGTCGCAAGCGGCAACGAGCAGTCGGCGGACCCCATGGCGAATGTGTCTTTTCCCACTTTAGGACAAGTAAAAGGGGGGGGGGGGGGGGGTGTTTAAAACTGTATATGCCGTGAGTTGTGTAAAAAACCACCCAGGGGTTGGAAGAAGTAACGGGAGGTGGTTGGCTGCCTTACAGGAGAATCGATTGGATTCAAGAGCCTCTCGGACCGTAGATCCTTGAATATATACGGAGTACGGAGCACGGCGTACGCCGTGGGGCGAAGGATCCCGAGAAATCCAAGAGTTTTAGGATGCCGAGCTGTGCCTGGGACCGGAGTTTATGGAGAAGATTTCGGCGAAATGCTTCGAGAAAAGCACCCCTGTTTAAATGTGGGCGGGATGAGGCGTGACCAATACCCGACACAACAAGGCATCGGGAATTTTTGGTATTCGCTAGAGACTCCGGTGAGAAATTGTCCGGAACGGATCCGATGGGAAGCGAGGGAACCCGGCGAGGAATGTGGGGAAGAGGCGATGTGTGAGAGTTTCACGGGAGCCAGAGCCTGCTTTACTCCTGCATCGCGTTTTCGTTAGTTTTGCTAAATTTTGTGGTGGAAGAGTTGTGGAGTCTGGAGTACCCTGGAGCTGACCTCGAAGTCTGGGGGTGCTTCCTGAAGGCGGAGAGCAGGGATGTCGATATTGCTGAGGACTCTATAACAGCAGTTTCATTTTCAAGGCGGTGTGTTAGTGTAGCCATGAGAGATTTGTTCTTTTTTTGCTCTGGCAAACGCATCCAGATGCGCCAAAACGCTGATGGCTGCTGGGAGAGTTTTGAGTTATATATCCGTACTCTGGACAGAGTAACTCCTCCGTATTTAGTTGCATGCGTACTCCGTAGTTGTAGTTAGTCAGTCCCACCAGGGATGGACCATGAACCGCTCAGGATCTGCCTGTTGAAAGCCGCACTTATTGCGGAGTACAGAGTAGTTAACTACTATGACTATCCACAACCAGCACAGCTGTATCACACACGCCCGCACTGTTACTTACCGGCCTCAGCATCCGCCTCTCCACCATGCGATGAAGCATCAACGTCATGCGGCGCAGCCTCAGCCAAGCCGATTGGTGAGCTTAAAGGTTCTGGCACCAACTATGCTGCATTCATCTTAGCGCAAGGCCTGATCTCGACTCTGTCCGCCAGAGCAGCTCGCCAGCATTCCAGGATTGGCAGCAGGCTCGCTCTGCGCTGCAGATTGTGTGTCGAAGATATTACATGGACAACCGGTGCAGCGGGGACGGCAACGTTCTACGAGGGCGGGGTCAACAATCAGGGCGGGGGCGGCGTCGACTCCCGCGAACCGGCAGAGATCCCTTCCCTTCTGGCCAGAATCCCCCCGTTCCCTTCTGCCATTAAGCCACCACCCACCCACCACCCACCGCCATCACCACCATCACCACCATCACCACCATCACCACCGCTTCCACCTCCAACGGTGACGGTAGGTCCGGGCAGGGCCATCCAACTTTCTTCGATATCATCATTCTGCCAAGCTCAGCCTAGGCTAACCTTAGTCCACAAAGCTCAAACCTTTTCCATCCTGGAGCTTAGGCCTATTTTTGTTAGGCCTTGGTCGAAACTCAACCTTGCTTCCAAGCTGTATGTGACGTGTGATACCCGCCAATTCTAGGTACAACTACAGTACCAAGAGCTAGCAGCCGCTACCAGGTAATAAGCCCACAGACAAACTCCCCAGGTTGCTTGACAACTAGGTACATGCAATTGGCACTCGTGGGCCTCGAACTTGGTAACTTTTCTCTGCCCTGTCTCTCATCTACCATTCGGCCTCTGATTGTCTTTTCGTTTCTTCCTTCGAAGGCCTTTCATATCATATCATGTCGTTCGAGGATTCAAAGCCATCATCTGTAGCAGCTTGCAACTGATGCTTCTTATTATCCTCTCCTTCGTATTTCGAAGACTGCCTCTTTTGGGTTGGATATATGGCCCTCTGATTTCCATAGCCATGAGGTTGACCAGTCTGACTCGATTAAAGGAGAGACAAGCCGCAAGACTCAGCATGAAACGGAGACACGACGCTTTTCAGGAAACTCTTTCCGCCGCTGCCGCCGGTCAACCTGCCGCTATGACGCCCGGGAATGACGTGCATCGCCCTCTCGCTGCCTCTGACGGTGCTTCCGCCGAAGCAGGCTCTCTCTGGGCTCTAATTCTCACTGTTTTCCCGGATATTTGCCCGCACTACGTCGAAGGGGTCTATCAAGCAGAGCAGAAACGCATTAGAGCCTTTCCCGACGATGCAGTGTTGATCAATGCGATCCTCGAAGCCGGACCTTACCCCACCTTACAGGAGCGGAAGCGCAGAAAGATTGAAGAGAAAGAGAAAAATAATGGCAAGTGGTCTCCAAATGACGGGGTTGTGAGGGATAAACACTATTATAATTCTGCGTGAGTGTCCTAGGGACTTCTTCGCGGTTTTCTCGGTTTCTTGATTGTTTCCGGTCAAACTTCCTTTTAGATACTGTGACATATACAATCATCTACCACTCTTTCCTGGGGGGGATCTTCCAACTTCTTCATCGTGTTCCAACCTGCATAAAGGTAGGAAAGCAGAGCTAACACGCCGTGTAGTCGAGCGCTTCTGCGTCTTGACTACCCGGATATCCCTGTGCAGTTTTTAAAGTCAACGCTCCAGCGTCACATAACTCTGTACGCCGCATACCAACATCTTTATTACCTCGATTCTAATTATACCAACCTCGCCGACGTGCCATACGGGCGTCTGAAAGTTGCTAATAGACGCGAGAAGATGCCACTTTTTGAACGCTCTCGCCTTGCCAAGGCCCACAGAGATACTCTGACACATGAATTTCAGGATGCAAGGAATATGCGCGTCCAGAAAGAAGGTACGTGAACCATACAAGGGACGACTCAATACACCGTGGGTTACATGCCTTGCTGAAGGACCATCTTTTATTAGAGAAGGAGCGTAAGCAAGCAGAAGCGGATAAGTTAGAAGCAGCAAACGAGGCAGCCCACGCGGCCACTGGAGGTCTCATGGAATGTCAATGCTGTTATACTGACGCTCCCATTAACCGCATGATCCCCTGTGCCGGTGACCAAACCCACTTTTTCTGCCAGTCTTGCATCAAGGCAAATGCAAAAACCCAAATTGGGTACATGAGATACGAAATCCATTGCATGGACACAAGCGGCTGCAACGCTTTGTTTTCTCAGGTTGAACTTGCGGATATTCTTGGTACTGCGCTGATGAGAAAAATTGACGATCTCCGTCAACGCGATGAAATCGAAAAAGCTGAAATTGATGGGCTGGAAGAGTGTCCATTTTGCGATTTTAAAGCCATCTACCCTCCAGTCGAAGAAAACCGCGAGTTTCGCTGCTTGAAATCTGAATGCGGGAAAGTGAGTTGCCGCTCATGCAAGGGGGAGAGCCACGTCCCGAAAACTTGCGATGAAGCCCGGAAGGAAAAGAACATTCCTGTGCGCCACAAGATTGAAGAGGCCATGAGCGAGGCTATCATCCGCATATGCCCTAATTCTAAATGTAAGATGCCTATTGTTAAGGCGGACGGTTGCAACAAGCTGTATTGCACGAAATGCCGGTGGATAATGTGTTATGTTTGCAAAAAAGATATTTCAAAGGACGGATACCACCATTTCACCGGCAAAGGCGGCTCATGCCCCCTGCATGACTACGCTCCATCCGAGGGTCGTCATTATCAGGAGGCAGCCCTAGCCCAAAAGACAGCAACCGAAGAAGCGCTGAAGTCTCACCCAGAATTGAAGGAAACCGACCTTGAAGTAGACCTACCAAAGACCATCTTTGCTGATATACCAGGACAAAACATACTAGGTCTCCCATTGGTAAATCAGCTATACCCCGCTAACGGTCCAGGTGCGCCAAGAGTTCATGGCCATCAACCTGGCTTTCTTGAACGTGCTGGTAATCAGAATTTTCTCCCTGCTCTTCCGCAGGAGTACTTTCAGGACGACATGGCAGAACAACCGTTCCAACATGGTGTTCCATGGGATGCCGGCCCACGACCAGCTCTGATCGTCCAAGAAAACACCCAACCGGCGGTTAACAATACCAACCAGCAACCTGCTGTGGGAGGACAGCTTCGCCAACGCCTTTTTGAAGAACAACGTTTCCAGCGTAACCCGGCTAATGGCGCTATCCCCGCTGTACGCCCAGCAGATCTTGTTAATACCCACGCCGCATTGCCGGTCAATGACGATTTCGAAGGCCTGAAGCTCCTTCAAGACCGATACGTCGGGCGATTAAATGATCCTTTCGGAGCAGATGCTCTGAACCAGTTTGCTAACGAAGTGAGACCCATGATAGACTGGCCAGATGATAATTTCCTAATATAAATGTATGTTTGAGAACAAAAATTATAAACATTCAAACATTTCTTAATTTTTTTTTTTAAATGTGCGCGCTTTTCCCTGCTTTATTGTTCTTATACAATGCTTTCATATGTGCATTGTCTTGAACTTTTTTTACTAGCGTGAGCAAGGGAAGTTCCCAAGGCCTGATGGTGTTATGCGCCTGCAAAGGTACGTTATATGATAAGAGAGGGGTCTGTTTTATGCCTTGCTTCATTGCTTCATGTCCTTAAGGCCCTTCGATACACTATTTTGCCCTTTTAACAGTTGCGTTTACTCGAATTTTTGTTTCTTTTTCCCTTCTTGCTTCTTCTTTCCGCCTGGGACGAAATTCTGTCATATTGTTTGCCCTTGGTCTAATGGGCACATATGAGACCATCCCCCCCAAACAAAACTACAGAAATTGGTACAGGTACCTAAAATAAAGGAGGAAAAAACGATGTTTGAGCATTTCAGGGGAGTGTTGAGGTCTGTGTTGTTATTTGTTCCTCTACGGTGTTCGTTAAATGTCGCTTAAGAGACCATTTTAATACAGAACGATTTTATACAGCCATGCCATATGCACTTTTGCTATCTTATTTCCTTAAGGCTACGGGAACCGACACCCCCATCGTCCGGGACCTGGGTGGTTACTGTGGGTATGGAGCGCGGTCGCGATTGAACCTTTTGGCGATAGAATTTCCGTATATCTACACCTTGAATAGAAGTTTCAGGCTAAAAAAAAAAAAAGGAGGAGAGAACAAAAAAAGTAAGGAAAAAGGTAGCTCATAAGTTGGTATGCTCGAAAATCATATTGTTGTTTTTTAGGATCTAACCGAACAGTCCGTAGCTATGCATAAAATAACGAAGTTGTAGAAGAGACCAAGGAGCGAAAAATAAGAAAAAGAAACAAGATCATGGAACACGGAGATTGGAAGCCTTACGGGGTTAGAACATTAGTTGAGATTTAGGGGTAGAAAGAGAGAAATCTCTCGTCAGGGTGAAGGAAAAGAATTTTGAAGAGAAAAGGCATAGCTGCAGACGCCGGGTAAGACAAGGAATGGACATCAGATAATCGTCACTGCTAAGGGTTTTGTCATGCCGAGCGGGGGTGGAAGAAAAAGAAGAGAGGGGAAAAAAAAAATAAAAATAAAAATAAAAATAAAAATAAAAATAAAAAAAATAAAGAAACATAAAGGACGAGAAGGAACCTACTCTATCTTGCAAGCTCGATACTGGTGGCCTGGAATGTACAAAGATGTGTCGGCCTTTGTGAATCCCTCAGTTGGCTGTCGGCCTATATCAAACACTGCTCCCAATGCCAACTGAGGGATTCACAAAGGCTGACACATCTTCGTACATTCCAGGCCATCGGTATCAAGCTTGCATGGTAGAGTAGGTTCCTAGAAGGGAAAAGGAAAAGCAGAGCAGGCGAGGTCATCAGCAGAGAGGCACACTGGCCGACAGAAAGGCAAGAAATACTCATCACAGCAAATTCATCGCAATCTAAGCTGGTTATCCGGTATTAAGGCGGTCCAGAATTTCGAATTTCCCATACGCTTCTTCCGCCCACACCTCCAGCTGCATCTCTCCAGCATCAACCCTGCGAACAGGGACGGTTTGCGCTCTTGAGCGTTTGCAATTGTTGGGAGTGCCATTACTGGGGGTCTTTGGGCTATTGGGGCAGGGCCTCTTGTTGTTTTCGTTTAGGCCCTTAGAATTGCTATTTCCAAAAGATTTTCGTTCTGGGAAGTCCCCATTCACCGATTCGGTGGGCACGGTAGAAAGGCCGTTGGGTTCAGTTGGAATCCACCACTGTTCCTCCGCTGTTATACCAGCAGGGGGTTCTGCATTGGGGCGTAATATGACGAAAAGCGCGGGGCGATATTCTTCATGCTGCGGAAGCGGAGTCAGCCTTGCACACGCCGACGCCAATCGTGCGAGGACACCTCGAAATTGAGCCTCCGTGTCAACGGTGGCCGTTGATGGGACAGACTTGGGAATAGACTGGGCAGCATTTGCGGATTTTTGGAAGATATCAAATTTCTCGATATTGCCAGTTTTAGCAGCGACAGCGCTCGCAAATAGCGTATGGATGTCTGTCGACTCCACCTGCGGTATCTGGGAAAAGTCGAAAGTATACCGTTCCAATGGCCGGTTTGTCCTTTCGGAGACTATGACGAATGATGCAGCCGAGATTGAAGATTTTATCAGTGCGGCTTCGACGAATGAACACGCGTCGTTGATCCAGGAACAGACGCCAGGGTGGCGCGACTGTTTGACGGGGTGGTTATATTGACGGACGGGAAGAAAAGTGGCTGGCGGATAGACAGAGCGAAGAAACAGGATTTGATGCATGCTCACGGCGAGAAAAGAAGAAAACGAGGACGCGAGCCGAGCATAGGTATCGGGAACACGGTTCTCAGTGGTGGTCGGACTGCTTGGCGGGAGAAGAGGTTTTGCGGGAGGGCCAGAACCAGGGTTGGCTGCAGGAGCCGCAGTTGTTGGGAAATGAGTTGCGTCAGTGGCTGGCGACGGGGTATCAGTCGCAGCAGCCGGGTGGGCAGCTCTGTGCGCCATCATCTTGGAGCAAAAGAAAAACAAAGGGTGTGCAACAAGACGAGGGCGAAGAATGAACAGAATGTTCAGAGCCCAAGGACAGATATGACACGCTTTTCAGCAACTGAGGCCTATGCTGGCCCTTTCAGCTCTGCAACGCTGAGACCAGGACTGCGTGTTCCTAGAGGAACGGGGTATTCTGGAGCGCGTCTGCTGAAGGAGTCACAGGACACTGAGTCTGATAACAGAGAAACAGCAGCAGTCAGCAAGAAGAAAGAGTGTGAAGGCGGCGAACCACTGCTGGAGGAGTGAAGCATGACCAAAAGAACAGTGGTTCGGAGGAGAATCAGAGAGCAGAGGAGCGTGCTTTTGTGTGAAAACGAGAGAAGGAGAATTGAAGTTGGATGGTGATCTTCTCTCCTTGTTGACAGACAAGATATCGTAATCCATCACGTGCCTGGTGGGTGGATGAGATCACCGACCTTGGACGATCTTCAATGTTCAAACCTCCTGAGCCCGGCGGGTGGGGAGGGGGGGAAGATTAGTGGAAATGGCTTGATGGCGATCGCCTCCCGGCAGCGGATGTATGGCCTTTGGGAAAAGAACTTCGATCTTTTCTCCCGGAAATTCCACTTTCAACTATGGCGTATGTATGTACTAACCATCACCAGCCACTGATCATGCATCGATTTCGAGTCCTGCGAGCCGTGAGAAGAACCAGTGCATCCCGTCTTGCGATGGTCAATCCCATGGTTACTCTACCCGGTAAAAAGTGCCGGGTACTCCATACGCAGTATATACATGCAAATGGTTGCCTTGTCTTGCAACATGCCTGGATCCGTCCCATCTCACCTCTAACCCCCGCGCTGACGCTCAGTTGCTCTCAGCCCTAAAGGCAGCATTAAATGCCTCGAAAACCCTCAGTATACTGGTCTGGGTACAACGAGAGGCCAGAACCCCAATCTGAAGCCCACGGTTGATTCTTACAGAGCTGCCACGTCAGGATGAGTCTGCCACTTGTTTTCTTTCACGGCGAAGCAGAGACGATAATGGTTGCGCATTGGCGACCTGCAAGCCGGCCCATGGTGGCGCGAAGGTATTACTTTTTTTTTCCCTGCACTGTCCTTGATGATTGATCGATATCTCGGTGCACTCTGGAAGGGGATTGGATATAATGCAAACAGACACATCTGTATGTATGCGACTCGCCATATGACTACGCTTTGGCCCTAAGACTTCTTTTAAGTTGTCTCGATCTGCATTTCACCCATGGCCGAATCCACGTTTCACCTCTGGCCGATGCACCCAAGGTTAATGAACCTTGCCCTGCACAGCACGAGGGAAATCTCGACTCTTCTTTTCTTTTTCTTTTTTCTTTTTCTTTATTTATTTATTTATTTATTTATTTATTTTTTTTTTTTTTTTGATTGTTTTTTCCCCTCCAGGTAATTATCTTCCCAGGTTCTGGATCGTTCTCTAGGGCCACAACTCGGGACAAGAAACTGGACGGCGCCTCCAATCCCCAGTCGAAGCAGACAACGCGTGCTCTCTATTCCACGGCGCTTACAGCTAAAGTGACTTTGATGTGATCAAACATCCCGAAAGGCCCGCATGGATTGGCATAATGGATAGCGGGTCGTCGAACAAGATAAGGTTAATTTTAGCGGCAGCGTCGACGCCAACCGGCACATTTTGGACCTCTCGTTGAGTAGCAGGCTCGCCTCACCCGAAAAAAAAAAAGAAAAGAAAAGAAAAGAAAAAGAAAACGAATCTATGACCCCGTGAGCAACGTACCCAAAAAAAAAGGCCCTTTTTCTTTCTCTGCGATGGTAAGAGGCAGGTATTGTGGTGAATGGGGTCATGGGGTGCCTTGGTCTTCCTCATTTCTCTCCACAAATTTCGCGGCTGAGAAGCCCCGTCTGTGCTCCATCTCAGGCTCTTTAAAGTTTGTCAATGTCTCGGATAACATGGCATCGAGGACGCCAGCGGCTTTCTTGGCGAGTGATCGTCCCTAGCGGAGCCTAGGGGAGCACTTTTGACCGGTGTAATAAGCGCGAGGGGAGCTTCAGCCCACGAGCTACAAAAGAGAAGGCTTTGGTATTCTGCGATTAATTTTGGAGGCAAAATTTTTGAAACCCGCCCTGCGGCTCAGCAGTTTTCATTGTTTCCAGTTGCTGAGGGGTTGAACATTCGTCGCGAACAGGATAATTCGGGAGCAATCCAGATACCTGGACACAGGCCGGAAGAACGGCATGAGATAGATTTCACTGTGTGATTCCATAAGCCTTGTTTGCTGTGGATTGGTTTACTATTGGTTAGGAGTTCATATCCGTTTGAGCTATGGGCTCTGGCTATCAATCTCTGCCGCGTCGGACAAGAAGCAGGTTGAGGTCCCCTCTGGAGGAAATTTTGGGCGTCGATTGCGTCCTTGGCTTTTCGTGTATTCACATATTTGCTCAATAGGAATGCCTGATCAGAGAATCGAGCTGCACGTTGCAGCCAGAGTACCGAGCATATCATTTTTTTTGTTTGCATCTTAACCGAGAGCGACCTGGTTTCAGTCCGAGTCTACGGAGTACAAGCAGCCCCATCACCGGTGCCTCCTGGATCGACCAATTACTGCTAGAATGGCCCTGTAAACCTCTTGTTCAAGCTCCTCGGAGCTTGGTAGTAATGCGGCTTGGAGCCAGTCGAAATTCGACGAGAAGGGTCAAGGATTGCTCCCGGGCCTCGACGCGCTGGAGGCCCCCTGGGCGTCACCCACGTCGATGATTAGGTCGAAGTTTAGGCTCCCGCCCCCCTCACATGTCATCACCACACCACCACCCAGCATTCTTCGTCAATAACCAATCTCGAGCTCCAACTCAATTCCTTGCTCTTAATTCTAAAAATATCAACGTATATTCTCCAGGGCAACATGGAGCAGCAGCTCCTCCAGCTCCTCTCAGACACCCAGTCGACCGCTCCCGCGACGCGCAAGAATGCAGAGGGGCAGCTTCTTGGCCTTTACACCAACGAGCACTTCCCGCTCTCCCTCGCGTCAATCGCTTCTCATACCTCCGTACCCGTCCCCTTACGACAATCCGCGCTATTAATCCTTCGGACTTTCATCGTGTCGGCATGGTCCTCACAGTTGGATGAATTCAAGGGCCAGGTCCTCGTCAATGACGCGAACAAAGTCCACCTGCGACGCGTCCTGCTCGAGCTGGCCATCTCTCTTGAAGACGACCGAAAAGTCAAGGCGTCGGCGAGCTATGTCGTCAGCAAGATCGCCAGTGCAGACTTCCCAGACGAGTGGCCCGATCTGCTGCCGACCCTGCTTCAAGTGATTCCCACAAGCAATGACACTCAGCTGCACGGAGCGCTCAGGGTTCTCTCGGACCTTGTTGAAACGGGATTCAGTGAAGAACAGTTCTTCAAGGTTGCTCGAGAACTGGTCTCGACTGTTTTCAACGTTGCAACTAATGGCGCCCGGAAAGCGACCTTACGTGCACTTGCCGTATCCGTCTTTCGCGCGTGTTTCGACACCTTGGAGATGGTGTTGGAGCAGCACAAGGCGGAGGTCAAGCAATTCATGGATGAAGCATTAAATGGATGGTCGCCATTCTTTATTGCTACCTTGAAGGAGCCACTTCCTCCGACACCAACTGAAGAGGAAGAAGCTTCAGACGCCCAAGGACCAACTCAGTGGCGGGGCTTAATTGCATTGAAGTTACAGGTTGTTAAGGTAGTACTTACTCTCCTGCATATCCATCATAATCGTACTTGAGCTAATTTACCCTTGCCCTCCAGACATTGATGAAAATCCGTAATGTCTTTCCAACTCTCCTTACCCCGCATAGCACTGCTCTCTTCACTACGATATGGACCGAACTATCCACCCTTCAAGCCGTATACTATGATCTTTACATTCAGGACGAAAGACAGGGTAGATTGGAGGATGCAGACGGCCTGCCTTATACACTCGATTTTCTGGTTCTGGAGGAATTGGATTTTATGCAGAGCTTGCTACGCGCACCTCCAGTCAGAACGGAGCTTCAAAATCAACTACAGGCTGCAGGGGGTACAGCTACAACCACCAGTTGGCTTCCAGATGTTCTCAAGCTCGCCATCTCATACGCTCAGATTTCTACGGAAGAGGAAGGATTGTGGGATATCGATGTAAATTTGTATATCTCTGAAGAGAGTTCTGTGACATCAAATTATACTCCTAGAACCTGCAGTGGCGACGTGGTTATCAAGTTGGGCGAATGGCTCAAAGTGACGGTTGTTAAAGCTCTTCTTGCACATATCAATGTCGTCTTCTCTGACACAACTTCGAGGTATTCTCCCCGTCTCTTTATTCTTATTCCCTTTTTTCTTCTCTCTCGCTTCTTTTTTTTTTTCTTTTTTCTTTTTTTTTTAAAAAAAAAAAGCAAAGGCTGCTAACAGTTACGATATAGCTGGAAATTACGAGAAGCTGCGCTTTATGTAGTCAATCAGTTGCTTCGAGACTTTCACGAGGTTTCTGAAAACATTCCGCTAGACATTGCCAACGGGTTCAACAACTTCATCCGGTTTTGCATACAGCAAGATGACGTATTCCTCCGGGCTCGTGGGTATCTTTTGGCCGGTAAAGTGTCAATGACGGCAGGCGAAGGCTTCCATCAAACGGCATTGTCATATCTAGAAGCAATTGTCAAAGCTATCTCTAGCGATTCCTCCGAAGTTGTTCAAGTAGCTTGCATTTGCGCGTTGCAAGACTTATTGCCTAACCTTCCACAGGCATTGACAATGCCGGTTCAGCTCCAGATGATTGGCACTTTGTCCGACTACATTGCCTCCCATGACCTCCGTGATATGACTGAAGGAGATGATCTCAAATTTACCTTGGCTAACGCGGTTCGAGATGCTATTATGATTGACCCTGGCGTCGTTCTTTCTTCTGTGGCTCTTGATCTCCTGTTCAACATTGCAAGCAACGGAGCAAGCAACTTCCAGCTGGGAATGATAGTGACTGAGACCTTTGAAGAAATTGTGCAGCACATTGCCGAACAGGGCGCCGACGCATATATCCGTCTCTGCGAGAAAGTCTTGCCATCTTTGAACGGAGCCATTGACATTGGCAATTTGACACAAGAAAGTGCTTTGACTAATCTAGCGGTTGAGCTGCTACGTGCCCTTGCTGAAAATGGCTTGGAGCCACTTCCTCAGGGGCTTGTCGCTTCGGTGATGCCTAAGCTAAACCGCTTGTTGCTTGCGTCCACAGAGCCTGACCTTCTACCTCCGGCGACTCTGGCTGTTAAACACATGCTGGCACACGACCCTGACCAGTTCTTTGCTTGGCGCGATCCTCAGACCGGCAAAGACGGAGTCGAAAGTGCGCTAATTATTATTAGTCGCCTTTTGGGTGAAACCGTGGAAGACAGCGCTGCAGCTGAGGTTGGCGCATTGGCCGCCGAACTGGTTGAAAAAGCTGGTGCTGAGAAGCTTGGGCCATTCCTTCCCCAACTCCTTCGTGCAGTAGCACAACGTCTCGCCACGGCAGAACAGGCACAATTCATCCAGAGCTTGATCCTAGTATTCGCGCGGTTGTCTCTTGTTAGTACTCGAGATGTCATCGACTTCCTTGCACAGCTCGATATCGGCGGTAGCTCCGGGCTAAATGTCGTGCTCAGCAAATGGCTGGAAAACTCCGTCAACTTCGTCGGCTTTGACGAGATCAGGCAGAATGTGATTGCTCTTGCGAAGCTTTATGCGCTTGGAGACCAGCGGATCTCTGAAGTGCAAGTTAAAGGTGACCTTATCATCCAGGATACTGGCCGAATTAAGACACGTTCTCAGTCTCGACTCAATCCAGACCAGTATACCATCATTCCCGCTCCCTTGAAGATCATTAAAATTCTCGTTGAAGAGCTTTCTTCGGCATCTGGCATGAAGGGGATCAACGCTGCTGGATCTGTTGTAGGTGCTGAAGACCTTGAAAGCGATGATGACAACGATGATTGGGAAGATGTTCCTTCCAACATTCTTGACCTGGGTCTTGGTATTACGAAACAGGAATTGATGGCCTTCGGGGAGGGTGATGTTTTCCGTCAGCGTGACGACGAGACACAGGCATACTTGTCCCAGTTCTTCCATGAGGAGGCCGCTAAGCCTGGGTTCCAGGAGATCTTTGCGGCACTGAAACCTGAGGAGCAAGATCGATTGCGAAGTTTGGGACAGTGATTTGACTATTGAAGGGGTTTGCCAAAGGCCGTTGATGATAAAGCGAATCAAATGTCATCTACTTGGGTTTAAAGCCATAACACTGATAACGAGTCAGTCGATTCATCGGGAAGTTTCTGGAAGAAAGGAAAGCAAAAGAAGTAGAAGAAGAAAAAAAAAAAAAAAGGAGAACAATGATTTAGTTGATGACCTCAAGATCGAAAGTCATGATGTCAGAGCCTTAAGATGTTTGATAGCTATTGCTTCTTGATACTAGTTGACAGAGATACATATAGGCATACGTAAATAGATGCTGGCGAATTTGACATCTCACCATTACCCCTATTTTCCTCTTCCTCTGCGTTTCACCGTACAGAAGCTGTAGGGCTGCGAACCCCAGTCCAACGAATCGCTTGGTGCCAGCCCCCAGGTCTTCTTGGCTTCGGGTCGGCTGTAGGGCACACAGCCAAGTGCTTCAGCTCGGATGTGTCGTCTGTCTCAAAAAAAGTAAAAACAAAAAATAAAAAAATAAAAAAATAAAAAAAATAAAAAAATAAAGGATTACTGCATATTTTTGGTGTTCATCATAATGGGAACCCCACCATTTGACTTGCATGAAGCCGATTAATCCGCAAAGCAAAAACATCATCGACCACACGATACACGTGCGAATACGAACCTTCCTTACGTAGTTGGCACGTTGAGCACAGCTGAAATTGCATAAGCGGGGGAACAACCCATCCCGTAGTCTGCAGGCAAGCTGTCAGTTACTTAACTAACCAGCCAACCCTCCTCAAAAATTCTCGGTTTCCTGTGTTTCGATAGTTATCAAAGCACAATGGGCTCATATACCGCAGGCGTCAAGCCTGCATTCCTGATCATCGCCGTCATACTCGTTGTCCTCCCTTCGCAGGTTAATGCTTTTGGAGCTGGAAGTAAGTTGACTTGCTGCTCGGCAACGTGCACTGCGACCGGCCGATAAGCTTGTCTCAAATGGCTAACCGTTTGGAATCAGATATCGCGTCTATTTCTAAAATCGAGGGCAAGAACTGGCGCCATGGCGACATTGAAGATATGCTCAAGACGCTGGCCTTTATCAAGGGTCACAAGTGGACGTCAAATATGGTCAAGAGAGTGTATTTTGGAAACTGGTTACGCGATTAGTGAGTCTTTTCCCGCTTCTTATTTTTTCTGTGTCTATGAACCAAGCAATTTCTCCTAGATGTTCTCAAGATCTCTGCCATGAGGGGGGATTGATATTGTGTGTGGGTGTGTGTGAATATATGCTGACAGCAGTACCTTGAAGCTCGCAAGCCATGGACGTAGGAACTTTGCAGAAACTACAATCTGAGACCATCCGCGTTCTGGTGTGGATTCTTTCGTTCATGAGCTTTGGATATGCTACCGGGGAATTTGAAGTTACGGCCGAAAGACTAGGAGTGTATCGACCGGAAGAGCATATTGAGTGTGTGGATCCTGGAGAATAATGAATCACCTGTTGCTGACACGACCTAGCAACCCAAAGGACTATGCCGACAACAAGGATGCTAGGCAATATGATGCGCGCTTGCGTGGACCAGTGAGGCAAGTTGAGTTGGACATCGATCCGGAAACTGGGATGAAAAATTACATTGCGAATGAACGAGGTGACTGGGCCACCAGTGCAGGATACGTGAGGTACAGCTTTGCCCGTAGCATCCACTTCGGAAGGCTTTACACCAAGGGGGGCCATAAGAAGGGCCGCGAAGAAGATCTATATGAAGCGTTAAGATGCCTTGGTCAGGGTTTGCATACGCTGGAGGATTTTGGCGCTCATACGAATTATTGTGAACTCGTGTTGCGCGAAATGGGCATGTATAACGTTTTCCCGCATACCGGAACGAGAACGATGATGACCGTTCGGGGGAAGCATATCTTTCCTTTGGTCACAGGCACATTTGGCATGGTTGACTTTTTCCATTCAGTCTTGGGCGAGGCCACGGACCATTTCGCCCAGTCGGAAATTGACGAGGCAGATAATGCTTTTGGAAGTGCTCAAGCTAGTGGATCTTCGGCGCCATTGAACGGATTGACCAATATGCTTGGGAATGTCCCTGGAATGGGAGATCTTATTACTGAAGCCCAGCAGTTGCAGCAGCAGTCGCAGGCCCAGGCACAGGCTAACCAGCAATACCAATCGCACCATGGAGGTTATGGTGCGTCGCGAGGATTCAATGATGATGGTCACGGACAAGGGGCGGGCTACTATGACGATACTCGGGCTCCCGGTCAAAACGGTGCTAACATTCCAGGAATGCCCGATTTTGACCCTCAAAAGACAGTCTCCCAGATCTATCCCATACTCGTTTTTAGAGACAAGGTTGTTCGAAGAGTCAGCAGCGTAGTGGAAAAGATCCCGGGACTTGAGTCGTTGATGGAAAAAATCTCTGAAACACTGACCGTGTTTGTCTATTCCCTTTTAGCTCCATTTGTACGGCCCCTTATCACCTTTGCGTCGAAAAAACTGCATCTAGGATCCTCTGAGGTTATCAACTCCTCAGCACAACACCAGTTTGAACCATGGACCGACCCCCACTGCACCGACCCGACGCACTCTCTCCTTTCGAAGGATCACTTTTCCAACATTCTCAACGAGCCTGCTGGGGGCGTTGCAGCGGCCATTCTTAAGTTTGTTGTCCCGCGGGTCCTGTACGCGTGGCAACACGCCGATTTTCCGGTTGACCATGTCCTGAACGACTGTGTCAGTGTCTTCCACCATCCGGCATTGCGAGATATGGACAATGAAGCCCATCGGACGATGTTTGAGGTAGTGCAGCAGTGGGCGTTTTCAAGACATGATAGAGGGGCAAGCTTGGACCATATCCTAAGCGCAGAGAGTGTGAGGGCGGGAAAGAATCACACCGTTGATGGAAGTCATGGACACGGACATGGACACAGTCACGGCCATGGGCATGGGCATGTACATGCTCACAGCCAGCCCCACCAAGCCCCTCCTTATGGCGGGCATGGTCAGCCGCAACCGACCAGTTCATTTGCTAACATCCCAGGCCTGTCTGCTCTCGCTGGGTTGACAGGGGGGTCCCAGAGCCACCAGTCTCACTCCGGGTCGTCAGGTTCGTCCGGCATGCCGTGGGACAAGCTCTCGAGCCTACCCATTCCTGGAATGTCCAATTTGAACAAACTCTCAAGCTTCATACCCGGTGGTCATGGGAAGCGTGAAATGCCCGACGAACCCAACGACGGCACCGGTCAACAGCCACCGTATTTAGGGACTCCAGCATACGCGCAGGTCGGAGAGCAGCAGCAGCAGCAGCAGCATTATTCCTCTGGAACTGGGCATGATGCTGGCTTCTCCGTTCCGCCACCAGCAGGCTATGAACAGTACCACCAGCAGCGGCAACCCGGCTCTGGGGACGGCCATGGGGTTTATCAGCCTCCAACGCATGGCGCGCACACGTATGATTATTATAGTGGTTATAGCAGGGGTTAGGACCGAAACGATACCCAGGTTTCCAGGTTTATGCTCCGTAGAATGGGGAAATTTGCCATCGTCATTTCAAGGTGTCTAGGCACGAAAGCACAATGCTTGTTGTTTCATGAGTGTAAATACATCAACCAAGATGCGCGCAGTCGACAAACTCTGTGCAGACTGAACGGGTGCCAATCCGTGCCAGCCACACCTGCTGAGTAATCCTAACCACCGTAGGCTTGGCGTTTCCCTCTTTGTGTAATACCCGCACTTGGCAAACCCTAAATTGCGCTAGTACCTAGATTCCGCGTGTGATTGGCCAGGTGCAAAAGCGGAGCCGCAAAGTGACGACCCACCCAGCCACAACTGCCCAGCTTGAGGCTGAGTCGTGCTGGACGGAGACGATCGGAATTTGGAACGGAAACTCTACGCCGGTACGGAGTAGCTAATGAAAGCTGATGAACAGCTTTTCCCCGGCGAATTGATAGTCTTCACCCCCTGCTTACCAGGCGACTCTACGCTACTTGAGGCGTTTTCTCCGCTGTTGGTTGCATGCGCCCTGAGCTCACTTCTCGGATCCTATCCGAAGAAAAGCTTGTAGAAGAGATGGTTGATGTATGTCTGCAATGGACGCAAAAAATTAATAGAAAAAAAAAAAGAAAAAAAAAGGAAAATGGGGGGTTGCATGCCGATGGATTGGTTGATGGGCATGACGCCCTCTGGATCGTCTCTCTCTCCCTGTCGGGGCTGGCTTGAGCCCGGGGTTATTATCTCTGCAGGGGGATTTTGACGACGCTTGGTGAGTGACGGATATCTTTCTGGAAAAGCAAAAACTTTCGTGTAAAGGATATGTTGGTTGTCCTTTATCGTAGTCTGCTGGGAGAGGTGTATGGACCCCGTAAGGGGGAGATTTTCGAGATCAAGCTCAAGTTAAGCTCCTAAACAAGCTTATTTGTCTTGATCGGCGGTGGGTTCGACATACGGTTTCTGGGGACATGGCTGGATGCTGAGTTAGCACCTTGCCTTTTTTTTTTATCCTCTTTTTTTTTTTTTTTTTCTTTTTTTCTCACCTCCTTCCACCGCACCGCCAACATTCCAACATTGAGCACCCAGCTCTCCCGTCCAAAATGGATCAAGACCCCGAGACGACCCTGGACAGGTCGGATTGGCCCCTTTTGCCATTCGACTAGCCATCTCGGTACTGGCGCAAACTTTGTCGCACACTACCCGGAGGCATTAGGCCGCAACCCAGCGCGCCCACCACTGAAATCGTCGATGTTGCGATATCAGCCCCGTTTCCAACGGCAAATTGCCAATGCGAGTGGCTCGCGCGGAGTTGGGGTTACTCCGCCATTAAAATGACAAAACTCTTTGTTCTTAGCCGAGTCAGGGACATTCACTCTGGCGCCTGACTCGTTCAGTTTTGCCATATATGAACCATGATATAACGTCTGGTTCGCCGCCTCAAGGACGGTTTCCCTCTCTTCCCCTGTTGATACCCCGTCTTGTCGCTTGGAAAGAATTTTTCACCAAGTTCTGTGACGTTTCGTCCTTTCGTTCCAAATCATAATCCACATTCGTTTTGACACCCGAAGAAGAGAAGAGAAATCTTCAACCACCTTCACCCTTTCGTTCGCTTTTCTTCATATAATACCCTCTCTTCAACTTAATAACTAATTTAATATCTCTGTCAAAATGGTCGCCAAATCGATAACTCTGCTCACTGCCTGCCTCTTTGGCAACTTGGCTGCCGCCGCGCTAGAAAAGCGCGCTGATCCCACGCCTACAGTGAGCTTATGGCTGCCTCAAGCCGACTTGAAGAACGAGGGCATTACCCTTGGAGCGTCGGTGATTGCCGCTGTAAGATATTGAGCCCTTTTCTCCTCATTTTTCCCATGCAACACAAGAGGCCGACGGGACTAACTCTTTCGCTAACTACTTCAATAGCAACCCACAATCACTTCTTATGCCCTCTGCCCCATCGGAATCGACGTGAATATCTGCAAGGAGTCTGCTGGAATAACCCTTGCCCAAGGTCCCAGCACATACGAGCTGATCAACACCATCCATGTTGCCGGAGCGTACGTCTTCCTACAATCCCCAAAATGGCCTTTTATCTGGTCGCATACACACATCACCCATACTAACTCCTTCCGTTCTTTTTCACTCTCCAGCGAAGGCAGGAATGAAATCAACTGCAAGCTTTTTGGCACCACTCGCGCCGAGTGCGTCGGCTCCGCCTCTGCTAGCTTCCGTGGTCGAGTTACAACCATGGTGACCTCGACTGTTTTCACCGATCCTGAGATCATGACCTTAGAACCCGTGTCCGTCACTGCTGGCGCCGATAAACTCAAGAACATTGCCCCCGCCACTACTGACGCAGGTGCTACTGGCGGTGCAGCCGCCACTGGTGGTGCAACCCCTAGTGGTGACGCAACCCCTACTGGTGACGCAACGGCCACTGCCGGTGGTGCAGACGCGACGGATGTGAGCACGGGTGGTGTATCCCGGGTTACGGGAACGACTGGGTGGCTTCTCGGCGGTGTTGCCGCAGCTATGGCTGCTGTTGTGGCGTTGTAAAGTGTTTATCTGAAAGATACCATCATCTAGCTGATGAGGATTTGAATATATAATCTATTCTGTATATGTGGTTGACGTTTGGCTTCCGAAGCGTGGATCGAGGGTAGTAAGATTAATGGAGTATCTTCAGGATAAGTGAGTACAGCTAATAAGTAAAGTACCCTGTACATGAAAGTAAATGAATGCTGTCCATACATGCGTTCCCGTGCTCTCGTCGGTTTCAATGCTAAATCAACCTGGCCTATATCAGGCGGCAATCGTACTGTACAAGTAGCAAGAGATATCGTTTCAAGAAGGAGAAAAATTAAAGATACTGTAAGACGGAGGGAGAGAAAACATAAAAATGTACTCGGATGCCTACCAGGGTGGTTTCAGAGTTTCGTGCCTTCTCGGCTATCGCTCAGTCTTCTTGATCTCTCTGGCAGCTCCACAATCCCTCGTCCCTGGCTGGCAGATGTCGATGGACCGGGTGTGTTTAAGCCGCTGACGCCACTACTTCCAGGAGTTGGTGAGGGACGGTTGCCCATCATCCGCTGCTGGCCTTGCTGCAAGGTTGAATTAACGAGCATGTGAACTTGCATTCTGACGGTGTTGAGACCGGCGCTTATGTGCGCCATGTCTTCTCGGAGCCGGAGGTTCTCATTCAGTATGGTCATGTTTGCGCGGGCGTCGAGAGCCGACAAGGCGTCGGCGAGTTGGGTAACCTCCCCGCGGAGAGATTCATGGATCGAAAGGAGGTAGGTTGTTGTGTTTGTATTATTGGCGGTAGAAGACTGGGCCCGCGTTGTGGTGTCAATCATCGGTTCTGAAGCAGAGGTAGGCTGGTTTTCAATCGAAGTATCAGAGGAGCTTGTAGCTGCTCCAGCTGCCAACGGCCGGCTGTTTGCCTGGAGTGCAGATCTGATGCTGGCGATGCCTTCTTCGAGCACCTCATTCCGTTGTTGGAGCAGCCTGATCATGGTTTCCATTGAAGCGATACGTGTTGATTGGGATTCAAGGTATGGCCCAAGGTTAGCCAGAGGACAGGCCCGTTCGTGGGTTCCCATCTCGGACTTAGGCAATCTGGCACGGCAGCCGTAAATTGACGCTTTGCAAGCAGTCTTTAAGCAACGGTTTTTGTGCTCCTCTAGGTCGCATCGGAAAAAAACGGCTTCGCAGCCCGAACATCGTACTTCTGCTTTGGGACATGTTTTATACTTGTGCTCCTGCGAAAAGTTATTAACGTGACCGAAAGGATATCTCTAGAAAAATAAACGATATACGTACGGCAATCATCAATTGTATAACCTCCTCGCCGCAGTCTGTGCATGTCCCTGGCTCGTGTAAACAGTATCCATCTAGGATTATGTCTCTCTTACGGATCATCTTGTCGCAATCCTCGTCTGGACAGGAGACGAGTCTGTAATTGCAATGTTTTTCCAAGTGTGAGCGTACATAGCCACGCTGCATAATCTCGTCACATCCGTGGTCACTCCACGGACACTTCACAAGTATTTCGTCGCACATGGCCACGATGAGTCTGGGAGCGCTCTTGGGCGGGGAAGTGGTAGGAAGTCGACAAGTCGGACAAATGAAGTCGTCCGGAAGGGATTGGGAGGATACAATACTGTCCGAAGAGTCCAGAGCCCTGGCACAGGTGTCTAAGCAGGTCTCGCAGAAGATATGATCGCAACTCAGTTGCATAGGGCGAACGAAAGGAGAGTGGCAGATAGGGCACATCAAATGTCCATCGTATTCGGAGACGGTTTCGAGGGACTGAAGGTCCACCAGGGAATCGGTATCGGATGCCATCTTGTTGTATGTAGCAAATACCTGTCAAAAAAAAGAGTTCACCGGCGAAAGTGTTAAGTTATCGTTGCTGCTCCGACAGGTATTCCCCTGCCCGCTTCCCGCGGTCGATAAGCGGGGCTAGCCGGGCTCTCTGAATACAAAAGCACAGGAGATGGCGAACAGGAGATGGTGATAGAGGGATTTCAGATGCAGATTATTTGCATATCGCTAGGGGACTGGAGGATGAGGAAGACACGATTTCTCAGAAAGTTCGATGTTTGGTTGGCAGGTCTTCTTAAATCGTCCTCCGGCGGGAATGCTCCGTCAACTGCGGTCCGGGTTGAGACACACCCGGACGTCGTTGTAACGCTGGCCTGTAACGGCGTGACGCCGCAAATCCGCCACCAGTCCCACTGAAACTCTGTAATTAATACCGGCTGTTACCGATACGTCATGACGGACGAGTTCGCGACAGTTTCACCTCCGACCGCAGAGGCACCAGCCAGCATCACCCAGACTGTCCATCACCCCGATCAACGCAAGGCAAAGGAATCCAGAGTTGCCGGTATCCACCGTTGTTGTGCCACCGGCAGCATCACGCATTCGCTCCGAACCTGCGGGAGAGGCAGACCTACCGGGTCAGTACCGGCAGCATGAGTAACCCAGGCCAGCTGTTCTTACTCGCGGATCACGTCAAACTATCTCTACTTGAACGGCAGAGAGCCATATCCTTAAGCCTTGAACCGAATTCTCAGGATGGAGAGATATCGCGCTCTCTAGAGTCGCTGCGGGACGGCATCGAATCCGTCGAGAAGGAGGCCAGACGGCTGGAAGAAGACGGCGACTCGTAAGGCTGCTCATCGAAGCAGAACCCCGTCTTACTTTTGGAAATCCATCAAAACTAATCTCCGTGTGTGCCCTTATCCTAGATCATTCGTAGATCTCAAAGAAGAAGCGTCCAACCTTCGCCAACAGCTCCATGACCTCGAATCTCAGTTCTACGAAAACCCATCCTCATCCTCCAAAGATACCATTTCATCTCCGAACGACCCTTCCCTTGCTCAAGATTTTGTCAAGGCCAGCAGCGCATCCGCCTCCACTACCCTTAAACACCCAACTCCACAGCACCCGGTTTCCAAATCTGTCAGATTCACAGATACCCTCGCCGCGCAAGCCGAAGAAGAGGAAGACCCCAACCGCAGAGAACTCCTACAACCATACAGAGACTCGCCATCTCCATCACTAGACCATTCTCAACTTAGCAATGAAGAAATTCACGCACATCATACTCAGATCATGCAAGAGCAGGACGACCAGCTCGACCGGCTGGGAGAGTCGATCGGACGACAGCATCAACTGAGTATTCAGATCGGCGACGAATTAGAAGGCCAAGTTGCCCTGTTGGATGAAGTTGATGGACACGTTGACCGGCACATCGGAAGACTAGACGGCGCCCGGAGAAGACTGGGAAAATTTAAGCGCAATGCGAGAGAAAGCCGAGGGATAATGTGGATTATCGGGTTGATCATCCTTCTGGTGATTTTGATCGTGATTCTGAAGTGAATTTAACAAAGACGAAAAAAAAGAGTCGGACTTACGGCGGAGCCTCATTGAATTCTAAAGAGATGAATGGGCTCTACATACACCTCTGCACGGTTTTCATCGCGTTGATAGACTCCACCAGTGGATTCTCAGAGATTTCGAATTTCCATTTTTATCTTGGTGATCTCTCCCGCTTTGTGTACTTTCTATGTGAACGACGTTTTCAAGCATCTTGTGGCACTGTGACTTTTCATATGGATGGATTATGCGGGCTCAACAGGCGTTGATCGATGGTGTGAACACTTGTTTTTGGTGCTGAGTGTTATTCTTCATAGGCATCTTTTCTCAGTGCCTCCCCTATAATATACGACAACTGTATATAAATTACTTGGTTTTTTTTGGCTGTCTTATCATGATGTATACACAGCACCTATCTCCTATTTCTGCTGAGACATTATATACAGTTACATCGTTTCTGAACCTCACGGCTGGCCTCATTTCAATCGAAACCCCAATATGAATATTTACAGCCCCATCAGTGCTTTAAAATAATCCATTCCATTAACTTTCAATGCACAAATTTATATGGGCAAAGGCTCACAGACAGCCTCTACCGCCGTTGGAGATATGGCGTCGGGCTTCAGCATAGCGAGGAAGTATCACATTCATGCTTTCTTCCCTTTCCCCTGGGCAGCATGCTTTTTTATTTCCTCCTGAATTTTGTCGAAGGTCGGATCGCTGATTTCGCCTCTGTCGGCTTTAACCTACAGTCCCACACACACGCGACGGCCTGTTAATTGTCTCTAGACTCATTGAGAAAATGACGAAGGGAGAGAGGAATTGACAAACAGGTAAAGACATACATTCTCCTCGCTCGAGCTAGCCAACTCTTCCACCCAGCCGGCCTTTTCGTGACCTTCCTTGTGGCGGTTAATCTGGTCCTGGTTGTGCTTATCGATTTCACTCCCTAGGTCATCACGGTCTGCGTATATACTGTTAGAAGGGGGCATTTATATCTCAGTTTGGTCGCTTTGAGAGATTTTGCAAGAACGTTGTTTATTATTGGTATGGAAAGATGGCTTACGTCTATCGGATTCTTTAAGGACACTGCGTGACGCCGAGGAGTGGAATGATGAAGACTGGGGTGATGAAGCCGGGAGAACCATGCGGCACGGTTGCTTAGTGAGGGCGGTCACCCGGGCAAGGCGAGATCTGGAGAAAGAAAGGAAAGACATGATTGCTCTTTAGATGATCATTCCTCGTGGTTTCGAATGGTTATAAGTCGATGGTTGGGGAACTAGGAATGAGGATGTTCGACTACGGATAGGGAGCTACATATATGGAGTAGATACCACCTGTATAGGCAGGAGAGTGACCAAGTTCTATGTAACTTTAGCACCATAGGTATGGCTTGCTACGCAATTCTAGCGATGCTGGTACCCGCACAGAGGTATCCAACTACTCTTCCTTCATCTGCCTTGAATCAACTGTTGTCTGTTCTCTGGATCGGCCACTTATGACGTCATGAGAGGAGCTCCTCACGCCGGGAGAATTGAAATCCCGAGAAGCTTGATTGGAACCTTGCATGTATGAGAATATTTTGTATTTGCGTCCTGGATGCTGGTTTGGACAACTAGCTGGTACCATGTTGTGTACTTGTGGTCCCTTTGTCAAAGGCAACTTTTGTGCTGCTGCCTTTTCCTCAGCATCTAAAGGATATGATTGTAAACCAGGAACCTTGGGTCATGGAAATGGCCGGAAGAAGTGATATCTACATGGATTGGAAGCCAATTATACGCTAAACTTGGGGAGTGTCTGGATTTAAAAAAAAAAAAAATACAATTTCACTGTGGGGATGATTATTTCAAAGACGCCTCTCAAAGAAGAAAGGATCAGTGGAAAGCAGCGGACTCCTGCAGATAACAACGAAAAACTGAGAGCCTTTTCTGTGTAAAAAAGAATTAGCAACATCAGTTGCGGGGCATGTATCATTGCCATTTTCTTGGGATATGGTGAGATTTTGATGCTTGTAAGCTCTCTCACAGCAATTGCATCTGCTGCTGGAGGACCATTATCAGCCGAATCGGAAATGCTGCCTGATGCCCTAGCGAGGACATATACCACCAGCATGCCTCTTCTGTATAGTTGTATTCCTGCAATATCATTGGCAAGTGTTCTATATCCTATTCTTCCTTCCAAAAAGGGGGTTCAGGTTGTAATGGCTCTATGGAATTGGCATGCAGCGACGGCGGAGGAATAAACGGTTCATAAAGTCCCTTGACGGGGTGAAAAGGCAACGTTTCTGGCGTGAACTTCTGACCAATTGCTCTGTCATAGAAACCGGCACTCATAATGCTCCCTGTTTAAGAGGTCACTCCGCATTGTCTCAACCGCGGACCCCCAGGCATCTTAGGGCGAAACAAAAGAAGGGTAAACCAGGGCGGGAAGAAGCTCTGTATCCCCCTCTGAATCTTGTATGAACCGACGCAGATCGAAGACGCTCGTCCATAGCGCCGCACAAACCTTAGACGCGGGCCTCCAAACTAATTTGAATCCCACTTTTTTTTTTCTCCAAAATTTGGCCATCCACCAATTGCATGTATTAAAGAAAAGCCTCGTCTCCATCAATGTGCTAGCCATAGATTTCCGGAACTGGCACGCCACTGTTTATAGGATGGTGGATGGCATAAATTGCACTGGCCGCCTGCAACTGAGACATGATATCCCCAGTTGATAAATAGAACAGCCATTGATAAATGCAGCAGAGTGGGGTTGGTGATGTGAACTTGGTCCTGAAAAGTGGGCTTGCTGTGTCCAACTTGGTTTCAGCGAAGTACTGAGCGTGAGGTTAGGAGCGCACAACTTCTCCGGAAGGTAGCTGGTACCATGTCTTTAGAGTGCGTTGGGGTCATTCGAAAAGTGTCGATGGCGTTAGGGGAACACGGCCTAGAGGTATGTTAAACGCGAGCGCGAGCCTTTCCTCTCTCTGCAAACTACGAGAGTAAAAATGCAATACCCCTTACGTGAGAACAGCCGTTTTGCCGATTGGTAGTGGTGGATTTGCAGGCATGAGGAAGTTCTCGCGCATTTTTCGAGCGACGGAATGATTTATCGGCACGTACACGTCTTTATCTTCTCGATACGGCAAATAAGCAAGTCGCGAGAGAGAAGCAACATACCTCTATGTGCACTCAGGTGCCTCGAGGCTCTCATGTGCTAACGATCCCTAGATCGTGACCTTAGCGTCTGTTGGTCCTGAAGATCAGGTCCTGTTAGCTGCTTGGCAAGGCCTGGTCGACAACTCTGGAACATGATGGCAGTGATGATCCATATGACACACAAGAGTATTGATGGAGGCGCTGTCCCCAGGCCGGTTAAGGACTTCATATCTTGAAAATGCGTAACAGCTCTCAGTAATCTTGGAGTAGGGGGCCCTGACGGTCCATAACGCCGCTCGCCCTCTGGCGCGCGCAGCTCCTCGCTAAGAGAGGCCATTTTGAACGGAGCCCTTGCACTAACTAATGATGTCATGTCATCAACGGGTCAATATCGCTATGTACGGAGTATTCAGAGTGGGACAAAGCCTGATAGGAGATGTTTCCCGACTGACAAGGAGAGGAGACCCCAGACTATAATAATTTTTTCGGGATACCTACCCTCGAGCTGAGAGCGCCCAGGCCAGACCGCTCAAAACGAGCGCCTATATGACTCACTTTACCCCACGAGGTGGGCTCTGAGGGCCACACAGGCACACGTATCCAGCGAACCGGGGTGTTCATGCATAGGTTGAAGGCAGAGGGACGGTCGATCCGGTCTCGTCTCGTCGTCTTGTACGAGTTCGCTACCATAGCCAACTGGCGTGTGGTCTCTTCGGAGTATTATCCTTTCATTCGTTCTTGACTGCCCACCAAGCCGAGTTGCACTGGTTACGACTCGAGCCTAGGACTCATCATCACAACAAAAACCAACGAACTGGTTTTCATTATCCCTCTGAATGGTGAACGTCGAACCAACGCTAAGGCTTTGGCAGGGGACGAGATGAACATTAGAACAATAACGGAATGATAATAGGAAAATCAGATAATAATGTGAAATTCGAGAAGAATGTTCATGCGTTGTATATATCCAATGGATTAAAGAAGGAAAAAATTAAAAAAAAAAAGCTTGCTGTAAGTTGCTCTCCGACCGCCAGCAATATCCTCCCTTAAAAAGGATTCCACAATGATTTAACCACCCAGGGCCCCCCAAAAAAAGAACCATGCTATTCTCCATATGTTCCACCCAGCTTAGCCATCCGTCCACCATCCAGCCAACAGACCGACCGACCGACAAGCCTGAGAGCAAGCAAGCAAACCGTATTGGATGTATTTCCCACTCCGTCTTTACGTAGTTTCCAACCGTGGTTTCTTTTGTTCTTTTCCAAAATAAAAAGAAAACAAAACACAGATAAACCGCGAAAACAAAAGAGAATTAATGAGCGCGCGTAAATGAGGGAATAAGTGGTATAGGCGTATTTAGTATGTTAGAAATAGCCAAAAGGAATAAGCTGCGTCGAGTATTCAACCAAAAACAAAACAAAGACCGATGCACCCATACATCATTTCTGTCTATAGAGACAACCATGGAGCGGGAAATGGTAAAAAAAAGAAAAACAGCAGTAAAAATAAACAATGGCAAAAAGACAAACCAAAAAGAAAAAAAAAAAAAAAAAAAAAGACCAAGTATATCCCCATCTCACTCCAGTTCAGCCACGGCCCAAAATGAATATGATCCTGGATATCACGCTAGATTTCGCCCACACGTAATCACCCCACCAAGAAGCCCAACCGTGCAAATGTAACGTATGGCAACAAGAAAGAGATTTCGCTCGCTCGGGGACAAAACAGAAACAAAACTCCACGGTCCGTTGTACAGCCTTTTTTCCAAAACACAGTCGCCGCTCATTCTATAGTTCATCATCGGGTTAAGACCAAAAGGGAATCAAGGACACTCTTTTTGTTTTTTCTCCAGAGAAAAACGAATATCACCAGAAATGACAGTAAATAATCGGCTCGTGATGCACCCCATTTGCTCTCAGTAAACGAAACGTCTCTTCGTATAAAACATTGGATCACCGCAAAATAAGGTCGAAAAGAGGGGGGGGTTTAAAAGGGCGGAAGGGTTCGAAAAATGGTTTTATATACAAGTCGAAAGTATTAAGTGGTCGGGAGGGACGGTGATCCACGGAATCGTACTCGAACTGAAAATAAAAAAGATGATATAAACCGAAGGAACTGGTTAACAAGTAGAAAAGGATGGTCGACCCAGGAGATGCAGAAAGATACCGAGCGGCATGGAGGAAGAACGACGACGTATATACGAGACCGGGGGGTGTTGAGCTTGTTTCCATTTCCCCCGAGTCATGTTTACCATCGACGCTGGTCAGACTGCATCATGCCGGGTGAGATGGTGGACGGGGGGCTCGAGACGCGCATGCCAGTGCTTGGATTGACGATTGGAATGGCATTTTTTGTTCGGACCGCCGATGGTTGATGGATCTTCATCTGATTAAAACTATTCGAGTTGTAGGAATTAATTGAAGCGGGAGAAAGCGAAATAGCTGGGGCGACCTGCTGCGTCGGCTGAATCTGGTGCTGAAGAGGTGAAGAATCGGGCGAGGCGCTGGCGAGGGACGAACGGTCTGAAACAGAAGACGCAATGGATTGCAACTGTAAAAAAAAAAAGAAAAAGGAAGAAAGGTTAACCCGACTGCTGCCTACGGAAAAAATGAAGCAAGGTTCTTATATGAACAAGACATACATCGTCCTCAGTCAAGAGACCGGGGCAAAACTCCAGATCATCGTCGAGGTCAAAGGAACGACCAGCCTCGAATCTGGCACGGAAAGCTGTGATGGCAGGAGCCTCGGCCAATTCCCTCATACTTTTCACACCACGGAACTGCCTATGGGAGTTCTGGCCACCCATCTTCTGCGCACGACGAGAGCGACCACCATGATGAGTATGGGAGGTGTGTTGCGCAATGTGGGTTGGGGGTGGCGGGTGTTGATGCTGGTGCTGCTGGGGCTGATGTGGGTGGTGTCCCGAGAAGAAGTATGAAGACATGGCGGGCTAGAGATGATCTGAGAGCAATGGGAGGAAAGTGGACGTATTGGTGGAAGCTCGATCTGGGAGTAGTTGATGTGTTACTAGGAGTTGAGCTGCTTTTGTCCGATGTTGCGATGTCAATCCAGCCGGGCAAATCGGAGGGCGGCGAGATTAATTGCTTGTTTTCTGATGTCTATTACAGGGTGGCGACGAGCCGCGGGAGCAATGAAGACAATGAAAACGAAGAAGAGAAAACTTTAGAGTAGACAGGATGAAGAAATGACAGATGAGAAGAGAGATAAGAGAGGAGGGGGGGGTTGGAGGAACGAAAGGGAAGTGGGATGGGTGACGGAGGCGAATTGTTAATAATAATAGGCACAAGAGAGAAGAGAGCCAGAGAGAGAGAGAGTGTGTGTGTGTGTGGGAAAAAAAGAGTCGGTGTGGTGGGAAGGGGGGGGGTTGTGAGCAGGAAGTGGAGGTTGAGGAGAGGGAAAAGTCTATCCGGCGCAAGTCAAGTGACAACACTGCGTTTTGGTGGCTGATTTGACGGGTTCTCTGGCGCTACAATACTGAGGGCAGAGTGACCGGCTTTTGTATAGGATCCACCGCCGAGCCAGAGGTACCCCTCCCCCCCGTCCAACAAAAACAAGCCACCGACGAATGGTCAGGGTGGCAGCGCATGGGCGCGTGCATGGCCAGGCCGAAAGTGGAAAGGCGCTGTGGAGCCAGGAGAAGCACACTAGGCCATATTGGGAATGGAGGCTGGTGCTGGTGGCGAGTCTGAGGCTCTGGCCCCATTCTGGCGTCATCCGCCAGCCAATCGACGCTGCGTCTGGAGTGGGTCCCCAGCTTCTGCAGTGGTATGATTTGCTCGTTTTGCCTCACTCAGAACCACTTTCAGCGACTCAGCTGCCCTTGGCGGTCCTATTTTGGTCTAGCGCAGACGATCGCCGCTCGATCCGAGTTACATAATCATCCTCACCCCTTCAATCGTGAATAGTGACTCAAAAGTAGTTCTTTGCTACAGGACGGTGGGCATTGGATGGTGGGTGCCGGACGGTAAACCGAATTGAAAGCGACTGGCGACGGGGAACGGACCTCAAGGTCCCCCTTAGAGAATGGCCAGGGGCAAGAGAGATTGCGATCTGGGTTCGATTGCGCCGTTTTCTTCACGGCCCAATCATTGCCCCCTGCATTGCCTTAGTGCGGAGGGCTGTGACCAGCCTTGCTGGCCCAATGCGCTGCTCTCGTCATCGGTCTGTCAAGGAACGGGGAAAAAGCAAACAATTTCACATACCCTGGCCCAAAAGACAACCCCGGAGGACAATCGGGCATCTTCTGGAAATCCTCCACAATTTTTTGGCATTTGGCGCCCGGGATCTTGATTGGCCAAGTCTGCAACTGTCATCCTTCATCTTGCTGGTGTGCTTTTTTCCCCCGCCCCCCCTCGAACGCTTATCGATAACCGCAAGATTCACTGTGCCCGATGCTTGGTAGTTCCAGACGAATTATTACGCCATCTGAGCTGATTTCCCCCGCTTTCACTTATTCTTATCTGTCTCAGCTTTTGTCCTTGAAACACGACCGAGCAATTTCAAGGACGCTTCTCGATTGGACACAGAAAATAGTTAAGGGGCATCGTGCGCCCGGACCGTTTTCTGGGACAATAACCGCCCAGCCACCCTGCCGTCGCAACACTCGAGACCTCCCGAAAACCGATCCCTCTTCTCCCTCTCGGGCGTGTTTTGCCCTCCATCAATGGGAGGTCGGTGGGCTTTTGCTCTAGGCGCTCAAAAAAAGGTTGCCCGAGCATGTTTCGGGGCTCCCATGTAGTTTAAAGTAAAAAGGGCGTTCTGTTTCCAGGCCCCGTTTTACTGTGTGCCCAATTCCAAGAAATTTCTTCAATATCCCTGGTGCTTCTATCTATGGAAGATCGCCAGCAAGTCCGTCAACGGGTCGGTGTTCAATCACCCACCCCCCCCAATCCATGACCCCATGTTCCCTCGCATACAGAGTACACACCCCGGTTTGTGTACAATTCATTGGTGTTGGATCCCTGTACAATCAATCATCCACTCCATAAAAATTATTACTGCAGCCATAATGCCAATTCTTTATCCTTCTCGAACAACCATCTCAGCCATTAAATGATGTGAATTGGCTTGTGGGACTTGCTGCAAACATCACATACTCACTCGCTTTGTTTGCACCTGCATGGACACCCTTTCTATGTAGACAAATCGATCTCAACTCATGCAGAGAGGGAGGGAGTGGCTGCAAATCACCCGGGCAAGCAGGACACCAGCACACCTCAACTTGAATCGACTGGTTCTGTTTCAAGCTTGATTAACTCGACTTCGATTCAAAACGATTTCAACATCTGGTTACTCCGCAGTGTTTGCAGTGGATATGGGGGAAGTATCTGGCCGATGAAAGAATTCCCTTATACTATGGGTGACCGGACAAGACTTCAACTTCATCTCCTGCAAACTATTGACCAGACCATTTGCTAATTCTCAGCAAAGCTGTACGAGGCTGCGGGAATGAACTGTGGTCTAGCCATCAAGGCTGTGTAACCACCGCTCGCGGACAACACACAAGTTGGCGAACTGGACAGCTTTGTCAAGGAAGGCAGGCTGCGGAAGAGACCAACAGAAGCTCTCATTTATCTAATCCTCTGCTCTTTACATATCTCCCAATCTGCTCCTTGCAGACTTTCTCGCTATATTGCTCCCATACTTCGTAAAGAGAAACAATATCCTGCGTGCATTCAATGACCGCTTCGATATTGATGTCACTATTTGCCAACCAATCGACAATTCTCTGGACCTTTGCTGGCATGCCAGCTCCCGTCTTATCATTAAAGGCAGAAAGAATGTTTGTACTCCCGTCCCTCAGAGCTCCTGTCGCCGAAGAACCACCTGAAATGGACACGACCTGATGCTGGTTTGGCTTGAATACGACCGCAATAAAAATGGCCATCACGGAGATGACGTGCGGAGGATGAAGGAGTAGCAGGTCGGTGAGATAATGATCGTTTATCACTGACCAGGCCAAGGCGATTTCATCCGATGTTAGTGATAGGTAGCTCTGCAATTCGGAGAGGGTCCGGTACGGGTGATGCACTATTAATTGCGAGTTCATCTCGGATATGAGCCAAAATTCGCATTCTCCGATCTTCGCGCTGTCAGGAGCGATGAACTCTGGGCTTCTGGTCAGCGTGAAAGTCGCTACGTTTTCCATGATAGCTGTCTTGAGACGAGTTATGGAAGTAAACTGAAGGCAAGGCAAAGAAAGGGTTGCGGACCTGGCCATAATCCTCTGGCTTCTCCTAAAACAAGCCTGATATGCTGCGGGCATTCTTCTATTTTACAGGCGAGATAGAATGCGGTCGTAAGTACCAGATATGGATTCGTCCGGCGGATCTCGACCTTGGTGTAAAACCTCTTCACGTAAACCTGAGCCGTGGCTAGCGCTTGCTGCCGCACGTTGAGACGTTTCGCCAGCTTGATTAATTCTGAAGATAACGACTGGGTTAGCAACTGAACCCATTTCTCGCGTTTGTCAGTAAGGGTAGTGTGGCACTCACGTTGATTTACGTAAATATTGAAAAGCCTAAGATCGGGAAGGGGATATTGCTGGATAAAGGGTCGTTCGGCATCTCCAAGGACCTTTCTCGCCTCGGCCAACTCTTCACGCCCAAACAGCCAGGATTGATGCTGAGTTGAAGACCAGTAATCAGCGGCCATTTAAAAGGTCTCTCTCTCTCTCTCTCTCCCTCTTTTTTTCTCTCTACCCCCCCTCTTTCTCTCCCTCCTGAGACTTCCTTCAGTTGAAAATAAACTGGGGGTTCAGAGAGGCTAATCCGTCTGGGTCTCAAATTATCCGACCGAGCTCCGGATATTGTCCAAGGGGCCCGAACAGTTCCGGGAGTGAGACGATATGCAGTCGAGCACCGCTCACATCTTAGGCGGCGCAGAGCGCATTGTCATCGTCCAGTTAGACCCGCTATCGGCCTAACAAAAGAAAATCCGTGTCGATACATCGAGCTGATGGGCGAGGAGACCGCCAATGCCCAGACGTCATTGCTCTGCATTGCTTTTTTTTTTTTTCTGCACGCGGCGCCAAGCATCGCCGCCCATGGGCCAATTGGAGCGAAGCAAATGCCCTCCCACTCAAGCAGCTTGACATCAATAATTTTCCTGCTGACCCTCAAAGCCCCAAGTCATCTGCGATCCAGTCGTGCCTCTGCTGCAGTCTCTTTACCTTGGAAAATTACCTGCCGTTGAAAACCTTGAGATTGAATCTCTGATGTACGGCCAACGCCTGCCGAACCAGAAACGACGCCCGCTCTTGTGCGGGAAACAACCTGGATGCGCCGGCAAAACCGCTTTGGTCATATAATACCCGTGCGAGGAGCGAAAAGTCGTGAGAGCTCGAAAAATCCCTTTTTTCCTCTCCCATCTATTTAGAAGATGCGAGGAGAATCGGAACATGAGCGCGAACAAAGGATCAATGACCTCTGGGAGATCCTTGATGACCGCCGCAGGGGCCAGGTGGACCTGAAAGATTTCAAGAGGGGCTTGAAGAAGATGGACCATCGTAAGTTTTCTATCTCCGCCGAACATATCTGGAGCCTGACATACAAGAAAACTACGGCGTTTGGATGGGTGCTGACAACTCTACCAGCCTTGAAAAATGCAGATTCCCTCCTGAAGGATATTATAGAAGCTGTCGACACAAGCGGAGATGGCCGAATCCAGTTCAATGGTGAGCAACAACTCCTGCGCAAACCCTATTCTTCAGCTCTCGAAGCACCGACAAAAATAACCCCCCATCTAATCAACGCTTTCAGAATTTCGGGACTTCGTCGAACGTGCGGAGAGAGAGCTCTGGCAGCTCTTCGAAACAGTTGATCGCGATCATGACGGCCATGTGGACAAAGAAGAACTGCAATCTGCATTTGCGCGAGCTGGCTTGACAGTTCGTAAGTCTAAGCTGGACCAGTTCTTCTCGGAGATGGACACAAATAACGATGGGGTAATCAGTTTTGAGGAATGGAGGTATGTCAGAAAAAGATATATCGCAACCATAACGTCCGGCGACTCATCCTCAGTTTTTTGTCTTAGGGACTTCCTTCTTTTTCTCCCGGCCAATCCCACGCATTTATCTAATATGCGTGCAATTCTTTCTTATTATTCTGCGACTGGAAATTTGAACCCCGAGGGTGACGTCCACATAAACGAACCTCTCCAGGGATTAGGTACAGACCACCGATTTCCTACAAGTTTTCTCCTTGAATCAATCAGTCCTGTTCAGTCTGTTTCTCCTCCTCCCTCCTTCTCCTCCTCCTCGTCCTCTTCTTCTTCTTCTCAAGACACGATGCCGAACATAGCAGTGACCAAAGTAGGTCGCGAATCCCACATAGACAATGTGTTTCGATGTCATCCCGATGGCCCTGTCGTTCCCTCCGGTGATGCTGAGCTTGAATGGCTTCCTGTACCCTGGAATGTATCACTGTGGCTGTATTTCCGGTATCTTGAACACGTATTGACGGAAAGCACGCCCCACTTAGGTTACTTCCTTGCGGGCGGAATGGCTGGTGTTGTGTCAAGAACTTCGACGGCGCCGCTGGATCGCCTGAGGGTCTATCTGATTGCGCAGACAAAGCCGCAATCTGTTGCAGCCAGTGTTAAGTCTGGCGCTGTTGTTGAGGTAGCAGGGTGGAGGGCATGGCCACTTGTCCACGCCCTGAAGGACCTGTGGCGTGCGGGTGGGATACGAAGCTTATTTGCCGGTTCGTCGGTTTCCCGAATATGATGGTATTGAGAACAGTCGCATAACAAATAGTCTTCCAGGAAACGGTTTGAACGTTGCGAAAGTCATGCCTGAGTCAGCTATCAAATTCGGAGCATACGAAGTGAGTCAACCGTCCCTCATATATGATCTATCGTACTTACCAAATATTGTACGTCAGGCCTCCAGGCGCATGTTCGCAGGATTAGAAGGGCATCACGATCCAAAGCAGCTGCTCCCAGTTTCGCAGTTTCTGGCTGGTGGAATTGGCGGCATGGTTTCTCAGTAAGATTCCAGGTTACCCGTGAAGTCTCGTCAGCTGTTCTGACCCTGTTAGATGTTTCGTTTATCCCTTAGATACCTTGAAATTGTATGTAGGCCTTTCACCACTTTCTCTCATTTCAGAGGCTAATGTTCAATAGCCGCATGCAATGCGAAACCGTGGAAGGTGGTCTTCGTGGTAACCGTCTCATCATTGCAACTGCCAGGAAGATGTGGTCGACCCACGGTGTTTTCGCTTACTATCGTGGTCTTCAACTGGGCCTCATAGGAATGTTCCCCTATGCGGCCATTGACCTTATGACCTTCGAATATCTTAAATCAACTCTGATTAGTCGCAAAGCCCACCTTCTCCGTTGTCATGAAGAAGACGCACCACTCAGCAACTTCACCACTGGGGCCATAGGAGCATTTAGCGGTGCTCTCAGTGCATCAATGGTCTACCCTTTAAACGTCCTTCGGACACGTCTACAGGCGCAAGGAACCACTCAACACAAGGCCACGTATACGGGTGTCGTGGACGTAGCTCGAAAAACTTTCGAAAGCGAAGGAGTCCGTGGCCTTTATAGAGGATTAACGCCAAATTTGCTGAAGGTGGTACCGTCGGTGTCGATCAGCTACATCGTATACGAAAATTCAAAGAGACTCCTTGGATTGAGCTAATCAGAGGGATGACACCTGGCGCATTCGTATGGTACGATTCTCGTTGCTTCCCGTGCTAATGGAAATTGGTATTCTCCTTTTTTTCCCTCCCATTCCATGTGATACACCCTATGCCATCCATCGTGGTTATGATACCCCAGCTGGAAAGCTGAATCATTATTTCAAAGTTTCCATGTATCTCTATATCTTCTTGCCTTCTTGGTGCTGCATTGCATACTGCATTTTGAGCGATATATGTATTTTGGTTTGATGCTCTGTTCCCATACCCGTGGGCACCCATGAGTTCTACTTTCGGTGTCCCCAACATCTGGATGTTTACCTGCTGCATTTAATATTGTGGTCAAGCGCCTGGCATTGGCTCTCGCCCGTTTATTTGATTTAAAATTTGAGCCCTCCTTAGATAGGTAGCCAGATCGTTGCATAGCGACTCAAAAATATTTACAACCCTCATTTGTTTATTTATAGTCTTGGTAGAGCTCTCTGGGGCACACAGAACGGGATTCTACACGTCATTAACAGATCCAGAGTTTCGGATGAAACAATATGGAGATTTTCTTAACAACTCCTTCTATTCGGACTCAAATCTTCTTCTGGACAGCTCCAACCTCCTCATCCTTTCCCAGAATATCCGGCACCGGCCCCACCGGCGTAATCGCAAACTGATTGATCTGCTTATGACTCTTGGTATAGTGTTTCCTGATATGCTCGAAGTCTGTCGTCTCACCGAACGCCGGAATATCCCAGTACAAGTGTCTTAGCCAGCGATGGATAGCCGGGTACCCGGAGCGAATGTCTCGCACGTTGCATTTGAAGTGCTGCACATAAACCGGGTCGAAGCGGATGATTGTGGTATACAGGCGTATGTCGGCTTCGGTGACGGTATTTCCGAAGAAGTAGATGCTGGATGGGTCTGAAGGATCGTATTTCGAGGCAAGGTGGGATTCGATGCGGTCGAGGGAGGAGAAGAGGGGCCAGATGGCTGCTTCGTAGGCTTCTTGAGTTCTGATATGTGTGGGTTAGAATGGATTATTTGCCGATTTTATCCCATGTAGAAGTAGTAGATAGAGAAAACCCACGTTGCGAATCCGCACTTGTAGACGCCGTTGTTTACGGTGTCATATACCCACTCGTTCGTTTCCTCGATGTCCTTCCTCAGATTTTGAGGGAAGAGATCGATACTCCGGTATTTCTCCGGTAGAAGACTGTCGAATTCAGAGTAGAACATGCGAATGATTTCGGAGCTCTATCACGTTGTCAACACTCCCCGGCTCTCATTATCGGAGAGGAGTAAAAGGACTGACCTCATTGCTCACGATCCGCTTTGTCTTCTTGTCATACAACGCTGGCACCGTAAATCGACCCTCATAATTCTTATCCGACTCAAAGTAGATCCGGCGGATATGCGAGAAATTGTGCAATGGGTCCGGATGCGTTTCGCCAGGAAGTTTCTCATCAGGAGTCACAAACCGCCATCCTTGATACTCTTTAGATGAGGTCGAAATAAACCAAACGGAAGATATAACGCCTTCATACCTTGCTCGCCCATATGCCAGTGCACGGATGTAATAGAGATAAAGTCCTCTAGGCCCTTCAGCTTTCGAGTAATCAACGTCCGATGCGCTAGTTGAATCGAGAAGCCCAACCCGTCAGCAATCGTCGCTATCGAGGCTTCGATTCAAAAGGACCAGTTTAGAAGAGCGAAAAAAATCTCGAATATACATACCCCAAGGGCATGCATAGGACACGTAAAGATGATACCGGCCCTTTTCCGGCGGGAACTGCGCTCCAGCTTCCCTCGAGATCCAGTTCCGAAAAGCGGATGGTTTGCGCTTGAATTCTCCGGATTTGTCATTGGGATCGACCCAGTTGGTGATTTTGCTCTCGGTCTGCAGGTTTATAAATGGATATTGTCAGCTTTTCGCACTCTTGTGGTTCCTCATGGCCTGTTCACACTGAGGCGACACATCGCGGGCTGCCATGGCAAGGGGTTGACACGCACCGACATGGCTGCAATTGCAATGGCCTTGGCTGACGTCAGGGGTTTACAGCGATTTAGCTGGTGAGGACGAAGGAGAGATGAAAGCATTGACAAAATGTGAGATACGGGAAGATACTGGGGGCACCTAAGAGAGCGAAGTTCGACCATATATATATATATATATATTCTCCTCGGCGGTTTACTCCCATTTCCTGGCACAGACTTGGAACTTATTTTTAACTTCATTTCGTCACCCCCCGGCCAGATTACAAATCAGTGAGTAACGACGGAGTAATCAGCAAGAGAGAAGCATTTTCTTGTACTTGATTGTTGAATATTGCGAATCATGATTTGATCTAGCCGCCTCTGACAGAACAAAGCTCGTCGCCTTTGACCAAATAATAAAATATAATACCTTCTATCCATGGCCTGATGTCCCAAGCGGCAAATGAATATAGCAGACCTGCCATAAAACAACGGGTTGAAGTAACTAATATGCTGCCTATTTGTCCAGCTTGACCATCACATAGGGTACTTCCACGTCTTCGCCGGATTGATCTTCAGCGGTGATCTCGAAGATAACATTTCTCTGATGGCTAGGAATTGGCTTTTTGCTGATGTGCTCAACCAATTTACTCATCCTGGAGTTGAAAACTGTCAGTAAAACATTCACATTGTCTATCGCGCGGTTACTTACTTCATAGGCAGTCGGTCCTTCACTTTGCTTGGCCCATAAAAGCTGGCGTAGAGAAGGCTTACGCCAGAGCTGACCATGCTGATATCCAAGCCTTTGGCTTCGAATACCTTGAGGAAGTCTTGCAGAGGTATATCATCAACTTCAAAGCGATCCCAGAGTTTGTCAATTGTGACTTCGCCCGTCTTTCCCTGGTATTTCCCCTTCGGACTGGCAATCGGTTCGCTAAATCCAAAGAAGGGTAAAGCTAGGTTGATAAAGCCGCTTTTGTATTGTTCAATGTCATCGTTGCCATCAATGACCTTGTAGAGCTCAAGAATAACCAAGCCGGTTACAAGAGCGGTCGTAGTGGCGATAGCTGGGATGATCTTTCCAGCAATGAATTTAGTCTTATGCCTATCCGCTTGTTGTATGTCGTAGTTGTCTGCTCTAAGGTTGCTTGCGGCTGTGATGAAATCGATATGGTGATTTGTGTCGTCATCCTTTTCGAACTCGACAGGCACCAATTTAAAGCCAGATAGAGACTTGGGGCTTGGAAGGGAGCCAATAAGGCGCTGGAGCTCTTCTCGATCGTCGTTCAACCCACCAGCAGGCTGTGCGTTGGGATCGGGTTCGTTTTCATCAGCCTGAATCTTGACGCCCGCGACCGGAGTGAATTCGGGAATGATCATATTTTCCACAATATTCCGATAATGGGCTTTATCGACACCGGGGTTCTTGATCCCATAATTGAAGGCGTGAAGGTTTGCGGCAGCAATGATGAATCCAAGATGAGTTGGATTTGAGCCGTCGAACTTCAATGGAGTGGGAGCACGTTTCGGACCTGACCAGAACGGGGTGCCAGAAGATGTCTTAGAGTCTCGGGGGAAGTTGTACAAGAGTTGTTGGATGGCGTTATTGTACTGTTCTTCAAATTTGTGCCTGGCCCAAGTGATACAGTCATCGAAACTGATGGGCTTTTCTGTGACGAGGAAGTCTCGGATGCTCTCCAGGGTCAGCTTTTCAGTACCGGTCTGCTTCAAGGTATTTTCAATGTAGTTAGGCTTGGTGAGATAGAGGTTCACAGCTTCTGGAGGCCCAACAAAGTATGATTGGAACAGATCCCTAGCCCAAGCAATAGTGTGCTCAATACGATTAGGGAAACTTCTCAACGTGCACATTGGGAATGATTGTTCAGGGGGATCATGGGAGCTGGAATAAGATTCCGTAATGTTTGGAAGAACAACTTGGGTATTTCCTTTTGTACCAAGTGTGCCGCTCTCCAACAGGGGCTTTCGGAAAAAGACGCATCGGCGGTCAACGTAGGTTCTAGCGTCAACGTTATCCAAAGCGTTCGTAACTCCATCTAGGCGCTCCCAGAACTTCTCGTCAAAGACATGCTCTGAGTCTGGACCAACGCGTTCGCGCAGTGTAGTTATCTTTCCCTTGAGTTCAGGATTCATGGCTTGAACAGCCGCTGCGGCGCAATCGCTCTTTAGTTTGCCAACATCGCCCGCACGGAACAAAAATTGACGATTGAGGTTGCTTCGCTCGATCTGATCCATGTCTGTCACGGTAATTTGACCTTCAGGGCCAGTGGCGAGACCAACCATAGCCCAATTTTTTAGCATTTCGCAGCCAATAGCACCGGCACCGACCAAAAATTCTTTGATATTAGCAATTTTATCCTGGAATTTTCTCCCAAAAACCGCAATTTGGCCGTCATATCGAGAATTCAAGGGCTTGCAGAGTTCCTCAGACCTCTCAACGGATTTTGGGAGAGACTCCAGAGAATCGAAATACATCCATTGCACGATGGGGTGGAATTTTCCCGAGACGGCTTTCAGAACTTCCTGAGCAGCCAAGCCTCCAAATAATGCCGCCATAGGACTCAAATCACCCCGAGCTTGGTAGCTCAGCTCTTTTATCAGCTTTTCATCAAGTTCAGTCTTCTCTTCGGTATCGCTAGCAAGTTTCTGCGCAATTTCGAAGACCTGGCGGGCGTCGCTGTCATTATGGGGGCGGGGGGCCTCTCCATTGTGATCTTCCGCAAATTTATGCAGTGCCTGGACACCAATATGAAGCTGTGCAGGTCGGTCGAATTTGGCAAAATCAGAGAAGACAAACTCCGGCTTCTTTATTTGCTCGCTTAATGGTTTGAAATCGATGAATTTTGGCATCTTTACTTGCGTATAGAGTCCACCTGATTCGTAGGTGCCTAGTCCACTAACGTCACCGATTGAGAAAGTATAAGGGCCCTTGACCGTCACTTTTCGAGGATCCGCGTTGTTAAGGCCTTCCATGCCTTTGATCTCGGTAAACGTTACATAGTCACCGTCTTCTAGGCCGTGTCTTGTCTCGTCGAGGGCCGATACAAGACCCTCTTCGTCAATACCAGCGACAATTCCACTTAAAGGCTCCTCGCCAGTAGTGTCCCCCACGGCAAAGCTCTGTCCAAAATCCGTGAAAATATAGCCAAATAATCCGAAGGTGTCAGTGATGAGGACATAGATTCCGTTTTGATGACAGTATTCGGCGATGACTTCCTGATCTTTCAACGAGGTATTGGTCAAGACCACTATCTGATATTTCTTTAGCTGAGAGAGATCAGCAGTTAGGCTGTCGGCTTCGTGAACGACAACAGGAGTATAGGCGTTGAGTTCAGCAACACGTGGCGCGGTCACGTCTGCACGACATTTCCCTACATCCTCTGGACGTAAAAAGAATTGTGAAGACAGGTCGGCGATCTTTACGGGTGCCGGGTCGTAGAGAGACAATGACTTTACTCCGGCGAGCGCGATATTCTTGGCTAAGGACACAGCAGGTTAGCTTGCAGCGGCGGTATTGCACTCAGATAATCCATACCTATTTCAACTCCTAATCCCTTAAGTCCTACTATGAGAACATTCGACGAGCCCATCCGCTTCATCGCCTCATGGCCGAGAACGTAGCTAACAACCGGTCAGGGGACAATGATATCTAGGGTTGCGCTTCAAAAGGTACTACACTTACAGCTGTCGACTATAGAGCGATTCATCGATTTCGCCCTGCTTAATCTTCTCCACAGCCGTTTCGGTATCGATATCCATGTTGGTAGTCTATCCAAGGGAGTTAGAGGTTTGTATAACGTGCGCTCAAGCGTTGGAAATGTTGAAAAAGCCAAGGACAACGTGAAGACGCGGATTGCTTTTATAATGCCGTCGCAGTGAAAATCAGGCCACAGTCTAGCTATCAGAAGATGATATGACTGACTAATGCCCAGAGTGAAGGAAGAGGGGGTCAGGGAGTTAACACAGAGAGGCGGCTTACGGTCATGATCTTCTTTTCAGGTCGATGTGCTTCGCCGTTGGAAGCTTTCCTTTTCCCAAGCTTCCCAGGTTCTGGGCTATCAACGTGCGGGGAAATTGTGAAAGGTAGAACGGTCGAAAGCCTTGCCAAAAGCAAGACCTTCCGGAGTATGGAGTATGATGTCTTGCGTTCGAAGCGGGATGGTGGGGAAGCTGCTTATGTACGGGCAGGGTTCAAGGCCCAAGAGGGCTGAGCAGGAAATAGATACAGGAGAAAGGTGAAGCACAAGAAAAGCAGAGAAAATTCAAAGCCAAAGTTGTGATCTGAATGGACAGATGTTGCCAGAACCGCAGAGAACACAAAGCAGAGGGGGATTGATCCAGAGGGTGTTGGCGATCGCCAACTTCCGACGAAATGCTGAGACCGTCATCATCGCCTGCTCCGAGCTACATTACAGTGTTATTTCAATAATTACGGGATCTTGGCCAATGAAAGTGCCCCATAGTCGTCTGTAACTTTCGGTTTCGCGTTCAAACTGCCCCAAGCGCGGATTCGAGAATCACCCACCATCATCCGCTTCAGCTCGTCGTCTTTTGATGCCCTTCTGCCTGCTGGGAGCCTGCATCGCCCGCAGCCTGAGGCATCCGAAAAGAGCTGCCTTGTTCTCAGCCCGACTTTTGATTTGCACATTAGCTGCCCACGAAGCCTAGAAGTCAATCGTTGCACGTTGTTTATGTAGTCTACAGCTGCTTGGGCCGGCCCAGGTGAATTGTCCGCTGGCTGGACGGAGGGGTGGACATGAATGCTCCTCAGGCCATCTCTTGCAGGGGGTAATCAGTCTCAAGCGGTGATCCTCTCCTGAATGTGCCGGTTCGAGCTGCTTGGCTGTGGTCTTTTGTTTCTGCGTCGCCTCCGATCCAAGTGGAGCCGGGACTCAGCCGACAGCTTGCATTCTGCCGACCAACCTCAACAGAGCCAACTTCAGGCCACGCGACTGTGCACTCCGGCACAATGCTCCACGAGATCCTCCTCTCCCTGTCCGGCCAGCCGTCCCCTCTATTCGACCAGTCAACCACAGAGGGCGACTCTGCCACGGCGGGTTTCCCGTTGCTCACTCCACCAGAGAAGGCTCTCCTCTCCTCAATAGCCCATCTGAGTCGGCTCCATAAACTCCTCCGGAGCCATACATCTCAAATTTCTTCCTCTCATCCGTCGACTGTTTGCCGAGCAGTCTCGACCTCCATTGCCACAGAGCATCTTGGAAACTTTCAGAGGAAAATCCTCGACGTAGAAAAGGCAATCTTGACCTGCGACCCTGACTACGTTGGTGGTTATGGCATTGTCCCGTTATCTACCATTGTGGGTGATTTTGCCCCTTGGGTGCGAAGAATGGAGTGGCTCTGGGATGTTGCTAGGTTCATGCTTCCAGAGTCGTTTCGTGGCGAGGAGCACGCTCCCAGAATTACTCCCAGCACCGGGGCCGAGCTGATTGACCGACTCACAAAAGATTCCCAGACGGGTTATGTGGACCTGGAGGAAATGGCACTTGCGCTAATAAAAACTGCAGAGACTGCTTGGATGCGCCAGCTGTCCATGTGGATATTGTATGGGCAACTGCCGGCCTTTGGGCGTGATGATTTTTTTATTCAAAAGGTCCCCAGAAGCCTGGATGGGAAAAAGGCACAAAATGTTGAGTATATCGTCCGACCAAGCCTGCTACCAAAATTTCTTTCTGAGGCTACGGCTGCTTCAATTCTATTTATCGGAAAGTCTTTAAACCATATTCGCGCTCGGGGAGACTTTTCAGCTGGCGCAGAGTCGAAGGCTTCCGCTTCCCATATGACGTTGCATGGGGATTATATTCGTCGTCTCTCAGCCCTTTCATCACCCTTGTCCCCTGTTACAATGAACAACACTATATCCGATATTCGACTATCACTATCACAGACCGTTCTATCAAGGTTATTACCGCTGCCCAAATTAGTTGAAATTCTCTCCGTGCTTCATGGCTTCCTCCTCCTGGGACGCGGAGAGTTTGCAATGGCCCTAGTTTCGTTTGCAGACGGACAAATTCTCTTGAAACATAGAAGAATGGCTCCCGTGAAACCGGCACATACGGGATTGCAATCCCTCGATTTCCTAGGAATTAAAGAGGGAGAAGTTTCAACAGTTCTATCCCAGGCTTGGGCTGAGCTTTATTCACTCCAAAATGAGGAAGACCCGATTGATGACGAGTTAGACCTTGCTCGGGATCTCCTGCGTTTGGTAGTAAAACGAAAAGCTGAAGACCAGGTTAGCTTTGAAAAGGAGAGTGTCACTGGCAGTAGTTCAGTAGCTGAAATATCTGACGTTGCTTTTGACGACCTCTTGTTTGGGGCTTCAACCGTTCTGTCACTCGATGTACAATCACCTTTGGATTTATTCCTCGCCCAATCAGACATGTCAATCTACTCCCGAATCCATGCATATCTTCTCGGTATTCGACGCGCTCAGATACGTCTTAGCGGTCTCTGGAAATGTACATCTATTCGAAGAATCCATCCAGCTCCTTGGGGACCGCCATTTAGTAACAAACCTGAGGGCCAAGAGCGGCTTCGCGTGGGACGCGAAAGGGAACGTCGCCGCTGTACCCTCATGCGATCGATCTGGGCAAGCTGCAGCGCTGCCTTGTTTGTTGTCTCGGAGCTCGGAAGCTACCTCCAAGGCGAAGTTATCAGTGGCTCTTGGCGCCACTTTAAGCAATGGCTTGATGGGACGAAACCGTCGTGGACTCCAGGAAATTCTCGCCCAGGGACAGCGAAATCAAAGCATCTCGATGACAGGGGAGACTCCTCGTATCCCCAACACGACCCGGAAACCATCACTATCGCACACCGCACGTATTTGGCTTACATCTCCCAATCCCTTTTTCTCACAGATGTCCCTTTTACACAAACTCTCCGTTCTTTTCTAGCTCACATCGATGACTTCATCTCCCTAATCACCCAGCTCCAAACTATACAACAAAATCTCGATCTGGAAAACGATGAGGGTGTGTTCGACTCCTTGGCAAACTACAGCGAGGACGAACAGGGAGTATGGTACAAGCTGTGCCAAGCAAGGGCCGACCTTGACGCTGGAATCATGGAGCTTATTTCGCGACTACGAGATATTGATGATGGCCGATTTGCCGAAGGCATACGGATGTTTGATTTTAGAAACAACCACACTCAGAGCCATACTACCGGCAGCGACTCCTTCGCCGAACGCACAAATACGTACGTTCCCTGGAGGGCGGCTGGAGTAGATCGTTTGTTGATGAAGCTGGACTTTGGCACATCGAGGACTGCCCCGGGTTCGTTTGGATTCAAGGACGAATTCATTGATTAGAAGAGAGAGACTGGGTTGATTTGAGTGGATATTGTCTCCCTTTCCTTTCCTTGAGCTCAGATACAAGTGGTCGTGGGAACCCTCGACGAAATCATCCCACCTATCCCTGTAAGATAGTATGCTTAGATGTTAAGAGTTGCTTTACAGGCACCATGTGTACAGGGAAACATTAACATCATAGGAGCACTCCTACAATAAAGGCCTAGACACTACATAAAAGCATCCAAATGTTCATCTATCATGAATGGAGAAAAAAAGAAAGGAAAGGAAAAGAAATTCTCTGTTTTCTATAAAGGTAACTCTTGCCTTCTAGCATGGATGCACACATCAAACGCCATCAACGGAGTAGACAATATGAATATGGAAGGTCAACATGGGAACAGAATATCACGCTACGACATGAGGGGGTATTATATCCAAAGCAACCCAAGAGATAACGGAAAAAGGGATCTTCTCCAAACCTCCTCAAATAATGTAGACAAACTTCCCATCTCCCGTCTTTTCCACTCCGGCCTCCAAAGCAGCCGAGGACGTGTTGGAAGCCATCAGCCCTTCCGTCTCTCCAGTCGCAGAAATCTCTTCTTCTCCATCCCGGTTTATCGTCCTTTTCACCGATCTCGCGTTCTCCCTCTGCAGCAGAACCCGCAGAGCAAACGCCAATATAGCCACAAAAACCATGAACATAGAGCACAGCGCCATTCCTCTTATGTACCACGGACCATCGCGTGCAGGATATAATCTTGTTCCCACCAACGGTCCACATTGGCCGATAACGTTCAGAATTGCCATTCCGGTTCCCTTACCTTCTTTGGCGCGCTGATTGTCCATGGTCCAAGTGATTATGAGAGTGATGGCGGAGAAGAAACCCGCTGCGGCTGGGTAGATGCACACGTATCGAATGAGAATGTGGATGGATTCGGGGAGATATGAGTGGAAGACCCCCGTTAGAGCAATGATAAGATATGCCAACGAGGAGAGCAGCGCATGGAGGATTATGTAAGGGCTCCGGCTACGATTGCGGTCGGATGCGGAGGCGGTTACAAGGACAACTATGAATGCGAATAGGTACGGTGGAGCGGAAAGAGCCTGGGAAGTCAATCTGGAGTATCCCATACTAGAGCGAGCATGTTAATTTAACATTGAATTCCGGAGTCGGAATATACTAACTCGTTTAATATGGTCGGTAGGAATACCGGTAGGGAACTGAAGGCGACATTGCAGCTGAAAAACATAAGCTATTCACTAAATCAGTGCTCCATGCGGACCAAATAGGCTGAAGAAGGAACTGACGGCAGTAAGATACGCTTTCGGATCGCATAACGTGCGAGCCACTTCACGCCAATCGAATTTACGAGCACGAATATCATGATTTCGGCTCTTACCTTGCTCTTCGCGGAGACGCCATTTTGCAATCTTCCTTTCGCGCGGTGTTAGATACTTAGCTTTGTTGGGCCGATCTGGAATATACGCCCAGACAACGGACGCCACCACCACGCTTGGAAAGCCCTCATAGAGAAATAACGCTCGCCATGGAGCAAGAGGGCCATCTTTGTTTAACCAGACGATGAACCAGGCGAGACTACCAGCAAATGAGGTAGCCAGGGGGGCAGCACAGAGAAACATTCCCGTACGGAACGCCAATTCCTCCCGTTTATAGAAGAAGGACAAATAGAAAGGCAGACCGGGGCCGAATCCTGCTTCGAAAATACCCAGCAGGGCTCGAAGAAGCACCAGAGCCCAAAAGGATGTGACAAGGGACTGAAACGATGCAATCAAGCCCCATCCCAGAACACACAGAGGTATGTAGATATGTGCCGGAACGAGTTTATACATTAAGGTCATCCATTCAAACAAAATGTATGTTATGTAGAATGCCGTGAGGACCCATTCGTATTGCGAGGACGAAAGGTTCAAGTCGTCCATCAGCCCAGCAATTTTGGCATTTCCAATATCTGTTTTCAATTAAAAAACGAGATTGTCGCTTAGCCTTGAACGTGATACACCTGGCGCAGACGGGATCCAGGTACTCACTGGAGCGATCCAAAAAGGAGAGCATGTAGAGAAATGCCATGAGCAAAGTCAACCGCCTATCAAATTTTCTCACTACACGCCTCTCTTCCTCGGCCGTGTAAGATCTGGAGTACGTGGCTATCAGATCATCTTCTTCATCCCGTTCATCGCGGAAGCGTTGTTCATTGCGCTCCAAAATCCCAGAGGTCGCTGATCCAGCAGATCCCGACGACGGGGTATCCCCTTCTCTTTCCTCACGGATATTGGTCTGAAGCTTCTTAAGGTCCTGCCCTCGACCGATGGCATTTCTAACTGTATCTCCATCTCTGGATCCATGCTCACTGGATGCGGGTGTTAGTCCACCGATAGACGAGGGGGTGTCTTCGGCGCGTGCGGGGAGACGAGATGAACCATCGTCGGAATGAAGGACGGAGTGAGGATCAGATTGCTTCATTGTCAGCACATGATGCTCGAGTATAGTCGCTCCAGAACCGGTTTCGAGAAGGGAGGAGAGGGCGTGCGTGATTTATTAATTTATGTAGGCCTCGTGTGCGCGCTTGAAAATCTGGGGACGGCGTTCAGCTGATCCGCGGCCGGTCTTGAACTGATCATGGGGCTCGGCTTCCCCACACGGTGCCCGTCACATTCTCCCGGTCTGCCGGCCATCCAGCAAGCCACATACTTTTTGAACCACAAGCCAGACACCGTGAGTCGCGACGGTTCTCGAACTCCGTCTTAGCCCGCTCTCGTTGAATTTGCCGGTTATGCCGGATGTTTGCGGACCTATCAATCCGCGGGCAGGAGAGGACAAGCATCGCTGAATAACTCAAATAGCCATTCTTCTCAAGAATCTCGCTTCCTAAGCTACATATTGTGTGTAAGTTACTCTACATACACTCTTGATCCACAAGTAAAGCTTTGCACACTGGCGCCTGAGAATAAATTGACATGAAGACTCCTCACCGGAAGGTACATTATTAACCAGGTGCTCTCGGTTGACTTTTCCAAACCTCTGCTACGCTATCCTTACCCGCCTCTGCGCCAGAACTGATCGAAATCAATATTGGTAACCCGAGAGTAACCCCCTACGACTGGAAAACCACCTATCCGCGTCGGGAATACCGCGCCCTAGCCCTATCAGCAGGCGAGGCATTCCTTTCTCTGGGTCGATAGCAGTCAGCGCGCCCGAAGTTGGGACGGGTATCACGCAGTTGTCGTTCACGATAACGGTACTGATCCGAGCTCATCTCGAATGGTCGAGCCCTTCCTCCAGTTGCTGCGAGCGTCTTCTTGTATCCGAGCCAGTATGCTGACTTAATGTGAGGCACCAGCTCATGGCGTTGGAGGCCATTCTCCCTGAAATATGCAAGAATATTTTCTGCAGTGTCTCTTAGAAATTTTGCGGCAAGGTACTTAGCACCCCTTTCCTTTTCGTCGACTGCGTGGAATTCCTTCTTTGCCCGCTCAAGTGTGTCGAGCATCTTGGAGATGGCACTGTCGCTGTCCCCCAATGTCCGGGATGACTCTTTCTTTTCAGCGGGACTTTCAAGCTCTCTCTTCGGTTTCTTATTCGCCGGCATTTCCGTCATTCCTTCAACGTCTTCGTGTTTTACCTCTTTATCGAAATTCCCGTCGCTGCAATCCGTGGCTTGAGCTAATGTCAGCCTCATCCGTATGCGTATGTCCCAATAAGCGATGGCTACATACCACGCTGGAGCATGGACCTGACCGCAATATTCTTTTCAAGAATTGCTTCCACATCTCTAGCCCTTCCATCCTTTTTCACTCCGAGAATTTCATCAAGGAAAAGCTCGATTGCCCCCAAGTTGTGCAGGTTGTTGCCGTTGGCGGTGAGAATCAACAGCGCCTTGTCATACAAAGTGACTTTTCCATCTTCAAATGCCTGAGAACGCATCTTGATCATGGAAATATAGTTTCCAAATACGTCCCTGAACAATCCAAGATTGTCGGGTGATTTGACAAGCTCAGCTACATCAGGTCTCATTGAATCAACAACTGTGTACTTGCACACAATGCTGGACAGCTCCTTTTGGAGGCTAGAGTACTGTCCTGGAGTCATTCCGGATCCCTCGAGAACCAGACTGTGTTACTATGGAATTCAGGGTTTGATTAGCTTGTATAAAACTGTTGCGTGGTCAAAGTATTGGGTTCCTTACACAGTATATTCCTCTAATGTGCCTTTCCAAGGAAGTGCACTGGAATACAATTCTGTTGTGCAAGATGTGAAGAGTGAGTGTGGAGAGTTCAGAAAACAAGGGAAGGGAAGATCCATCAAGTACGCGTTGTTGTTATGTGTTTGTGTGTTGTTTGGGGGTCTTCAGATTGATACTGAGTTGGCTCACTTGTCTATTATAATACCAGCAAAAACACTTGCTTAGGGCTACAATACAACTGGTTCATACTTTTTATATGCAGAACAAAAGGTTTGTTCAATACTCTTCCCTGCTCAGGAGTGAGCACCCCACACCATGATATGCTCCCGTGTTCCTGTTGTAGAGGGCTTTGGCCGGATATCTCCAGGACTACACATATCTCCCCTTAAGGTGAAGACACCTTTCCCGTCCATGACAGCCTTGGTGATCCCTCCATTATCAGAGCCCAGACCCTGATTCTCAAGCTTCTTTCTTGGGAAACCCATTGCTTTGAATCACAGAATATTACAATACATCGTTGTTGTGTTCATTACCCATACATACATTCATTATATATCTGCAGCTATAGTACTTTTGGCCTTGAATAGAGATTATGATACATCAGGGCCTTTAGAGAAAATGAGAGCCCAAACAGGATCCACTCTTGCTTCAGAAACAAAGAGTTAAAAGGAATCCACAACACTGCTGATTCCTGATCACGTCGCAATAATTGCAATAACATCGTACATTTAGCAAGAAGCCTTCAAAACCTATCATTTGACTCATCAAGGGGGCAGATATACCGCCCTCAATTCCTCTCCTTGTACAGTCGTTCCACCTCATATACAATGCCATCAACTGTATCTGCACCCTTCTTTTGACAGTTCTTCCACTGGCCACCGTCAAGGATGCACCATTCTTTCTCGTCCACTCGGACCGTGCAACTCTTTGTCGCGCCAACCTGCTGACTTCGGCGGAAGCTCTCTCTCAGCAAAGCAAGCCCGCTAAGCTCGCCGTTGGAAGAACTAGGGTCATCACTCTGGCTGCTTGCACATTTGTTAAGAGCCTTGAAGTCAATTCCATGCTCCAAAGCACAGTCTTCAACAATATTCCGGTCGGGAATATTTTTGTAGTCGCGTAGCAAACAGTTGGCGAAGCCAAGAGAGCGGATGGTGGGAACCTTGCATTTATCTCCAGGTTTGGATTGTTTAGGGTCGCAGGGGAACGGTAAGTTTGCAGCGCATAGCATCAACATGTTCCCAACACATTCGCTGGGGCCATGCTTGCAGGATACATCGGATGAGGATTCGGATACGCTTAAAACGAAGAAAAAAAAAAAAAAAATTAGCACCATGTACTGTTCCGCAAAAAGACAGGAAGTAATTGGTGTAAGGAAAATAGAACGTACTTTCCGATAAATGAGAGTTTGAAATCCACTTTATCATGGACTTTCACCATCGCCGGCACAATAAGGTCCAGAAAGCAGTTCTTTGCATCGGGGCATTTGCTCATGATATGAGCCTCAAGGGGCACCTTTTTGGATGATGGATTCGGGTCTTGGCCGGCATTGTCTCCGACGTTCGAAATAGGAGACTGGGTTCTGTCCTTCATGATGGCGCTGGGTCTTGTAAGAAGATGAGACTGATGAGAGAAACAATAGATGGCGAGGCAGAGACACGTTGCGAGAATGGTGTTTCGAAGGAAACGCGATACTCTCCAGGGCTCACGACGTTGCATTGCCGCTGTGGGGCGGCTGCAAGATGGTTGACTCTTCTCCATGGTTAGAGTCGGAACGTAGGGGTTCCCCTGGGGATATTTTCAGGTACGGTTCTAAAGCCACGCCGCATAGGGGGTTTGAATCCGATTTCGAAAGATTTAGAGATTCTGGACGGATATCTGTTAGTTATATGACTTTAACAAACCTCGTCGTCGGGCGGCGGCAGCTGCATTAATGACGTCCCCATGAGGCACATTAAGCTGCCGATGACATAAGCAGACACTCGACCAAAAAACGCACCCCCGAGAGGCTATCTCAGAACATCTCGCGCCACCAAAAATCTACAACGAGACTGTGACAAGTTCCGACACCCGGACATTGAAGTTGAGTGCTTCGAGTCACCCACTACCATCATACCTCGCTGGGCGAGGAGTCGTCCGTGATATTGGATCCAGTTTCTCCATAGTGCCTACCTCCCTACTCAGTTTTGTTCAGACTTGGGCTGCTGGAATTGGTCCGGCCTTCAAGTCATATTGTGGTCCGTAGCGTCCTTGGGTGCTTTGGAAGAATACATAATAAGCCAAACGGGTTATTGTCCCAGCGGTGGCGATCCTACTTGCAAGAAAAGAATTTGACTGCTCAGTTAAATGCAATAAAATTTAGCAAAACTTGCTACGGAGTACACTTGGCTAATTTGGCAGTGATTAACTAAAAGACATGCTATTTACTGGCATATTTTCAACATCTGTTATCAGCCTAGCTTAAAAATATGCTGCATTTGCTCCAACTGTGTAACAGCACTTAATCCTTTGGATTCCTGATTTGCGCAATCGCAGCTGCGCCCGCCATCGTGCAACAAAGAACAAAATGGGAGCATGTTACTGTGGGAACCTTTTTCTTTCAAACTGGTATGTTTTCTGAAATTCTGCCATGAGCCTTAACTAGATTAGTTAAATCCAGGGGACTACGATGCCGAAATTCACAGGGCCATTCAACAAGCAGGTAGGCCAAAACTGATGTCCCATTAACTATAAGATCAGCTATTTCACTGCGATGGCGGTCCAAATGGTGATATGATCTTTACTGAGACTTGCAAGCGAGAATGCAGAGTGGGAGTCATGAACCAGAATGACTAGCGCACCTAATTTCCCATAGCAAGAACAAGGGTTGGACATGCATGACCTATCAGATTGAGTGCATAAGGGAAAAGGTAGCTTAATGGCATCCTGACTATTCCAAGTATGTCTAACGGTTTATGTCCATGCTATAGCAGGAGATTATACGCTGTCATCGTCCCAGCTTGTCTAATGACTTTCAGCTCTCTCTCAGAAGTCAATCAATGAGGAGGGCACACATCCCCTGGTATCTAAAATATTTCAAGATTTTCAGATGAAGGTCAAATTAAGACAATTTCTCTAGACGAACTTTCAGGGTTAAGCATTTTTGGCCAAGCAGCAACTTGTTATTGGGGCCTTTCCGTGCATCTGCTGATTTTATAGGTCGATAGACTCAAAAAACGCCGCATTCCAAGATTGTTGCTCCTCTTCTGGGTGCCTATGTTAATTCAATTCGGTCTACCACCCAATTCTCGAGGATTCGTGTCCAATTTCCGCCAAAGTACAAAAGGATTTGAGCACGCAGACCAACGTAGAAAAGCTCACAGCCGTTGGATATGATCTGTTTTCAACCCATGCTCCAATTTTGAGGATAACCCATACCCTAATATCCTTTACAATGGATCAGGACAACAAGGCAGCAGCAACACTCGCTTTCCAGCATTGCGGTGTGAAACCAGGGGGCGCCTCCCATTATTCCCAAGGCTCATTCAATTTTTTTCTACGGAGCCAAGTTCGAAGACGCATCCGACGGGATTGTGAGTATTGTTTTGGGCCCTCTGAACGTCTATGTTTCGACACAGGGAGATTCTAAGAAGGGAAAATTGCTGCGATGGAATACGCGTGTCAGAATGCTTCGATACCGACTCCGCAAGCGTTAGGGCAATAACGCTTGTGCTGCTGGACCATATATGATGCCTCGATTTTTCGAGAGAAATCTTCTAGCCAAATACCAAACCCTTTGATGCTTCAAGGAACCGTCTACACTGAACCTGAATATTGGATGCTGACCACGTTTCACGGGGCCTCTTAAGGTAATTGATTATAAAAACCTCAATGTTCAAAGTCTTATTGACTACAGATTTTGCTACATTTGCTGCAGGTGCATATTACATTTTGCTCTCTACCCAGAGAGCTAGAACGATTGTTTTGATGGCTGTGACATAATATATATATACCTCACCAGGAGATCTCGATATCTTATGCGAATGCAAACATGATCTTGTGGAGCATGGCGTTACCCCGGATTCATACCGTCTCTCCGAAGTTCCGAATGTATGGCTCCGTCACTTGAGAATGGTAACCCCCGGGTTTCCATTGCGGCTACCTATGATGATATCCGTTGGCGTTTTATACCACTAAAGCCCCGGGGCTTGGGAACTATTTCTTTTGTGAAAGACAAAACAGGCAGAAGAAGGGAATTTTGTTTCACATCGAACCCTCCAAGAGTTGATGGATGTCTACTGTGCTCTATTATATGTGCATCTTCATAGCCATGTGACCCTAATTTTCAATTTTCAATAACTCTAGAGTGCTGCATTGATCATGTTGTCGATCGAACATCTGAGTTGGAGGGCGTACGGCAGCACACCAGCACTGAGGCTTTCGGTTCACTCGGAAACTGATTCTCCCATCAACGTGAGCAAGGGGGCAGTTATGCTTTTCCCTGACTCTTGCGGAATCGTGACGTTCCTGGTTCAGGGTTCTGATTTGAGCTCCAAATTCGCAGTTTCAGCCAGTTCAAGCCGGCCCTGAGTTGGTTATGAGCAAAAGGATGGATCCGAGTTTGCTCACCTTTTTTTTTTTTTTAAATAAGTGGTTGGGGGTCTCTTAGCGAATGTTAAATAAAAATTTAAAGGTGACATGTTTCAACTTCGCCGCCGCACACGCATGACATCCGTTAGCTCCGGAAAGCTTTGACGGATTTTGACAGGAGAATGACACCAGCTGTTTTAGCATTCCGTTGTCGCAAGGCTTAGTTGCATCAATCTGTACGTAACTATGTTACATTGGGATAGGATCAGAGCAAGGTTCAAGCTCACTCCTGGAAGAAGATGTGCTCATGGTAACTACGTGCTTGGTACCTGGATCCATCGAATTGTCCAGAACAAACCCTGTAAGATCGCGTTGTTCAGATAAAGCACAATCACCGGCCCCTGTGGATGTTCCCTCTAGAGGCCTCCTTGAGGTGAACAGCAGCCAAATGCACGGGATGATGAGAGGGAGTCTCTGAAGGGCGCAGGTAGCTCGTTACTAGTTATGCTCCCTCCTTTTGTTGCCCCACCTCCTCCACCCATCGCTCAAGCCAGCTCTCACTGCCAGGGTCACATCTATCCAGCCTGCTGGCTCTCCCTAGCCTCACACCGTCGCAAGGTCGTATCAAGTCTGCTGACTTGTCTGTTTCTCCTTCAGTTGTTTCGAAGTGTCCGATCTCCAACGTCACTTCAAAACAAAGTTAACCACCCTGGATCAGGTTGCGTGCAGATTTACGTTACGACCACGCTGAGGAAGATCAGCGGTCTTTCTGAAACTTGCTGACATTCCTTGAGCCACTTCAATTCGTCCTTTCGAATGCGATAACTATTCTGTCTTGCGTCCCCAAAAGTCTCCTGCGTTCTTACAAGTCTCCCTTCGTTCTTCGTTAGCCTCGGCAGGTACCCGCCCGAGGACCTCACCCCTTTGCACAGCTCCGGGTCCAATATACAGATCGCTAAGTGAGAGACTGCGTACTGCTACTGCGAGATCACGCTTGAAGAAGCTTGCGTGATTACGAGAGCGCATCCCGCGAACCGAAGCAGTTCGAAGCCTTGTGCCAGCTGGTTTCATACGATCCTCCCTTTCCGCACCAGAGCCTCAATATGTTGTTGACAAGTTTAGCGGAAGACGACGACCACAGTATGGCAGTCGAGTCATATGATGAAGATGATGCTCCGCAGGAAAAGGGTACACTTGAAGATGGTCCAGAGGGAAGGCTGCCAGGAGACCGTGCAATCGACAACTTTTTACAGCCACTTGTCATCGAAGATGCGAAGTTATACCAGTTGGCATGCTGCTTCTCCAAGGTTTATGAGAAACTTGCAAAAACCTCCGATCAACAATTTCTGCCGACGCCAGTAACGCGGCTTCCCACTGGGCAGGAAACGGGCCGATATTTGGCGATTGACGTTGGTGGAAGCAATCTCAGGGTTGCCTTTATTGACTTATTAGGCGAAGCGGCCGATCAAATCGATGGCGAATCAGATGAGGAGAAATCGCGCGAAACTTTACGTAAAGCACAGCGTAATCGAGTCCGAAGGTCGTTAGAGAAGGCGTGGCCAATAGAGGAACGCTTGAAGACAGATAAGGCGGAAGATTTGTTCTTGTGGATAGGAGATTGCATGGCGGAGGTTGTTGCAGACAGTTTGACGGCGGAGCTCGCAGATGGTGCCCAAATTCCTGAAGAACTGGAGATGGGGATTACCTTTAGCTTTCCAATGATGTAGGTAATAACCCCGATCCTCAGGGGCCCAGCGCTTAGCTGCAAGTGCATCTCTCAGCATGTGGCCTAGAACTGACTGGACACAGGCAGGAATCATTATCAGAGGCTATCCTGATGCCCATGGGTAAAGGATTCAAGTGGGTAAATTCGACGGATCTTAACCTTGGGAAGATATTATTAGCCGGATACGAGAGGCACACTCGGCGACCATACGGCTCAAATGAGCCATCAGTGAAGCGGAGGAAACTGTTTGCTCTGCCAAAATTAAAAATCGCTGCAATAACCAATGATACGGTTGCTACCCTAGCATCGTTAGCCTATTTGGTTAAGTCTCTGCCGAATAGCCGCGTTGCAATGGGTATTATTGTTGGTACCGGCTGCAATGCAACGATCCCTATGAAATTATCAGATTTACACGAATCAAAAGCGATACAGGTATCTTCACACGATGCCAATGCAAGCGAAACAATTGTTAATACAGAATGGACGATAAATGGTGCCGCTCCACCTCTACGAGAATTGAATGTTACTACTGTGTGGGATTCGATCCTGGACAGCCAGTGTGCTCGTCCAGGATTTCAACCTTTTGAGTACATGACTGGTGGCCGCTACATCGGCGAACTAGTCAGGATAATTTTCTATGACTACTTGACATCGGTAGTAGGCCTGCCAAAGAAAGATCTCCCGGCAATTTTGGTACAGGGATATGCACTGAGCACCACGTACCTTTCATCGGTGGTTGCAAATACACCCTCGGATTCGGCCCTGGCTGCGAAGCTCGGAGCCACTCTGCCACCACCAGAATCAAGCTCCTGGAACTGGGACGTCGCCACGGCCCGGGCATTCCGAAAGGTAGCTCGAGCCGTACAAACCAGATCGGCCGCACTCATTGCCTCTGCAGTAGTCGGGTTGCTGGCTTGCAACAAAGAGATCAAACTTCGCCATGATGGAGCCACCAACCCACGTAGGGCATCCAACATCATAGTTCCTGAGTTCAACGCATCCACAGATACTCTCACAGATGTATATCGACCTAAAATCTCCAACACCACTAATGATATAAATAACTCCGAAATTTCTGCCGCAGTTGAAGTTGAAGGCTGGCAGTCCGGCCCAGAGGAGTTGGTTGTCGCTTATACTGGCGGCATTATCCAGCATTATCCTCATTTCAAAGAGGCATGCCAAAGCTTTATTGACCGATTGGTGATTTGGGATGGACCGCAGGAGAGTGGAAAGTCCGTGTTTCTGAGAGAGGCATCGGATGGGGGGATTATTGGGGCCGGTGTTTTGGCCGGGATGGTCTCCAGCAGTTGATAATACGGTGTTGATGGTTATCCTAATGGCCTACAGAGGCAATTTATCATTACAAGCGCGAACTGGTGAGTCCCATAACACGGCACTTTGAGCGAAGCACTTTCTCTCTCTCTCTTTCTTTTCCTTTTTTTTCATTTTTTTCATTTTTTTCTTTTTTCTTTTCTTTTTTTTTTGATTTTTAATTGTTATCCTTTCTACATTGATTTAATTCCAGCCCAGGAAAAAGGTGCATTTGGATTAGAAGTCAACTTTGGTCCAGCCTAAAGTCATATTCTATAAATTGATTACTTTGAAGTCGCTTTTGATATCATTGATAACCACGCGTTGCCCTGAATTGCCAGTTGCGTCTCCTATATAAAAGGTTTAAAACAAAGTTGCTGAAAATTCATATAATAAAACATCGCACGTTCATTACCGTCATGGCGCTCGGTAGCCGAGCCCTCAATACCAAAAACCCCACGTCTTTCCTACGCATTTCCTTGCATCCGTTCAAAGCTAAAGCATGTGTGTTAGGCCTCTAAGCGGTGCAAATGGCCTTTTCGTACACAGTGCTTGTTTCGCATCCCTTTCTACATCCGGTCGGACATGGCAACCACTGCGTCTGGGTTGGCGTAGTTGGGCAATGCTTCGTGTGACAAGGGAGCGTTCGAGTCTCGTTCATGATACACGGGAGCACGATGCAGTCGGATGTCTCTCGTGGGTCGGGACAGGTCATTGGGTACAAGCTCGTGGTGTGCGTGTGGCATGCGAGCGGGATACGCCTGGAGTGTGTGGTGATCTGTGGCGGTGCCACATTGGGCGCCTCAGCGACACTATTGACGCGATTAGTTCTTGGATGTGGAAATGAGGTCGATTTTGTGAATTTTGGTTGGTTCAAGCGGGAAATTTTGTGATACATACGGGGTGGGTGAGGCGAGAATGGTGGAAAAGAAAATGCCGATGGCCGCGATTTTGAGATGCATTGTGAGAGGTTTTCTTTGCGTGATTTTTCCTTGGATGTCTGGTTTCCTTCAAAGCCTGGTGGATCTATGCAGGTTGGACCAAAGAGATTTGCCTTTCTGGCTTTGCGATGAGAAGTGGTTTCAAGAAGTTGGATAAACAGCGGACGTTGGGGACGATATATATACCTCATCCAACGGACCCCGATGAGCCTGTTAAGCCTATTCGTTATCGCACGGGATCCATGGTCTCCCAAAGTCGCGCGATACATTCTCAACGCACCCGGTATGCGGTCTTTTCTCTCAAGTATCCATACACCACCGTGCTCAGCCGCTCTCCTGCTCTCGAAATCGACACTTTTCCATGCCGAAAGTGTTGGATTTTCGCATTCGCAGAGCAACTCAAATCCTTGTACATGTTCTCAATCCATGGCAATCTATTGGGAACATTTGTTCGAGAACAAATAGCCCGGGAACGGAAGAGCCGAATACGTAGCACGTTCCATGTATTGTTGTCAATTCTAGATTTTGGATGCTGTATCCCGGGATTCGGGTTGTGGGTTTGTTTCTAGCCCTTGCAGCCCAGTCTAAATATGCATTCGGCTGGTGCAGATGTGTATTTATCCCTGACGAGGGCGGGCTAACGTTGCTCTTTGCTGTGTTGGAAACTCCGCATACCGAAGAGGCTTTGCGTGCTGAAAGGCCCCCAAGAATGGTAGATGCGACTCCCATACAGCAGCCCTCAGCTAGTTACATCCTTTGGCCGTGAGTGTTCCTTCGTTACAGGAATAAATAGTAGTTCAATATTGCGTACTCCGTACGGGGTACCAGGCACCCTATTATTAGCCACGGAATATCGATGGTAGTTAAAGGAGGGGTGGATTGGACTGTCATGGCCAAGCATCGGAGCTTTCAACTGAACTAGCTACAGCTCCACTTTCAAGGCATGACGGATTTAAGTACATTTCAGATGATACGCTTAGAAGTGAAAGGATTACATTGAAAACCGGACTCCATTAACCTCCCTCTCCACTTAAATTCTATCCCAGTTAACAAAAACCCGAGCTTCGGTGGCTAGAACTCTTGGGCCTAGCTAAGCGTAGACGAGCAACTAATCGTAACAGTCGGGCATGCCGGGCTGCAGGCTGTTTGGCAAGGGGTATAGCTGATGGATGTAGGGGTTGTCGGACAATTGCTGTCTGGACAAGGGATGGAAGTTGTCTCTGCCCTGAAGCAGTTCACCATAGGGCACGCTTCGGTGTTGAAATGAGCACAGCGAATATGCGGTGACGGCTGCGTTATGGTTGCTGTATAGCACGAATTCGCTGCTTGCATTGGTGTGATCATCGGGTCTTCTGGTTCTCTAGCTTCAACTGAAGCGAGTATGAATGCGCTGAGAATAGTTAGAAACGGAAGCCGGCTATAGGCACGACTCCACTTGCCTTGAGCCCAATAGGGCTAAGGTAACAGCTTTCGAGATAGAGGCCATCTTGGCTACTTAAGATGATATGTGTATGAATCAAAAGCGCAGGATGAAGGGACCTTGGATATGTTTAAAACGACCAGGAAAGAGCGCGCAATATATGGTCAAGGGAATGACAGATATGAAGGAGTGCGCTGTTGGAATCTTTGAGGAATTGGCGCCCGTTCCTGATATAGAGGCAGGCTTTGAATCCCTGAGCGGCCGGGGCTGTGTCGGGAAGAGAGGGCAATTGCAAGAACTTAGAAAGCCCCCAAGTCGAGGGGTTCCCCAAAAGTCAGATCCTTTGTTCACTGCAAACCCCACGGGACCTACAGGTTGGTCATGAGTGCGGATCAGACGTCGGCATCAATCCGCGAGAGCCCAACAGGGTATTTCGGAAGATTTCTGACCGTGGTCCCCATGGCGTTTCGTGCCGGAGACATGCCCCGACGCAGATTTCCAAGCACTCTGTCAACTTGCACCATGTGGCTCCTGGTGGTTAAGAAACGAGCCAAGTGTCTGGGGGCCCCTGGTGAAATCCAGACCACGGGCGGGAAGTCAACTCAACTCAAGGGCGGGCGGCGGCAGCGGAGTCACATCGGGCGGTTTTGGAGCCTGAGCCTGCTGGCCATCACGTGATCACACCCACGGCCTTCACGCCTCCCAACTCGGCCGCTCTGCCGCATCACCGCTGACCTCGCCATCATCTCGACCCAGGCCGCAAAAATGAGCGCCCAAGCCTACTATGAGCTCTATCGGGGGAGCAGGTATTGCAGCCCACTAGACCCCGGCCCACATGCTACCGAACTGACAAATATTGTGTTCCAACAGTATCGGCCTGTCCCTCACTGACACCCTTGATGACCTGATCAATGAGGGCCGGATCGAGCCGCAGCTTGCTATGAAGATCCTGTCCAACTTTGACCGGGTTATTACGGAAGTCCTAGCTGAGAAGGTTAGGGCAAAGTTGTCCTTCAAGGTAAGGACCGGGTGCATGCCGCATTGCCGCCAACATGGGAAACAGGACTGGAGCCGCTGATACGAGATTCGCTGACAGGGCCATTTGGATACATATCGCTTCTGCGATGAAGTCTGGACGTTCCTCATCAAGGATGCTACGTTCAAGCTAGATAATCAGACAACGGTCCATGCAGACAAGGTCAAAATCGTGAGCTGCAACAGCAAACGCCCCGGCGAGACTTGAGCGGCATAACGCTTCCTGATTACTTTCATCACTTTCGTTCCAACGTTAAATGAGTTATGATGCAAGAGGATACGCTTGGAATTTGTCAATCCCTATTCGATTGGTGGGGTATATTTCAAATGGCGTTACTTTAAAAACCCACGAGCATACCGGGTCCGGAGGATCACAGGCGTTAGGGATAAGGGAGTTACGATGTATAGACAATTCTGGATGACGCGACGAGAGTATTATTCTGGGTCTCTAGTCCGCGAAGCTCTTCGAATGAATGTTGCTTGAGAAGAAATATCTTAAATTGAAAATGCAATTGATATTTCTTCCCTGAACGAGTAAATACAAGATAAGTGAACGAAATTAATCCTTGTAGCCGTTTAGAAAGCGACGTTGTCCTTGGAGCTGGCAGACGTGTTCCCCTTATTCGCATACAGAGCACATTGTTTGAGTTCTAGGTTGGAAGTCTTAATTGGCTTGGCCAGAGGAACGCGTTAAATAGGCACTACATAATCCTGTACTGTCAGCGTCCGTAAGAGATAGCAAAGCCGACGTGGTTAAATTGAATGTGGAGTACTCCGTACGTGTAGGGGCTAGCTCCCTAGTATCATTTCAGTCCGGAAAGCGGCCCAAGTATTTGTTGGTATTTGTCATGGAGTTGTATGATGATTGCCAATCACTCCTCAACAGGTCTCCAGTCTCGACGTACTGCTTTATTCCCCTAGCGTGAACTTGAACAACGGTCCTTTATGGAGCTCAACTGTGCTGCCTCCTGTTTAGAATGCCGCGGACATTGCCATGGCAAGTGAAAAGTGAATCTCGGAGGAGTGCAACGCCAGCTTCATCCGCTTCTCGCACTTCTGCCCGCGCGTCGCGCCCTGCGACGGCCTCGGAGAAAGTCCATGCTCCACCACGCGCCAAAAGAGCGCGAAGAGACAGTGAGTGAGTACGTCTGATTCCTGGTGGATAAATATTGAAAGAATTTTCGAAGATCGATCTCCATCTACGTCACCAGTTCGCGAGCCTCCTCCGGAAGAGTATGTTTCTCCTCCCATCACCCAGCCCCCCGTCGCGTTTCAAGGACTTGAAGACACGGGCTGACGCGCTCATAGGTTAATGCTCGAAGGGTTAGAAAACGATGAAGTGTATATAATGGTTGAGGATGAATTTCTTGCTACAGCTCAAGCCTTTACGCGTCATCTCCATTACGCCGAATACGCCCGCCGCAAGAAACAAGCAAAACTTGCCAATGAGGGGAATCTTGCAGGAATATCCCGACGGACGGACGGAAAGTCAACACTGAGCAACAAAACTAAGAAGAAAATAGAGGCCGAGGTTGCTGCAGAAAAACGTAGAGTGGCATTGGATGAGTTGAGGAATGCCGCCGGCCGGCCGCTCGTTGATTCGGAAGCGGAAGATGTGGATGTGAGCGAGGGAGATAAGGACGATGATCCTTGGGTTGGGACGCATCTACAGCCGCTGATGGCCGCACCAAAGCCGTCAAGGTCGCTGGTTGGACTACATGGTATTAAATCAGCGACAAAGGCTGCGCTGGGATGTCGCGGGCCTACCTCTGGAAGAGTACAAAAAAGGAGCCCTCCGTTGAATTTAGCTGCGAGGGGACAGGCCAGAAATTTTCAAGAGCAAGAAATTTCCTCGGAAGATGATGACTCCCTCGACATGAGCGATAAGACGAGGCCAAGATCGGCCGTAACCACTCATAAATCGTCAGCCGCACCTTCGAGACCGACAACCAAGACTGTCTCTCGTCTCCCTCCAGTACCCTTAACTCGCGATCCGAATGTGCTGCCTCCAGTGATGAAAGCTTCGACGGAACCGGGGCCAAGTCATAGACCAGGAACAGCTTTTCCCCCACCTCGCAGTTCAATGATATCTCGCCCCCCTATATATCAACCCATCAAGACACCTCAGCCTTCAAAGCATAAGTCCAGCATAAGCAAGTTACTGGATGAATTTGACGAACTAGATGAATCCACTACACCGATTACGGAGGACGACCCCAGCCGGTCTGTTTCCAAAGCGAAGCCTGCGCAGGACTCGAGGTTCGAGAAACGTCGCGATGGAGTTGACAAACTTAGGGAGCAACGCCTTCGTGAAGTCCCGACTTTTCTATAGCCCGAGTCAGAGTTTTCGGGCTGCCCTTTGAGTTGTCGACGGAACGGTCATGAAGCTCTTGGACTCTGAAGCATCGGATGACATGCTTTACGATATATCCATATTAAGTCGCGCTGATAACTATAGCGCTCCTCGGATTATCAACCTGATTGCATAGCGACCCGTCATTTGTTCAAGGATGATGAATTTCTGGTTGCATTTTCTACATGAGCATCATGATTAAGATTCCCTGTGATCAACTTCTCAAGATGTGCAGCAAGACAAGACGCCTCGACCTATTTTGGATAATCCTTCAAATGGAAGCTCTTCAGCTTCACAAACTGATCAAATCCGAACTTGCTCAGTGTAACTCCTCGCCCAGAGTTCTTCCAGCCAGTCCAGGCAAGATCCTATGAAAGAGTCAGCGCTCCGCCAGGCCATTAGTCGGGGTTATATGAACATACCGGACTTGGATAATCAGCACGATTGACAAACACTGTTCCAGCCTCAATCCGCTCAATCAAGTCTTCTGCGGTACCCACATCTTTAGTCCAAACGCTCGCGGTTAATCCTAGGTCACTGTCATTCATCAGCCGAATGGCCTCATCGTCATCTTTAACCTTCATGACAGGGATAATTGGGCCAAAGGTTTCGTCTGTCATGACAACCATATCATGATTCACTCCTGTCAATAGTGTTGGCTTGACAAAATTGCCTTCAGGCGGCATATTCTCAAATGTCGAGTTGGCGGGAGTTTCGTCTTTGGCTCCCTTCTTCACAGCATCGTCAATGTGTGAAAGGATATTCTCCTTGGCTCTCTTCGAAATAACAGGTCCAATCTGGGTCTTTTCATCGAATGGATCGCCTACCCGGTATTTTGATAGAACCTTCTTAACCTCTTCCACGAACACATCGTGAATTTTTTCATGAACATATACCCGCTCTATAGCGCAGCAACTTTGGCCGCTGTTGAAGATTGCCCCGTCGACAATTTCCTCGGCTGCCCAAGCGACGTCAACGTCGTCACGGACGTATGCAGGGTCATTGCCACCTAACTCTAACCCAACGCTAACGATTCTGTCTGCCGCGGCTTTCTGCACTCCTAAACCCCCGGCGACGGAGCCAGTAAAGCAAATGTGATTAATAAGTGGAGAGCGAATAAGTGTTTCGATGGAGGTGGGTGACCCCGAGTGGAAGTATTGAATTACATTCTGTGGGAGGCCCGCCTCGGCAAAAATAGCAGCCATCTGTTCGACAACGGTTGGGGTCTGGGGCGAGGGTTTGAGGATTACCGCGTTCCCAGCGAGAAGGGCCGGGATCAAGCTGTTGACAAGGATCAAATACGGATACTATTGCGTATGATGGCCCCAACGTCAGCAATATCCCTTATGTTACGCGAACTCTAACTGAGAAAAACTTACGTTCCAGGCAAAGAGAACCAATACAACTCCAACAGGTTCTTTTTTTAAGTATCTTTTGAATCCCGCCTCGCTGTCTGCTTCGATCTTGTCCCCCAAAACTTCGCCCGCCACTCGGTTTAAGTATTCTCCACGCTTGACTGCGGTTGTAATCTCTGCGCCCGTGTATGCGATCGGGCGACCCATCTGCTCCGTGACTTCGCGTGCAAGCGCATCTTTCTTCTTCAAGAGGATGGCAAGGGCTTTTGCGACAATTTCTTGGCGTTGAGCAAGGGTCGTAGAGCGGGAAAAAGAGCGGAAAGCCGTTTGGGCTGTCTGTGGGAGGGTAAGGAGGTCGGACTCTGAAATGCCGGCGCGGGTAAGGATGGGGCCGTTGGTGGTGGGGGAGATGGTGGTTAACGTCTCTACGGACATTGTGAGGGAGCAATTGAATAAGTATGTGTTTTTTGTGAACTTAGATTATCTGACAATTCTATAGGAATAAATAAGCAAAAGTGCGTATGGTTGCTATTCCCGGAGATACAGAAAGCAGAAAGTTATCCTATTTATTAAGCTCCGGCGCCTCCTTGACCTTTGACCGTGTGATGCCCCTCGTCGAGCAGCGGCTCCACTGATAAACGCGTCTGATGCGACTTTCCCGCTAACGAATAGCCGCCGCCCCCTTATTGATGACATAATGCACCCCGCGTTTATCGGTTCTCGGCCGGAAAAGCCGCTCGGTGATGGAAAAACTGTACGTCCGACTGCGTTGCAGAGCGAGCAAGCATTCGAACGGCATTCGTCCTCCTCCTCCAGCAAGGTTAAGTCTGGTCTGAGCGATTAGTGTCTCGTTGTCAGAAGGCTCGCCTTTTCAGTATCGAGCCCCTGGTGAATATGGCACTGACACCGGTCACAGTTGTTAATATTTAATAGTTAACTAATATTTCTTAGTCAGTGATAGAATCGACCGGCATCTATATGTCGCATCCGATGGTGTTAAACGTGCAACATCGTCTGCAGATGTGGTCCAGGTTTTAACTGCGTTTTGCTGAAGCCTTCTCAATGGCCCCTACTTGGGACGTCTTGGGTTTCTACCAGCCACCCAACCCCGTGGATGGCAGCAAGCTGGGAACGCAGCGAGTGCCGAGCCAATCGCAGTTTGGGAGGTTGGGCTTCGGATTGCCTCTCTTCGGAGCCAGGCCGTTTACCTTGGCCATTGCGACGATTGCAAAGACAGTGAGCAGGACGTAAAGTCACCAGCGTCCAAAAAGCTTCTGTCGTCGTCGCTTTGGACTGTTAATTTATAGGCAGCACCGCAACGGCAGCGAGGCTGAGTCAACGACAATTCATCAGTGGCATTTTGTGATGTTTTTCGGGGGAGTACTCTTATAATTATCATGGCAAATTCGAGCACCGGTGGTCCTGAGGCTCTGGTTCCCTCTCTTTAGAACCACATTCCCAACCTCGATGATTGGGATAGTCACGAAGACAATGCTGAGGGAACCACGCACCGCAAGAGCATGAGGCCGCGGCTGCCGATTCTCAGGGCCCGTTGGCTTGGCTATACCCGGCGGAACGCAACAACAGTGAAGCAGAGCCAACCGCAACTCGGCATTGCTGCTTTACCTTTCGCCATTATTGACCAACAAAGATGATAGTGCAAGAACTCTAGGGACAATGATATCGCCATATTCCCATAGACCGGATTCTGTTATGTTCGGTATTGAAAACTTATTTTGGACTAGCGTTTTGATGTGAATTGAAAGACGAGCAACGCAAGTGCTTCAGGAAATAAGGCTTAAAATTGCCACCCAGTGGCTTTTCCGACTACCTGCCCGGATTTTATACAACCTTTTGCGTCGCTGAAGCAATTGGTACTTTTTAAAAATAGTAGCTGCTTGTTTTTGCAAAGTACGCGCCCTTTATTCTCCGGATACCACTTTTTGCGGATTCCGAAGTGCTTTCTGAGTGTGTCGCGGAATTGGACCATTTAACCTATTATTTATCTTTCAATTAATCGAGCCCAGACTTTTTTTGTTAACGGTTAACTTAGCGGTTGCCTTTGAGATGTGATGCCGCTCATTGTCCAAAGCCTTTGTTTCTTCGTAGTCTGTATTGATTCTTTTATTGATAGCATATATTGACAATCTATTTTCCCTGTAAGGTATGCTCAACTATTCTTTTTTTGTATCGCCTGCGCTCATGCTGAAGTTGTGGTCAAATAGTGGGATGGGGCTGAAATATTCATGTTTAATTATCCATCCAGCCTATCCCCACTTCTGGCCATCCTTTGGTAATGTCTATCTCCGAGTATTTTCTGAGAGTATATTCTCTATTGACGGCTTCTCCTAGCCTGCTGACGGCGCCCAGCGACGCACCCGCGTTGGAGCTCAAAAGCGCCGCCCCCCATCCTTCATTTATGATGGCATCTTTTGTATTTATTACTCTTGCTCCGAAGAGTCAAATGCCTCTTCGTTTATTTTCTCTCCAGTTTCCCAGTTAATTGTCTTGTTGTTTTGTGTCATGGCAAGGTATGTTCTTTTATTGGCGAATCGCCAGTATCCGGCGGCACGTTTGAGGGTTTCTCTGGCCTCGTTAGCGAGAAATTCAAAGTCTCCGAGAATTGCCTCGATTAAGCTGCACATCAGCGTTCTTCGCCGCCTGGAGTCTTTGGGGGATGGGGGCTTGACACTTAGTTTGTCCAAGATGTCTCGAATGTATGGGATCTTCAAACTGGCTGCGACTAGCAAACCATCCTTGTCTTCAAACTTCAAGTCATGGCTGGACTTTATATGTGCTACTTTCTTCTGAAGTTCTTCGTGTCGGGTTATGTGTTCAACGGAGACTTGTGAGATTGCCTCCGGACTCATTGAAGAGAGCGCCTTGGTTGGTCCGTGTATTGTGTGGCTCACCTTTTCGACCAGTTCATTGGTAGTAATCGTGGAACTACAAGTCATACTTTGCCGCCTGAGAGCTTTGCTAGTTAACCTGAGGTATTTCATAGTCTTTTTCTCTTCCCGCCGAAGCTTCGCGGGCGTCTGCTTCCATGACTTCGATGTTTGCGTGTTGAGGTGATTAGACAAGCGTGGACTTTCCATTAATTGGTGGATCATATCCTTTCTCATTTCAGCCGCCGGAGTGAGCTTCTGACTATTGGCCCGGGGTTTCTGTGTCCGAGCATACTTGTCTTCCTCGGCTGTCCCAAAGACCGGATTATCCATCCAGCGGACAGCCTTTGGCGGTATAGCCCGTGCGTTTTTATGGACGGACTTGGATCGGTGATCGACTATAAGTTTCCTTAAATGTTGCACAGATGAGCCTCGCCTGGAGGCACTGCTTTTCGACGGAGTTCTAAAGTCAGATGATACCTTGACAGCTGGAGTTTTTGTTCCAGATTTAGGAAATGGTGTGCTTTTGTCTGAGATTCCTATTTTTGATAAGCCTGATGCTCCAAGATTTTGGTGAAATAAATCATTTTCCTGGTCAAGTTCATGAAGTTCCTGGATACATTTGGCAATATATCTGTGCCTTTTATCATGGAGTTCATTAGATTTCCTGCATCTGTAAGGGCCAATGTATTAGCTTCTGAGTGATAAGTAAAGGTATGAATGAAAGGTGAAACTTACGCATCACATTTATGACTTTCGCCTGATATCAACCTCAGTTAGCTCTCAGTAGTTCCCTTGTACATAGCCTCAAAAGTGAAGTGAAAAACATGCAACGAAAGGGATTCGACGAAAAGAGTACTCACCTATGTGAAACATTGTTTGGTGATATTTTATGCATGGCTCACTATGAGTGCCATAGCAGGTCTTTTTGGCCTTAGGGTTATTGAGAGAGGTGCCACAAACAGCACAACCATGATCTATGAAGCAAGAATAGAAAGAAACTATGTTAGCATTGCTCACATAGATGAGAATAGGTAGAAAAGAGAGAGTAGAGTATGGTGGATAATGACCTGGAGAAGGAAAAAAGGAAAGGAAGGGTTACAGAGGCCAGGAGAATCCTCCCACTTAAATAGTCGAATTGTCACAGGTGAGATGCCCTCCATCGCTGAAATTTAGCTGGTGAAGAGTGAATTGAGCTTGAAAGATACAAGGTGAAAACAGAGCAGGTGAATGTTGTGACAAATGATGTGACGAAAAAAAGCTTGCAGAGTGAATAAACAATGAGACAATCAATAACACAGATCTGTGAATAGATTGAGTGAATTCATGAGAATTGTAGTCAGTGACTTATGGTGTTGAAACCCAATGGAAAAAAATGCTGTTGATACAGACTCTTGTGTCCTTATATACCTTGCCTACAGTCCCTTAGCACATCCGCTTTTCAGAGAGAGATGATCCTTAAGCAGTCTCCTTCCTACGAAGGCTGATAGAATCACCGACACTATTGTTGCTAATGCAGGGTGGTATCGCAGAGTTTCTGAGGAGATTATCAGGTCAAGTCCGGCCCTTTTGTCCCCAGAAGAGCCGATATTGATTTCCCCTTAAAAAAATGACCGTACATTTCCTCTAACAGCATTTAGCCCATTGATGAAGTTGCAAGGGCCATTGATGCTATGTTTGCGGATGAGCTCTAAAGACTTGAAAGGCTGGCAGTACAAGCTTATCAAGGATCCTCAAAACCTGACATAACTTCCTGGGAAAGTGGGACAGATCTGCTGTGAGATTAAGGATGTTTCTTTTCCTTGTCTCGAAGCCCTATAAACTCCGTTAAGCATGTGAGTATAAGGAAGACGAAGAGGTCACAAACCAAAGACCATTTAACGGCAGATGCAGGCCTAAATAAGTGCGCTTAAGCTGACGTGAGAGAGCTCTCAAGGGAAAGGGGAGAATAGGGAGAAAGAAGCCAAGGAAATAAGGGTTCATTGTCTATGCTGCCTTTCGTTCTTCAGACTCGTCCTTTCTGGGCACTTATCTAAACCGTTGTCTTGTCCCCCTCTTTATCTAAAGCGGGTCTTAAGGATATGCCATTTTCCTGCAATTTTTTCAGCGCAAGTCTGGACTCGCGAGCAGCCAGGACAACCAAAGACATCGCAGGAAGCAATGCTAAAATAGCAGAGCAAACAATAGTGAATATCGCGAACCACCGAGAGAGACGGGCAAAGGTCATCCACGGCTTTCCCGATACAATAATTGCCTGAACAGAGAGCGCCACTTCCAGTGCACTGAGTACCAAGCTAAAAATTCCAATCATAAAAAGTACAGGACCATAAAATTGTGCGAGACGAGCGCCGTACTGCCCGTGAACCTTGTGATATGTAAAGCGTTGGAGGAACACCTTGGACGAGAGGTTCAGTCGTGTCAGCCCGAGCTCCCCGTACGCATATCGTGGGGAAACGACGTCGTCACCGATCCTATCTCTGCCGAACGCCCTGATGAAACAGGAAAATTGTGCATAAGAGATGTGCTTTGGTATCAAGCGGTGATCATTGTTTGTTGCGATGGCGAAATCGGATCTGTGTTGGATGAGGTAGAAGTAAGACCGGAGGAAGCCAAGCGCCGCGCTGGTGATTTTCGTGTTCGGCCGCCCAGGGATTGGTGGGCGGGCGCCATTGAGATAAAATTCCCAGAATGCGTGGGAGAGAAGGTATTTAGGTATCGGTTTAATAAAAACACGATCGTAACTCCAAACCAGATGCAGCTCTGGTTTCTCTGTGACGGTTATTTGGCGACCGCGGACGATCTGGTGTGTGAGTGAGGAGATGTCTGAGCTGTCCGGTGTGGCCACAAGCCAGAGATTGGGAGCAAGTTTGTCCAGATCCTTCGTGATCAGCTCCGACTCGAGGTACAGTGCGAGTTTGGCGTCTTGCAATCTAATCCGCGGTTGGCCTGGGAGCCAGTCCTTGGTCAATGCGACGCCTGCTCCAGAGATGGGCTGCCGATGGATGGAGGGTGGATTCCAGCTCACAGAGAGCTTTCGGTAAAGCTCATCTTCCTTGGAAAATGGAGGATCAGCCATTGTACTGCTGATATTGCAAATTGCGGGCTACATTGTCTTCTCGTCCTCTCGAACGACGTGTCAAGCTGGGCTGCTCGACGTTAACTATCTCGCGTGCTTTCCCGGCCAAGAACCTTTTCCGTCACGACATCGAATCTAAGCGCACAAATTGCAAGACCAGCAGCCGCCGCTTTGGATAATTGTTTGCGGAATACAAGTTCTCAACCGGCATCAACCAGCATTTCTCCATGTCTCCATGTTGAGCGGAGACGAATCTACAGCCTTTGACTTCTCATCACTACGATGCTCGACAGGCCACATCTTCATAAAATGAGAGTATTTATCATAGCCTTTTCGTTAGGATTATAGAATGAAATGAAAGGCACCCCTGATCTGCTTAATAAACGGACCGTGCCTTTCATTACTATGCCCAATATCAAGTGCAGCCGACCAGCTTTAGCAGTCATCCAAAGGCATCCATTGCTAAAGAATTAGGTATCATTCTTCAGCTATGCCTATTGGAATAGGCTCCACAAAGACCCATTTCAGAGACCAACCAAAATCAATTCTCGGCCTGAAAGAACCAGCCGCATAATCCTTGGTTGCTGGTTAGGAACTCGACGCTGACAGTCGAGAGGTGCTCGACTCACTCAGGTCTGGCGACATGGGAAAAGTACCGCCAGCGCCACCGGTGTCTTCCCTATGAGGAGTCCGCTCCATACGCTACTGTATCAAGAAGGAAAATTCCCTCGAGAGAGGCTCAGATGTCGGAATGGATGGAGGGCTGGCGTTAAGAATTGGTTCGATCTTGCGGCCTCCTGTGCTTCCGGTGTGGCGGCTATAGCCATAGGGACAACAATCACCAATTGTGCCGATGCAGGGCATGTCGCAAACGGTTAGGCTTCCAACCGATGTGTATGGGGCATCAGGGGGACAGCAGCCGTTTCCGTCGTCAAGGGGAGTCTGGGCAAGACCCATGTCGTCGATGAAGAGGTTGCCGGGAGCGCGCGACAACTGAGGTTACGTGCACAGCAGCGATACTAAGATTGCTATCGTTTCCTTCTGCCGCCAGGATGGGCAATATTGCCATAAATCCGGCGAGAATGGTGGCTAGGGCGCACATTCTTTGCGGTCAGACTCGAACACTACAAAGGAAAATGTGTAAATCAAACAACTCCGTACACAGGATTGACGAAAAGAACACAGAGAAAAGGAACCACTCTCTTTGTCCAGCTAAGAAAATGAAGAAAAGTCGCAAGGAGGATACCTCCCTTCGATTGAGGGTACACCCCTTTTAATCACTAGCATCCATACTCACACGAATCATTTTAGCCGCTGAGCTCCCCGATCAGGGATCAAACATTGAAGGAAGTCAAGACGTCTGGTTTCTTGCGGCATCGGGATAGCTCGAGCCCGAATCACCTTCATGGACACGCCCAGTGACCAGGTCTCAACTGCTCAGGAGCCGTTGCCAAAACTAAGCTCAGCTTGCCCGTAGCCAGCTAGACCTTAGCGCTAAACGAGATTGCCATGTTGAAAAAATAGTGGCTCTTTGAGCTTCCCGGTTAATGAGTGTCGAAGGCGAAAGCTCAAAGCTCTGGCCCGATGGTGGACCAGCTGAGAAAAAGTTTTCCCGCAGCAATAACTACTCTGCGAATGCTTCCGTCATGGAAGCCGGTGCATCAAAATGCAACCAATCCTTAATGCTACTTACCCTGGATTACAGCTTTGTTTTGCTGCATAGGAATGATGGACTCCAACTCCACTGGTTTAGAAAGCAAACGCATCAGGATTGACTCTTGTTGTCCAAAGTCCAAAACATTAATAGCCGGCGAGGACCAGCAAGTGTCATGCAAATTGTAGCCCCCAATTATGCACTAATCTGGTTTCTCTAGGGGCATCTAGTGTTTAAACGCGACAGGGATACAGTATCATCGAAAGGAACCGAAAATTAGGCATTAATATTGTCCTTTCCTCAAATTCAAACCCGAAATATTTTCAATTACATATTCAAGACCAAAAAGCTGGAAAAATGGTAACAATTTTTGAATGCTTAGATATCGCGCACGAGACGAGCGCCCGCCCATACGTAGGGATAGTTTCGTTGATACCAATTGACACTAAATAAAACAAACAAGTCAGCAAGCTCAATTCTGGGGCGATCCAGACATCAAAGAAGCCCTGCACTTTGATGGATGACGTGGATTGATACGTACAATGTAGTGCGTCCAGCAATACGAGGATGGGTAGCCCATGAACCTCCAAGGACAATGTTATGTTTCCCGTCGAAAAAATCAGCTACATCATCGGTTAGTTCTCAAATTTAGCGGTAGCCCATGAGTTGGTGGAAACAAATACTGAGAGTTCATACCCGTGTATGCAGGATATAAATCCATGGCTTTGAAGCCCTCATGGGCCTCTAATGTTGAGCTTGTCCATTCCCAAGCGCCACCCATGCCACCTTGTCCGGAAAGCTTGTTTCCGTTCTGTGTGACTGGGGTGGGATGCCAGTGTTTGAACCCGACGTTATAACCGTCGAGATCAACGTTCACTGGCATCTGGGTTGAGGGAGGTTGTGAAACCGGCTGGTGATCCGGTGCTCGAGGTCTGCCATTTCGATGCTCCACAAAGCCATTGAGGTCTCTGGGCGGCCCTTCCATATCATTGCTGCGCAGTATTAGCAAAAATTGATTTTCTCGTAAACATGTCTTACGCTACGTACCTGGACGCGTCTATGAGAGAAGATTGCACTCCAATCTCCTGATCTTTCAGGAACACCGAGTACTGATAAATACTTCTAGCTTCCTCAAAAGTAGGGATTCTGCAGTTCACCCAATTTGCATAGCGTTCAAGTTCGTTATACGACGCAATAACAGGCCAGTCGAGTGCAAAGCGCAGTGGCACAGGCCCAAAAACTGTCCGCACATGATACTTGCTGAGGAGCTGTGAGAAGGCACTGGCCTCACTTGTCTCGCGACCATTGGTTCCATTGGTATGGGATGCAGCATGGCCGTTAGGTTCGGAGAATCCACTGGACGACCTTGTCCAGGAAGCGGGAACGGTAGCTAGTTTATTCGCTTCCAGATATCTGCAATACTCGCCATTGGTAATCGGCCTACCTTTGGCTTCAAATGAGGACACCTTGGCGGTACGCTGCGGCTTCTCATTATCCCAGCCAAAGGACCCAAACGGAATCCGCGTCGGATCCGGGTCATCCAACCCGATCCATATCGTTTGTTCGGGCACAATGAACCATTCATTAGGGACGCTTTCCTGGGCGGATCTCATTGCTAGGTATTCAAAATCTGGCGTAGAAATCTCTGGAGGAGGGCAAACCTTGTCGCTTTGTAGCAACATATACAAGAATGTTTCCAGGTGCATTGCTTCGTGCTCAAATCCAATCCATAAAGCTTCGTGGATCCGTCTGTTGGTCGTATGTTGAGATTTTTGCAGTAATGAACGGGCTCTATTTCTGACGGTTGTCTGGAATTGGAGAATCTCTTCAACAGGAGGCCATGCATCGGGAATTTCACTATGATCATGGCACTTCCGCGGATCATCCACATCTGGATCGATGCCACGCTCAAAGATAGACCAGTACGATTTGGGTTCTGTGGGCTGGCCATCAATGGCTCTAGTAATGTGCATATCTGAGATATGTCAGCATGCAGCCATTTGGCAGTTGATATAACGTACCTAAAAACGTCGGAATATGCCCTAGGTAAAATACCAATGCATTCCGCAGGTTTATCGGCTTAGATAGCAATTCATTTCGAGGAAGCATGCCAGTAGTGACTGTATCCCATAGCTTCCAAAGCGCTTCAAACTCCTTCAGAGACGGCGTCAGGGTCGCAGCATACTCCGCTGGCTGAGTGGGAAGAATGTACGGCGATGATGAGAGGAGATGAATATCTCGAAAATAATCAACGTATCATCAAATTAGCAATCTCAAAAAAAAAAAAAAAAAAAAAAGAAAAGAAAAGAAAGAAAGAGAGGGAAAAAAAACACGCCGAGGTTTCTAAACCCGTGAGAAATGAAGAGTGGAATTATAACTCACTGTGATCGCCTGTGCTGCTTGTAAACCGGGCTGTCGACGTAAGGCCCGCCTGCTGCCACAGAGCCTGGTATTCCTTTTCCGCGTACTTAAAGGCTTGCTCGAAGAAGATTCGTTCTCCTTTCGTAAAAGACCACGCCTCAATAGTGACATCTCTCGTAGGAGTGTAATATGCTTTATGACAACCATCCACTTCATCGTATATTCCAGCAACATCCCAGTCCTCGCGTTTGAATGCCTCAAACCCGAGGATAGAATTTGCGTTTGCCAACCCGTTAAGGTAGAATTCCCGTGTTACATTCTTACTATCATTGTAAGCGCGAAAGACCTTCTGGGGATCCTTACAGGAATCAAGCCCGACCAGTAAAGCGTCGTCCGCTCCTAACGTTCTCGCAAAGCCACCCAGAAACTGCGCCGCCTCGGACCGGGTAAAATTGCCGATGGAAGAGCCCATCGACATTACCCACGTCGGCTTGCGCCTGTTCTCAGAACGTTTGAGCCAGGATAGCGCATCGTCATATGTACCTAGGAGCCCGCTGCATTTGACATATTGGTAACTTTTTGACGGGAGTTCTGCAAAAGTGCGATTCAATTCTTCCAATGAAACATCCAATGCTAAATATTCCACTGGTTTCTTTGTCCGTTCAAACTCATTTAGTAGTATCTCGACTTTTCGCAGATTCCTATAGTTCGGTCAAAAGACAATTCCGGCTACAAGGATAGCACACCGAAGGTGATTTGCGATGCTTTGGCATTAGGTGAGAGAAGACAAACCCGCTGCCTAACTCCACCAGTTGTGAATTTTCGGGAACCCGCTCCACGATGCTGACAGCATGTGTGGTCAGGACTTCGATCTCGGCATTTGTTAAGTAATATTCGTCCAAGTATGTAATTTCTTCAAACAAACGAAGTCCCTCGGTATTGTACAGAAGCAAAGTTGGCAAAGACCGCTGGGTACCGTTCTTTGGATCGAGCCCGCGAGTGACATCTTTAGCCAACGAATTGTTGAGGTTATTGCGACGGATGTCGATGATATTGACTCCTCCCATCGCGAGACCCATGATGAATCGATCGGTAAGATTTATCACGAGTTTAAGTGTGCAATCAAAATGATAATTGACGCGTAGCCGTCAGGGAAGTAGACTCGATATCTGCAGTACTTCACAGAATCCAATTGCTAGGAACCGACCGAGACTTTCAATCTCTGGGGGGGGGTCGATTATATATGCATATGCCTGCAACAGAACAGCAATGGGTGCGGAGTTTAACCTTTGGAAGTGCAGGAAGCCTGTAAGAATCGTTTGGAATCAGGACATTCTAGCCGACATATGTCCCTTAGCTCGTTCCTGACAACCTTGCGGTGGGGAGCATTGCACATCGGACTTTGCGTACGGATTCCCTAGTACTGCGTAAGTATTTCACCGCCTAGTCGGTAACGGACTCCCTAATCCACATCTCTATTGTACGTATAGTACAAAGGTGTCGAGGTACTCCAGGTCAACCGATATCACCCGCGATTGAGGGATGAGGAGAAATACCTGACGTCAGGGGTCATGGCCAGTTAGGGTTGAGCCTGGACGGAGTATATCCATCCATGCAGACTGGTAGCTTCGAAAGGATCCAAGGTTCTCAACCAACCAGAGAAACATGCTTCTGCTCTGCCGATGTGACCCTGTGTGGTTTCGACTTCTGCTTTGAACTGAGAGGTGGGTTGGTGTATTGACTTTCAAGTTTCTCGGGGTGTTCGAGTTCTCCACTGAGCCAGCGCTGGAGTCGAACCCTGGCTAGCGGCAAAGGTACGACGGACCGGGTTGTCAGAACGCCCCACAAGCATGACGTACATATTACCAAGCAGTTGAATTTGGATGCTCGCAAGCGTCAATTCGGGCCTCTGGGAAACGGCAAACTTTGCCGTCTCGCACTCGATTGCTGAAGGGCGTCGTCCAGGTCAGCCTCAACACGAGAGCCAGCCGTGGGGTTTGTTTGTTCTGCGGCATGTTCGCGGAGTTTGCTGAGTTTGCATTGTTTGTTGTCCAATCTTTACTAGCCAGCCGGGATAGGGTGGGGTTGTTTGCAGCGTTTGGAAAGTTTGTATTGGCTCCACTCCGAGAGGCAGGTAAACAATGCAAACAGACCAAAGTATCTGGATATCTGCACCACCTTGATCCCGGAATATCCACGACCTGCGAGAGGATTCAAGGCGCGTTGGCACTTCAAGACCCAGCTCCCATTCAGGCAAGGTTGAATAATCATTGTGTTACAATTCCTCGTCCGGAATTGTGGGCCTTGTCCAGTAGTCGACTGGGAAACTTCGCAGTTTCAAACGGGTGTCGATATTTCGACGATTTTCCGGTTTTCTGAACCTGGATACTCAGTCTTCCACAGAGCAAAGGATATGCCATAGATTTTCGTGAATATGGGTTATGAAGAGCTCTTGAAGTATCTTTGTTCAAAAGGACTAGACGACTAGGAAGAACCCAAACAAGGCTTACCGCTGAATGCTGATGAGCGAGCGATATGCTAGGATCCGAAGTCAAAGTGAACAGAGTGCATGTCCGGTTAAGAACTCATCAACTGAGTCGGGCCGCGAGGCTCCAGGCTCCTTGCCGTCGGATTTGGAACTGAGCTAACCCCTTGCAATGATTTTGATTAGCTGTCAAGTCGAAAGTTTGAGGTCCATGCGCCAAAGGCCCGAAATTTAATGTACCTGGAACATGCCGATTCCTGCTAAAGGCCATTGCTGCGCTTGCTTATCCCACATTTCGGCATCAATATGCGAGGTTTCGTGCATGGTTAGGTTTCATCGACGCCAATATCGGGCCTAGCATGATAGACCGAAAACGTGGGGTGTCTTTTGCAGGGGAATTATGATGATTTATATGTCATATTCATGCTTGGTATTAGTCCCAGTTTCCGCAGAAGAGGATCCCGATTGCCGTCCTTAAAGAAGGAAGGATTCAACGTCCTTTTGGTATAATTTCCCTAATCAGCTTCCTCATATTCTTCAATAGACCAGGTTGCTTGATGTTTCGGGTACTCTTTATTGTTCTTTGATAAATGCTCAGCACAATACGCGCGGTGGGCCGATTTTCAAAAATGCACCCGTCATTGTTCGACTACGCTGGTCGGTTCAAGAGGTCGGACCTCATAAAGAGTGACTCGCGCTCAAACAAAAGCTTCAAAGCGAGGCTGAAATAAAGGACGCCTGAAGTACATAAATGGATACAACCGCTTCCTACCTTAGTGGTTTAACTCCGACTTCATCAAGATTCCGCTGAGTCTCTTCCAAACTTGTCGATGCCATGATTCCCGAGGAGACACGTCTGATATAGAGGTCAGGTGACCTTTCTACGAATTAACGAAAATGCCAGTCGGTTTGCAACCTCGCCTTGATCCTACAGCCCTTCTCTCTCCCAACCTGCAGAGCTCCCATGGCCAGATGGACATGGAGTCAGAATGGGTTTCCTCGTTTGGTGGTATCGTTGCGAATGAAAACTTCCCAAATGATACAACTAGTAGTGTTGTGGGAACTGCCTCATCGTTGGGGAGTCCTACAAAATTCGAGGAGAATGGTGGTCATGATAGTGATAGCGATGTCGATTCTCTCCCTCACGGCCTCGGGCGAACATGGGTAAGCAAGGTCTCAGGTTCGGGTTGAGAAAAGGATTTTGTGAAGATAAAAAATAGTACTGACAAGAAACGAATGTGCAGCAGCCCCCTTCATTCCCTAGCAGCTTACGTTCTAGCTTAACAAATTTGGATCAATATATTCTCAGAATTAGCTCGCGTTTGAAACACAATCTATCCACAATCCGGGCGGAAAGAGATCAGGCCCTGCAACGCTGGGAACAAGCGAAGGAGACGAATGCCCGCCTCGCCGAAGCTCTACAAGTCGAAAAGGCACGACGAGCAAAGCTGGAAGAATTCTTCGTGCAATACAAATCAACGGAAATTGTTCATATCCCTGTATGGCCTCCGCATACTCGCTTCAGCCCTCCACTTTCAGACGGCGGTGAAGAAGTCAGAAAGGAAGATCCGCCATTTCAGTTTCTCTATGATAATCCGCTTTACCAAGGCTACGAGCTCAATATCAACCTTATCACTTTGCGAGTAAAAGGCCTAATTTCACATAGATTCCCGGCCAAGGCGGCTGTGCTTGTGGAAGAAGCACTGGAAAAGGCAGAGAAACTAAAGTACATTCCAATTTATGCAAAGTGCTTGTACTGGAAGGGAAGAATTCTAGATTTGCAAGGCCAACGGCAGGAAGCCGCCAAGGCGTTCCTGGATGCGAGACCATGTATTGGAAAATATAGAGAGGGAGAGGATCTCATTCAGTGGCTGATGGAGTATGAAGAAGATATTGAAGAACTACACTATGACCAGCAGCATAACTATCGTGGGTCGAACTTTGGCGTTACTCGAAGGAGACCACCGAGACGCCTGTGTGTCCCTGCTGCTGAGCTGCCACCAACTCCTTGACAACCCAGGCGAGGCTATCCGTGGAATAAAATGCATACACGTAGAATTGATCAAGGGCGAGATTATCGAAATATTGTGAATTGTTATTTCATGCGGCCAACGTCATATCCAGATTTATACATGATTAAAACTTAGCAACGCATTTCCACAAACAAAGGCAGGCGACCGTAGAAGAACTATCATAAAGTATTACTTTGCGTCAACGCAGCATGCTCTGAAAAGGTACACCCCATACATAGCCGGCGACAGCCATTGCCCCCACGCTCATGGTTGCTGCCATTAGCACGTTAATAGCGTTGTTATCTAGAATATCATGTCCTGTTTCAATCTTCCTACTTTCGTGCTCGACATCGGCCGGATCACCGATAGATTGGTCCGATACTTTCATTTCATGCCTCAGCCGTCGGGGCGTAACCGCATTGACGATATCTTCAGTTATTCGTAATTGACTGCCTTGTCGAATAGGTGTGTCGTTGAGTCCCGTGGGAATCACGGCTCCAGGATGAACAAGGACCTAGAAAGGTAATCAGTTCGGCATGACAACACACCCTATCTTCAAAAAATGGTGTTCGGATATGACACTGTGATTTCCACTTACTTTGCTTCCGCCCTCTCCCTCCACCACCTTGCCCGACCGTTTGTCGACAACCGTGGCTTGCAAGAGGCCACCCAGAACGCTATCCAGTACACTGCCTAGCGTTCCCCAAACAGTCACAGCGACCACCCAAGCTATCTTTTCCCTTGGACCCCACGCGCGACCACCATCGAAGCCGGTTTTTGTAAATTCCGGCAGAGAGCCCGAAGGGCAAAAGGGGAGCAATAACAAGGAGGTTATAGCAATTGTGAAAGCTCCTAGAGCCCCAGCACCAAGGCCAACTAGTGTGACGCCACCATTTGTTCCGCGAGGTACTTTGCGGAGCGTGAGAGAAGTTATCAGTCGCGGCGGAGACTTGGAGAGGATGCCGAGTTCACTCGAGTAGGTATCTGCGGCCACGGCGGCGTAGTTCCTATTGAAAGCGAAGGAAGATACCATTTAGCTCGGCGTGCCATCAAGTGAATGGAGGGTCTCAAGAAGTATTGCAGCTCATCGGTGTCGGGTAGTTAAACAAGGCCTATGGCTGCATGATTCATAAATTGGGACTCACGCAACAATCCCCACCATCAAGAGATCTCCCCCGTAAGCAAAGCACTGGGGGCCGTGCCCTCTATTCTGGTAGAGCTGGTAAGTGTGCAATAGAATTAGAATCGAGGCGACCACCGAGTTCGCCAGGACCTGTATGTGTGTTCTGGGGCCTTCGCCGCCGGCAGATCCGGAAGCCGAAACTGTCAATTTCGCTTTCACATCGTGTTTTATCTGGAAATCAGAGATTTACGGTTAGCGACTCTCTGCCTGCAAGCGGAGACGGAGAGCTACATGTTTGGAAACCAGCCCCAACCTTTGTCATGGACGTCCCGCCCAGATAGAAAACCCCCAAGAATGCGAACGGCGCCGGTGAAGGATGAAATGAGTGTACAATGGCTGTGAGCGTAGCAAAAATGATTCCCAGTGGAGTCAAAGACTTTCTGGACCAGGCGCGGTAGACGAGTAATAGCGTCGCCGGAACCGCAACTATCGGCTTCATCTTGCCAGTCGGGAGAATACCTGTTGAGAATGACTGTAACTATGTATTAAAGGGCCTCTCCGTGATAACCTAGCCGATACGGAGTAAACCTGAATCGACGCGAAGAAGACAGTGTCTCATCATATTATGCACCAACGGATGTATTTAACTATGTGAAGGCTGGATTGTTTTCTTGGACTACAACCGGAACTAAAAGCAACACCCCTATTCGCACACATTACGGAGTGGGATGGGCCCAAAGCAAACTATGAATAAAACAGTCACAAACACAGACACGCTTTGATGGAAAGTATTTTTAATAGCTGATGTTTATACGGAGGACTCCGGATACCCCTAGTTACATATGTGAGAACCTATCTTTTGAAGGCTACTTGACACATCTATTGGCACTTTTAGCTGCAGTAATCCGCACTTGGGGCCCAGGCTCCAAGCTACAAGGCGATTGCCAGAGCAAATGGGGACTTCATGTCAAAACCTATGTATTCAAAACGACTTCACCCTCCTGTTTCTTGGCCTTGCAGCCTGCCGATCAGGCTTCGACTGTGTTCCGTCAAGAACAGCTTGTCGAAACTTGCCTAACTCAATTTCATCCAACATTTATTCAAACGCCGGTCTTTCTCACGGGTCTGAATCTTCTCATGCATAATCCGTAGAGGATATGAAATTGATGGAAGTCATCTCTTGAGCGCTCAATGTCAACCGCCTACCTCTCTCTCACTGGCCTCCTTGATCGAGGAATCGGGTATTGGCGTAATGCGCAGCATATCAGGTGGCGGCGAGTTTTATCAGGCAACTATCTGCTCCCTCCTAGAGGTGAAAACCACCATGCTCAGCAGGCTCACAGAGCCTCCACAGCCCTGCTGCCCTCGCCGCACTTTGAACGGCTCCAACTTCCTGCATCTCGACATGCCGGTTTATATCGGCATATCGGATCTGTTGCTTCTCATTGTTTTTATTTCCTGTGGCACGTCGCGGTTTCCCAACGTGCGCGTCTGGGTGATACTGCTCCATAATATGCACATAGATATCTTTTGAAACGTTCTGTGCTAACCAGCGCATAATTTCCTTTCCCTCCTCTTCCATCCCAGGCATAACGAGATGTCTAACCAGTACGCCACTCTTTGCGATACCGTCAGCTGTGAAGCATAGATCGCCAACCTGGGCATACATAGCCTTTATACTTTCCATCGCTGTCTCAGTGTAGTTATCTGCCTTTAATAATCTTTTCGAGGAGCTGCTTTTCCAAACTTTGAAGTCTGGTAAGTATATATCGACCAGACCATCTAGGAGTTCGAGGGATTCGCGGGAATCGAATGCGGAAGTATTGTAGAGTATGGGTAGTTTCAGGCCCAAGTCCCGTGCATGGAGAATAGATAGGACAACCTGGGGAACAACGTGTTCCGGTGTAATAAGATTGATATTATGAACGTTACCAACATCCTGCAGCTTCATATACCACTCCGCAAGCTCCTCAGGGGTCAAATCGAAGCCGTTCCGCTGATGCGCGATGTCCTGCCCGGAAACGGCAATAAATTAGCCAATATGCCCACCCATCTCCGATCTGCAATAGTGACTGAACACAAAGCTCACGTGGTTTTGACAAAATACACATCGCAGATTACATCCGGAGAAGAACACGGATCCGCTTCCGTTAATTCCCTGTACGCATGGCTCTTCACCAAAGTGCGGCGCAATCACGTTGACCTTGACTTTCTCAGCACCAATCAGACAATGGCCTGTCCTCTCATAGCGATTCACACCACACAAGCGTGGGCACAGGTTGCAGTTGGCTAGATGGGTGTGTGCAAGTGAGCGTTTTTTCGATGCATCGGCGGAGGAAAGGAGGTGGTAGCGCGGGATATAAGAATCTAGCAGAAACGGAGGGGCGAGATGAACACCACGAGTTTGCCGCGCCGTTGCTCGGATAATCGAATCCAAGCCAGGCTTTGGGGTTCTTTGTGCCAGAGATCTGAGGGTGAACATGGTGTCAATTCGGTCTTGGATGCTCGGAAATAACTAACGGCTACCGGGAAATTTAACTTCTCCACCGTCGGGGCCAGCCAAGCCGCGCCAGAGCCTTCAACTGTCGCCCGAAGTTAACTCTGCGAAAAACAGAGATACTGTATCGTTTAGAAAGCATGAGGGGGCATATTATTATTCATCTGCATTGAATATAAGTGATATCTATGGTACATGTATTTAAACTGGACAAAATGTGCGACATCCCCATATACATGTTAAAGAGTCCTGCAACGTCCAAATCTTCAACTCCAAACAGCGGCCCGACAATCCACTTTTCTTCTGTTCTTAGCGGACAGAATACATCAAAATCCCCCTTGGAAAAGTCGCCAGCTTGAGACTTGTGGGAGGGATGAATGGAATATAACCAGACACTCCGCAAATGGGATAAACATGAAGATGGAGGAGAGTGGCCGTGAAAGAATCAGGGAGGGATATTTTCAAACAACATAATGTACAGAGAATCAAAACGCGGACTCCGGGTGGATGAAATCCATTTCCCGAAGAACACCACTAATATCCCTTTGAACGCCACATTGAGCCCAAGCTTATCAAAAATCGGGGATAGAACGGGACACGCAAACTCCTTTCACCTTATTTTTTAAACGCCCGCTATAATGCATTGGAAGAGAAACCATAACTTTGAAACATGCACATCGAGACGATAAAATGTAGAGAACACGGCAGGCTAGGAGCCAACGCTGCTCTAAGAGAAGAAGTATTGACTGTTTTTGAGCCTCTTAACATCGAATTCGCCCTATATACAAGTTAGCATCTTGAAGCCAAGCATGTGAGATCAAAGCAAGCAGTGAAACTTACCTTTGAAGGAATGGGACGGAATGTCACCGGCAGCCAAACCCAGACAGCCGCGGAAGTCTTCTTTCTCTCGGATTTAAAACTAGGTTCTTCTGGGCCTTCCGCAGCCGTGTCAAGAGGGTCATCCGCCGTAAACATTTCGCTGGAGGAATTCGAGTCCTCCTCCGCATCGAGCATAGAATCGACACTCGCTGCTTCGTCTTCTGGTGAGATGTGTCCCATAGCAGCAACACCGAGAGATTGGACAGAGACCAGAGATTCTTCCGCATTTTGACAGCTTGCGAAGATGCTCCCAGGAGTAACCATTGCTTCGCCCTTTATTCTTTCCAGCTCGTCGGTCGACCGAAGTAGTTGAAGGCGCTTGTATTCGAGCAGAAGCTCATCAGTTTGATGTTCTCTAGATTTCCCCTTTCCGTTCTGTTTGCGCCATGCAGAAATCTTTTGCGCTACTGTAGATTTTGGTCGCAGTTTAGCAAGATACACGTGTTTCGAATATCGAGCTTTAAATTCCGAAGCTAGTCTTCCAACAATATCCTCGGAATGCATGCGAACAAAAGCATCGCGCAAGACCCGGTTCATGGTATCAATGTCACCAGCGTGTGTCCAGAATGAATCGTGCACTGCGGAGAAGGAGAGGCCCAGCTCATCACATTTAATTGCCGAAAGCATCATGTGAGTGGCATCTAAAGAATGAATAAAGTTAGGTGGAAATGCTTGAAGTTGCTTGCGTCGATTGACAACATCCGAAGAGTGAGGATCTTTGATACTGAGGGTCTGGAGAGTAGTAACAACACGGCGAGTTTTAGCTTCTCGGTACGGCTGGACAACCGGCAGTTTCAATGGAGTAGTCCAAATGACTGTGGATAGGAATCTTTTTGACAAGTCATCTATGATGGCTTTCTTCTTGGCCTTACTGGTACCAGAAATAGGAACCTGCCTAGCTGCCTCGAGAGCCTCGATCTGTTCGGGGCCCAAAGATTGGGTTATCCGGTTGGCGCAATCACCAAGCCAAAACTGAATCTCGTGGGCACCGGTAAACATTGAGCTCAAGGCGGCAAAAATCTTTCGTGTGATGTAAGTGGCACACTTTCCAACAACGTTCCGCTCACTCAACTCGGGGAAGAATGCATTTAGCTGCTTCTGGACCTGTCTTATAGCCCCAAGGAAAGTAACACCATACACATTTGTCATCACTGTCTGCTTGACAATCTTTCGGTTGACCTTGTCCTCAAGTATTTTTGCAAGCTGGTTACCGGCAGCGGCCTCTTGAGCGATGGATTGACGAACGTGGTCCGCCACAGCCGAGTAGATATCTGATGGACGATCTGACGGTTCGAGGTTCACCTGGCGGGCACCGATAATGTCGCCGCCAAGGGCGGCGTAGTGCTGTAGCCCGTTACAAGAACCATCCTGGTGAATGGGCAAATGAGATATGTATTTGGTGGGATCAGGGCAAGCAAGTGCATTTTTAAGTTCGATACAAGCTGCCAGGCACTGGAAAGGGTCAGAAGCTTCAAGCCACCACCGTCGTCCGTTTAACCCTTTCTCTGCAGAGTCAATCACATCATCCAAATGGTCCATAGCAAACTGAGCCCGCTCGTCGAAGCTGGCTTTATCATACCCATAGACGTTGGCAATGTGAATTTTAAGCCACCTCAAGCCACGTTCACCTAACTCTCTGCCTTTGCTGAAGAGCAGCAGTCCACGACACATGTCTGGACCCATCTGGTTGAAATAGGGAGGTAGCGGATACGCTCTGCCACGGAAATCCATATTATGGGGTAGGTAAAACGTCTCACCGACGTACGCGCGTGCAATCTCCAGTTGGAGGTTTTGGAAACATCTTTGAGAGTGCAATCCAGACCGTTTATTATCAACGAGAGTCTTGGAACGATAATACGCCCGGAGCTGCACCGGATCGTCGGTTTCAGGTTTCGTAGGTTCTGGAAGATTTGGGTCCACGGGAGCGATATCGGCCAGCTCGTCACCAGAGTTCCAAGCTTCGAGCATCACATCGAATACTGGTTTATTGATCCGCCAACCAGTCTTTCCTAGAACATTTAACCCTGCAAAAATCTCGTCTAAGTCACCACGACTCGCGGCAGCTCTGACATATTGCCTTTGCAAACACTGAGAGTCATTTGATCGGGCCCGCATAATGATTG